GGGAGTGAATTGTGGAAATAGACAGACCTAAAAGGAATCGATCCAACTGTCAGAGGCGGACTATAGAAATTCCATGGGGCCCGGGCGATTTAGCGAGTTCGGTGCCTTACATTTTCGTGTATTTTTGGTGATTATACGATTCCACGTTTACGCTATCTTATTTATATTGTAAATAAAAGTCAAAACTTTCTTTAGCGCGCAATTGCATTGTATCGGTAGTTTTGAATAAAAACAAACAGTGGCGTAACAAGAACGACAATTGGGCGGGGGGGGTTGTGAAATATTCATTTTTTCAGTTTTACCCGCTATTGTAAGTGCAATAGCTTACAACAGAAACCCGTCGGGCAGAACAGAATATATTCACCTAGTTACGCCCCTGTAAACAAATCATAATACTCTTCATCACAACAAATTTTGACATAGGCGAGATCTCGCACTATGGTCTGCAACCTTGGTCTGCGCGTTAAATATTCCAAACAATTTATTGATTTAGGACGAAATGAGATAAAATATTTTTTTCTAGCCACGCACTCAGCTTTCTCGCGTCACGCCGGCATTTTATTAATCACTTGTAAAGTCGTGCTTAAAATGCATTTAAAACAATAGTTAATCAATCAAGATGCGTTCTGCAGTCTGCACACGAGAAGCACGACGTTAAGTTAAATGTCATCGATGCATAAAGTGCTCTGTCCGTTGGAATGTTCTTTGAGGCAATAAAAGGAATAAAAGGTGGAATTCGAGAACAAACTCAGACTTGTACTTCAGTCGAAGAAGGATGGATCACTCGACGAAGGTTAGGGAAAAGTTGGAGGAATCTTGCTGTGGCACATGGTTGGTTTAAAGAAACTGTTGGCTTGATCTCTGGCTTTGCAAATTAATTCATCGCCGTGTTGATTTGAATAGCCAGAAGACATTAGCGAGTTGAGGCATATTCTTGCTGGTCTTCACTGGTATGTATCTTGTATATTTGGCCATTCAAAATGTAAAGTGCAAGTGAGCTGTTAACTTGATTTTGTTTTTCCTTATTTCATTTCAGAACGAACTCACGGCGCAGAAAAATGGGAAGGCGAAACACAAACGCTTGCTTGCAGCGAATAATAGGTATTGTTATAATAATATATGTTTATCAGTTGTTTGTACATGGTGGGCGAAACTAAAATATAGCTTAATCAAACTTTCCGGGATAAAAGAGTCAAAAGACGGCTTCAAAAGTGAAATTGAGTTAATTGATAATGATTATCCCTATTAGTATATATTTACTTTATGCTAGACTTGTTTGGAGCTTGTTTTCTTCTTCCACAGTGTCTTATCTTGCTCTAGTAATTCTTTTGCTTTCCAAATTTTACCACAAAAAAAGTCGGAGCATGTCACTTTAACAAGGCCTTATATGCTCGTGAATTCTTTGTTACCGAGATTTTTGTTTTTTTAGAAAGGAAGAATCGTCGGAGTGGAGAGATGTCGGACCTGCCTTGGGACATTTATGCACGCAAATACAAAACTCGATTTCGTTTAAAAAATGCATGAGTAAACTAAGCATGGGATTTGGCTTTTAAACTGAGATATGCTGAACACTCTTCTGTTTACCTCCTTGATTTTCAACTTTTTCGATTGCGGTTTTTGCATGAATTAACCTGGTCGTGTCAAGCGCATGTGGAGGAAATACAAGTGATTCTGGGGCCCCATCGCTTGTATTTTCTCCATCTTGAACGACAATAGTCCGGACAAAAAATATCGCTCGTAGAGCCGCTAAAACATAAAAATACATGAAAAGTTGTATTTCTAGAAGGATATAATAGTCGAGTGTTTTAGTTCTCTCGGGACCATGAAGAAAACGATGATAATTTCTTACAAAACGTGCATGATATTTTGTATTCGCGTGCGCAATGCGAAGGCCTAGGACGAGTGACGTGGAGATGTTGGAGGTCTACAGGGTGAGTAAAAAAAAGTGATGCCTTTCATATCCAAATTAGCCGCGAACTCATACGACTGGCCTATTGTGACAATTCCCTTGTGTCCAACAGGATGCAGTTAATTATGCGAAACTCATTCAACGTGACGCGTGTGCTATAAAAACAATTTGATAAACGGTTTATGAATGTTTTATACATAAGTTACATTTCACTCTTGGAAATCAATGATGTCATATATTTTTGTCCAATATATATAACCAGGGAGCAGCGTGGCAGCGTCTTCAAACAACTTAGCATCAAATGTGGTATATAACAACTGCCTAAAATAGACAAAACACTTCTCGACGTTTCGACCTGAGGGCCTTCGTCAGGAGAGTTAATATGAACATATATTTTTGTATCTTTACGTTAAGCGATCAGGTAATGAGGGATGGTCGCAGGATCAGATGATGAAAAATCGTCGCTGGATCAGATGATGATGAAGGATCGTCGCAGGATCAGATAGATGATTAAGGATCGTCGCCGGATCAGATGATGGGGGGTCCTCGCAGGATCAGGTGTTGAAGGATCGTCGCAGAATCAGATGATGGACGACGAGACGGTTGGTACAAGTGGAAGCTGGTTGAGGTACATACTATAAGTATACTAACTAGAGTAATGCATGGTTAATGTTAGTGCATGGTTTATTCTCGGATTGATTCCTCGTGGTGGTCTAACCTTGTATATTCACACATCAAGTGACATCTCAACCTTTTCGACAACGCATGATTACAGAAAATTTCTCACAGCTCTTAGAGCGTTTTCGAGGTTTCCCGATGAAACATTCCTAGTTGTCACTGCGTGTGAAGGACTCGATACCTGCGGAAGATGCATGATGGCTTTAAAGCGTTTAAATGAAAGCCGGTAAGAAAATATAATAAGCATGGCCGACGCGCGCGCAACAAGAAAATATTATGGCATTCGTATTGGCCTAATTTCAGATCAATACGAATCAAGGTAATCCAGAGTACTTATATGATTATATAAGTTCTCTCTCTTAAATGCGACCGTTTCGAAGGACTGTCCGTCAGTGGCATCAAAAATTATACTTTAGTCTACGAACAATTAAATTCGAATTATAAAACTTTGAACTTAAGAAAAAATTACTATTTGATGTTAGACACTATGGCACTCTTCTGTTTCCCTTGTTGGATTAATTTTTTCGGATTTCAATTTAACTAATATATTTTTTGTTGATCTCAAGCCTGAAGGAAATAAGCGTAATCTAGAAGGAAATATACCTAAACTATACTACATTCTATACTACATTGCATGATAACTACACTTACATATACTGAGGGATATCTGGGGGTATATTGCTTAACTGTAGACTAATGTTGTATAGTACCCTATTTCTTTAAAGGTGAATTACCCTTTCAAGAAGAGCCTTCACATTTTGACACACTAGTCTTACTATGTTGTTTAATTCTTTGCACGCCCCACCGTCGAGATGTTGTTGAAGAAAAATGCAACTGTTTGGAATGGAGCAACGAAGCAAGTGAAATTCTGTACCACCGTTTTACCGAAGGTAATTATACTTGTGCGTAAGGTGAGGGACATTACAGATTAGCCATGTTTTAACATGTTTTAAAAGTAAGTTGCATGTTGAGCCCGATTACGTTTAATTCCTTCATTTTAGATCAACCGGCGTAATTCAGAACGTATAAAAAGATAAACTGTGCATGAGGTGCGTGTCTTAAGAAGGGATAGTGGAAGAGTGCTCTTGTCTACATCGGTTTGAGATGAAAAAGCATGCAAGTCGTGAATACAAAGCATTTCTTTCCAAAATGCCACATTTTCAAAAAAGCATGATCATAAAATGAGCATTAGAATAATTGAAATAATTTTTATTGCCCTTGTCGGACAAAAGCGCAGTTTAATTAAGATTTTTAACAGCCTGCTGTTTTGCAACGGACGGATATGCGCGCTGCGCACGTTAGTCCACCACCAGGATTCAATCGACGAAGCTCAAGAATTGCATAGAAATATATGCAATTCCTGGGACTCAATTCGGATGAGCGGAACTAAAACGGAGAACTATAAATAGAACCTGAACTGTCATTGCGAACGATTTCTAAATGAAAATTACAAAATTCGCCGGTGGGGTAACCTGAAATTTCAGGTTACCTTTGGAGGGTTTTTCTCCGGGCACTCCGGTTTCCCTCCTTTTCGTTTGACTTTAAAAAACAGTGTTTTGATGCCTAGGGCCAAACGTGTGCTCGTTGTTGATAGTGATAAGATTTCTTGCACGCTTTACAAAATCGAGAAATATTATTTATACATGCATTAACTGTTAAAAACGCGTGTGTTTGGCTTCTGGGTTGGATTCCCAGACCACTGGCGTAAAAGAATTTTATCAAACAATCTTGAGACTGGTGTGGGAGACTGAGTCATAAGCGTACGAGCCAAAAGTAGTATAGAAATCGATGTTGTCTAACTCTGCGTTCATTAATCATAACAAGTGGGGGGTTCGCGTGCTGGGTCTTATAATAGGGGACGATATGAAGTTGACTCATTTGTGAAAAAGGCAAGAAAAAATTATACATGTTGAGAACACTAAAACGAACAATGCAACACCTTTCAAACAAACCGATCATCGATCTGCAGTTTATTCTGTCATGTTTAGTCACAACTGGAATATGCACAAATGAAAAATATTATTGAACGTTGTAAATCATACAGTAATAATGTTTAATTATTTTCATTGAGTGAAAGATGAATTTCGCTTTAAAAGTATTCTTACCATTGGAACGAATGAAAACATTTGTTTAATAATTAATATAACACAAGATAAAACAATCAAAAGAGATCAACGGCTAATCGAAATACTTACTATAAGTAAACAGTTTGTGTTTATAAATGCCCATCGGCCATATTATTCGGATTTGTGATCAAATGTATATTGTACGAAACTAATTTTTAAGCCCCGTTTACACTACACTCGATTTATTGGCACGGCACGGCTAAAATGGGTACCCGTGCCTACTTCATCTGTGCTCGGCCTTTGTTTTGGTAGCCTGAACACTAATAAAATTGGGTACGGGTACCAATTTTAGCCGTGCCGTGTCGATAAATTGAGTGTAGTGTAAACGGGGCTTTAATGAAATTTTTCAATTTAAAGTTTAACTGGAATTTCTATGGCATTATATATCCTATGTGATTAATAATGTTCTCTCTTATAGTCGTGCATATTTTGACTAATCACGTTAATCGACGCTGATCATGATAAACAGCTTCTAATAACCAATCCAGTTGGTGCCAGCTGAGGGTAGTGGAACTCTTTCGGCGGTGTTACCATCCGGGAATATATTGCACGTGTCCAGGAAATAATTTTTCAATTTAGGAACTGTATTTGTTAAACTAAAAATATACGATTCACAATCATTGTGGGTACTGTAGGTGGTACGAAAATTTGCCATAACCCCCCATGCATATTCTAGTACTTAAAAATATTTAATAACAAGTCGTTGTGTGTATAACAGGTCAATATAGGCGCTTGGATGGGTCTTCACGGTCAAAGTTATCTGAAATTGTGAATGATCATGTATATTGCACGTACAATGAGTGCGGCCGATTTGGCGCATGCTCGGTGACTCGAAACTGGTCGATAAGCCGACAATAGAACTGTAGGCTACTTTCAAGGCGGCCGTCAACGCGCAACGTGCAAGTGGGGGCTGGCCTTTGTGATAAGGAATAGGAGCAGCGTTGAAGATTTCTGAAGTCAAATTTACCTGAGATGTCAACGTGTTCCATCCATAAACCCAGAACTAACCAAATCAGTTTTGTTGCATGGTGTTCAATTTTTTGAATAAGCCGATCAGAAAGAGATTCGAAGAAATACAGAAAGGATTATAATATAGGAAGAAAAATCATTAACGTTCATGTCAGCATGTCAGGTCGTGAATCCAAGGTACAAGTGTCAGTCAATTCAATCGTTACGCAATTGCACCGCACTACGCGTTAATGGCACAGATCTGTACTATAGTTTTACGATATGTATTTTCAATGTTTCAGGTGTGAATGTAAAGATCTTCGTGAGTATACGCTCGAGTAGTTCACATGCACTGAATAACACTAACCTCTACTATCTCACCAAGCTGACTATGTTTACAACCGCCATAACATGAAAGATGCCTTTTTTTGCATCGCAAAACTTTAAACATATGGCTTACCATTTTGTAAAGGTTGCAGAACACTCCTGTTGGCTGATGGCGAACATACGTAAAGTCATATCTGTTGAGCAGAGGCTGCTGCGGATCAGCTGACAATAAACATTAACAAACTCCTCTTCGCAAGTAGAATTTGCAAAGAGTTTTGCTTGCTCTAAGCTCTTCAGAACTTCAGGAAATCTCTTTGCTGATAGCTTGTAAAGGGGTCCTATTGCTGCAGGATACTAAAAAGGGTTTCCAATAATTAAATATTAGTGCAGGAATCTTTATTTTTGACGTGTACATGCAGTGTGTCGTCGAATCAAAAATTGAAACCTCATGACGTCACATGAACTCAGATCAGCTGGGAAGAATGGGAACCATATATATAATATATAGTTAAATGATATTCGCTGATTTTTTTCCACTAAATTGTTTATATACAATTTATAGAATTCTTGTAACAGATATTGCGCACGTCTGTTGCATTTGAACTTTCTGTGCCTTTAGTACGAGGCGGTGACAAGAGGGGTGGAACCTTCCCACCCCTAGAAGATTACGCGAACAACGAGTGTGGAACTCCAATGTTGGGCAATTTCCCTGAAATACTCGCAGTTCCACGGAAAAATCACGAGGTTTTTCCGGGCGCACGCATTCCCCCAGACCCTGGTTCGCGCATAATTTTGTTCACTGAACTTTAGCTGGAATGAGTAAGTGCACATGCATGCACTGCACATGATTTACATGTGATGTTGGCGTATGATCTGCTTAATCCATAATAAGCTCGTTTTTAATCATTCAAATAAATAAATCCATAAGGGTTAATTCTTGCTGCCAACGCCCACATAGCTGTAGCCCGAAACATGATCTGACAGTTTAAAAAATTTTTCAAATCTGATCAATTTATCAGTTTCATACCGTAGATAATATGAACTGTTAAAATCCCCAAAACATGTGTCTGGGCCCGTCCCCAACAGTCTTTCCATCGCCTATATTTATCACGTGGCCTGCATATTGAATGCCACAGACACAGTCATGGTTTGATGAAACCTTATCTGCCGGCATGAAATATATCATTTCAACATGCAGTGGAACAAGCTCAAGAGATTGTACATTCGAATTAAATTGAAAGTGGAGTGGGTGACTGGGTGTTAAAGTGTTCTTGTTAGTGAAAGCGATAAATATCTTTGTAGGGATTAGGTCGGCTCCTATCATCCGTCAAAAACAACCCGCCTCGAGAAATGATTCATGGCATTAATTAGATCGCCCATATAAACGGGGAACCGCTAAATAATAAATCAAGGAATGTTTTTTGTTGGTGATATTTATGTTGTTAATAATTTACTTCATCATAACCCATTATGTTTACTCTTAGATTTATAAACTTCCTAGATTGATGAGTTAAAGTAAAACGCGGATACGGACAGACGGATGGCTTACTTTTTTACAAGACACTTCTTTTAAAACCATTTTTACCGCGTTTTATAATCCAATTGGTTGAATAACACGTATGGTATAACGATACATTATAGCATATTATGAGGATCAATTCGTGCAACGGTAAGGATATTCATTCGGCGAAAGATGAAAAATTCCATTCAACTCAGCTTTTCCCCGTTAAATGGCATTCTATCTTCCCCCTCATGAAAATATTCTTACCATTGCACTCATTATTAATAGTTATCATGTTAACTCGACACTTATGGTCACAACCACATAGCACAGGTCCCGCTATACGTACATGTAATGACCATCCTTTAAAAACATATCCGCGTGTTTTAACTATAACCGGGGTACAAAGCTCGTATAATTTACGTAATAAAAAGACTTACCGTATAACTTGTCTTCGGGCAAATATCACCTTGCACCTCAGGAAGCTTTGTACAATAGCCATATCCGCTAGCGTCTTTATGTATCATGGTGCAGTTTTGGACAAAATATGATGTTACTGCTCCTGGACAGTTTGATCTAACCGAATCGCAAGCAGCTTTGCTTCTCTCATAATCATACTTCAGGATCACGCCGTGTTTGCTGTCTGGTGTACAAACGGCAAAAGTGTCCGAACACAAATATTCGCGATAGCTATCTCGACAGGATTCACTGACTTGAAAAAAATTTAGTGCTTCAAGCCCGAGATGCACACTTGTCAGCTCTAATTTGGCGGCCGCTTCCGTGCTTCGGTTGAAACCCACAATTTTATAATTCACCAAATTTGGCGGACAAACGTCGTTTGGTTTCATATCGTAGCAGAATGGTGGAAGCGAGCCATTTATGAATAAATAACCAAAACCAGGAGATCTGCTTGCATTCTCTGCTTGCGTACTCACGAAGAGCGCACAGAATATAAAACGATATACCAAAGACATATTTAACAACTTGTATATGCCGTTTTAGTTTGCAGTAATATTTGGGCTGTTCATTTATCCAGCTTAAATACGAGCGCATCACATGCATGTAACTTAACACCGCTGCATTATTGTCATGAGTTATTTTTTACAAATAACGTCATTCTATCGAAAAACGTTGATATTTCATATGCATGATGCAACCTATGGGTTACAGTTGCATCATGCATTAAGAGTCATAAGAGAGTACAAGTAAAAGCTCAGTCTCAGACTGCTCAGTAGACTTGATCTTGATATATAGTTACCTATAATTAATAATACTATAATAATTGGTTTCTATCCAAACTGATCCATGATCATCCATCCCTTCATCAACTGCATAAAATGCACGTATGATAAAATTCTGTATATAGTATTGAAACATGTGTTTTTTTAGTCTTCAAGAACGGTCTTATTACAGACTAGTTCCCAAAAGTGATTCTTGTGCCAATTTCTTCTATTAACTGTTGTGAACGAGTGAATTTCAGTAATAGGGGGCTTCCCAATAGTGAATGAACTTTTCAGAACTGTAGCTATATTGTCTAATTAAGCCGATTTATAACTGACTTATCAACCCCACGTCGACCTCGTGTTTTATTCCGCATGCAGCGAGGCAAGTCACTCCTTCAGCGTAAGTGCCTTTTTAACTATATAATTGATGGAAAAAATTTGCCCCCACATTTAAGTCACTACTGCCCCTCAAAAGTCGAAGCAGAATTGCTCATGATTGCTATCAAAATTGCAGTCGATAGACTCGAAAACGGTTGATTTGCTCAGAGGCGCTGGAACCACGGGGGCAGCTGCCCCCCCCCCTGCCCTTTACCAACGGGGGCGAGCGGGGGCAGTTCTGTGCCCTTTGTTACCATATAAAAGTATCATAAATTCAACATTTAATCATGATGCCTACTTTTCGCATAAAAACTAACCGGTAATATTATTGAAAATGTGTTCTCCCGTGGATTTGCAAGTTCGCATGTACTTGTAAATTTGCGTTTCCTCTTCGTGTGGTTGCTAAGGTAAAATGAATGTGCCCTTTTCTAAAACTCTGCCCCCGCCGCCCTAAACTGCTTCCGGCGCCCCTGGATTTGCTTCAGGAGATTATGCCCTCAACCCTTCCATAGTCTCGTTCACATGCACTACAGCCATGAGCCATCTTGTGTTAATTCATATTGGTTATTGTTCTTCACAAATATTTCATAATAGCGGTGGTAAAATGCTACATAGAGTTTCTAAGCCTAGTGAGTATTTTCTAGCGTTGATTTCGGCATTTCGCTCGACGGTTTGCTTGAAAACGGACAAAAAGATGATTTTATTATTGCATGTTTATGGTAAAGCCGGATAGTTGATGTCAATAAAACGCAAAACCTTGACGAATATTTTCTGTTAATTTCTGCTTTTTCCTTTCCCGTTTCTTCCCTGCATCATGGGATGCTTACTTCAATCAACGCCCATGCATGGTATCAACAAATGGCCTCAAGTCAGTCAAGTGCAACAGTAATAACAGTACTCGACTTCAAAGCGGAGTAGAATCAGTAGATTAATACAACCTCGTTCCCAGGTAGATTAATACTGATGTACAGTAGTTAGCAACAGTATGCAGTGGTGAACATTCGCCTAGTTACAGTCGAAACAGGGTAAAACAAAATAAGCTAATTTCAAGCAACCCGGATCACAGCCGTTTTTTAAAAAAATCAATTCATTCGATTCGTTTGAGATGATAATAATATGACCTGTTAATATATAAAATCGTGAAAAATGATCCCCGAAAAATGTGCCCGGGCCGGTTCCCAACAGTCTGTTCAACCCTGCATTAATTTTCCACCGCCTAGAGTAAAACACATACCCACATACTGAATTCTACAGACATGGCTTGATGAAACCCCTTCCGCAACCACATAAAAAGGATTTTACAAACACTAGCTCTAGATGGGTATACCAAGAATTTAAAATGACGTGGTTGTTACAGTTAAACTATTCGCTGTTAATGAAAACTGATAAGGTCAGGATGGGGATTAGGTCGGCTCCTATTATTTATATCATATGTCATTAAGAACATGTATATAAACGCTTCTATAAACTATAAAGACGCCCAAATAAACATAGAACCGCTAAATTATAAATTAAGAAATATGCTTTGCTGATGATATTTACGATTCGGTCCATCATAGCCAACTACGTTTACTCATAGATTAAGATCTTCCTGGATCGATAATATGCATGTAAACTTTAAATAAATAAACATGTTTACAGATTCATTGGATGAATTTCGTGTTGCCGATGTGGCTTTGCACAGTAACTGATCATAACATCGTGCAACAAAACGTAGGCGTTGGGAAGATAACTTATTTATTGACCACGCACTAGTGTCAGCCAAAAAAATCTTGGAATGCGGATCATCTTCAGTTAATCCTTCAAGGATGTGATAAAAACATCACCCACAAACATCGATCTGTCGTCGCAATTCAAAAAAGCACAGGAATTTCGCTGGTGTGCAATCTACAATATCATATAGGGAGTTTCTTAGTAATATTATTATCAACGTACTGCATGTCATTTCGGTAGTGAACGAAAGGCTACGGAAGGTAATTGGGTTAGGAAGTAGTGGAAGTGAGATGAAAGAAAAATCGTGCATTTTGCATTGATAAAATTTCTTGCGGACGTGCATGTTTGGACGTTTCACATACTCATCTGGTTCTTACCCGTTCTACCCTTAAGTGGCGGCCAGTGGTGCCGCCAGAATTTTTTTTTGACGGAGCCAACACTATGAAGGTCCGTAATAAATCAGAATTTGACCTCTCTAACTTCAACCTCCCATTTTTAAATTGAATTTCAAAAAATATGAAAACCAATTATTGACATTATTGGGGTCTGTCTTCCACCCTAAATGAACATTGCTACTTACTAAAAGCATTGCTATTGATCACAGTTCGTAAATTTTTAAGCGAAATGACCTTCAAAGCCCTGCACGACGCGCGTTTTCAACCAAGCTGTGTGAGTAATTTGACATAGACGCATCGAGACATGCGCATAATGTATTTTATGAAGCAAGTGTCACAAGTTGTCAAAGGACAGAGCTCAATAATTATGTATTCGTTCGTTTCCCTATCCACTTACCACAAATTAAAAATTGGACGAATTCCCAAGATCAGTCATTGTTCTAAATCATGATAAAGGTTAACTATCCCGGAAAACCAACATGAATGATGTCAATGTGGAGGTAAATTCCCCTGGGTACGAGGTTGAACGAAACATATATACGAATATTGCTTCATGTCATATATATAGATAAGAATACCTATAGCTAGGCAATTAATCGGAAATACGTAATGCAGCATCTAAGCGGAGGAACCGAAGAAGAGAACTGGCATGGAGTTACGAATGGCAGTTCATGCTAACATATATTTTTGCGTTCAAAGGTTGTTGAGGGGTAGGAGACGGACTATATAAATGAAACCGACGTATTTCGTTTCTTTTGGACCTTTTCCATCCAACTTATTATTTCCACATGATTTTCCTGAAAAAAAGAAATGAAAATTCTCTACGATTCGCTATGAGAACAGTGTAAACTGAGTACAAGTTCTAGTTTCGTTTTATACAAGATAGTTGAACCTTGAACCTAACCTACATAATGCCATTGTATTATGACATGGCAATATAGTCATGATAAACATGTCAATCATCGTAATCATGTGACTTAACAATTTCTCCCTTTCTGCTGCCAAGATTCCGCATTGTATCATACGGCAATTAATCTGTGCCGCATTGCTCGAGCTATATGATGCTACGACAATTTACAGTGTGCAACAACAGTGAAGTCAAGTGGCGTTTCCATTTCAACCCCAATCTATTTTGCGCTATCTTGCGCTTAACATGATATACTGTTGTTAATTATCTATGTCATTGTTTAAGGTCTTTTTGTGGTTTGTTTTGACCCCAGCTTCGACTTACAATCATTATAATATGTATATAGAACGCCTTATTTTGGTATTTTTTAAAAAATACAAAACACCTGTAACTCCAAAAATTTTATGGATTTTGGGAGTTCGCATTAGCATTGTTTTGTATTGTGTATAATTGCATCACTTCACAGTAAGTTTACTCGGAGGCGAATCACCACAATTTTTTTCTTCTTCTTGATTGAATTTAATTTAGCAGTGAATATAAAAAACAGAATGCCCGATCATGAAGGTGCAGACAGCTCTAACGAATACTTCGAGAGACTGTTGTTGCATGAGATCGTTGCGTCCAACCATTGCGTCATCGCCGCCATGTTGAATGTTTAAATCTCTCGTTTTCTTTTGACCAATTCAGGCATTTCGTAGTCAGATCATCTTCAGTAACATACAAATTTTGGAACGCATCACATGTCTGTTACAAAACTCAACCAGAATCTATTTTCCAGAACAATACGAGAAGTTGTATACGATTACTGTGAACACTATATAAACAACAATCGTTCGTATCAGCCTCGTTCCCAGGCGCTTTAAATAAAATAAGATATAGGGACACTACAGGCACATGTATACATCTGAGCAGGTCAGGCTAATAATGGGCAGTCATACGGGTGTGAAGACTAGGCTTTAATAAAGTGTGCTATGTACGCGGCTGTGTTTAATGGTAATAATGCTGACTGTGTATAGTTAATCACGGACTATGAGTCTTGATTTTCAAACGTCTGAAAAAGTATGCAGAAAATGGATGACTAAATGCCCTAGTTACGGCTGTAGAGGGTTTCTGGTTTCTGCTGTGAAGGGTTTTTGATTTTCTACTTTGCTGGTCATTCCAAGAGAAATTTAGTTTTTCTTGGTATGTGCGACACAATGGGGGTCCTTGCTCAGGCAGGCCTAATCTTGAGGCATAAAATAATAAATGTACCCATCCACGTGTGACGATTTGATTGTTAATGACATTTTTTATCATAGCAACTGGGATTTAATTAGTTATGAAGGATTTCCTTCTTTAAAAACTCCATTTCCTGAGTAAACATTGCTTTCGCATCAATTTCGTCGCGATTATTGGGAAACACATTTCATACAGAGCAATACATGTCACAAAATCTTTCCTTATATTGTGATTCAATTGTCACGTGTTAATCCATGAACCATTGGTACGTTCATTCAAACCGTTAACAATTCAATCGTTACATATGAGTTTAAAGGCCGTAGAACTGCGATTAAAATCGCAGGCCATACGCTAATGTAAACGGACATAAGTACAGATATTTGTTGAAATAACACCCAAAAATGCAATAATGAACGAGGTAGATAAATACAGTCGTAAATAGAGCGCAATTAAAGAAGGAAGTGTATGAGCAGCAAAAACGTTTGCTCTGTGAAGTGCAAAAACAGAGTCCGAAGAGCCGAAAATTTTCAGCTTGTGAATACTATGCTGCGTTTTGTAACATTATATACCCTGGGGATTCCCCTGGGTCAAAAAATTCTTTTTGACACATAATTGTAAAAGCGCTTAGCTGATTGGTGCTTATTTATAGTGGACCACGTGCCATTCACGCCCCATTGGTCGTTCATCAAGTCGCCATTAACTCTTTAGCTACCAAAAGGGTCGTTAACGACCCTGCTGGGATTTATGTGGATATTTTACCCATATTTGAGGACAAAAAGGGATTGAAAGGGTCTCTGCACTATAGTTAACATATATTGTAGCTAACATGAAGTTCTTCACGTTTTATTTCGAAATTCTTAGTATTTTCAATAAATCTTGTTATTTTTCCTTCGCCATATTGGATTTACAAAATGGTGGCAAGTTCTCGTTGGCAATTAGACGAAATTTTAAGCGAAATATTAGTTTCTGATCGGGAATTTTACAGAGAAAATGAATCTTTTGCATTTGAAGACTATAAGGAAGCATTAGACATAGGAATGAGTGCAGTTACAACTCACTAACGACGACAATGTTTTACTCTTGAGAGAAGCACCAAGTCGTCATCCTAAGTGTGGAAGATGTGCATCTTGGAGGTACAAGAAAGTCGAAAATTAAACATTTAAGCACACAAAAACTTTAAACTATTGCATAAAGTGTGATAGGTTTCTCTGCAAAGTTGTTTTGAGTTCTTTCATATAAAAAAATATGTGTAAGGTAGATTTATTATAGAACAATGTAAAATAATTCCAATTTGGGAAGAATGTGATGACACATTATTCAGCCATAACTGGCCGCTCGTTAACTTATGTATACAGATAACCCATTTTAATTATTCCGGTAGGGATAGGACATTGATATTTTGATGCATTTGTAGGCATATTGTGCATCATTAATTATTTATAGGGAAAGTAATTTAAATTTTTAGTTTTTCTAGCATAAAATTTTATTATTTGTAAATAATCACATGACTTGTGACATCATACCTTGTTAATTAGCATCAAAGTGAATGCATATAATTAAAGACCTTGTTCTGCAGATTCTAAATATATATAGTTTTGTATATCTAACTGCACTAAAATACCCATTATGAGTAACTCTATGTAACTTCCCAAAAATTTCAAAAATCGGAAAAAATTATCTTGGTAGCTAAAGAGTTAAACGGCTTCGAAGTTTGAGAGTAACAGTGCCGAAAGACCAAAGACTAAAACACAAGGTATGCTCATTAGTTTACATTATTTTAACTTGGGATAATTATTTCGTATTTCTTTCACGAAAATAGGATATTATGGTCAGTTATCTTTTGCTACATTGCATTCCGTTGACTATACGGAATTCAATACACGAAACCATTTAACCATCTAAGGGGTTAAGAATATAGTGCCTCGCCATGCATATTTTTGGTACTTCATTAGGGTCATGTAATGTATCAAAATATCATTCAATTTATCTAATAGTAGACATAGGAAATTAAAGCTTAGTCCCGTGGGACTTCGCTTGTTTAAAAGGGGAATGTTATTTGGTTGAGTCGTTTGTTTATAACTACGCGGAACATTTGTAAAATGACACTTGGCGTTGGCACGCTTCTTTATGAGACAAAGCGAAACGAATCTTAGTTATCTTACGCGACGATTGTATAGTATTAACATAAAAGCTTTTAAAATGAACTGCTTTAAATCAGACTGCTATCACCGCACGCTGAACAATTTATGATACCACGCAGTATGATAACAATACATACAAGTGCTCAGAAATATAAAACGGAAATTATAATCCGTTGTCGAACTATGTATAACGTTGTCGTTTGTTCAATCTACCTTCGTCTATTGCGCCCAATGTTTTGTTTTCCATCGTTTCGAAAATGTATAAGATTTGTTTGAAATTTGTAAGTCGAAGCTATTGACTTTTCTTATTATTATGAAACGTTCGGCAATCGTAATTATTGATACGCAATACGCCTCATAATATAAGTCGTTTGTGTTTATATTTGCCATATGAAGTGTTTAAACCTTGTTACAGACATTCTAAATATTGTACAATTGTTTTTGTTCCTGATAATAAGCTACATTTTATCTATAAATCTATGACGGAGCCATAAATTGAATTATAAAGTGAAAGCGACCCGATATTTAAGGATTTTGTTGTCTGTATGACTCTATACTGCCGGAATTTAAATCGATGATTTTGTTCAGAAATACCATTGAATATTCAAAAGCCTCAGTCAATTGTTTGTGAGTACGAACTTGTATTTTAAATACTAATAGGGTGGAAGTCTATATACATTTCATTTGAGTCACGGCTTCGCTAGGTCGCCCAAGTTGACTCGTGACACAAGAAACCGGGAAGAAAAATTGTTTACAAAAAGTTGGGCATCTTTGGCTGTGTTACACGCGTAATAAATCATTTATTGTTCAATGAACAAAATACCTTCAATGTGTGGAGTGTATTGATAGCTAAGTGTGACAGATTCAATGCAGTCGTGTTTTCATTTTTTGACTTCTTGGAAATACAATTGATGCAATTTTGCAATAATTTGATCTGCTCAGCAGGGTATGAAGAATTAGATGTTTCCATAGTCCTCATAGAGCATGGCAAAAGTCCAGATTGTATCTATATATGAGTAAAATTAATAGATTTTTCATTTATTAAACTCTTTCATTTTTAAACTCTTTCTTTTATTGAACTTTTTCATTTATTAAACTCTTAAATATGTATTTCATATGTGTACATAGTGTGTTGCCAATGGATGAAAACCCCTGTAAATAGAGTACAGCATGAAACAAAGTACTGGAGTAAATGTATTTTCTAGTTGAATTTTTCTTTTAATTGCCAGTTCTTGCTGGATACTGAAATTCAAGACCTAAAAAAACTGTAAACGATTGATTGAAAGGCCATAGAGCAGGATTAGCACATTTGCAGACAGCACAGTTTATTTTTCTTCTTGTTTGTTGACAATTTCACCTTCCTTTCAGACCTTACTATATACTGAAACAAGCAAAGTCAATAAGATATTTCTGTTATTTTACAACTAGTACTATAGTCCAATTCAAATGCTAAATGATATATAATGAAATGGGACATTTTCAACTGGGGTTGAACCTATTTGTTAGGAATAGTTTCCCATCATTTGCATGATTTACTTCAGGATTGGTCCCAACATTTGCTTGATTTACTTAAGGACTGGACCCAAATGCCCTGACAATTATTAAGTGCTTTAATCTGCACATGTATTTTGTTGTTAAATTATTCTGTTATACTATATTTAAACATCTTATTGAATTATTGAAGGTATATATATGGAAAGCCGACCTGACCACCCTTCAAACCTCATACCACAAGAACAAATGTTTTTCAACAACATTGACCCAAATGAAGCTGGAAGGTAATTAATTTAAAGCCAAGTAAATAAAAAGTACATGAAGTATGAAATTATATTTTTAAATTATCATTGTGACACAGTTCAAAGATTTCACATTACTTTCTTTTTGAAAGATGGTTGAATTCTGCACAGCTTTTAGTTGATATGTCAAGTTTAGTATGAATCTGACAATGAAAAATGAAATTAGCAAACAGCTCCGCTATGTATTCCTCTTATTACTCATATTGTCTTGAATTCTTTGCTAGTAAATACATCACAAGTTGTTCTTCAAATTCTTTTATGGCTCTTATACTTGGAATGCTTTTTTTTCACACTTAAAATGCTTGCAACAGGATTTGTGTGTGATAATGTATTTGACCATCAACTTTTTAGGCTGTTTCTTTTGTATACTTACACTGTTAAGATAGACCTAAGTGTGGAGTGGTTATCCTATATAGATCTTGCATTCCAAATCATAAAAACCTTCCTTATCACCTATTGAATTAATGATGTGTAATTAATTGCATTCTTACATTCACTCCACCTGACCTGACATGCCTTATTTAAAAAAAAAAAAGAACTCGTTGATGCACCCGTTACCGCGAGTCACAGAGTGCCAAAATGTTACAGGTGAACTAAATTATTTCATTGGGTAGCTGGGGTGTTTTTTGAGACAACTATGGGGGGTTACACCCTTAAAGATTTAACTGGTACTGTATATGGCTTTTAACACTAACAGAGATGACTTATACATATAATTTGCAGGAGATCAATTAAGTATCAAAATTTGTGATTTTCTTGTCCTGACCATTACATGCCATAATTGCAATGGCGCATTGTCAATTTGCTCCATGACTATAGCAATGAGAGCAGAAATAGCAGAGAATGGTTATCACTCGTGACATGTGTACAGACGTCGTGATTGACATCTGTGCAAAGGCTAATTGCTTAGAATTTAGGACAACCCTTAAAAGGAAATTGCGTAGCTAAGACTGCACAGTGAAGTAGAAAATTTTTTTATTTATCGAAGTACAAAAACAATTGGTCAAAATCAAAAGTCAAAATCCATGTTGTCATTCGCCGTTGGCGTTGAAGAAGAATTTATCTTGCAACTCGAACTACAAAATTTTCACTGAAGTGCATTTAGAAATTTCGCTAAGAAAAATGCGCAATAAATCGAAATGCGAGGATAACAACGTTATAATAAGTTTAATCTATCGTGGCAAAGGGCGACGCAAAGAGAAGGTTCTTCCTGTTTGCTTTCAATAAAACAAGCAGTTCCTTTTTTTTTACCCAGAATGATTCAACTTCCCTGCTTGTCAATATTTTGCTGAATGCAGGCGATCAAACGCGCTAGGACGACCTGAAACAGCAAATTAAGCACATAACATGTTCTTGTCCGTTGGAAAGTTTGTTAAATTGGACTACAGTACATGATACTTAATAGTTTTCTTCTTACATCAAAATGATTAGTTTCTTCATTTTAATTATAAATATAATATATAATTAATTAATACATCAACTATACAAGTGTGTGGGATTGTTTTTCTTCTTGCCCAACCTTGTAATTTGATCTCACAAACGTTTCATGCATGCTTCACTGCAAACAAAAGCTTTTGGTTCTTGCTTGAAGTCAGTTGTTCCGTAAGTTTCCTTTTTCTATTTGTAAGCATCTGCTATCGGGTATAACTTGTACTTAAAATTATTTAATACTAAAATGTCTATATATAGTTCTCTGTTACTAAAGTAATTTATGTTTCACTGATACATCTCCTCATCCTCACCAAAACATTCATATCCGCGTCAAGTACATGTGTAGCGTGTCTAATTGTGAATTGATGACCAAGTTAATTTAGTGAGAGAAATAAGACAATAGATAATGAGTTGATAAGTAGTAATGAGCTACAGAATATCATTCAGTAACGAGGTAATAAACCTGATTTAGCTCCTAATTAGCTGTATATTGTTTAGAATGCATACAAGATTGAAATCTGGGGCTTCAATGACAATGTGTTTCATGAGTGCATCAGTAAAACATGCTTTAATATATATATCCTTACATTTGCATTACAAGTTCACGTGTTTCCAGAGGCTTCTTATATTTTAAAACTACAGGGTAGCCCAAAAAACCTGCAAACCTTTTGAAATTAGATATTTTGAGAATTTGATAAATTCTTCACCTATTAATCGTAGCACGTGATCAAAATTGTGCGTGAATATACAATCGTGGATGATAATAACATGTGTTTTTATTACTTCTTTTTGTTATTCTAATTCCAAAAATGATAAAAATTAAAACGTATTCTTAAATCTTTCGAGCGCAATACCGTTACATTGGTATTAACATGTAATCACAATAGATGTTTTTGAAATTATGTTATGTTTTCTTTCGCAGCATCATTAATTTCCATAATTATTTCAGTACACGTATTGTACATCTATAATTGTATGTCCAGGAAACCCGTAATGAAAGACAAAGTAACTGCAAACTGACAGGAAATGACGTTTTCGAGCTATAAATTTATAAGCATTTGATTGTATTGGTTGCATTCCAGAGTCACTCAGATTGTGAGGTTGTTAATGCCTTTTTAAAAAGAGTTTTCCCAAAGCCACTTCACGATACATAATACATTGTCATTCTTACTATTAACACTCCTCCAACTGCAATTTCTGAATTGCTTATTTTAGGGGATTATAAAAAGGTATCCTCTTAATATATATAATACATATAGATATAAATATTTTCCATTCACTTATTTTTTCGTCTGAAGCAAAATACTGATTCTTATTATGTGAAGGTTTTTATACATGATAAATCTTAAGTTCTGTTTTCGTCGTTGCTTTTGGAAATTGATTCTCAATGTTGTTTGACTGAAGCTATCATCCTTTGTTTATGTTAGGTTTTTTAAAGTATGTCTTTCTTCTTTCTTTGCATCCTACCATTTATAGAGCAATGTTTTATGAGCCCCGTTTACTACCACCCAGTTTTGGTAAACTAAGCGATTATAAAATTGAGTACGGGTGCCAATTTTAGCCGTGCCAATAAATTGAGCGTAGTGTAAACGGGGCTCTAATGAACGCAGTGAACTTATTTTAGCGCCTAACCGGCGTCATTGTTGCATCATTTATTGTCTTCAGAATGCACTTCCATCTGGCTTTGTTTAATCAATTTAGCTGTGAAGTCTATGGGTGGTCATCATCGCTCCCGAAATGTGTTTACGAATTAAAGGTCCTAAAGGCATTCCAACAAAATCTAATTAAAAACAATACGTAAGCGGACGTTTTGAAAAACAATGGGATTAGGTGTAAATAAATGAAACAAAACACTTCGATTATGTTTGCGCAGACTTCGCCAAACGCAGAGCCAATTTGAAATTCTTTCATAGTTCAAATTATATCAGAGAGAATATCTTCCACTACGTCCTTTATTATTCAGCATCGCGCTGATGATCTTTTTGTTGATTTTCAGTGTTCTTTATGTATGGGGGGGGGGGGTAAGATTCCAAATTATCTCCAATGTTGACCTGAAGTAAATCGATCTCAACTTGTGTGATAAAAATACATGATAAAAATACAGAAGAGTGAACTTTTTACCTTTCTCCATGAATTTGTCATACTGTATTAACTGCAAAATTTTTCTCGAACAATACTTTTTTGAGTCATACAAGGAGTCCGGTTTTTGGTATTTGTCCTGAAAATGATCTGGGAATAAGTTGTTCATGCAACTGTTCACACTATCGATGACCGTTTCAGCTTGAACCTTGAGAATGTAGATCATACAATAATATCATTCCTAATAAAAAGATTCCAAGTCCCTTTTCTTTTTTATTTGTTTAGAACCTTTTTTGCAAACAATCCAGGAATGGCCATGCCTCAAGATGGTAGGGAGAAAATTTTAAATGCTTTTCTTGCATGCATAGGCCGATTCCTAATAATTTAGCATACTATTTTTATACCAAATTGGTGATGTGTTGTAGCCATTAAATGTAATTCGCCTTGTATGTACTGTATTTTCTCTCCCCCCGTCTTGCGCTAGGCTTATGAATTGGTGAATTATTAGTTAGTTATTATTAACAGAGCGAAATATTATTTCGACTATATTGCTCCCTTTAGAGGAGGACGTTCTCTAGTCAGGAAAGAGCAACGGATTTTTACTTTGGTCAGTCCAACATCTGAACTCTGCACTGGTGCCCTCGCTCATAATTGCCCTCGCTCATGCACAACCAAATGCAGGGTCCAGATTTTGAACTAACCAAAGTTTAATTTAATACTCACGTTATTATTAACAGAGCGAAATATTATTTCGGCTATTGCTCCCTTTAGAGGAGGACGTTCTCTAGTCAGGCAAGAGCAAAGGATTTTCACTTTGGTCAGTCCAACATCTGAACTCTGCACTTGACTGGTTTGCTTCGATTGAGCAATGGTGCCATCACTCATAATTGCCCTCGCTCATGCACAACCAAATGCAGGGTCCAGATTTTGAACTAACCAAGGTTTAATTTAATACTCGCGTATGCATATGTGACCTGGACTCCCTCCTTTCTAGGACTTCCTGCCAGGTTTTTTGTTTTCACAATGTTTGAGAATGTTAAATACCGATCAAACAATGTTAACGAAGTCGAGGCTAGTGTTAACGTACAATATGTAGCAATTAAAAAAATCTGCGTTCACAATTCTCTCAACAACATTTTCAAATTTGAGTGGTTTAATCGGAAGTTTACCTGGAATACGCAATTCTGATTGGACACTATATTAGCCATGGTTTTATCATTACCCAGTTCCAAGTTAGGTAATTCTAATTATCGTTTGTGTATACGAGAATCCATAGTCATGGTATGTTATTTATATTTGTGTGCTGATGGGATAATATCTTTTGGATTTAAATTGGACTTTGAACTGGAGGATTCCCCTAAATTAGTTTTGAATGATCATCCTACAATGTCCCAGTATGCGGATATATGTTTGAAAATTGAGACCAGGCATTTAAAAAAAAGTCACCTTTTAACACATTTTTTGATAATAATAGACAATGAACGATTTAGTATTATCATATATTGACTGCTGATTGATAGGTCGGCCATTGTTTCGGATGGCTTATGTACAATTATGTATATTGACGTCACCGTTTTCGATTTTCCTTTAATTTAAGAGCTGGACTGGATATATCTAAGTATTAATACTGCGCGGCCATGCTGGAGTAAACACAAGGGTTCAACACTTTGATGGAATTTAAATGTCCTGACATAAACGATAGTAGCACCAATACCAACTTAGCTTACTACATGTCTTACTTTCCATTTGATTCAGATTTCATGCGACAGCCAGATGGTAACATGGAGGTGAGTAGCTAACAGAAAATTCTGTCAAATAAGCGATTTTATTTTTTTCAAATATTGATGTATAAAAAATGCTTCACAGGGCTTAGGACCTTTTCGTAAAGAATATTTCTTATTTCAACAGATAGATTAAAAGCAATTGTAGCTTATCTCGCAGTAGTATCACTCGGTTTTACGATAGCATTTGTGCAAACAAATTTCAAACAATGCTCTTGCAACATAAAGTCAAGGAGCTAAATTTTGATTTTCAAGCTGACGTTTATTTTCGTATCTGCTTGCCACGGCCGTATTTCAATTTATTTCGCTTAGTTTGCTGGTACATATATATTTAACACTATAGACAACATGCACAGACTTTAGCGTTATAGAGCTTGCGAATCTTTGATTTGAAGTTATATTTAGTTGCATGGTCAGCACCATTTGTCATTGTCGCTATGACAAATAAGTTTGAGAAAGAATTTACCTTGTTTGCTGTTTTAATATCAATAAATACGGAGAAAATGTTGGATTGGCTGGCTTGTGAACACCTCCTGTGAGCTTTGTAATTGCAGCTTAACAATAGGATCTGCACAGTGTGACTAATACTTTGCGTGTATGTATGCATGTCATGCGCTTACCAAAGTCTAATAGCTACGTTCTGTTACCTCATATTATAAGTTTGTCATCATTCTATATAACCAGCCGCTTTAGGTGCGTCCAAAATTTCGAATACATTCGAAATATCTCTTGTCAACAAGTTCATAATACATTTATAATATTTTCAGGAATGCTGTGACCCTCACCAATACCTTCCACCGACACCATCGTCACCACTGTCTTTTCCACCTGTATTGACATCTGGAATTTCCAACACACGCCATCAAATCAGTACCGCAGTAACATCCAGTGATAGCAGCTGTTCCAGACCTTATCAGGTGAGTAGACGAAGACTGAAAAAGACTCTTAAAAGTTGCAATGAATAGAACCACTGTCATAAAGGTTCACATCTTGATGTTTGGCCATCAGGCGTTCCGATCGGTTTTAAAGGGAGTCTTTGAAAAAGAAACATCTCATAGGGATTGCCGTGTATATTTTATTTTACAAAAATAGTTTGACTATAAGTTTCTTATACGCAGGCACCTGGCACCCTTAACACACATATTGTCATGCAGTAGCCAATGTGAATTTTATTTTTTGATTGAGGGACACAACTTCAATGGCTTCATTGTCTGCGTGTTTAGGTTATCTACCGTGGACAGTAGTTGTCTTTAGTGTGTACATTGTACATATTTCATTATTTCTCACATATATTTTTTTGCTATACACAAATATCAATATATGCGGCGATATATTAAATGCAGGGGCAATGGTTCATCTGGTCTCGGGTTGCATGGAGCCTATATCGGGATGAACTGTGACCAATGTAACATATACTCGGTGGCCTGTTTTCTTCGTAAGTGCATAAATTCGTTAGGAAACTTCAAAGCAGGAAATTAAATGATACGTCAATCGCAGTTACGTTATATGGGGGTGGTTTAGCTACAGCCAAGTATTTGATGACATATAATGTCGTACTAAATAAAATTTTGTTTGTGCTGTTTTTGTCATAAACTCAAGATGCACACCCCACTACCATTACGAGTTCAATACTCAATGATCATTACAACAAAATTTCTTTGTCGCTAACAATTTGTGGCTTTGAAATACAGTATTTTAAAAAGCTTCATGCATCCTCTCAGTTTAAATCATATAACTGATGCAATGCAAATAATACTCAATGAAAAGAGACGTTAGAATTTAGTTAGAGAATTTTGATTAATTTAGTATGATTCCATTTTATATTTAGTAACTTCACAGCTCAACTTACCATTGTCTAATGATTTACGTAATCTTTGATTCTGATTGACAACAGATCTAGAGAGCACGTCCGATATTTAGCGTTGAATATAAGAAAAGCACAATGTTGATCCTGTAAAACATTTTCTTCCAAGGCTTGCAGGATAGTGCTTATGATTACGGCATTTATTTTTCTATCTTAACCTATAAGTTTTTTATAGTCACGTGCTATCGGAAATTTCGACAATTGATACTGTGTTTACTGTTTATCAATACTGTGTATCAATTCGTACTTACTTGCACGCACTTATTCGCATGCTCCAATTCTTTATATTAGGGAAATATATATGAAGCGTGTATAAAGATTCGAAACAGCAACTCGCAAAATAATACTGTAATATCAAGATGGCGACCTATCTTTTGTAAATCTATTGTACTTTGAACATTAGGCTTTTTGCGCACTAAGGCTATTTGTTGTATTCATTCTTGCACACCACTGAAGTATTACTGAAAATATTAACTTTCAGCAATCCCCATACCGCGACAATCAAGTTAGCTCTTCATTTCCGATGAACACGAATGGCTTCTACCAACGAGCTCAACTGCCCACTGTTCCCACGTCAAAACAATTCTCTGGTGACTTCAATTTTGAGATTTCATTTGGCCCACCAACCGAATCAGCTCCAAAATCCGCGACCTGGACGTATTCACCAAAAACATCAAAATTGTACACCAACATCGGCTCTTACTGCCCATTCCAGTTCAAAACAAATGGCAAATCGATGAGTCCGGCATTCATCAGAGCCGTCGCTATGTTCAAAGGATCGAGCAATCTTCATGATATTGTTAAGATGTGTGCCAATCATGCCGAAAACAATACCGATGGTTAGTTGTTCTTTGTAAGATACAAAGAATGTTAAATGTATATATAAAAGAGACTAAATTGTGACACACTTGCTTTGAAAATTTTGAAACTCTGAAACCACATGCATCTACTTATCTCTTCACTGAAACTTTCTATCATAGTTTTGGTGAACGAATTTTTTTTTCTCATTTAGATTCACAGATGCGCAACAATTTCTTCATTCGAAGCAACAATGCAAATGCGGTGTATCTTGAATGCCCTCAGACTGGAAGACATTCTGTACTGGTCCCATACAGTGGGCCACAAGGTCAGGGGAATATTTAACTTATTTCTATTATTACAAATTATTTCACTGTGATACAGCATTGCCAATGGCCAGACGTATTGCAAATTGTTTATTGCAAATCCTTTTCTTAGTACAAAGCTACCACTTTGTATGCTTACCCACCAACAGTTCAAGACCATGATACAACATTATACCAATGGCCGGAAATATAGCAAATTGGGAAAACTGAGTGTTTACTTGGGTGATGTCACCCTTTGTGAAACCGAATGCGTTTTTAATTCATTTTTATTTTTTATTTTTACTTCGTTGTCACCCAGTGCTCTGATTCACACATACTTATCCTGGAATTTAAGTGTTTTTCCTTAAATTGGTGGTCATTTTGTTATTGTTGATTGTTTAGCTGGCACAAACTTCGTGACGGAGATGTTCGCATTTAAATGCTTCAGTTCCTGTGCTTCTGGTCATGGGAGAAAACCAATTGAAATTATCTTCACGTTAGAAGACGCTGAAACGTAAGGAATCTTAAACTTTCATTAGTATAATATAGGTCATATGATCTTAACTATATATCAGAAGAACTTGGAGGATAGCATCAAGCCATTCCATTGCCTAAATGACGTTTATATTGTATAACTGATTATTTTATGGAGGATATACTCTGCCCCATCTTTTTAAACAGTAGATTTGCGAAAATCTAGAAAAGTTGAGAAATATGACAAAAAATGTGTTTCCTTTCAATTATTCATCAATGCATTTCGTCACCCTCTTGTGTCGGCTTTTTATTGGAATGGAATTTTTGTCCAATATAATAATTGAATTGTTTTCCAATACAATAATAATAACAATGTCTTTCCATGATCCACTGCACGTATTTCGCGAGCACTGTTGTTCTCATATAGTATCGTTAAAGAGAAATTCAGTTGGTAAAAAAAACGGGTGTTTGATATGTTACCGTCGGTTGATATTTCATAACCCCAGCTGTTTTATTGTTTGCCTCTAGCGGTAACATTCTTGGTCGATGTGTTGTCGAGATACGTGTTTGCGCATGCCCCGGAAGAGATCGTCGCTCAGACGAAGTGAACCTGGACCGAGTGATTGCCTCGAATAACAGCAACAAACGAGGTATACGCCATAATAATGCAATTGCAGAGAAAACTTTGTAAAAATCATTTACGGGACCACGCAGGGTGGAAATAACAAGTTGACATATTTTATTAATATACTTTAGCCTTTACCCTCTCAAAACACCATGTCATCAACAATGAATAGCGAATATTGTCAATAATTAATTGATGTGGGTTTTTTATGGCTTTCTTCATCTGTTATTCTCCGTTGATTAGCATCCAAACAAAAGAGTTACAATCGTAAGAAGTTAAAGAAAGCATCCCACGAAGAATACACGATAACCGTAAGTTTTGAACAATTAAAAATTATCTTTGTATTTAAGTACGTGTAGTAAAACTTCTATTTGGCCTCTTGCCGTTCATAGACAACGAGCAAAGAAGTACATGACCTTCTTGTAACGATTAAGATTGCTCTGGAAAATAAACTTTCTTACAAAAGGTATGTTTGTTTTAATGCCTTTAATCTTCATGCATACTAGTTACCTTATTGGTTTTTGTTTTACTATTCTACACACTATCTTCGATTTGGGATTCTGTTATTTCACCTCTTTTAATCCGCCATTCGTTTTAAAAAGGAAACTAGAGGTCATTTTCTCGTTTGTAATAGATTTGTCTTGGACGATTGCAGCTTAATTTTCAGTTCGGTATATGAATGGTGAATAATACATGAATATATAGCTAACCCCCCGCCGATGATGCGGCCCTTGAGACGTTGCCATTGTATTTCCTAAGAACACTTCGCCGTTTATCTCAGTATAAGTGAGGAGGTTTAATTGAAGAGGTTCGACTGAGGAGGTGTTGTAAGTCTTTTCATCAAAAGACAAAACGCCTAGCTGGCATGTAAAATGACGCGCGCTCCTCATACGAAAAATGAAATTCTACGCTCATTAACTCGGTCATTTCAACCACCACCACCTCCCTCCCCCCCCCCTATCTCTTGGTGTTTTGAACTTTGTTGTTTGGAAAGATTAAGGCGAAATACGTTTATTTGGGAATTTTCTTTGTTGATGTTAGTCCAACACCAAAAACAATCACCGGTGAAAATATCGTCATTATTTAGTGTGGATTATAGAGTGTGGAAAATCGGATTAACCTGTATTATGTTTGGAGAAACACGTTCCAGCATGCCTTTTCAATGACAATGCTTCTCGACATTAATAAACAAAATTGCAATGGTACAAGTGCGATAAGAGTATTAACATGATTGGCGAAAATATTGTATTGGGCATATTAAATGATAAAATGTAACAATTATCGATATCGAAGTGTAATTAAGATTTAAAATCGGACACTAGGGATTAGCCAAATAGCGTTTTCTAAGTAAATAAAATGCACGACTGCGCGTCACAAACGTAATCCTTGTTTGGAAATATAAAATAGAGCATATTGCATGTGGACATATACGTAAATTAATTATATTATTATTATTATTATAAGGTATTTAGACGACCTCGGCAATATTAATAAACACTGATGTCACTAAAAGTCTGCAGTTTGTAGTCGGTTAGTGTGAGTTATTTCTGTCTGTCATTTTTAGTGAATTTGATGCAGTTGCAGAGGAAGAGAACTCGTCAGCAAAAAGAGTGCAACCATTAGGTGCCTCAACAAGCCATGAAGCAAGCATTGAAAATAAGCAAACAGGTTACACGTCCTGCATCTAAAACAGGTTTTTCCCATTTTGTAAGGGTAAAAAAGAGTTGAAGGGTAATGAGGTGTTTTCAAGATGGTTTAAAAATGCTTTTTGGTCATAAGCGTTAATACTAGCAGTTTATTTCATTTTTCGCTTTTGTTGTGTAGAAGTAATGTGTATTTGTTATAGTCCTTTATTCTGAGGCTACTGGGGTCAAATTATTGTGATTGTTCAAATTGTTGTTTTTACCCAAAATCTTTATTGTAAGTTATTGATTAACGGATTTTAGCAGACTTTATTCGGTGGCGGGACGAGGGCTGTTTGATTAGCGATTAGAGAAAAATAAGGTATCATAATTACTTGGGTTTTAATCTCCGCTAGATAAAGTCGTTTATAATTTGGGTTCTTATAGAAAAGTATGTTGTGTTGTCATGGGCACGCTATTTGGTACACGTGATTAGGTCAATCCTTGATTGATCGTAAACAGTTCCTATAAGGAAAGTAGCAAAACGAAGCGTTTCGCTACCAAAATAGCGTTTCTCATACGTACCATGTTTTTATCTGTTGTTAATAGTAAATTGTAAATGTGTTTCTAAACAGTGGCTTACGGTTAATTCGTGTGGTTTGTGCGGGAGAAAATGCTTGGCGCAATTGTACGATGTATGGAGATTAATTTTCTCTCGCATAAACTTCAAAACAGGAACGAAATAATGGTCTCATGACGTCATCTCTGTTGAACATTTGTCAAAAGAGACATTAATCGATAGAACAGCAACACTGTAGGGGAGCATCGCGGCTCTCTGTATTATAGTTTTTACCGTCAGCAATATCAAATCTAAATATCCAAAAATTTTAAACTTTATATCAATATCCAAAAATTTTAAACCGTTTATATCTTTCAATTATTTCAAAATCTTAACAAATCGGTATTAAAATGTACATGATGTCATTATTTCAGTTCATCAGACGTCATTGAATTTAATGTTTGGTCGAGACCGCAAGTATGACAGAGTCACTGACCTGTATATATTAGTATATATAGGTCAGTGAGCAGAGTCAACCAGCAATATGGTTTATACGTCATGTTGTTTAAGTAACAACGCGTTAGCTAATACTGCATTATTCTGTCATTTGCTGGTTTTACGCAAACTTTAAACTCAGCGTCCCTTGTTGATTCGTGGTGAAGAGGGATTTTTCATACAAGAGAGACTCATATTTTGCATAATTCATCGTATCTGCACCTTACATCCACGTAGTCTTCGTCTTATAAACTGCTCTCACTCTAAAATTAATCACAACCTCGGTGTATGAAATATCTCTCTTCCCCAGGTTCCATGTCATACACGTGTTTGATCAGCCTGTAAGGTTGTCACAATCTGAGAAAGTACGGAAATTCGTTAGGAGGGTTTTAGAATACAAGGGAGGTATTTATTATATGCCTTGAATTTAACCTGGCAATCTTTCTGATAACTGGGTTGGAATAACTTTCAGAAAATCAAACACGTTTATGACAAAATATGTGATTGCCCCGTAAAAGTGGCATTAATGAAATAATACCCCAGGAGGCTGAGATTTGGGAGTGTATACTGAGGCAAACTTCGTACAGCACCAACTTTGTATTAATTTATTGTCACTCTCATTCATGTTCTAAACATCTCTATGCATTACAAGGTACATTCATTTGTACATTTCAACACTCCCTTGTTTCATCTCCTGGGGTATTGCTTTCGAGTCTGGTTTTCATGTGTCGTAATTCATCGGTGTTGTATTGCGGCCGATTTCCCAATGATCGTTGAGGCTGAACATGCTTTCCGACAACAAAAAGCACTTTATGTATCAGCAAAAACCAACAGTGGACTTCGCCAATGAATATAGACATGAAAACCAGTCTTTATGGAAATTGTATGAGGTTCATGGCTATATTAACCCGTGGCAGATATAGTCCAAAATCAGTCAAACTTCTTATTAAGATATTAATATTTCTTTCGAAAGAGATATTATTCTGTGGCAATCTGGTAAAAATGCATTCAAGCCTAATACAAATTTTCTTTTTCACTATAAAACATAATATTCCGTAATGAAATTTTAAAAAGTCAACTACTATATGAAATATCACAACTCCATCTGGCACGGGTTAATAGTTTTGTTCCTTTTTGCGATTTCTGTATTTGATTCTATTCAATTATTTTGAATAATAAATTTAAATGTAAGATTACCCTTGATTATCTAGGCTATCTTAATCTTAATCATACGTTAATTTGTATGTGATTATATGTACTCTATTGAGTACGCTTTAACCATATTGGTTACCTTTGATCTAATAAAGATTATATTTGTGTCATATCTCGTGTTCTACTTTGGCTTCCCTCAGTTTTGTGGATTGAAAATGTTTGACTTGTGGGTATGTGTGTATGTGTGCACTGACAATTTATAAATACAAAAAAGACAAATAATTTGACTATAATTTGATAACGGTAAAATCAACTTGAGTTCACATTACAAGCTTAATAAATCACCTTCTTGCAAACTTTTCAAAACAAAACAATTTTAAATAATAGAAACTGGCATTTTCGATTTCAGCCCAACTATATGCTACAAAGTATTCACATGTTAATAAGTATATATATAACGCTCAGTTCAGTCATCTTTCTGTTCCTCTCTCTCTAAATTTGAAAGTTTTTCCTCATGTTCTTGTATTAAAACGTTTAATTCCTCAACTTCTTTCTGCATATCTTCCAGTTTTGGTGAATGAACTTTTCTAACAGTTTCACTACAAGCAGCTCGGGTTTTAGTTGCAGATGAAGTATGCTCTGGGTATGCTTTGAGATTGCTATTCGTCTTCCTGCGTCTATGCTTGTGTTCATGTCTATGTTTATGCTTGTGTTTATGTATGTGCCGGTGTACAAAATCTTTACTCTCTTTGTTCATTTTTTGGGTAGGTAACTCTTCTCTAAACGCACCGCTGTCCCCTCGTACGGCTCTAGTCTTGCACAGAATTTCATGCGTTGTGGAAACTTGATCCTCTTGACTTGAATGGCCAAGCCCAAAACTTTTACTTTGTAGAATATATCTTTCATTATCCTGTGAATGTTCCGGGGTGGGATTTCGTCGTTCTTTACTAATTCTATCAGGACTTTCGGTAGAGTCAGTAATCACGATAACTTCGGGTCCTACAACGCGCCAAGGAGATTCACCGCTTTGCATGGGGCTATCGCACACACGCGCAGACTGCTGTTCACCTGCAGGAGTGTCATTCCACGGGCATCGAGAGAATGAAGAGCTTTGTGGGGCTGTTCGGCCTGAAGAATCTAGAAAAGTGAACTTACGTTACGCATGCATGCATTTAAAAATTCCTCGCTGCCAGCGGAATGGTGAAATAAAAAACAGACTTCAGACACTTCTTGAGTGAGCTTATACAGGAATGCGGTTTCAATATCAACAATAACTGATTCAGTGAAGAGCACAGCAAATGTTAAGTGAAATAATTTAATCATGATGATGAATGACTGTACCTAATTCATTCACCTCGTTCACATTGTCTCGACCATGAGGGTTTTCAGCGCGGGAACCTTCCTCTGGCCACGGATAAACAACAAAATCGTCATACGCGACAATGTCGAATGGAGCTTTTGCAAACGATAAAAGTTCGTGAACAAAGTGATCCGTTGTTTCAAGAAGAAATGGCTTCAGCTCTTCCACAAGCAATGGACTGTCCATATCGATCCTGTGCAAGATCGAAGAAAAAACACTTTATATATACATAGGCAGTTTTAAAGCTTGATGTATTGAACCATCAATACTGAATTCGACTATAATTGGCGGATGACGAAGATGAAGATTACCTTGTTATCAAGGAAAGAATGAATTCCACCAGGAAGTTGACTTCTTTTTCATTGTCTCCCAGCAAAACTCTCAAATCTCTTGCAAGCCAAGGAATAAGCCGGTGGGTACATCCTTGATACGTTTTAAAAAACTGGCAAGCTGAAACAAAAAGTAATGATGAATATTTGTCGTTGTCTTCGTACTCTATATGAATCCAGCACAAGGGCCACACTAGTTGTTTGATATATTTACAGATTTCTCGGCTCCGTCGTACGCCAGTGGATGTTGCTCGTAACTTGAAAGCATACACTTGCCTAAAATCAATGCCAATGGTAAGATCTTATCTATGTTTACTACAGAGCAATGTTTACAAGTATAGATATATACACGAGAATGTAGATTAACTGACATTAATTTTCACAGTTAAGACATTTTCAAAATAATTGTGGGGAGGGACAGCTCCTGCTCAGATATTAGGAGAGAGGAATGATGCTAAATTCAATGTACGAGGTTTGATTTAATATAAATGATAGATTACTTTCACAAACATCAGGGGAGCCAACCGGTATGCATATAATATTGAGGGTGATTAGTGACAGCGCATGTGCTTGGTCTAGTTATCGTCTCAGCAATTCTTGCTGTTTGCACGATCGCATCACATTGACATTGTGTAATTATATGAACATCAGTAAAATGACCTTACTTCTGGCCTATAATCATGCAGTAATTGTGAATCAGTCTGATAAATTAGCGGTAACTTAGTTATCCAAAGCAAGCAAACATTCATTTTTTTGTTACACCAGACCTTCTTTTTTCAATTCCTCTTATTCTTGTTGTGGATTGTCTTGAGCGTGATCTTCGTCTTAGTCTTGCTCTCGCTTCACGCGCCCTAACCCGTCTTTCCGAATTTTGTGCACGGAATCGAGCATTGCCATTTCCACTGTTACTCCTCAAAGATCTGGTCGTCCGGTACCGAAATCTGAGATTGAGAATCAAATAATCGTTAAACTTAGACATGCGCAATAACTGACTGCAGTGACATCGAGAATAAATAAGGTGAATAGACTCTTGTACATTCTTGCAATGCACAAACCATATACCTGTGCATACATATAATTACCGTTATAGCATCGCATGTTAAGAAACGCGGGAAATAGTAAGAATTAGAGTATAGTACAATACCTCTCACCATGTTCATTAAATCCATGTTCATCATAAGACTGGAAGCTTTCATTACTTGTTTCATTACTTTCATTACAAGTTTGTTGATTTCCCTTCTTTTTCTCAACAATATACTAAAGCAGATATTTTTGTGTAGACTCGTCAATATCATGTTTGTCATGCATGCTGATTTATTTTTGAAAAAACTGTTTTCATTCTTTTTGTACGAGTTGCCACCGCTAATTTTGTTCTTACTTACGCCTACGGAGTCAAGGTTGATCCATGCATGTGTTTAATAATATATTTCTATTACATTTTATTAACATGTTTTTATTTTTATACAAATATGAAAATGTGAATGGGAAGGATTGAAATGCTGAAAAAGGCTTCCTAGTAATCAGTTTTTTGTTCGTTTAGTTTTCTATGGTTTCAGGAGTTTTCTGGGTCTCCAAAATTTTTGGAACTCCATGAATTCTAGGAATGTCTCAGAGAAACTTGTCTCAAAGAATCGAATAATTTTTTTGAACAATTCTAGCAACTACCATGTTTAACTCACAAATGTATGCTACTCCAAGGTTGAGCACCACTTCATTGATACAAAGCTAATGTTTTGTATACATACATACCTGCTCATAATCTTGCATCGACTTGACATTGTGAATAACAGAGGCAAATCCTGTCTTACACAATGGACAGGTTTGAGCAACCTCGCACCATTGTAAGATACAAGAGAAGCAAAATGCATGTGTTCATGTTAAGGATATCTATAAATGCACTGCAGTATTCATTGGTCCATTAATCTAGTGAATACATAGTAAACAATGTAAGATTTGGAAAGCACAGGTAGTCAAGTGGTTAAGAGGTATGTCTTACATGCATAATGCTGTGGTTCAAGACCTTGCTGGGCTTTCATTTATTTTCCTTTTTTTGTAATCGCAAAAAAATAATCTCTGTACTTATTTGTTGGTCAGGTTTATTTTTAGTGCATTTATCTTTGACATTAACAAATAACACAATATTGTTGAAGCACATATGAAAAACCATTGATTGCATGGCCAATTGTCTGGCCTAAGGATTACTATTAAATTTACCATGAATATAGTGGTGTGTTAAAACGACTAATAGTTATATTGGTTTAACCATATGAAAATTGCTTGTAGGTAGGCAATTAAAAAGATATGAAAACATTGGTCAAGAAATGATCTGTCTTCAAATGAACTCAGACAAATTGGACATGACTCTTTTTCTTGTGTTTGTGGTGCTGCCCTCTCAGGTTCGTTTTCCTCTTTGTTGTCACTGCTATAGTTTTCATCCTCATGTTGTCCCATGAGTACTAGATTCGTATTCTTTTCATTGTCGTCTGGAGGAGAACTGTCTGTATTATAACTGTATTTAATAGAAGGCAAATCACTCCAGTCACAATCTTCCATTCCTCAATTCTTGATCATCAAGATCTTTATTATTAATGGCCATATATAACAATTTTTTTGCGAATAATTCAAATAATGGATAAAACCATCGGCCAACCAAATCGAAGTATCGAACTTCACTTTTTGCGTAAAACGTCATGTAATATGCACTAAAATCACTAAAAGGCGCTCATTTACCAAAATACGACGATGTTTCTCGACGAAGAGCTAAGACGAAAATAAAATAAATGTGCAAATAAATATGTTATCCTATAGATAAATCACAGAACAAAATTATTTTAGCCTAATTCCGCCGCATAGTTCAGTATAAAAGTCGTCCGAACGTGAAAAAAATGTTGTGCTATGAAGTGCGAAAAAAATATTCTGAACTGAAAAAATGTTGTGTGCTAAAAATTTATAGTACTTGTAGCAATATGGTAGTGAATTGAACTTTGTCAACCACTTTGTCATATATCTAGGAAATAATAAACAAAACGTTTTAATCGCAAAATATTTTTTTATTATCAGAATTCGTCAATTCGGTCTGTAATTGTCAATTGTAATGCCTTAATTGAAACTTTTATACACTTAACGGTTTAATAGCTCTAAAATCGTAAGGTTAACTGTGTTTTTAGAGGGGGGGAGCTTTGGAGCACTCCCTCCAGGAATTGTAGTATAGCTCAGGGGGGGGGGGGGCAGCCGGCAAATTTCCTATAACTATAACTTGGGCCGCGGCGCTGCCAGTGTCACAGGAAGTAGAGCAATGGCGTCTTTTCTGGTTTCATCAGTCTTGATAACGGGAGGCAATCGAGGCCTTGGTCTGAACTTGATTAAGCAAATGTTGAATTCGTCTGGTGTTCCTAAACATATCATTGCAACATGCAGGTCATTGAAAGCTGAAAACGCACAAGAGATACGAAGATTGGCCGAGAAACATTCCAATATTCATGTTCTCGAATTTGATATGACCGACGTTTCTGAGCCTCGTTTGACCGAACTGGTGAAACAAGTATCAGATATTGTTCAGGAATCTGGATTAAATCTGCTTATAAATAATGCTGGGATGCATGTTAAGCCTGAAAGTTTTGAGAATGTGAGCCCTGCCTCAATGCAGAAGACGTTTGATGTGAATACAATCGCACCAACTATGTTAACCCAAGCTCTGCGACCATTGCTGAAGCGTGCAGCGGAAGCAAATGGACAGTCTGGTGAACAAACAAGTGCAGCAGTCATCAACATATCTTCGGTGATGGGATCTATACATAATTTGAATAACGCAAACAGCTTGTCATATAAAGTGTCAAAAGCTGCATTGAATGCTGTCACAAAAACTGTTGGCAGTGATCTTGCTGGCGATGGTATTACAGTTGTTTCATTGCACCCAGGATGGGTGAAAACCGATATGGGAGGTCCTAATGCACATCTTACTGTTGAAGAATCAGTTAGTTGTATCATCAAGTTTGCCTATTCCCTGAAAAAGTCCCACAATGCTCAGTTCTTTAATTATGATGGAACAACCTTGCCATGGTGAGACTATATTAGATAATTAATGCAGTTGTAGTTAAAATGTAGTTAAAAAACATTTTTGACAATCAAATATGTAACCAAAATGTTCAAAATATGAAACTTTTTTGCAGTCTTCATGTAATCAAAGTGTGCATTTTTGTTGATTTCAATCACAAAATTTATCAGACGCAAGAGCATGCAGCGACCTTATCAGTAATAAGGTTTTGTGATATGTAGTTCCTTGAATTCAGTTCCTTGAGTTTAGTATGATGAAACAATATACTAGTTCTCAGTGGTTGAAAAGGTGTAGTCAAGCAAGCAACAGGTCCATTTACGAAAAAGTAAATTTTGTGTTAAATATTTGAAAATGTGACTTCTCCTCTCATGCTGACCAGAAGAACAGATCAGTTCATATGTCTAGGAAAGTGCTTTCAAACAGATAATTTTTTCCCATTTAAAAGGATTATATTTCTTTAAAGGGATAATATTAGTAAAAGGATAATATTATCTGGGATTTTTTTGAGAAACATAAATTTATTATAATTTTTGTAATTTTGTTGTTATTACTGGTATTTTCTATTACCAGTATCGAAACAATCAACAATTTGAAGATCAACAATTTGAAGTCAGTCTTTTTGTCAATGAACTTGAATCACCTGCTAATGTCTCTTTTACATCAACTATCAACATGTGGTTTTGTGCAAAAAAAGATTGTCTGTGACATGAAATGTTTCAAAAATGACATGCCAGTTATAGAACCTCATGCAGTTTCATGGAGCAGAATTATGAATTTAAATAACATTGGCAATTTGAAATACATTCAGAATACAAATTCCTGAACTACTTACAAGGATCTATGACACCTATGCGACGTATAACCTAGGCCCCCGGTTTTCCACTAGCGATATTTTTCGCGCGAAGCGACTTTATTCTTTTGTATTTGAGCAATTTGTTCCAGATGGTTGCAGTTGAGAGTTGTGAAACAAAAGTGAAATATCGCTTTGCGCGAAAATCATCGCTAGTGGAAAACCGGCCTTATAGTTCACTGGGTTATTCCGCGGTTATTCCATTGCGCCCCACTGGGTAACTCTAGCGCGCACCTGGACCGGAAGTAGCATGTGACGTCACAGACATGACCACTACATATAACCCATCTTGACAGCATGCTGCAAAAGTGGGTGACATTCGAATTCGGTGTTTATATATATTCTACATTTTGTTTTGGACATATAGGAGCTCGCCTTTGGTAAGTGGTGTGTACTAAAAGTTTGTTTTTTGAAGCACTTAACTACAAATAATTTTAGCGGGCTTTGTTGCTTTACGTACTTTTCGTAAGTGTATACAGTATACAGGAATTTTGAGATTGAATTAATCAAATTTTCTTGTGGCTTTCTATCTTCTATATTAAGTGCAATCTATAGTTACCTTTATGTTTCAAACTGCGCTTTTAATTACATTACAGCAACATTTTGTAAGTTCTCTTCAGGTAATTCTACGTCGCATATAACTGTGCATATAGGCAGCAATTTCCTTAAAGTTATTTGTACACGTTGTTACAGACCGGTACAGAATGACTTGCTATATTCTCCACTTGAGAATGCAATTAATGAAATAAGTACCTACATATGGCTGTGTTTTTATGCAATATAACTAAAATATATTTACTGTTAAAACATATTCTCTAACAGTGCATGCACTATTCTACTACTGTGCAACACTGTTTTTTCTAATTTTATTGCCTGAATACATTTAATCATGCTTATACGTTTTCCCAACTGGTATTATGGTTTCAGGTTCACAAATATCATTTGGTAACATGCGCTATCTTAACAATACAACATTATTCCACTACGGCTAGCCCACCATATGTAACTTTAATGATGGAGCTTTGATCAATGCTAAACAGCCAATAATAATACACTAAGGTGCCATCCCTATATTGTTCCTAGTTAAATCCTATAGTCTGGTGCACATTGAGAGGCTAAGCCGGTCAATATTTTAATCCAGGTTTGTTAGGGGTAACCTGGATTAAAGCTCACATATGTGGCTGCACCCTGGTTGGCATCAAGTGAAAAAATATGCAAATAAAAAGCCACTACATCTTTGCAAATGTTTTTTTGAGAATCTTTAGTATGTCTACCTTTTAGCCAGTCAATATTTTGATCCAGGTTTGTTAGGGGTAACTTGGATTAAAGCTCACATATGTGACTGCACCCTGTTTGACATCAAGTGAAAAAATATGCAAATAAAAACCCACTATATTTTTGCAAATGTTTTTGTGAGAATCTTTAGTATATCTGCCTCTTTTTATAGTAAGCTGTTAATTTATCAGATTGTGAATTATTTCCTGAGCAGGGACATTTTTCTGCTCTGCACCTGTGGTAACCAATTTACCTACCTGCCACCTCTTGATGCTGCAGCTTTTTTTACCGCTTTAATTTCAGTGCTGTCATTGGCAATGTTGCCTCGTGTTACCATGGTTGATATGGGGAACAATAATCTACCTTCACTTCATGTGGTTCGCATTCCATCTTGGGGCGTCTATGATTATGACACGAGTTATGCTGCCAATCAAGGTGGTAATGTAATATTGGGATATTTCATTTTTGCCGCCCTTGTAGCCGACTTTGTCCTTTGCTATCACCTCACCCAAGGATGGTAATGGATCCTTGTAGTATAATCAAGCATGGTAAAAACCATGCTTTTTTATGACATGTCGATAAAAAATGTTGTTCTTTCAAATTAAGCCATAACAATGTTGGAAAGCTTAATGCATCCTATTGCAAAAGCTGGGGTTGGCTATGGTTTATGTGTTTAAATTATTTTTTCGCTGCGAAAAGCAATGACAATGTCTCGACCTTTTTGCTTGCAGAAAATTTTGCTTTATTAAAATTTACAAGGTTCCACCAGAGGGTTCCACCAGAGGGTTCCACTGAAAAGCCAGTGGTACCCCAAATTCCGATGTATGTCAAGAGCAGGCTATGTCTGTCTTTTTCCACGCAGAATATCAGCCCGAGGATGCAGCTAATAATTTTAAAGAGTTGGCAAGAAGAAATGGAATAAAAGTGTCGCGTCCTCCTCAACAAGCGAACGATACACATGGCGCAATTGCAAGTAGGTGATAGTTATACCATGCATTTATTCATATTGTGCACGTTATGCTTCTTGCTCAGACAAGATTTAAAACTCTTTCGAAAAATATATACATGTACATAAATCTCGTTACGTATATAGATACGTCATGACTTAAAGGCGCGTAAATTATGCATCGGATTATATGTGTATGATATGTGAGAAAATGTTTTGTACTACTTGTACATTGACCTGTCAGGAAGTCCCTCAAAATCTCATAAGAACGATAACGAACTGGAAGTACGTTTCTTCTCCGCTGCATACGCGTCTATACTTGAAACTCAACAAACCAGTTTCAGGTACACTTCAGGTGCATTTTCACTCGGCCTGCTTAACCAAAATGCAGCATATAATTCTTTTGACCATCCTGTACTCTTTCACGTTTCAGACCTGTCACCAGCAGCTACGGAGTTTGTCCCAAAATACAGTGCCCCTGAAAAGTTAGCAAAAAATGTTCAACCCAAAATACTCCCAGTCTCCTGTTCTTCAACAAAGAACGACCAACCCACGACACTCCCAGTCCCTTCCGCTTTCACTGGCAATCTTCAACCCACAGCACTCCCAGTCCCTTCCTCTTTGACTGGCAATCTTCAACACACGACACTCCCAGTCCCTTCCTCTTTGACTAGCAATCTTCAACCCACGACACCCCCAGTCTCTTCCTCATTACCGTGCAATCTTCAACCCACGACACCCCTAGTCTCTTTTTCTTCAACTGATAACACTCAACCCACAACTATCCTAGTCCCTTCCTCTTTAACTGACAAAGTTCAACCCGCGACCATCCCATCAGTCTCTTCGACTGACAACGTTCAACCCACAACTCCTCCCTTTTCATCTCATAACGTTCAACGTGCGACTCTCTCCGTACCTTCTTCGTCACATGCGGAAGCTACTTCTCCAATGAATCATGAAGATAAAAAGTTACTTGGGATGTTCGAAAATGTTTTAAAAGAGAAGAAAGAGCAATCCAAGATATTGCAAAAGTACATTAAAGATATGGAAGAGAGTAAAACAACAATCACCTTTTTGACCGCGACAAAAACGGCTTTAGAAAAGGAATTTCAGGTAATTTTATATTTCTGCATGCATTTCTGTGTGGTAATTCTATATCTATGGTGGGTGAATGTGGGTGAATCTAAACGTTTTGCTTTTTTGCTCATTTTTAGAGACTTACCGAAGAGGTGGCAAAACTTAATGAGAGAAATTCAATGTATGTTAATTTAGAAAGTTGGGAGGGTACTGTGTGTTTTTGAGTTTTATATAATTATCCAGGCTATTTTTTCAAACGGGATTGTTAGGCTTAGTGATGAAGTGGAAGCTCTAACGGAGAGACTAATGGAATCGGAAGAAATGAAAAAAAGGTCTGATCGTTGATTATTTAAAGTGGAAGTCATATCCGTAGTTCCGTACTTATATAAGAAAAACGCGTTGAAAAATCTTATCAAAGGAAAAACTCAATGCAATCCCCATGCAATCCCAAAAGCTTCTGTAAGGAGCACGTACAGCCGTGGACGGAGAAATTTTGCCGCATCTCTTGGTGGAATCTAGGATGTCCACTTATAAAAATATGTAGCTATCTCAAAATCTTAGGGCAGGATTGCTTGTTAGCTACAGCTTTTTGTTTTACGAGATGGGGTCTTTGGAATAGCCACATAAAAATACCGATCAAATTATTAAACATTGCTTTGTCACGATGAAAGATTCATAATAATTTGACTTTGTTCAGGTTGAAATCTCAGGTTGGAACGCTCACAAGTAAACTGCAACGAAGGGAAAATGACCACGAAAGGTAATAATATTTTCAGATTGTTTTAAAGATATAGGATAGAAGAAAAAAACGATGCCTTCACATTATCGTCCTTAATGGTTTTTTCCGGTTTTTCTTGGAATTTTCTTTGATACACATCAGTCAACGTTTATATTTTCAGTGAAAGGACATTAACAAGCTCATTAGTTGACAATCTTAAGCAAGCTGAAATGGAGAAAGAAAGGTAAAGTGCTTGATATGCATAACGTTTAAAGGGACTCTAAACAAGCAAAAGGTTGTCACGCAAGGGTTTTTATTTCCTCTTCGCAAACTTAACTTCCTGCTTTTGAGATATTAGGTATTTGTATATACCGAGGTCAAAGTAGCTCTATACATATGAACACTTCTCACCGCAAGAACTTGTCCCCAATATCTGTGATTGTTCCCCTACTGGCATCAAAGACAATTTCTTGACTCAAACGCCTGTATTCAAAAAGCTCAGACATAGAAATTTGTTATTACTGATCAATGCGCAAGTTCTTTCTTAATCAATAAAAACATTGAAAATCAAGCTCTAGCCTTATTCGAGTGAAATTACCATCATAGAAACGTTTTAAGAAGATTTTAACCCCCCCCCCCCCAACTCAATGAGTTTAACGGTGACCTTTTAGAATACAGGCGTAAGTCTTGAATCGGCTGTAAAAAAATTAATAAACTATCTTGCAGGAAATTTATCACCTTTATACTGTGTACAGTCCAGTTTAGTTTATTTCTTGTGGGAGCCCCAATAGACATGTTGTGCTATTTGAGCCATTTGTAAATATTTTGTAAACATTTCAGAGCATTGAATGCAGTTGAACTATTATCACACCAGTACGACATTCTGTCGAAGAGCAATGAAATGTAAGCTGGCACGTAATCGTCAAATATTCCTAACGGTTTGCATTGTGGTACACTGATATTTCATGCATTTCACGAATTCTCAATAAGCTAAGACAAGCCTCTAGTATTGTTTGTGCAATACGCTATCACCTTCTCCGTATGTGCTTAGGGAGGATTTCAGGCAGGTTCAGAAAATACGGGGTTAACCCGCAAAACATCACCGGATTCACCGCCTGCACATTTTCCCCGGGTCTTGTTATGTTATGTTGCGATTTCGAATATTCGCGTTCTCTTCTGCCGCATCATGCATTTTTTCCTATTTGTTCTTCTATTTTAGTGCTGAATCCACAGCAAAACTTTTGGCCGAAGAATTACAGCAAAGTAAACGAGATAAGGACAGGTACCATGGTCTATTATATCCTTGTTTATCCTAACTCAGGTAACTATATATAAGGTGTGTTATCTATAACTTTTCCCTTTTGGTTCTTCCATTTTAGTGCTGAATCTACAGCAAAACTACTGTCCGAAGAATTACAGCAAAATGAACGAGATAAAGACAGGTACCATGGTATATTACTCTTGTTAATCCTAACTCTACCCTTCTACCTGTTAATGCAACCGGCAAATACGTTATACACGTCAATTCTCGTTGTTTACGCCGTTTGAATCTGTCGTAATAATTTTCGAAATCTATGTTTGATTTGCTCTGTATACTCTGTACCGGTAGTTAGCCCACCCAGCTAAAAAAATGTGTCAATGGTCAAAGTCCATGCTTACCTGCAGGTGGTATAGACGAAACTGATTTTGCTGATATCTGTGACAAAAATCAGCACACTGATTTCTGTCTCAAACGAACAGTGAAAAAGGGTTATCATTTGGTTTTATTTGACTCATTTGCATGTATGGGATATCCTCATAAATACACAGTATTTATGTAACCCCGGCCGGTTTTCTTTCAGACTTGAAGAGGATAAGGCAAATTTGTTATCAAAACTGTTAATGAAAGATTTTGGAAGTGAGAAGGAAAGGTACACAATTAATATTTATGTGATCCAATGATATATGCTGTAGTAGCTTGTACAGCTTAATTGATCAATGAATAATATAAAACTCGTGAATTTTAGGAGGGAATCAGATGCACCCAGCGATAAAATTTCTTCACAGAAAAATATGTCCTTGCCAAGAAGGATGGACAGTTTAGACGGCTTCAGTTCTTTTGATGGCGGCGAAGATCAAAATTGGACAGTTGTTCAAAAGAAAACGAAAGGTTTAAAATCTGGCGATTCAGTGCATCCCAACGACTCTCAAAACTTCAACAAGAAAATGAAAGCAAAAAGATCGCAAAGTTTCGACGCTGCAACGTTGGGTGTAAAGAAGTGTTTTTCTTGTGATACAGGATATCCGAATAACAACGTCACTCGAGAAAGCTCCGACAATTGTGGGCCAGTTGCATTTGATTGTTTACGCAATTACAACACGATGCCTCTCACAAAATTAGACGTCAGTTTCATTTCTCAGGAACCTTTCTCCGTTCCGCATGTCGAAAATCCAACCAAACAGGTAGAACCAGTTGAGCAGGTTTCCAGCGGCGTTGAATCTTTCCAGGGCCTCAATGGCTCCACAACAGAAACAATTGTATCGCCAAAGTTTGATACGTTTTTTGCTGGTGCTCTACCTGAAACACCATTTGACGCTTTTATTAAATCCGTGCAATCTAGCCTTAGCCTCGAACACCAGGTCCCAGGCACGGGGAGCTATATTCAGCCGAATCCTCAATTTGACAAAGCAATTTTGCAGATACATTCCCATCATTCTGGATCTTTGCCTGGTTTGAAAACCAAGGATGACAGCAAATCAAACGAGAAGCCGCAAGAAAAAGACAAGAAAAAACAAAATCTAACGTCTTTTGACATTTTAATGAGTCAACTTGCGGAGACTTTTCCTTCAAAAACCAGGTACTGTCACATCACAACTGTCGGACCTTGTTTTATTAAGTACATACGAAAAATAGTTTTAAAACCGTCTCTCAATCCCCTTTAAAGCAACGCTTATACTTGTAAATACACGCTGGTTAATATTTCGGCCGGTTGAAAGGAAAAAATGGCTTGTTTTTACTTGTCAAATGATGTTAACGCTCACGTTCTTTGCCATTTTCATTAGGAGCCACCAAATCAACGAAATATTACCAGAAAGCTTTTTTGTATGTGTATTCTAATCCCGTGAAGCATCACTGTAGTTAAGGCCTATAGAGATGCTAAAGTGATAAGTAGATGTACGTGCATGCCATATATAAGATGTATTGTATTTATTGTAGGAACGAACTTATCGTGCTACTGAAATTGGCAAAGACTACTTTTGGTGATCAAGGGTTTAGAAAAAAGAAGATCGAGGAAATTATTAAACGAGTAGGGGAAATAATTGAACCTGATAACGCGGAGGTGAGTGAGACACTATAGCGTATTGTAAATGTTTAGGGGGGGGGGCGTTTAGGGGGGCGTTTCGAGCATTTGAGACAGATCTACGTTTCAGTGGCGTAGCCAGTCTGACGATTTGCTCCGCTATCTAGATTTCAAGTTATAATAATTATTCAAGTCTTTAGAAATTTATTGTTTTCACAGTCAATGAACACGAAAATATTAGCATAGCGGGACAAATCGACAGGCTGGATACGCTACTGCTACGTTTTGTTCGTATTTTGACAGCGTTTTCCTTCCATTTATTTTTGCAAAACGCCCTTTTTGCCTGCTAGAGATTGTATTCTTAATTTTCAGGCAGAAACAGCCGCAAAGATTTGCAGCATTTGCCGCGATAAGATAGAAAATGACGAGGCAAAGTTAGAATGTGGACATCGCTTCCACCGAAAGGTTTGTTTCTGGAATAAAGCAAGTTATAAATAAAATGTTCTAACAAATTATCCATTCTGCAACATTTGCTGATTTGCAGCAACAGGGCTCTGAAGTTTGACGCTTTAGTTTAGATCGTAAGTATTAGATCGTCCCCACCATGGGGGTGTGAAGTCACGATCAGTGACAAAAATTGTACTTCTGGATAAGAGTAAGGCGCAATCCAGGGTTGATTCATGTTTATTGTTATAATGTTCAGACGTTTCACGAATGTAGTAGCCTCGACTTCTAGCAGACAGTCTGAAAGCATGCCATCGTCATTTGCATGGAATGATTCCTAAACAAAATACAGACAGAGACAATATTCTGCTCCATCTAGTGTACTCTGACAGGCATGAGACAGACATAGTATATACATGTTGCTCCATCTAGAGTACTATACTATTATTTATGAGACATTTATTCTATTTTAGTGTGTAAAACAATGGATTCAAACTGAAAGAACATGTCCCTTGTGTCGTTCCCACGCCCTTACCGAGGATGATTTTCCTACGTTGGCATAACGAGGCATTTAATGGTATTTTTCGTTTGATCGTCCATTTTTTTGTTTTCGAATTTGGTGTTGAGTTATTGCGGCATATAATGTTAGCTAATGTAAATGATAAACGTTATTTCCGTGAGGGACAACACTTCACTTAATATGCCGACTATCTGACTATCTATAACTATAACCGAAATGCCTTTTGAACCTGGTTAACCTCTCGTTTTTTCAAAACTAAAACCAAAGACAAATAGTCAGTGCATGGGAAGGTTTGGATTGTTAAATATCGAAATTCGAAATATACCGGCTAAAAACGATTAAAAATTACTGTAGTCCTATGCCAAATACAGTTCAGCTCAAGATCGTTGCAACTAGTTATGGTAAAAAAAATTGGTAAAAAATGTTAATAAATAGGCAAATTGCTTAGAGTGTGGTCGTAAGCCAGTATAATAGAGATACGCCTGTTGGACGTGCTCCACGTTCTGTTACAACCAAATCTGAAGTTTTGACGTCCTGCCGGTACGTAACATCTGCGGTTTAAGACACTGCTAGCGCTACTTCATATAGTCAGTTCCATATAGCATTGTTCTCAACGTTACGGTATTCTTCCTTAATTAAATTCACACGATTGACAATATGCAAAAACTCTTCACCATGTATACTCCATAGCATTTACTGATTTGAAGGAGTGTTTCGGCCGCTTCGGTTAAAGTTTTAAAATTTGGCAAAATGGCAAAAAAAAGTTTTTAAAAGTAACTTTGTATAGTATACTAAAAAAATTATACCGCTCGTGTCTTGATTCTGAACTAAGAAAGCTCGTAAATAACTCGGCATTTCGAAGAGAAAGAACGATGACTGCCACAAAACAATGCCAGTTGAAAAGCTAGTTCAGCGCTAACCCTGAGAGTTCTATAACTATCTATAATATGACTTCTATGTCTATGAGTTATATCGGTCTAGAAAAAAAGATATTCAACTTTGTAACTTTCAACTTTCAGGCGATTAAATAATTTAATGACGTATTAAAGATTTGAAAGATCATGCAGGCTAACCGGCTTTTTTAACAAGCGGTCCCAGGTTGTTATGAGCACGATTTACTGAACGAAGTTTTCCTGTCATATATTTATTGTTCACAAATTGTCAAAAAATGCAACAATATTTTAACATCTGTTTCAGTTTCAACGACGTTCGAAGACGTAGGTTTGACGTTCAACATTCAACGTTGTTCAATTATGTTAAACCGCAGGCTCAAAGTTTTTAGCGGTCTGCTTTGTGTTGCATTACTTCATGTGAAAATCTCTGATTTCAATAGAATATTTTCAATGTAGCTACATATTCTTTGCGAAAAAAAGAAAAGTAACTCAATAGTTTAAGGAGATCATTCGGTTCGAAATGCGGGTATTTTGTATCCCCATCTAGTAGTGGGTTTTAAAAAAGTCAGAATAGGCTTTTCGACTTTTTAATAATTTAAAATGTTGAATAACAGCCATGCTTAAAACTTTAATTTCAAATTTCAGAATACTCGATGGGTTGTTTGCCGCATGCACAATCGTACTGACAATTTATTTAAAAACCCAACGGAGTTGTTATGTGTTAATACGAACAGCGGCCCCAAAGTGATTCTGTGTATGCAATTCTGATAAAGTATCAGCTTTTTTTCGCAAGATGCAGTCAAAACAATGTGCGATTGTTTATCTATATTTAATACATATCGAAACTAAATGTCTCGGAGTGTATGCTAAACAAATTGATCGATTTGTGTAGGTGTTAAACCGCATAATTAAATCCTGTCCGACGTAGTGTTCGCTCATTTTTCCCCTAGAGTTTGTTAAGCGAAGGATATACTTCAGTTAATATAAATATTAGCCCGGATATATATTATTGTTAGTATAAGCAAGGTGCTATACTAAGATTATGGTAGTATAGTTCGAAAATATTACTCTACTAAGTATGTAGTTGAACGTTTAGCGTCCATACCTATAAGATGCCTTTATTTCAGTAAAGTGTGTTGCTGTACTTATTTAGTATATATAGGACAAACATATAATAAAGTTGCAAGCGTTTGTGGTCTATATATATATATATATATATATATATATATATATATATATATATATATATATATATATATATATATATATATATATATATATATATATATGCATGCCGATATGGGGCATATATTGCTAAGACTAATTGTTCTAACTTGTAAAACTTTAAAGTATAATCCTGCATGTGCTGTGTATATATATAGTAAAATATTTCCTAAGAATCAGTCGATCAGGTGGCCATACATGCCCGGTATAAAGACCTTTTAAGTCCATATAGGGTTTACTGATGTAATTATAAATGGGAAGTGGTCTCAAAAGTATAACAGCTAGCGTAGGATAGTGGTAAATAGTATACTCATTATGTATATATACTCAACAACAGCACTTCAACACGGCGCCAATCACAGTTCTCATCAGTTCTATAGCAGCCATCTTGAGTGCATCTTACCGCCGTAATGTATAATTTGTTCTTATTGTGTCGAGCGGTGTTTAGAGCAGTATAGTGGTTTATTTATGACAAAACCTCAAAAGGCCAGATTTTAACTCCCTTGGACCACTAAACCCCCTTTGTTTTTTCGCAAAATCGAAATAACATATTTTCGACATTTGCCTTGAACCGGTGGAAGTGGGTATATATAGTATTGTAATACAGAGCGCTTTATTTCAATAGTAGAGACCTTATTCTGGTAGTCTATACTAAGTCTAATCCTAGGTCTGTTGTCCTATAAGTCTTATTATATACTCGCCATGCAGGCAAATTAAGAAGGTTAATCTTTGCGAAAAGTAGTATTTTATTTCTTAGCCAATCACATCTCTGAAGCACGAGCGTTAGTCATTTCCAACCAAGCTCAGTTCTCCACCCGAAATTCCTGATGCTTTTTCAATAGATTTGAAGGTAGAAGTACGTTACAGCCGTATTACCTTTTTATTATAGAGACTATATATTATAACTATATAATATAATATATGTTGGCACTCGAACGTGGGCGAATTAAACATAAAGATCGTTACGAGTATATTATTTTGATCTTGTTCGGCCGCAAATCGTATATTTATTGTGTTAGGTCTCGTTTTTCCTGTCAAAGAAAAAGCCAATAGACAATGGCAAAGCAAGACATATTAAACGCGCATTCGTGTTTTTTCCTAAACCCCTGGGTATCCAGAATATTATCTCTAAATCGCTAAAAATCTCGTAATCTGTGCATTGTGCCAACATACAACGCTCTACTTTAATTACTGGAATTTGTTTCAAAGAATTACTGCAATGTATCAATGTGCACCGGAACAGTTTACAGAAGTTCGGAGAATATAATAAATTAGGCTATATATCCAAAATATATTTCCATGAGGAGATGCACGCTTCGCATGGACTTGCCACACTGTTTGCACGGCAGCCTACAATCAGCTCTTCATTTCTATATGCCTCTCATAGAGCAGAGGGAAAGGCTATAAAAAATTCAACAATAAAGCCACAAAAGTTATGAAAACGCTGAACAAATTCTGAAGCGGATATCACTATATGCATGTTTTGGACAAACTATATAACACTGCATGTGTTGATGAAGATTTGTTTACCGTGGACTGTGATTTATTAAAGTGTTTATGTTTGAATTTGCTTGAAATTGAAACACCGAAGCCAGGAATTTCTTATCTCGCTTACATATCAAAAGCCTTCAGGACCAAACTTGATTTGTTAATGACAATAAATTACTTTATAGTGCAGCGCAGCTGGTGTGTAACCTTTCATGATTGAAAAGGGTGTTATTTAAGACTACACGAAGGGAACCGTTAGCCACAAAAGATAGGTCGTGAACTCGCTAGGAACACTCCTTTCATATCTTCGTGCCGCACAATTTGGGTACGTAATCGTGTAGATCAAAGTTAAAAACGGACTTTATTCTCGTATAGTATATAAGTATAACCAAGCCAATCCAACCCAATCCTGAATTAAAGGTGTCGCGCATTTTAACAGCTAAAGTAAGTATAGTAAATTGTTTTCTTAATAATTTCGTTATAGCTGTTATATAGGATTCATTAAACAGTAGAGCTGTTTGATCTGAAAGAAATTTGTACTGGGTGCATGCAAATGATTCCACAGCCAGGGCGATATATTGTTTGAACAATTCATTTTATATGTGTGAGTCATAAAGTCGTTATTATATATATGCTATAAATATATATATATATGTTACCTCTAATTTATTTCTTTTTCGACCCCATTTGACCTGTATAAGGCTGTATTATTAAATATTTCATCGTCGCTGCAACGTTAATCTGAATTTCTGGTTTCTTGCGATTTCATCAGTGCATCCATTTCTTCGCATTTTTTCCTGATATTAGCTAGTATATATATGAATATCGTGTATATATAAATATATGTTGTATATTTATTGTACATAGTTGAAATGTATATATTAACGCGTTACTTAATTTAAAGTTCATCAATATAGCCTATATATATTTTATACGTTCAGAACTGGCATCGTCTGGATAACGAAGCGATAGACTGCATGCAGAATGATATATTATATAGCTAGTGCACTATGTAGTAGTGATGTGCTCAATTTTGAACGCATTGCATGTCAACGGGCGACCGTGCTTAATGTATATATATATATATATATATATATATATATATATGAGTCATAAAATTATTCGACAAGATTCTTTTATATGAAAAATTTGATTCGCGAGAAATTTATTCGGTTCATTTTAAAGTACTCGCAGTTTTATAAGGAACATATAGCCGCTTATTTTGTGTATAGTTAAATTGTGTAGCTAATTCTTAAATACGCGATTTTGATTGGGCAACTTTTTCGTCAATTGTAGCTAACGTGTTTTTAAACAAGTGCGGCCCCGGTCCTCATTAGGCTCTAAGCCGATACCGATATTCGCCTGCATCTGGCAATAATAAACAAATCCGTTCGAAGTAATATACGAAATTCGCGGTCCAGTTAACCCCTTTCGTCTTCCATATAGACTATATTTGTTTCTGCATTTTTTCTGACATTCCGTCAGAAAACAAACTACTGCAACACTGTCAGTTTACCGCGATAGAGGTTGGAGCTAATCCAATATGTTGAGAACTTTACCTAGTTTGGATTGTGTCAGTATATATAGTGCGCTAAAATGATTAATATAAGACGAAAAGATTTTAAAAACGCTCGAAAACAATGCTGCTGTAAACACACTACATATAACAAGGTAAGAAACTGAAACAGAAAATTAAAATACCTTCTTAAGTCTGATACATGCATGCATGCTTTAATTCACTGCTGCATGAGCCATGCATCCGCTATATTACCAAAATTGAAAAGGTTCGAGTCTCCAGACTAGTGAGAAAATTTTTACTTTTGAGAAAATTTTTCTTCAAATTTTATTTATCGCATATATATACCGGTGCGGCATTGAAGGTTTCAATCCTGTATATACTTTATGGTTAACAAATCCACACAAGCAGCAAGCTTGAAACACAGAGATTTTAAAATGAGCTTCATTCCTTGAAGTGTAATCTACACGTATAGTGCCGTATGTAATTTTTTTTTTAATACTTATCATGATACATTTCTGAATAGCTTGCTTATACGGTGTTTTAGCGTTAAACTTAAATTTGTATACTCCCTGAACGTGTATTTACGCGCGTCAGTTTTAGCGTTTGGAAGTTACCGGCGTTCTGAAAAATGGTATATATATAATAGCTATATGCATCAGATCTGCAGAAATTTTTTAACGATGCCAAAAAAATCCCATGCGCACACGATTAGTTAGATCGTTTGTCAGGTGACGGTCGTTGTGCCAGAACTTGCAACCTAATATCAAATGTTTGCGGTATGCCCTAGTTTCGGACGATTGAAACCTTATAGAGGAGAGTGCGTCATCGCACAAGAGAATCTGCACGCCAATCTTTTTGATCATCGTGATCCACTTGTAGGACTGTTGTCAAACCTTTGCGAGGTTTTAGAGAGCCTATATACCGTGAGATATATATCCTCATGTGAAACATATTTCAAAGTCGCTGCATCGAGCGGCCTGTGCTTACAGCCCCGACTATAAATAATTCACAAGTCTCAAAAGACTAATTTGGTCGGCAAGATTGAACGAGAGGAAATAGCTGTGCGTGTGTTTTTGTGTTGTTTTTGATTAAAAAACTGCGTTTAGGACGTTGGCCACTCTCAGTTGACGGGTTTTCCTCGTTCATAATTTATCTCCCCAGCGTCTAGAAGTTGATTTGATCTGTTAAGTTCGCACCGCTAACTAACCGCACTAACAACAATCATGTAAATATAACACTGGGGCCAGCTGGAGCCAGATGTTTAACTTTAAGCCAAATAACAATGTTCGCGGATATTTAACAAAGGTGTGCGTACACTAATAAATATATTAACTATATCGCTCTGATTGAAAATTTAAGCCGCCTTTTTGCGTCGAAATCTTAATATTTAATGCATGTACTACCTTGATTCTTGTAGATTCGGTAACTATTTTTTAAACGTTCTTTCGGCAATCAAAGTTGAATTAACTACACGATTCATTAAGTCTTCGCGACATCATTACACACGTAAACTGGATGTATTGAAAGATTATGTTATGGCTTCGGGGACCTTTAAACTTGATAAAAAATGTCAGATTGAATTTTCTTCTGAAAGTCAAAAGCATTTAGGCCAGGTAATTTCACAGTCGGCTAAAATTAATCCCTTTGATCAGGTTTTTACCACGGACGGCTGGTTCTAATCTCAAACGTTTGTGTTTCATTTAACGAAATGATCGTTTGATCGCCTCTGACCAGTTTGGCCACGTTTATCAGTGAAAAGCGGCTCTGTCGCCACATCGCAGATGATCATCAAGGCACGCTCCATTAAGATCAGCTTATAATCGCAGGACTGATTCAAGAATCATAATAAGTGTAGCTATCATAGCGAAAAGTAGCGTATTTCTTTGTTCCGAAATCATTAGTTCTAGCCGAGTGGACAAGAAACAATGATATACAATTAAGCTTGGCTGTGATACAGTTGAAGTGAAAACTGACTCGTCTATAATAGCTACCAGCTGAATGAAGTTATTCTGGTTATTAATTGAATCGTCAATACTCAATAGCATGAAAAACCGAGGTTTCGGAAGATAACGCATGCATATACAGAGTTAAGAAAAGAAACCGGCGAATAAAGCTTGAGGTGTAGGAATGAAAGAATATAACATTGTCACTGTCTAGAGCAAAGCGGCTATCACGCATGTTGATCCATTATTTTTTTTTCCTTTTACGCGACATCATAAACTAAATGATCGCGCATGGATTAACAACGTCCAATTCACTCCTGGTGGATGTTTTGTGATCTTTTTACTTGTAATGTATGTGCGGCAAGTCAATTAAAGCAAATTTAATATACTGCACTCAGGGATCAACAGACTATATTAGGGGCTGTTTACATGATCCCGTTCAGCCGATATTCAACGAAGCGTGAGGTGACTTTGAGGTATTGAAAAGAGCATATAACAGGATCCTGGTAATCGTGTAGTCATCCCAACAATAGTATGGCGAATGTTTGGTGTAAAAACATTTATTTTCATACCTCAAAGTCATCTCACGCTTCGTTGAATCTCGGGTCACCTGGCTCATATAAACTGCCCCTTACATTCATTAGAAGTGATATTGGATGATTTCGATCCGACAAGATTGGATCGTGTGTGTAATCCATCTTCCAGCGTTGCACGAAAATGCTGTAGTTAGTTCACGGTAATACGCTATAGCAACGAAACATAAATTAGCTGCTGGAACTTGCAAAAAATGTGATTTCAATGCATGTTATCATTAAAATCACCTAATCAAATTTTGTAGCAAGTTCCCATAGTGTTCCCATAATATTACTTCATATTCTGGGAAGGTACAAAGGTGTTGGGGTTAGGGCTGTCTGTTTTTTATGTGTTTAATAAAGACGATTTGCGAGGGTTTAGAAAGCTCAATCAGGTTAATGGATTGTGGCCTGTGGGGACAGCTTTAACTATGTCGGCTGTGTGGTAGGTGTTACTATATATGGTTTGTCATCGGCAGAAGTATAACTGTGATTGTGGCAATATGTTTAGCATAACTATGAAATATGGTGGTAGGTGTAATCGTGGATTGTGTATGTTATATAACAGGTTTAATTATGTCGGTTTGTGGTATATATAGGTTGAGCTATGATTGTAGCAATACTTCCGTATGGTGGTTGGTACATGTCGCTGCGTGAGAAAAATGATACTCGTGTATATGGTACTCGTTTTTTTCCTCTGTCTTACACCTTCCATATAAATAATATAGCCAGGCCAGCCAACTTTCTTGCCTCCTTCAGCGAATCCTTCAGTGTGAACAGTTTGTGATAATATATTCATATAATAGGTATAGAAAAAACTGGAATATTTTATTATTTGTAGAACATAAATCGCGTGGATAATGGGATCTAGGTTACCGTATGGCTATTATCCACATTTATTTACCCAAACCGATGTTGACAACAGTCTGTATGGCTACGTCAAGTCAGACATGGAAGAACATCGCTTGTCATACGCTTTGTCTGGAAACTGGCAGAGGTCTGATCCAAGATTAGGTAATGCCGGTCTGCTATCACAAAATGATCATTACAATATCAAGTTGTTCGTAAGCCTTGAATGTGCATGGGTATGCATGTCCACATAAATTTCATTCCAATCCACAGTCTCCATTTTTCATGCACACTCACAATACGCATGCCTAAAGGCTCCTTTTCACTCATCGCAATGGCGAACTCGCAATCTCGCTGTGACGGTTTTCATGGATTTTTTTGGGTAGGGGTTCATTGGTTTTCATTGATTTTTTTATTTTAATTACATGCAACCACTCGCAGCAAGCTTGCGAGTGGGTTTTTGCGATGAGTGAGTCTTAACACCTAACAGGATCTATATCACGTGCAGCAAAATACTGGCGAGATGGCCTTCCTGACGAGTTCTGCAGGTTTTATACCAGTGATACGGTTCGATTGCATACCACGTATAATTGCACAATGCATGGCCTTTCATTATTATTAATATTCCTTTTTATACTTTATTGGATGTTTACTATTTAACTTAACCACGAAAACTCTCTCGAAGCAAAACTTTTCTTGACTGAATATTTTGCATATTACTCCAGAGACATCATCTTTTCTCGAAACACGAAAAGAGATTTCAGTATTGAGCAATGAAGAAAATCAGAATAGTGGAGAGAGCGTTAATAAAGGCGATACTGAAGATGGCAGTATGAAAGAACAAAAAGTCAACGTCGAGAAACAAAGTTTGCCAGAAGGAATCAAGATTATTGAAACTATTTTGATGGGCGTATCTCACTATGGCGTGTTTTGTTCCGATAAACTCATCAAGAAGGGCACAAGATTTGGTCCTTTTACCGGTCGGAATATTCTACCTGGTGATATATTCACGTTAGGCGACACTTCATACACATGGGAAGTAAGTATCTATGATTCTGGAACTGATTGATCAATGCTCCACCGTCGTCTTTAGATCCGCGAATTATAACGAGTGTTTTCTTGGAAAGCCGTATGGCTCGTAAACAAGAAATCATATTTCTCCGTTAAGCTTTCCTCCTATTTGTCCCTGATGCTCATTATCTGAATTTAGCTAGTAGCACAGGCCTTCCTTTTCCCGAAATCATGACGGGAATAATCCCTGCTGTAGAGATCTTTATTCTTTTATGTTCCTTGCGTCGTTTTCAATCATTTTCCCAGAGTGCATTTCTGCCCCGCCCAAATTTAATGGCTTAGCAGGATTTCAAACAAATCATTTTGTGTCCAACAAAGTGCCTCATTGTGTCATTTTTTCGCACAATACAGGTGTTTCGAGACGGCGAGGTAACATATTTTATCGATGGCAAACATGATCCAAACAACTGGTTGAAGTTCATTAACTGTGCAAGATATGAGAGGGAACAGAACATCATTGTCGTCCAAGATGGCGACGAAGTGTTCTTCGACGTGGTCTGTGATATTTTTGAAGGAACGGAATTGTTAGTGTGGTATGGTGACTCTTATCTCAAGTACATGGGACTACCGATAACGATGAAAGAGAAGATCTCTCCAAAGATGCTTTCTAATCTGGGTAAATATCCAGTCACACCTTCCTTTTTGACACGATTAGTCGTTAAATTGACGCGATCTGTTTTTTTAGATGACAACAGCTACGCCTGTGATCGCTGTGGTAAAGTATTTGCCTACGAATATTATCGTGACAAGCATCTAAAATACACCCGATGTGTCGACCAAGGTGACAGAAAATATCCATGTAACCTCTGCAACCGTTCCTTCGAGAAGCGAGATAGATTGAGGATCCACATTCTGCACGTTCATGAGAAGCACCGTCCTCACCAATGCTCGGAATGTGGCAAACGTTTCTCACAATCGTCCAGTCTTAACAAACACTTGCGAGTGCACAGTGGTGAACGCCCTTACAAATGTCCATACTGTACCAAGGCCTTCACAGCCTCTTCCATTCTGCGCACGCATGTACGTCAGCATAGTGGGGAAAAACCATTCAAATGTCGTCATTGTGGGAAAGCGTTTGCCTCGCATGCTGCACATGATAGTCACGTGAGGCGCACGCATACTAAGGAGAAACCATGCGTATGTGAATACTGCGGAAAGGCGTTTGCGCAGTCGTACGAGCTGAAGTTTCATTTAAACATGCACACTGGAGACAAACCATATTCGTGTGAACGATGTGGGCGGGGATTTTCAAGTCCTTCTTCGAGAGACCGCCATAGATCGAACTTTGATTGCACAACCCGAAAAAATCGCGCGCCAAAAATAATGAAGCGGAGTCCAGATACCGCGGGAAAATGCGATGATTCCAAAAGTGACTTTGGACTGTTATGAATATTGACTGTCTTAAATTCCTTAGTTTTCAAGCATCCCTTAGGTGTGCTTGTTGTGATCTTGATAAATTACGATCGTGCTTCAAAATTTAAGTCGCAGTACCCGTTTAATTACGATATTTAATGTGTACATAAGACATTTACATTTCATCTTAGGTATTATTGCAAGGCCACACTTTTGTTAATTATTTTGTTAATTGACTGTCGTTAATTCCAACAAAGACTCGCAATTTAATTAACTGGAAGTCAGACAAGTGTAAATTTCACGATAATTTCTGTTCATTTATAGAGTTCATTTATAGCCTGCAAATTCTCTTAAATGGCAATTGATTTATTGTTTACTCCATCAAAGCATAGGCATAGTCCTGGCATAGTAGAGGACGTTTTTTACTTTCCCTCTCGTTTTTTACTTTTCACCCTCCGTCTTATCTTTAGGTTCGAACGTCCAACTTTACATTTTTCTCAACTCTTCACTACGTTCCGATTTTGGCCGAAAAGGCCGTTAGCCCGTTACCGCTGTTCCAGATCATCCTATATAATATTAAAAACTTCTTCGCTCAGTGCTAAATTTTCGCGTAATTTCTGAAATAAATATTGTTGTATATTGGGCCAATTTACTTAAATTTGTCGATCAATACCAGAGCAATTCGACCAACTTTTTATCATGGGGAATTATTAGGCGGTGTCACATCCCCAAACCCTGGTGGGCCGGTGGCAACTGGCAACGCCCCTGTTCACAGGGTTTGCCGGGTGTCTCAAAAAGGTAGATCGTTTTCCGTCCAAGCAATATAATACCAGAATGCCATGTGGTCACGAAAAATGCTGCTTGAGCCTACTTCCGAGAACGAGATGGAGAATGACGAATCTCAGAGGACGAATCTTGTACTCGTTAACTCGTAGTCGTACTAGTATTCACCGTTGGAATTAAAGTCTGCAGGTACGCCTCTCACTTATTTTTGAAAATGCTTCATTAACAGTGCCACAAGCGCTTATTTTTGAAAATTCTTCATTAACATTACAGATTAGTGAAATTTGAAAATGAGCAACGAAAGTAAGCATTTCCATGAGTTCGGCTATGCAGATGAACGGTTCCTAACAGTCATAAGCGAGAACCTACACTGTGCAATTTGTTCGTGCGTGTTTAAAGATCCAAAAATGTGCAAAAACGAGCATTGTTTTTGTCGTGGCTGTATAACCCACCATCTTCAAAATTCCCACACTTGCCCTTCTTGTAATGAAGATCTAACCATAGAATCGCTAGCTGACGCGCCACGTATTCTGAGAAATTTATTGTCGGAACAAAGAATTCGTTGTGATCATCACGAGCGTGGATGTCAGGAAATCGTTCAACTTGGAAACCTGGCTAGTCATGTCTCTGTGTGTGGCAAGGCTCCAGTTGTGTGCACGAATGAAGAATGTTCAAGCGAGATCAACAGAGAGGATCAATTTCGACACCAAGGCGAAGAGTGTCGGTTTCGTAAAGTGAAATGTCAAAATTGTAAAGAGATGGCCCCCATGGTTCAAAATCTGAACCAGAGTTTGGGTGGTCTTGTTGAGAAAGTTGGTGAAATAAAAACTGGTTTGACAGCAATGGAAAACAGGTTGGAAGGAATGGAAAATGCTTGTAGTGATCAATCTTTTTCAGAAAGCCCAAAAGATCCAAGGAGTGATGATGTTAAAGATGCCAAACATCCCAATGGCAATGAATATGCATATTTTGTTGCTGGTGGGTATGGCAATAGTAGTGTAGAAATTTTTGACAAAACTACTAATTCTTGGAAAAAACTGCAATCAATGAGCAAAGCTCGTCACAGAGCAAGTTCAGTTGTTTATAACAATGAAGTTCTAGTGTCTGGAGGTTCGAGTAACCATGCCTTGACTAGTATGGTACAGTTTAAACGCAATATCAATCCATTTGTCCCACCATGTTGGTTCAACCTTGAAGTCAATTTGCCAAGGCCTTTAAGAGGACATCATACTCTACTGTATAAGGGCAATCTTATTGTCCTTGGTGGTTATGATGAAGATGATAATGAGATAAATGATCTGATTTATGAAATCCAACTAAAGTTCCCCTTCACCACAAAGGTCTTGACTAAATTCCCTTCTTCAACACCCATCAAAGGCTGTGGTGCTGTTCTAGTAAATAAGGAAATTTTGATGTTTGGAGGTTGTACTAGAGCAGGAAAAAAAGCCGGAAAAGAAGCCACTGCCAATGTTACCATGTATGATATATTCAAGGGTGAGTTCAAGGAACTTGCACCATTACCTTATAAAGTGTGCAACATGGCAGCTGTGAAGTGTGGAGAAAAAGTCATTCTAGTTGGAGGCGCTTCTGTCTATCCAGACAGTAAGGTAAAAGCTACAGTCATCAGTTATAATATTGAGACAGAGGAGAGCACTGAGTTACCGCCAATGAATGAAGCACATTGTGGTTGTTGTGCTCTTGTTGATGGGAACTCCTTAGTGGTTATTGGGGGGAAAAATGGACGTCAACTTCTAACGTCTGTGGCACACTTTGATTTCAAAACTTCAAAATGGTCCAATCTTCCTTCAATGATTGAACAAAGAGCGGAATTCATTGCAGAGATTGTGTAAGACAAACTTTCATTAAACTGTTTAATCTAGAAAATGCACTAAATTAGCATAACATAATTGTTTTTTAGGATGAGCATGCTTAACAATGATTTACTGTAATTTAAATATCTATAAATGCTTTTGAAAAAATAAAACTTTGCACGATTCAGTGTTCCACCTAAAGACATGGATATAGGATCATCAGATCAACTTTATAATATGGAAACATTTTAATATTAACAGCTGTCATTTCTCAAAATTTAGGTAGTTGAGTAGATTTCATTAAATTAATGTCCAAACTAAAATGCACTGGATCAGTATAATTCGTAAATTAGTATTGTGTAATCACTTTGATTTAATTGCGCTTTAATAAAGGGGGCTACATAGTAAAAATCACAGTACAACATTTCATGTCTGATTTTATGTTTTCATAATTCAAAATTTATTTTGACTTATTGTTATTAAATTTTTTCTCACCCTGCGCCTTTGCATTCTTTACACTCCCCTACATAACCCCTACTTTTAAGTTGCCCCACCCGGGGGTAGCTGTCCTCGAATATTAGAATATTACAAACGAGTTGCTATTTGTAAAGCCATGGTAGGTTTTGTACGCGAGTCGCGATTTCCGCCGTCCCTAGCTGAGACGCAATTCTAATTTGAAAAGAGAAATGACTGGTTTATAACTCATGAATTGAGAAAGTCAGTTTCAAACTAAATTCAACAATTTAATTACAAAAACGATAGACTGCTTACTGGGCTATTGAGGTATCCGCTAAACCGTCCCTGATATCACGAAAATAGATATCTTAATTATTATCTTTTCAGTGCAAAATTGGTGTGAATGCAGAGCTAAACGTAAGTAAAACGCGCCTATAATATATCTGTTACAGTGATATACCCCAACAAAAATCTGAGTGCGTCAATATATAAGTTCAATTTTATTTGACGCCAATCACCAATGGCATTGGACTACATATACGATGTATTTTTTTACTTCATCATGAAATTATATAAGCTAGACTTAGGCTAGCTTAAAAGTGAGTGACCTCTTCGAGCAACAAGAGGAACGGCATCATAAGATGCATGCATAAGGCGCTACTTGAACTACATACTTGAAGAATTACAATTTCAGCGTTGTTTTCAGTGGCGTCGCTAGGGGGGGAACTGGGGGGGACTCGTTCCCCCCAGTTACTCTCAAGACCACTTTTAAGATTTTTCTAAATCTGAAGAGAAAAGTGGGGGGGGGGGGTACAATGATCCGAATTTCCAACAGCCGTGTAAATAAAGAAATTTTCGAATTAACATTACTATTGATCACGTAAAGAATAACAGAATAACATATCAGCATAGAAAGAGACATTGCTGATAAGATTGAGTTGGATACACTTGTTGACACATTTAGATCACGGCTAACAACAGAAAGTTGCCCTTGTGAAAACTGTTTGTTTTTCAAAAATCGCCGATCTGTGGCTTTCAGATTTTCATAAAACCTGCCTGGAAATGTTGGAGTTTTAGAGACCCTAGAAATAAAAATTTTCTCGGGGGGGGAATGCCCCCGAACCCCCCTAAAGGTCTTGCACCTTTAGTGTTTACATCGTCCCCCAGTCTGAACAACCTGGCGACGCCACTGGTTGTTTCATCCAGAGCTTACGTACATAACGTTATTTATTCCTTTGTTTTTATATTTTATTATTTATTATTATAGTTTCTTGCAACCGCTAAAAACATTGCGGTTGTGCAATCATCTTACAATCTGCTCAAAAAGCAAGTCGTTGCATGTTCCAAAAGTTCTTGGGTTGCGAGCTTTGTTGCACTCCGTACCTGTTGCTGCATGCACAACTTTAGGGGATGCATGGTGTTAAATGTGTCAGTTCATAATGTTAGATATTGAATATACGTGAATCTCGCTTTTATCACAGCTGGTGTACCGTACACGATCAACTTAATTGCAATTTTTGTCTGCCTATCTCTTACATGTAACATGTTACCAAGGCAAGGCATGCATGCACAGCACCCTCAGTAAGTTGGCCTTTAGTACGTACGACTACACGTCATCATTTTTCGCATATATACAATAATTTTAGCCTGTTTTATTAGCGACAAATTTATTACCATCGATAGTTAGGTAGCTATATCTGGGGTTAGCCTCACCCTTTCTAGATCCCATGCTATATGTCTATACATCTAGATCTCATAAACTATATATATATATATATATATATATATATATATATATATATATATATATATATATACAGTGTACATATAGTCTATATAAATATAAACAGATTCAGTGTTGATGTGAATGCCATACCCGTCAAACATTTAAACTATTTTGGCACGTTATTTTAACTTTTAAGCTCAGTTGACATTTCGTCATCCTCCAAACAGTCACATTTAATAGCTGAATTATTTTTATATAATAAGCGTTCGTCATAGACTCTGAACCCCCCGCCCCGATTAAATCGACCTAACCGGGGGGTTTAGAGGCTACGACATAGGGCCATAGGCTAAGCGTTCAACGTATTGTAACCCGTTCGACAAATGAAAACCGAGAGCTTTTGAAACAGGCCCGGGGTATAGTTGCCTGTTACCCGAACATTTATATTCAATACAATCGTCAGTCAATGAACCTATCGGAAAACGATTACAACCAGGAAATGACCAATAGAGGCGGTCTGTGTTTTCTGTGCATGTATAGGTATTACTTTACATAGAAAAATTGATTGAACGACATACATAAAAACATGCAGTCAGGATTTAGCTCCTTAGCTATTCACATCATTCCATTCAATCCATTGCACTTGAATTTGTCATACTTATTTTGAAAAATGCGTGGCAAATAGATAAGATCGACAACATAACTTGGTATATCAACATAACTTGGTATATAGACTTATAAATCGTTTCCACTGAAAACGAGAAAAAATTCCTTTCGATCAGCAATTTCAAATTACCATGCACCACACATTAATCTTGTGCACGAGTTCAGGGGCAGATGAGTTCTTAATTATACAGTAGCCTCCTCTTCAGCGCATTAATCATTCTCGCATTTCAGTAGGAGCATATATTCAAGCATGTTTAGAACTTTTATTTTCGTGGGAAAATGTTTTGTTCATATATATGGTATAATAGTATGCGCATGGCTCGCATTAGAGAACTAAAATCGTAGAGAGTTGATTGTAAACAGTCCAATATTCCAACTTTCAAACACGGAAGAATAGGGGCGTGGAAACCAGGAGCTATATTGGGACAACGTGTCGCCTTGCCAACTTAAAATGAGATTTAGGCACAGGTGTCCTTTTAAAAGTTCACTTTCTGTATATTTTGGATTTTCAGAAAAAATTGTGCGTGCCTGAATGCCAGCTTTAACTCGCTCCTACCCCTTCCAATGTTTAAGCGTATTAAAAACTATTACCTTTCTAGAGTAATATAGATTCGGATAAAACTTAACTGATTATAGATACCCAAAACTTAAAAGGTCTAAAGGTTAATTCCCTATATGTTAACGTTGTGTTTCACCGTTTTGATCTCGCATCACACGAGTAGTGAAAACTACACATAAATTATACATTTAATCCAAACCTCTTTGTTGCGTGACACTGACAGATACCAGAAAAACACGATAAACGTCTCGCCGTTACAACGAGGCCTCCTTCTCACGCAAAGGTCTTTATTTATTTCGAAATATATGCCGCTTAAAAGCTTTCCGATGTTTTTTAGCAAGTAAAAAACTGATATTCCAGGTGTTAGTTTATTCGCAATCTAAATTCACAACACGGTTTTATTTCTAGATTGTGGCACAATATACGCGTGGAGCACGAGGGGGGGGGTGAGGGTGAGGGTATGGAGACCCCGATAAATATATTGTGGGGGTCCTCTAGAAATTCAGTAAAAAATCTCATAATTATTTTTTGGAAAAGAAATTATACAGTGTAAGAACTCACTGTTTAAGACTGGTAAATATAATAAAAATATCATGCCTACCTGAACTCTGAAGTTTGAGCCCTCTCTTTGAGCACTCTACACTGATGTTGGCACATGCATGCTTGCATAATAGGCCTGCGTGGCACTTGTTATCACCTCTGTTTGATGTTACACCTATACTAAGCATGCTTGACAGGCTGGCTTCAGACAACGCTATTAAAAAGTGCCGGATTCAATCTACTTCAGCATTCGGAGTTTTCACACTGGAAACATGCAGATGACAGCAGTTTACGTCAGAACTTTATCTCTCTTTTGGTGCGCGGTTTTCACATCTTGTACAGGTTTGAAGATTACTTCAGTTGTTCTTTACTCTCAGTATTTCTGGATATTGTGTCCAGAGTCTATATAATGAGTACATCAAGTATGTGTCCCATGCATGCATGAGTAAATTTCCCTTGCATCGGAAAAATTTTAGCTGCAGATTAACTTGAAAGCAGGATATTTAAGTTAACGTTACGGAGTAATCAATCGCTGAACTGCATGATTGCCGATCTGAAGCAAGTGAAGGAGTATTCATGATCAAACTTGCTGCCAGAAAGTAATGAGATGGAGTGTCCCACTCCCACACACTTTATCGTCCGTGTAGCCCGTAATGGTAAAAATTACGTGATTGAAATCTATTGAAATTTTAGCGCGAGCTCTTTGTGTATCAAAACTTTTACTTAGCGAATAACATTTATAAAAAATTCATTGCCATTTGTTGCCCCCACGTAGCGATACATCGTTGATTGGAACACCCTTATAATCGTGAATATAGTGGAGGGATGGGCAATTTTTATCTTTATTGATAGATACTGATCACTGCCTAAAGTTATTTGTAGACTGAAATTAGACCCGTAGATAATTTTTATTTATTTATAATATTTATGCGAACTGGTGTAACACAATAACATACAGTACATTCGCCGGTTTATCGCACCGACTCATCACACAATTTTTTTCATATATAGCTGGAGGGCGTTTTTCATTTTTAATATGAAAAGGGAGGCGCTTTTTCCTCTTAACAAACAACGTCGCCTTCAATCTTTTCCATGAACGGCCAACAAGTCTACGAGAAAGGCCGTCATTCTAATATCAGACCCTTGTACCCAGGTCTATGCGCTCTTATCGCGATACTGTAAATCTTTGGAGGGATTGGAGCATTAAACTGCTTTATTACTTAACTCGAACGGAGACACACAAAAAAATGTTTAAAAAAATTTCACCACGCGGCGGCAATAATCAACAGACGGGTGGTGAAAGCTAACCAAATACTCTCATTTCATTGGTCTTAAATCCAAACATGATGAATGTTTAGAAAAAAATGTAGACTCCACTAGACATTATCCTACTTAGACATTGCTGATCAATCCATCTGATAATATGAGTTGGCATCGCAAAATAGGCGAATATAATGCCATTCCTTTCAACCGTTGTGATTTCATAAATGTAGTCTTCTTTAGATGTTTTTGTGTATACTTATTTTAATACGAGTTAATAGGATTTCAACAAATAATTATCATACTACTCACACCACTTGACTGACTTTACATGCAGCATGTGGAATCTTGTGACATGTAAATTTCGGCATCCCGCGATAGGCGATATACAAACACGCTTCATTGCCGGATTTCTTGAAATTCTATTGGTCGGATATAGGCTAAATCATGTATAGTGGTGTGGATTTGGTTTAGCCACAGGCCCACAGCTATTAAAAAAACATGGTTTGGAAATTAGACATAGTCACATAGACTTGTACAATACAACTGTTAATAATGCTTGGTCAGGTTTATGTTCATCGTAATAGTTATAACGATACGGTGCAGCATAACTGAAAAACCGCACGGTTGAAAAAGGTTTTCTCACAGTCAGTGGATTTTCGTATTAAATATTAACGTTATACAGCAGTCTGGATATGTTCATTTTCGCAAATGGTCTGTATATATTGCGATAACAGATATATTAAATTGAACACGAAGGAAACGAAACAGGAAGGAACTATCCAGAAACTAATTGCAATGTAATGGTGCGAAAATTTAATTTCCTGATTTTGCATACTTCATCGCAATATTTTTTCTGTAATGTTCCACGCCGAGTCGAGACAACTCCCCTCTCCCATTCAATCAATTTAGTTTAAACGCATGTGTAAACAGTCACCTATAAAGGTCATTGGCTTTTTTGAATTTAGACTCTACACGAGTATTAATCACAGGCAGCGCCGTTCACACTAACAACAGGATCATTAGTCGCAAAACTTGTTTGCTTGTTTTGGCGCTGTTTAATCATGTTTTGCAACGTTTTTTGTTTATCACTCTCGTCGGTTTGTTTTTGATAAAGCAGCTGCTTTACACACTTGAGCAAACTGTAAAGCCTATAAAGGATTATGAATGTGATGATAGGTCTGAATATTTTTTTATATTACCACCATCGCGAAGCATGAGAGTGACGGAAGGGGCACTTTCAGTATTTTTTTCAACTCTTGTCCAATTTTTCATCCGGATTTAGAAGTTTGTTTTTGTGAACCATCGCGAAGCATGAGAGTGACGGAAGGGGCACTTTCAGTATTTTTTTCAACTCTTGTGCAATTTTTCATCCCGATTTAGAAGTTTGTTTTCGTGAGCTTATGGTCTGTATGCACTAATGGTTTTTACACGTACACAAGTCGTATATTTTAGGTGAAGAAGACCATTGTAGTCACACGCAGGTTGAGACCTTAAGGGACAATTGTAGTCACAGGCAGGATCACAGGATGAAACCATTAAGGGTCCTCCTACGATTAAGGTAGACATGTCATAAACTCCGTGTGATTGAATTCGGAAAAGCGCGCGAGGAAGGGGAGTTGAGGGGGGTTGACTTGATCAAATTCTAGGGAGAATGTGGGTCATTTGTTCTTTTGCCTTTTGTGATCATTGTTTGCAGTATTAATGTCCTGGTACAGGTCCTCGACAGCATACGATTGCACAAAAGGTCAACTATACTTTTAAAAAGTTGTACGGGACGATAAATCAAAAATATACACGACGCGGCCAGCTTGACAACCAACCTCGTACTCAGGGTCTTTGCTTGACAACGCGCTTGCAAAAAAATGGAACTCCACACGCAAGACAATAGGTCGAGATTCTTAGCACAATTGAAACGTTTTTATGATTATTTCAAAGTCCTGGCAGCATACTTATTTCCCGTGGCTTATTTGTAGAAAATTTACTAGCGACATCGAACTAACCGTAGATCGTAGATCGTAATCTCCCTAATCTTAGGAGCCAACGTGCGGCGCCGGAGAGGTACGATCTACCTAGTCAGGGGGGGTGTTAAATTTAGAATTTTGGAACGCGATTTGGCTGAATTTTTTCTAGAATCCTGAAAAAAAAATTGGGTGACCTAATTATCAGGAGATTAGTGCTGGGTTTTTAATTGCCGCGATGTTTTTCACATGAAGCGACACACTCGGACACAAGTTGCCAAAAGGATGAAATAATACACCAGCCTCGCACGAATCTGAAATCTACTAGTGGAGAACCTTTGCTCTTCTCACACAGCCTCCCAGACGAACGACCGTCAATAAGTGGACATTCTATTTATATAGCCATACTATACTTGTAAATATTAAAAAACCTAATCCTATTAAAGTGTCACGAACTTGTTTAAATCAATTATCCGCTAATCATTTACAAATTTTCAGCTAGCTACAATAAGAATTCAATTTTTCGAATATTATTTACTTAGGTGGATATACAAACACATATGCATCTTTTTCTTTATATTGTAATTTATATTAGAACACGTGTTGTCTTTGAACCGTCTAGACAGTGTTTCAAATTCAAATACATCAAAAGCCTTTCAAAGTTCTAAGAGTCAAACCAAATGTTACATTTCCTAGGATAGGGTCGCCGTCGCAATACTATAACTTTCTGGATTTGCTTAATGCAGACAAAGCATTGGCCTGAAAACAAGGTGTAAAATGCAATGTTTTGCTTGTAGTGCATTTTTTATTTCCAGAAAGCAAATTCGGAAAGTGTCTATTTCGTAACCTGGGGTGCCCACCCCCCGTAACGCCAGTCTGTTTGTATTGTCTGTGTGATGATTATATTCCAAATGATAATTATTCGGAACTTTGTCTTTGTTGCTATACTGAACACGGCTAATAAAAAAATTGATCGTGTGTCTACGCTCATGTCACTAAGATAATCTGGCAGTTGTTTGTATTTGTCGTCACCAGTTATTTCATTTTTCATATGTTGCATACAGTTGGATAAGGCCAAGGGCACCTTTAGACTAGAAGTTACTATCGCACGTAAAGTGCTGCGATTCGCAACTTCCAACAAATTAGCGGTAAAATACTCGTAAACGCCCAATATATTTCAACCAAGTATTACAACCTTTGTATGCCAGTTTCTTCAAGGTGAATACACTACTGTCAAGTCCAACACTGAATACATCTTTTTGCCGTCTATCAAGAATTGTCACGCTAAGGCATTTAATGGTTCGATTTATTTTACTATGGATTTCATTACCATAGGTCATGTTACACTTACATCTTTCCCCTTCTTTAACAGTCATGAAGATATCAACATTGATCTAGTAGGACAAATACACTCCTCTTTACTTTTTTAGCCCGCTTTTCTCAACGATATTTATTTAATTCTGATTCAACATGACACTCATATACAAATTGATCAGGCAAGCCGGTCCTCAACGCCACGGCATAATTGTATTGAACTTTCACTTTCTAGACGCAAAGATCTGTTTTTCGAAGTACGGATGTTTTGAAGTCAATGAATATTTCAGTGTCAAAGATGCTGCATTACCGTCTCATCCGGATGTAATCCAAACCAAATTCTACCTTTACACGAGAGGAAACCAAAAAAAGGTTGAACAGCTGAAGCTGGATAATGCCAGCTCCATCACTACATCAACGTTTGATCCATCTCGTAAAACAATTTTTATCGTTCACGGTTTTGCCCATCATTCCCAGAAACCCTGGGTGATTAGGATGAAGAATGAATTGTTGAAGCGATATTTGTGTAATGTCATCTGTGTTGACTGGAGGAAAGGAGCGTCGTATCTTACCATGTTTTATTTAAGAGTAAGTTACTTTTCATATTATGTCACTAACAACTATGTTTATTCCTCGCAATTTAGGTTATTTATTTCACTCTACGGTGATGGACAAGTAGATTATTGACACTCGGATTGACAAGGTTACGAGGGTTAGCTATTGTCTGAGAGTCCGTTTTCAGCGAGGGTGAAAACTCTCAAAGCATTCGTGGGAAACCAACCCACGAATCTCGGCTTTGATTTGTTTGCAATACTGAAGGTCAGGACACTGAAGTTACTCAACTGAATTTCATCGACCTCTTTTATACTAGAATTACCTCTGGGATACGAAACATGATGTTAACGTCTGCCAGTTGAGTCATAGTAGCTCGAAACAGCAACTTATCACTAATGAAATCGAAACTAAACTAGCATCCAAAATAAATCAGACAAATGAGACAATATCAGCATCGAGGTGCATTATTTACCGTTTAAACACACACAGGTTACCAATTAAGGCAATCATGCATGCACTGCAGTTATATGTTTATTCATTCTACATTTTTCTACCAGGCCCGCACGTATATCATAGGCCCACCAAGGAGTAAGATCGACAAGTGACAATGCTTTAAAAAAAAAGAGACACACGATTGAAAAAAATACTAACGACAGGGAAAAAAACGCAATGTGACATTATATGACGAATGTGACATGATATGACGCCGAATTTTAGCCTCAATACTTGCGTCGGCAGCGACAACAAAGGATGAGGTGATGTTCCATCACTTATGTAGATGCTCAAAGCCTCGATTGTAAATTATTTTTTTAAGGTACAAAATTGTCTGTTGAATGTGCGACATTTACAAAGATTAGAGATAATTGCAGTTGATTTATTGCAATAAGACTCAGTCTACTAGAGTACTAGTATTGGTACTTGGCTCCTTTTTCGCCTGGTTTCTTTCAATCTTCATCTAGTGTACAATTCAAATATATATTGTAGAGATATTTCGAATGTTATATTTTAACACTATAAGTCAAGAGTGGCACACGCCTTAGTTGTTGAAGAGTTACACCTTTTGACATTTCAGACGGGAGCTAGACTTGACCGGGTTGCATATTATGTATTCATGTTTTATGTTTACATACTGTGGGAACAATATCTTTCAAAAGGAATTAGTTGGGCAAATATATGAATATACACGGTCCCGCCATCCCCCACTTCCAGCAACTGTCCAGAACAACTGCTCAAAAACAAGTCAGAGCTAGGGGACATGTGTTCACCCTTGGTGGTCTTCTTTAATCGAAAGATTTTATCTCCAGGCTGTTGCAAATGCTCGTCTGGTTGGTGCACAGATTGCATACCTTATTCAAATTCTGAATGACGTCACTGGCGTACGTACTAAATCAGTTCATATCATTGGTCATAGTTTGGGCGCTCATATAGCTGGTTATGCTGGGAAAAGATTAGCAAGAAAAGGCTTGTCCATTGGTCGAATTACAGGTACTTGATTATCCACACGTGCATAGTAATCGAAGAATGAGCATCTTCTCTGACCTATGCAGACTTGTGCAGTTGTACCTGACACCTGTGAAAACTTTATCCATTTTTTTCATACCTATATCCGTCATCGTTAGGAAAGTTCTCTTTATAACTAACTTCTTGTTCTCTTTCCCTGCTCAAGGTCTGGATCCAGCCAGACCGCAATTTGAGGGAAGCCATGCCGAAGCACGTCTTGATAAAAGCGATGCGACTTTTGTTGATGTCATTCACACCAATTCCGCACCATTTCTCCTCGGTGGTGCTGGATACCGCGGTCAGATTGGTCATGTTGATTTCTACCCTAACGGCGGAGAATATCAGCCCGGATGTGAAGGATTGTTAAAATGTAAGGAACGAGTGTATCTCTCACAACATACATTGAAACGATATTCCTATTTAAAAGTACATCTCTCCCAGTTAAAACTGTTAAAACAAAAGTAGTGCTAGGGCGGGAAAAAATTTTCTTCCATTGAATGCTCCTGCAACAACAAAATAACATAAATACAAGAATAACATATAGGCGACTAAACGTGCGTATTGATTCACATCAATCGGTATTGATTCACAACATCGGTAAAATGACGCATCACAGTCGCAATGATCCTACCCATGATCATACCTGTAGTGAATATAACCGAGTGGGTATTTTGATTAAGATGTAGATATTAAATAACATTGCTCAAACTCAGTATTAGATTTTACGAATTATAGCGATCTGGCGAAGTGGCATTCTACATGCGGCAACGTGCCATCACATGAGGGCAGTTGAATATTTTACTGCATCCATTGGACAAGAGTGTTTGTTTCCAGCTTTTCCTTGTTCGAGTTGGAATGAATTCACTAAGGGGCAATGTTTGAAAAGATTCCACGTCCGGGATATAATACTGATGGGCATGCAAGCACAGCAATGTAATCAGCAAGAAGAACCGATGTATCTAACGACAATGCACAAATCGCCTTTTTGTGGTATGTTGATATTTTAAAAATGATTAATATACAGTTATCTGAACATCCTCCACCTATCAAAAGGCATGACTGAGTCTATCACCACACAATTTGAACTTTTGGTCTAATTGTTAGGTATATATATATACAAAGCCTTAACGTTTTTGAAAGAACAATGTCAATGAAATTAGCTACATCATGCACTTTGTGTCATGTTAAGTAGATAAGGGGGACATCAGTTTTTATAGGAAAAGATGATTTACAATGGTGAAAGGCACGTTCCAGTTTTTATCTTTAAAGCAAGATAAATTCGTATACTCTTTTTCAGTTTACAACTATGTGATTCTAATATACTATTCAAGAAGCGAAAGAAGCTATAATGCTCTGTATTTCCAATTGAGTGGAAGTAAAGGCAAAACCGAAAAGAAGAAGATTCATTTGGGCAGGTATAAAAATTGAAATTATTCTCTATCCACCCAAGTCCATGCAGGGTATATAGTGGCACGACGAGACAAGCGGTACATATTATAATGTAATGCATACTGCATACATTACCTGAACATTATCAGAGACGGACGTCGTCTGTTGTAGGCAACAGCATTTTAGTATATTGGCAAGTAAATAAATGACGACGAATGTCAACGATGGCTTTGTTCAGATTTTCAATGATTTCGTGCATTTTTACGTCAAATAAACCATTTGATATTGGGCTGCTATGCTGAGTAATGTTCAAAAAATCCCTGGCTCGTCAAAACAGGCCTTACATTTGTGGTACATTCGTAATTTTCGCAATCTATTTCAATCCTATTTCCTGCGCCATTTTTCACAACAAGATTAAAGATAGGAATATCATATAGGATTTATATGAGTATAGGCTCAAGATCGAAATAAAGTTAGTCGGGTCGACAACTGAGATATGGACACTGTTGTCTTTAACTTACATTTACAAAACTAACATTTACAAAAAAAACTTGAAAACAAAGGGGAAATGGGATTGATATTAATGTAACACTCTTTAAAGCTTACTACTGTGTTTTATAAACTTTATCAGGATTTCTTGAATTTCTTAGGGGAACTGGGACCAAATTAGAATTGACCACAGATAATACAGATATCGGAGAGTTGCTTAACGTGGAACTGTTTTACTACGGATTTAGTTCATTACATGTCCATAATGTTCGTGTGAACATTCTTCATAGAAATGAAATGTAGGTAAATGCGTGCAATGCGGCTAACTCTTGCACGATTGCAAGCTTTGACATCTATAACCTCGCACCCAGGTCTCTAAGAAATACACACAGAGACCTGGTTACTGGCACAATTTAAATTTGAGGACCTTCCCCACTGTTTTCTCCCATTTTTACCATTGAACCTGAATAGCCTGATAACATTATTTTATACACACCAAAAAATAGGCTTTAGAACGTTTTATTGGAACACTGCCCGGCATATGGTCCTTTTCGCCACTTGCATTCTTCACATTTCAAAATAATAGCGCGTTTTTTCATTTGTTTCAGGTATATTTCTTGTTTTGACCAACTGTTTGAAAACAGTTTCTGGTTTTTTTGGAGACTTTCAGGAACAACGAGCAGACGCGAGGCTTATATCGGTGAAGAGTGTGGAACGATATTTTTCTGAGTCGTATAATGAATATAAATATGATTTTGAGGCACAGACGTAGTTTGAATGGCATGTAGCTACAAACAATAATTATATTATAATTATAGGGCCATTAGATCCGCATATCTAACTAGTAATCATGCTTTCATAGAGCAATTATCAAATAGTTCACGCATATTTATTCCTGAAATGGAATTTTTGGTATGTTAACACATAGCTGTGGTTAACTGCTATGCACCATGAATTCATGGTATGAATTCAATGCTTTAAACATCTTATCAACTATGTACAAATTAAATCACTTTATCTTCTTTACTGCTTTTTTATAGCGGAAGTCGTAAAAAAGTAAAGTGCATGATAATTTTTCCTTCCAGAAAGATCTGTCAAGAAACACTTAAACCCAATTAGTACGAATGTATAGAAACAACGTCAACCGGCGGTCATTTCTCTGCTAACGTTTTCTGCTGCGAATTTTTTTTGTATATACTGCACACACATTGTTTAACATCTCATTACAAAATGCTTGTTTTTTTTCTGACAACCAGAAACTTTTGAACAAAGTACTTTTTTACAGTATTAAATACTTACGTGGTGTACCTACAAGCTAAATTACTTATTGACTGTGCAAACATACAAGAATATTATTAGGAACTTTTTGTTCAATTCACGCATTGGTCACACCAGTGTCAGTGAACATTACAGTTCACTGGGTCACACTTGGTGGGATGTAAAATGAAGTATTGCAGACAGTTTTGAAGAAAATGGCGACGGCAACAAAGACTCTTCAAAGGATTAGAAATTTTCTTTCTGGCGTAAGTTACAATATATTTTTAAGCGTAAGTACTTTTTTGCCACTGAATACTCATGAACTTCGTGTTTTCTAGCAAAATCTTCTCATAGCTCAAAGGTATGTGGAGCAAGTCTCGTCTGAAGTTATGGTTATGGCTCCAAGGTTTGATCATTTTTTATATTTGTACTTTTTGCACCAAACGTTCAATTGAATGCAAATAATCTGCCGGACATTTACATGGAAAATTTTTTAGAGCTTCAATCTTTACAAATAATCAAATCCAGTTGACATTGTTTTATGGTTACTTTAATTGTGCGTCAACTAGGAAATATTATAGTCAATATAGAAATCATTGATATATAACATAAGATAGCTCATAAGGCACGGCTAGTGGCTATTGTTGTTTGGCATAGCTAATTTTAATGATTAAATTGTAGGAAATACAAGTGATGGATTATTTTTATTATACATGGACTTTTAAACATTTTCCAATTTAATTATTCGTAGATGGTTGATAAACTTACAACATGTAAATCTCTCGCAAGTAACACATAGTTTGGTTTACAAGGAAGGATCTCCCTTTTCACAATTTTCTCAGCTTGCTCTTATGATAAGTAATATTGTCCGCAATTCAATTCTCTGAAAATCATCAAGTAGTAAAAATATATCAATTCACTGTGCTCATCAATATTCCATGAAAAAGAAATGCACAAAAATGTGCAAAGTTGCTAATATACTAAACAATCCCAACACTGAGGATGATTGTATACATCTTATATTAATACAAGTAAAATTATTACCTTCCAGATCATCCTTATTGAAACATTTGTTAGGCCATGGCACTGCCTAGTTGTGAAATTTCCAGTACCATTAACCCATTTTTTATATGTACGGTTCCACAATGTTCCTGGCTAGGTGAAGCTAATATTTTCTTTGCTAAGTGCTTCAGTAGATAAATTGAGTTTTTCAAGCATCCATGTATTTTGTTTTTATTATATAACAAAAACTGTTTTTTCAAAGTTTTTTTACCTCCCAGAGCATGTATACCTCCTTTCTGATTGGTGGATCAAACACAATAATCGCACATGTTTTGTTATCATGAATAATTGCACATGTGTTATTATCGCTCTCCGCAATGGCAGATTTGCCAATAAAACACCCCATCAGGGGCGGCGGAACATAATACATTTTGGGGGGGGCTGATTTCACGAGGCGCCACCATGGTTGGCGCCGAGGGAATTTTTTTTCGAATTTCAGTGCTCTAGATCTTCGGAAATGGCCATTTCAGAGTCTTACTTGCCGCTTTTATCGTAGTTTTCCATTGGCAAACACAAACTGAAAACGGCGCAGCGCGTGTAGTGATATCTTCTACATTTGAAAAAGCATCTCTCATGCTTCATTCTGGCATTCTTCATGAAATTTTTGGGGGGGCTAAGCCCCCCCACTTTTACTTCTGGGGGGGCTAAAGCCCCCCTAGCCCCCCCTGTTCCGCCGCCCTTGCACCCCATGTATTATATACACTGTTTTACTGTTTATATTTGAGTCTAATGTCTCATGCAATGTCTCAAGGTTAGTCTCGGCATGAGATGATAGAGTGCCTTTGAATACTAGATTGTTCGTTTTTAGGACTCAAGAGCCACCCAATTTACCAGGTGGAGTAGCTCACAAACTGGCTGCCAACTACTATTGCAGTAGAGATTTACGACGAGCGGCTGCGCCACCGACTATTGGTTATACATCGCAAAATCTTTTGGAATCTGGGTAAGAATGATTTTTAACTGCGTGGTTTGTACATTATCTGCTCTAAAATCACACGTGAGACACATGTGATCGCACGTGTTTCACATCGTTTTCTCGCATGATTTTGAAACACGGTCATGTGGGGTTTTTGTAAAGGCGGTGCTATGAGCGAAACCTCTAGTTATTGAAGTAGGATTGGTAAGATGCCGTGACTCACAAAAGCAATATCCGTCACTCACAAAAGCAATATCCAGCGCTATTCTAGACTTCTAGTAGAAAATATTTGTAGCAGTATTTCATTTGAAGCAATATTTTTGTGGGATGGGATTTCCAATCGTGTGAACCTTTTCTGAACCTTTCAGCCATTGTTACAGCGTTTGTTTATCTGTAATTGCTGGCTAGTTGGCATACTACCAATAATTGTAACGAGAGAACAGGACACGTTATACCATTTGCAGTAAAAACAACGATACTCGGTGTACATCAAAATTTAATTAAACAGGATGTATGTCATCTCAATCTAATATGACGGCTATTTTAATCAAGCCTTAAGAACGACGCTATTTTTTAAAAGTTGACTAAGCAATGTGAACAATGTTGTAGTATATATTACCAGTTGTTTTGAACTACTGCTACATGGGTAATCTAGCCTTATCTGGGGCAGTTTTATTTCGAGGCCTGTTTATAGATGAAGTAGTCAATCAAAAATATGGATCAAATATATACATTCATCAAAACACCGAGTCTAAATTTTGCTACACAGGTGGAACAGCTATATATGCATGTATGTCTGCATATTTCCTGCATGTTAGGTTTCATTTAATGAAGTTTAGTCATTCACAAAATGCGTGAAAATCAGGTTGTGGAATTTTAAGGATTAATGGCTTTCGAAGAATCGCCGCCCGGCAATTACTGGGATACTGAGACTCGAAGTGTGTTTTTCCATCGGACTATTAAATCTCTGTGTATATCACAGACTGCATGTGTCACACAGCCTTTCCTGTCATGCAGGTCAATAATATATATTTACACCTGTTTCTCTTTCTCATTATCTGTTTATTATGAGACACATGTATGCCATATTTTCAAATCTGCGCGCATTTATCACGATATGTGTCTCGCCTGTTAAACTTTCTCATAAATTTCATATTATATATGAGAGGGTTATCTCTGGTTTCATTTTTTTTCAAATCCATATATCGACGCCTATTTAATTTCTCATAATTTGAGACGTTTATTAGCGGTCTAGATCTCTGGATATTTTCAATCATTGTGTACATTATCTTTCTACATGCCGGTTCCACTTTCACTTTCAGCACGCTGTACACGCTTTATAACAAGAGCTCTGCAACATGCGGTTTTTTTCAACCAAAATGTTTCCCCGCGACATTTTTTTTTCGTGTTGTCAGTCTGTGATCCGCAGCAGAAACTTAACAGTGGCGGCTTATAATTTAAGGAGGAGCAATTCAGGGGCAACCTCGAGGTTTTGGGGGAGTAATAAAGAGATTTAGAGAAGATAAGATACCTCTATTTGCCCATGCTGTGTTATTAGATACGCATTTAGATTCGACTTTGTCGCATATGGACCGCTTTGTCGCTCGTGTGGCCAGTAATTGATGTCCGTCTTGCATGACTTACAATTTCTCTTAATATTCTAATTTTTTCAAGGGCCGAGAGATGCAACATTGCGGCAGAAAATAATTGTTGGGGGGAGGGGGTGATTTGCAAACCCTCTTGGCGCCCCCACTGCAAGTGACTGCTACCTAAGGAAGCATGGGGGCAGACGCACTTCTCCTACTCACCCCCCCTTTCCCTCGAGCCGGCATAATCAAGTCAGAGACCAGTATTAGGTTTAAGTCAAACGTCGAAACCATTAAAAACAAATAGATAACGAGCCATTTTAGCTTATTATCTATAATGCGTTTGGTGCATGAGAAGTACGACGTTTGACCTAGGCCTTAGCTGCGTTTCTGTGATTGATAAGATACGTCAAGGGGTAATTTACCCTATATGGCATCCCATCCATGTCTCTTGTCCTCTAAATTTCACTGTAGCAGCTATAAGTCTTGAAACTGTGCAGGTATATTTGATGTGATAGTTAAATAAGTCAATTTTTTTCATTTAGTTCGCAGACGAAGGAGTTAAAAAGTGAGATATTGGCAGGTTTATCTCCTGGCTCTGTCTACGTTCCTCCGCCTTGAATATCTCTTTTATACGAACAGGCGCGTTTATAATCTGATATTTTAGAACGTAATTGTCTATTGACGCATTCTTTTGTCTGAAAAACGTGGTGTCGGTGTTTGAAGCAAACTGTGCAAATTACATAGTATTTATTTTTTATTCATATGTATGCGCTTTATTTTTTGGAATTAAGCTTCTGTATTATTGAGTAGAAAATGAATTATTCATATATGTTAAGGCATGCTTAATTTCGTCAAAGATTTGAACTCGAATTTGAATTTGCTTATATGAAATTTACCCTGCGTATATATTTGCAGTACTGTATGTTTGGAATACTATTAAAAGTTTTTATAATTCCGTTCGGAAATTCGCAAGGAACATGTCCAACGGATGTTAACAATAATGATAATCAACTTGAATGTGCGCTTTTCTTCTTTTGATAGATGGGAATGAGTAATAAGTTACGAATGCTCTGATGTATAAGAGCTCTTATTTGAACATCGGTAACTAATTCACTCGTTCACATGTATCAAAAGAAGAAAATCGTACATTAAATTGCAGCAAGAATTGCAAGTGTAAACGGGCCTTAACAGTTAACACATAACAATTACACATAACAGTTTAGCAAACTCGAATCAAGATTTAGTACTTATAAGCATCCAACCAAATGATAAATTTAGTGAGTGTTTCTCTTCCAAATCTTTCTTGCATTGGTTTATACTATATATATACTGACTACTCTTCCCAGCATACCACTTTTTCCCATATTCTATCATTAAACTACCTCCGGTGAATCAAGCATGAATATACAATTATTACAATAAGCCATTTAAATTTAGATTGTCCTGCCAAAACATAAACTTCGAACTCTGAGGGAATCAAGGGACGATTTCCTTATTGTTTGAAGGGACTATAATTGCTTATTATGACTCGTAAGCGTGGGACTGACTTTGCAAGAACCTACGACAGGGTATACGTCGTGTTACACGGTATATACGTAGTATATGTGAAAAACCATCATCCTTTGTATGCGAGCTCGGAGATGAAGCTTTGAACTTGAAGGCTTTTGACGGCATTAATAGAATCAGCTTTCTGTGTTGCAGAGGAAAATGCAAAGAAAAAAATGTTATTATCGTATCTTTAGCATCGCGTGATGTATTGATAAAAGAACACGCTATCAAATTTCAGTTCCATTATTTCATAACAGTGTTGATATTTAGCCACTGGTTACATGAAGCAAGCTATCCTATGTACTGCAGTCATGTTGTGTGTACATGCCGGTTCATTTCCTATTCTATGTTTATTATTCGCTTTAAAACAGTTTGAGCACAGCATAGTCAAATAAATCTGACATGCAAAACATTGCAAAGCCAACGGAAAGAATTTATATTTCGCACTAGGACGATTATATTAATAGTTCACTATATATTGTCTGCAATGGGCCCTAAAATCACTTGTCGTTTAGGTCGAACAGTTTGTCGTATGCTTACGATTGTGTGTACTTTACTTCATCCGTGCCTACTATATTTTAACAATTATGTAAACAATTTTTCGATAAAGTGTTCTCCGGTGAGCAAATATGCGAACAGCCGTGAAGTTGACTGTATGCACAAAAGCATCCAAAATTACTCTTTATAATTTTGTGGGAATCTATCAAGCTGTTTTCAATCAAATGATGTCCTTCCAAGACTTTGTGCCAGTCTTGCCATGATTGTTTAAACACGACAATACTGCGTGCTAGAGTTATTGTTTTCACGCCCACTTGACTATGTACATATTTACAAAGTCGTGGGAGGCCTCCGAGATTGTATTCCAAACTTTGAACAGTTACAAATAATTTGAACCATTCGCCTGCTTCGTGAGTATACTGGACACGGATTGGCAATCAGCTGTCTACAGACTCAAGTTCTTGAGGTTTTAATGGCAATAGTGACGTAATTAATTTAAGGAGTTCATAGGCCTTTCATATCTTTCGTCGCGCCATGTGTAAAATAACAAACCACCTCTCTTTGTGTCGACGACCGCTTGATAGATATGGAAATTGCTGGAGACTGGCCGTATAACAAACTGTGATTATATATTAGAGTTTCTTAATTTGGTAAATGCCTATGTATGCCTGTATTGGGAAAATGCCAATCAGTGTATTATTCTTTCGTTTGCTTCGTAATTTCCAGTTTTTCTCAAGTTGTTACCACACGATGTATCGATCTAAGTGGTCGTGTAAGATTTAACTCAATTTCCCCATAGCTATGCCTATCAATGTGGGGAATGCGAAAAATTCAATAATAATAAAGGGTGAGAAAGCCTGTCATTCCAAGCCTACGTCTAACATTGCTTCATCTTTTTCGGAATGGCATATAAAAGCCAAATTTTAATCCCATTAACCGAGATCACATAAACTCGTTCATCTTAGGCTAGCATCACTGTCACGATTGCGTGTGTGAATGTCGCAAAACCTATTGAAACTGCTCAAAAAAGAGACAGTTTGAATACGAATTAATGTGTTTGAGGGATGTATATCAGCATAAACGAGACGATAATCTAATCTACAGTCAATCAAAAATATTTAGCTGTGAAAAATTTATGGAACCGAAGCCACAAAGCGAAACCAAATTAAAATGCAGAACTGGGGTCTGTGGGCAGTGGAAATATAATTTAACAAGTTGGTTTTGATAAATGTTTGTGGGCGAAAGGTAGCAGGATATTTTGGTTTATGCGAACGATGTCGCACGGAGCATATGAAAGCAAAAACTTGGCAGATATAGGGATGAACAATTGAGGCATTAACATTTTTCTCACCTTGAGTACTAATTACGTCAATGCTGTAGCTGCGTGCATTGAATCATTAATTGGTTTATTAGATTAGGAGTTTTCCAACCTAATTTAGTCAAGGTTCAAAATGAGTTTGGAAAAAGTACACTTCACAATTATTATTTAACTATCAAAATGCATATATCTTCAACCGGTTGCATGTTACCGATCCTGCTCTTTTTCAACCCTTGTAAATTAGCAATAAAACAATTAATTGTTAACGAGAAACTTCACTTTAAGAATTCTATAGAGTTCAATCAGAGTCGTACTTTAAAACCACGGACAATTTTAGCGACCTCACTCCGGTGGGTAACGCAATCCAACACTGAACCACCAGGCTCGCAGTAAATTATATAGTTACTACGTACTAATTACTTAATTAGGCGCGACTCACGTCTTGGGTATGCAAAAACACGGTATTTATAGATCGTAATCAACTTGCATTCCAAACCTTCTTACACTCAAAGATTTTTTGTCTGAGTGTTGATTTAATGAGCTTTGACGAAAACGTTATCTTAAACTACGTGCATCTAAAATGAACAAGAAGCATGCATAAGAGCACCATAAGTAGGTATCATAAATCACGGTGTTAATTTGACCATTTTTTGGCTCATACCCCTGTGAATTAAGCTTATCGTTCTCAACAAATCGCATTTCCTATGAGAAAAAACCTGGAAGTGGGTCAAAATCAAAACAGTCTGATGTAATCGAGATTGCAATATAGTTATTTACGTCCAATATTTCATATATTCATCGTGTTTATTCAGGTGATTTTAGATTACTCAACCTACGATATCTATATAAGTTGCACGGTATTTGCTGCATCCACATGGCTGGTGGCTTCGAGATATAAACTGGCAATCACTTTATCCAGCTGCGCATGAAGTCCTTGGTGCATTTTGCAAAATGTATTAACACCAAATATAGAAGTTAAACAATACGTGCGAATATACGTGGTCGTCTGACTAGTGTGAACAATGAATATGAACTATGATAGTTGTGAAGTTCTATATCGTGAAATCAGTCGATACTGTTTTGAAATTCTTCATTGTTTTCATCCAGCAACTTACAATATTTCACCGTTGACACGGCAACCATCATGACCTCTATAATCTTGCTTATAATTGTTCTTGTTTAATGGCACCTCCTCATTCAGCACAAGATTGTTTTCTTGCTGTTAGGGCAAATTCGCTTGCATTATTATTTTCGCCGCCATATTCATTATTTGCAATTGAGATATGTTCGGATCTATTGATAGTTTCCTTGGTATATTGTGCCCTTGATCGATACCGAGCAATGGGGTTCCCCCTCGTAAATATAAATCGAACACAAGTTGATGCACTCTTCCGGTATAAAGGGCTCAAAGCAATCAATACAATAGGGTTTAACATGCTAGCACTGAAGAACAGTATAACTAGAACTGTCCAAGAGTATGTGTGCTCCTCCAGGGAAGGAGTAATCAGCTGGTAATTGGCAGTAAGCATGTATATAACCAGGGGAAGATTGCATGCCCAGAATACCGCTACTAAGACTACAGCAATACGCGATACACTTTGTGTCTGTTTGATAAATGACCACCGTTGAACGCCCGTACTTTCGTTGCTATTTTCCCGTCGTCGCCGGAATTTGCGCAAGGACCTCACACAAAAGATGTAAGACAATGTGGTAATGATGCCTGGTAAAATGATGAACAAGACAGCAGACGTCTTGTGTGCATTCATTAGCTTGACTGTACTCCATTTTGGTAAACAGTATTTCCCATTACTTGTCATGACAAAAGCCATTGGTAAACCGGCGAGTAGATACGCTACAATCCAGATAAGTGTTATCCAGTATTTTGTGTGGCGTTGAGACGACTCCAGAGAGAACGGGTTTATGATTGCAACCGCACGTTCCAAACTAATTGCCATGATTGTCAAAATTGATGCCAGAACGAGAACGTCTCGTAATGGCACGAGATAGCGGCAGACAAACTCACTCATTGGGAGACCCTTCTCTTGAGTTAAGTGTAAAGGAACACAGTATATAAGAATCAAGATATCAGCGACTGCTAGATTCGTTATGAACGATGTCTTGTACTCTTGACGCAATCGTAAGTCTGATAGGCATAGACGTCTAAGACCAGTCACAATGATTATTATATTTCCTACAACGCCAAGAACCGCCAGTGTCGAAAGCACAACTAACTGCATAAGCAGAGTATGCTCAAGAAACTCGATTGAGCCTGGGGTGGAGATATTTCCTCTTGCCGGCACTGTTATATTGTACTTCATCGCTCAACTGTTTGTACTCGGCGCACGTTGTTCCGATATTCGCGTTGATATGTCGAGAGCAACGCCAAGGTGCGTCTGTTGATTAACCCTGGCTACTTGAACGATATACTAGAGATCTGGAGCATTTCGTGAAACAGCTTGAAAATAGATCGCTGATCATGCTGACTGCTTCCAGTTCGTTCTTGTGCCGAAACGAAACAGGCCTGCCACCCGTGGTTATCTTATATTATCTCCCCAGGGCGTGACAGCAGGGCGGTTGATTGATTGCTATCTTTATTTATTGAGAGAACTCTGATAATATGATAACCTTAACTGCTTCAATTTGTTTGCGCTCGTATTGGATTTGTTTTTCACATCAATATTTTAATTGTAATTGCGAATTGTTACATTTCCTATGGGAATTTGCACGTGATAGCGATAACTCAATTACAACAAACCTTATTAAATCATCCGTTTCTCGTGTCTCCATGTTTGCATAATGCATATCACGCTTTAACAGTGGTGTGGATATTAAACCAATTACACAAACATATATTTACTAAAGTAAACATCAGTTTATATACAGTATTACAATTATATATTTCATATGAAATGGGGGAAACTCTGTGGCGAATGCTTAAAAACAATCTTGTTGTGCAAAATTATGACGATTTTATTGTCGCTACATTTTGACAAAATTTCGTAGAAGCGATAAGAAAAATGCAAGTAAATTCACAAGATATTGATATTATAAAATACTTTTTTGAACTTATGACTTTCAAGCATTACAATAGCTTGGTTTGCCCGTTGATGAAAAGAATACCGAGTAGGCCAAACAGCGGGTGGGTGCCCGGATGGCAGGTTTTTTCGCTGCCCCCTACTGCCTGAGTACTATACCTACTGCTTAAGTTACTATAGCTTCAAGAATCGTGTGAGATAGAAGTAAAGAAATAGTTGTTTAGTTTTAATTTAAACTTGGCGTAGGAATAGTTACACCATTCTCTTGTGGGCAAGGAAAATTTTCTTGACCCGTGTCAGCTCGAATAAATGTCGATGACAAAAAATATAGAGTGAACCGTCAGAGTCTGAGTAAACCCTATGTTGACAATCTAATACAGGGCTTACTATGAATATATGATATCATAATCAGTCTATGATGATGGCTTTGAAATAGAGATGAAACACTGTGCCATTGCAACAATGCTTAAGGTAATTAACCGCGGCATTCATATTTTAGCATGGTTATATGCAACTCTAAAATTAAGACACGAGACGTTTTGAACAATTCGATTCCATAAATACCATATGAGAACAACAAAATTTGACATTTGACTTGACTATATTTCGAACATTCTATTTATATATTTTCCAATTTGCCTTAATATATTAGTATGAAACATAAACAACAATGTTTTAAATAATTCAGTAAAGAAATAAAGAAAGATTTTATTGCATTGCCATCTCTTTGGTAGCATGCATGAATTGTATTTCGTTGGATATTATAAAGTTGCTTTGACAGATCCTGAACGCTTGGCATATCGTCAACACAGTAAAATTGGCACATGTACAAAGTGTGTCATTAGCATTATCAACAACTTTGGATTAAAATACAGGAAGCAGGAATAGCCAGAAATTAAAATACAGAAATAGCCAGGGAGCAGCGTAGCAGCGTCTCGAATAACTTCTCACTAAATGTGGTGTAACAAGTAACAACTGCCAAAAAATAGACAGAAAAACTTCTCGACGTTTTGAGCTGAAGGCCTTCGTTGGAAACGTCGAAAAGTTATCTGTCTTTTTTATACAACAAATGATGTAAAATACTTCAATATAGATTTTTCTATTCATCAAGGCGATAGTAACTTCTATTATTAGTGGTCACCGCGAGAAACAGTTAACAGTGATGCTAAGGTTATTTTTTACGCAAAGGCAAAAACAGCTGTTTGTGCCTAAAAAGTAGTCTAATCTTCAATTCGGAAGAATTGAGTGGCCATTTCTTCCCCGTTACTAAATTTGAATTCACCGAATCAATCACCGTGCTAACCACCCCCAATTACCAACCCCTTGGCCGACACAAAACGTGGAACGAGCCACTGGGAACGAGTACTGGACGAGCATGCGCGGGCATGCAGGTTTAAAAATGTTCAAGCAAGATGGCGGGTGTTGAGGAGGGGCAAGAAGAATATCAGGGCGAAATGGTCGAAGGAGAAGCAAAAAAGCTGATTGAAAGTTTACAATTCAAGAATCCTGGTCCACAATTAAAAAGTTTCTCTGAATTTGATCCCGAAAATAGTGCAAGGGAGTTAAGAAAGATTAATAGATTGATCCTTGATACGGGTGTAAAAGGCAAAGGGCGAAAAGCTAAAGGCCATGCTAAGCCTGCCTTGCATGACAATTCTGGGAGGCTGGTATCAAATAAGATGGACTTATGCGACTGTCAGGATGAGAATTGTGCTGGTTGCCATTTTCCATGCGCATCTTGTGGCTCCGAGAAATGTGGCATGGAATGTCGTTGTAATCGGATATGGACATACTGTAAAGATGTGATGACTATTGATTCATTTATATTGAGTTTTAATCAAAGAATGGAAACAAAAACAAAGACAAGGTGAACCACCAGATGTTAATGAACTAGAAAAGATATTAAGTTGGCTGCATATTCAAAAACGGGCATTGATGAGAGTAAAGGCCATTCACGGTTGCACCACCATCATTTGTGGAATTTTCCACTTAATTGGTATCATGTAAGCTAAATTTTTTGGAATGTGACTCCAATTTTTTCAGTAACAAGCAAATTTAAAATTCTGCATAGTATATAATTACTGCAATAACTGCATGTATATTGCTTAGAAAAGGAAACAAAGTTGCAATAAAGACTAACAAGGTATAAGAACTTATCTGGGTGGAATGAAGAATACCTTTAATCCGGTTACCCGAGTGTTAAACAAAACATGTTTTTTAGATATACAGACTAATGAATCTTCGTAAATGTAGTGATGACATGATTGGCGTATTTCATGGTTTTCTGCATTTTATCAACATAAAATGTAGTTTATTGGTCTAAGATATTTCACTAAGTGATACTCTTTGTACCTTGTAAATGCAGCTGTGTATATATTTTTATTAACAGACTAAGCAGAGGGCAATGTTCTTAAAATGTTTTTTTTAACCTTTGACAAATAAGTTTTACACCTAGGTAGTTAAACTTGAGACTACTTATCATTGTTTGGAGAAAAGCAAAACTTAGCTTTTAAAGACTTAAGTTGATGTTCAGTTTGTAGTGAAAACAAATTGCTTGTTTACATTTTCAACTGCTAGATTTCTTAAAATTACTGTCTACATTTATACAAGTTCTAAATGGATATAAACTGGAGGCCAAAATAATGTAAGCAAGTTTCAAATCAGCCCCATGCATTGCTATGAATTAGAAAAAAACAAATTGGAAAAAATAAACAACAAGACCACAGGTGGAAGATACTATATATTTTGTTTAATTTCTATATAAACACCTTAGAGATAACCATATCTGACAATCTGTTTATCAAATAAACTACAAATTTAACACTCTAAAGTTTCAAGCTTTGCAATAAATAACTGTAAAGAATGTAAATAGATATATTTAGACATTTACATGAACTTTGTTTAACAAGTTTTTGCTCTAGTAAATGATCCACACACACAACTACTATTGTATTTTTAAATGACACAACTACTTTAAGCTTTGGACACCAGCATTTTTCATAAACTATTAGTGTAAGAGTTATTTATTTCATTTGAGTTGCTCTCCACTAGAAAGACATAGAAAAGCATCATCATAGCAGGTGATATACTGTTTTATACCATGTCATCAGTATATATAAATGGGTCAATTTCCATTTTAATAGCCAAAACCCTGATTTAAACATCTAAATGCTCTACAACTCATTTTGGAAAAGGAATATTGTTATAACATGCAGTACTTCAATGGATGTTTGTATGAAATAGTCTATATCTATGAACCAACATTTAGTGACAGTAATCGCATAGTATGATAGCTTCATGATCATGCTTAAAACATAATCAGGCATAAAACTTTTGTTTAAGGACCCTTAGCTTCTATAAATGCACATTACACATATTCATCCCTGCAACATATGGTGTGATAGATGAATTATTTCACGCAGTAGCTCAACCTTTCTCATAATTACATCAAACGCGGTATGCAAATGTCACACGAAGTTTGATGGCGCCGCAAAACTAACGAGCCAATTAAACATCCTGTAACATCTTGACCTGACTTCAATACGCGAGGTCAATGAGTATTACCGTAGCTATAATAAACAGTCCCTCAAACGTGAATAAATACAATTGTTGGAAAATTGTTGGTAGTTTCTTTCAAATAGCGTGATGTGATTGCGGTTTCGGCCGAAAACGCCGGCCTACTTTCGGGGTTGGCTTCATAGTTGCAGGACTGCATGTTTTTGTAGTTTATTAGAAATAGCGGTGTGATTCGATGGAATTCCAGGAAATTTAACGAGAGCTTCGGGGTTTCGTACAAAGGCACTTAATAGATTTGGGGATGACGCCTTAGCTGGAAAGGATTTCGAGTTTATTAATAGTCACATCGCGCAATAGTAATCAACATGTCTTACTGTGAGGATTTGCCAGATGAAAATAACGAGGAATTGCTAAATTTCGAGGGATGGCGTCTGATGTGACCATTCTGGATATGCCTGTAAAGCGAATTAAAGCAAAGCGGTGAATGTTTAGAATACAACCATCAGTAAAATTATAGAAATAAAAATTCCCCGTTGCTACTAAGCTATAAAGAGAATCACATTCGCGTTTTCGGCGGGTCCCAAAGCGTTCAACATAATTTACCAGTAAAGAATATTGAACACGTATTTTTCATTATGATTGAGAATTATCAGTTAATCAAGATTCGAGAAAAAGTTTACATAATTTTCAAAAAGGTGCGAATATTAGCTGAACTAATATTTCGATAGCACAAATCATTATAAGCTCATAGTTACTTTGAGAAGGTAAATATGCAGGGAAACGGTCGATTTGCTCCAAACTTTGTGTCTTTTTGCCTGGCTCGACGAAACTATTCGCTCTCATAACTGGCATCATATTTGGCGCTGGAAACGTAATGACCGGAGGGGCACCACAACGTCCATTACTCGGGGTTGCGGGTGGAAGAGCGAGGTGCTGGTTCATAACTGGAATAAGAGAAAATGCAAGCTACACATGTGTAATCGGTGCCATAAAACGGTTACAATCCTGACTAATATCAAGAAGTTACTTGTTTTGGGGACGGATTTTGGGAATGTGTACCCTTGATGGGCGCCTGCATTTTTTGTTTGAACGGTTCCATGTTTTTGGCACTATACAGTCTATACTTATAATCATGATCATTGTATAAAATCTGTATCGATTCCATGGTACCTGGAGGAACTTGAAATCTCGAATAGTTTCCACACCATGAGTTTCCACGATTGTCAAAGTATGGAAATGTCCCAACATTGTCCCAACATGTTGTTAGCGCTGAAATACTCGGTAATGGACCGTTTGCACCATTCGCAATTAAACGTTTGTTTTCTGCATTGCAAGAACGTGATGCGAGGCACACAACTGAAGATGGTGTGACATTGCTGCCCTGCTCTGCTGCTGGCGTGACACCAAAAAACGAAAACATTGCGGGCGCGTTTCCACTGTCTGGTGTTGGAGGAAAAGCGGGGAGTTGGGAAATAGCTAAAACAACAAGAGAGGTAAGAACAATCATGACAAGAAATCAGCTAAGGAGGTTAAAGCCTGGTTCACGCTGGGATCCCTTTTGTTTGAATTTATCGGTGCACAATGCTTTGTATATCGGAAATAATACAATAGATCCCCGATTCTTAGGACCTGCGGTGACCAGGCCTAATTTCAATCACTCAGTATTTGCTCTCTTTAGGACTCGTCCATGATCATCACGGTTATAGTAAATTGTGAACTCCTGCTTTCATTAACACAAACTTTATGGAAAATAGCTACTTGCTATAACGGTCGAATGTGCAGTAAACAAGTCAAGAAACAAGTTGATTACAAGGTGGAAATAAGTTAGTCCAGTTGCGTTGTTAAATTGTCCAACGCACTGAACTCACAGCGCATATTGGGATTCCTATGAACAGACATGGTCTTACGTACCTGAAGAAGCTTGAAACCTGGTGTAGTTCCCGTACGTTGAGTTTCCACAAATTTGTGGTAGCAATGATGGTTGTTTACTGTTCGAATAAGGAAGTGTGCCAAAACCATTCCAACTTGTTGTTAGCGTGGAAATACCAGGTAATGTACCGTTTGTACCGTTTACGATTACACGCTTCTCATTAGTGGTATAAGAACACGATGCTGGACTTGCAATCGAAGAGGAAGTAATTCCAGGAAACGTAAACATCGAGGGAGCAATAGGGATATTCCCACTGTTTTGTGTCGGCGGTAGAGCAGACAACGGGGGGACCACTAAAACAACATGAAATATATAAAGCCCAGGTTACACCACAGACACAGTTGTCATCCATCTCATCTGTATTACTTCGCTTGTAATCACCGCTGTAAAATCCCTAATAACATACCTGAATACACAAATTTGGCTGGATCTCTTTTGCAGTACTGGATACTCTTAAAAATCAAGGTTACGTCAACTGTGCCAGGAGATTGAGTCGGTGGAGTCAGGACGCTGATGACTTGAGGCGTTACAATCTAAAGCAATGGCAGGGTGAGAAAGTTAACCTAATGTTGGCATGACGAATTTGGCGTATTCGATTCAGGGGAAAACTATTTGGATGGTCTTACCTCACTCCAGACAATAACAGATCCGAAAACAACCTGAACACCATCAAGGAAGTTTTCTCCAATTACAAAAACCTTCGTTCCGCCAGATGTCCAAGCCTCGTTCGGACAGATTGCATGGATAGTTGGTTCAAAAGTTATCCCTGTGAATCATAAAAGATTAAAATATACGGTGTAAATTAACACACACTCTCTAACGCGGTCATTGTTAATTTTGTGCCGTAAGTTTGCTTCAACGTATTTCTTTCTAATAATGTCGTTATACGTATATTTTAGCGGGAAATTTAAAACATTTGGAGCTTTGCCTTTGCCAGGAAATTTAAAAATCATTACGGAAAGACGCGAAAGACTCTCTGTGGCTTTTTCTCTTTCTGAACTAAATTTCTAGTCAAATACAAAGACTGAGGATCAAGTTCTGATAGTATGCAATGCAACGCTAACCAATGCATGGGATTTGGGTTGATAGAAAACGCAGATACAACATACCTTTTGGGCGTTTTACTCTACGCACATTGGAATATTTCGAATTATTATGAACAAAAAACTTTTCGGAGTAACCCAACGGTATTTTTTCAGTGGATACCCTTATTTGAAATAATCGTTTTCTTTTGGGAGTTCCTGCATTCTTTAGGCCATTTTGATTGCACTTCAAGTGAAACGTCAGTTTCCCAGTCATCGATCTATAAATAAATTTTGTTTTATAAAGTCATGATATAATTTTATAATTCATGGTATGTCTACAAATTGCTTGTCATTGTAACCGTTTCAACAAACTGTTGAAAAAAGTTTCGGCACATACTTGTCGATGACTGGATCTGCTGGTGTCTGAATTCGGTTACCACATGACTTATTCTCGTTACAACGGCTGCATAAAGAAGCAACAAGGTTATTCCGCAATTTTGACAGAGACCATGACCCAGTGTTAGAGATAATTTCATTATGGCCTAGTCAGCTATAAATCTAGGAATAATACTCCGCCATGACTTGTGAATATAATCTACTTGTCACGCAATTTAACGACGTTATATTTCATAAAACCATTCCAGATATCTAATTTTGGAATGAAACCGTTCTTGACACAGGTTTTCGAGAGAACTGTCCTATCCAGAATACTATCGTTATGGGCCAGTAACGCTGGGAGGGGGGTTGAAAGTGTGGATATGGTCTTACGTACTATACATATACCAACCATTTTTTTTTTAACAAATCTCATAGTCCGTTCTATATTCACCTCAGCTAACGCCATGCATATTGAACCTAATTATATTCCAGGCTAACTGATTGGTTTTCACGTGATAAGTTAGTCATCAATTACTGATTATAGAAATGTTGGCCAGTCCACTTGATGCTGCTAGCCATGCACTTGATGCACATTTCAACCTGCTGAAGCAAATTATTGCACAATTATTGCAAACATACCTACAAAGGACTTCGTGCGTTAAGAGGACTTTCTTTAGTTCCGGATGTTTATCTTTCCCATCGTACATGATGACCTGTCAATCCAGAACGAATGATATTACTCATTTCTCCGTTGAAAATCGTCTGCACGGAATTCTTTGATCAAAGTCTTTGATCCGACAAACATATAATTTGAAGAAATCATATGTACCATTTGACCGCCTACACTTGCAAGGAAAGAAAAAACGTTTTTTTTTTCAATTTGAAAACTCTGCCTCGTGGAAATGGAATATCGACTCTCACTCGATTTTCAGTTCTTTTTTCTATGAGAAGTTGACCCAAGCAAGACCCATAAACAAGTACAATCATACAAATAACAATCAAATTCAAGATTTTGCTTCATCGAATGATATTTCCTCGTAAAAAACGTCACGGAAAATCAGTGACGTTTAGCATTGAAAAATCGTCGCAAAGGCAGTAATAATACTTTTAGCTAGCCGATTGCTGAATTTTTCATGATGAAATTTATATCCCGAATCATGAACTTAACTTGTTTTTCAAGCGCTGAAATACAGGTAAAGAACTTTTATATGTTGGTATTAATGCATATTTTGAAAAATATAATAAATTTGAAGGTTTTTACTTCTTTTGTATTCCAATCCACTAAGTGGATGTCAACCTCTAGTTCCGGCACAGATTTCGACGACCCTGCAACAACAAATAATATCAATTTTTCATTAATTGTATGAATTAAGATGAATTCGGCCGAATTATTTCCTTCTAATTGAACCGGAACGGCTCACATTACACAGTTAACCGGCCAAAAAAATTTAATTTCTCTGAAACGATCAATCAAATCGGCACTATAAACTGAGGATATTTTTATAATTTGCGAAGTACAGACCTTCTTCGGATGAAAATTTAATCATATATCTCAAACCATTGCTCATTTCATTCGTCTGTGGATCCTGAATAAATAACAAAACAATATATCAGTTGAATTCTTTCCAGCAGCCATGGGTTTGCATTTCAACCAAGTTTAATTGCTGAATACTCAATGAACTGTGCAAATACTGTAAGGTATTACAACTTTCGCTTTTACACCTATACCTGGTATATAAAACTCTTGAACCTCGCCGTCTCTACATCGAGCAGCCTGTCTTGTTCGCTCAGTAAAGCGACATCGACATGGAAAAAGTTGCTTTTGCGTACATTCTGAGGAGGTTGCTTTTTAAACTCAATCCGTTTCAACCTATTCACGATAAAAATGATATCTTTGACGACTATGTAAATAAACCGAAAGGTCTGAACGTTATTGTTAGTATCCCAGAGGAGCAAAACAAATTCAAACCGCATGGGATATGAGACCCATGTGCATTTAACACTAGTCACTATTGACACTGCAAACTTTAAAAAGGAATCTCGTACGCACCTTGGTACAGCATCCATGTCTTCCGAAATGATATAATTGGCGCGCCTTGCGAGCTTTTAAATAATAAAGTAAGATTAAATATTCGAATGTCAAATGTCTCAAACGATATGATTGGTCGAAGCTCTTACACACTGTCCCTCAAGCCCAAGCTCCTTTGAAATCTTTCTATTGTAATAAACTAATAATTGGACTGCCCGAGCTTTCTGGCTGAACGCAGAGAAGCGTATTAAAAATACAACTTATATTCAAATTCCCAACAAGACAGGAGGCCTGTTGTAAGAAGGTTGAATGGCATTGCCATTCTTTTGCCAGATAGTATTTTTATTACCGCTGTAAAATAAATTCAAAATGACAATTACAATAGACAAGCCGAATTTAAGTCTAGGTTATGCCAAAAAATATGCGCAAAGCGATTAAATATAACGCAATCCGGTGGATATAGCGCTGCTAGCTTTCGTACTACAAACGCTCCGTTAAAGTGCAGTTCCCATACAGTTTATAATGCCCACGCCATCGTTCGCATTCAACTCGCAACGGATCTACATAACCCTAGCGGGACGGACAACTTTTATCTATCAGTTTCAACGTCCAGGGCTTTATAATCCACACTTGAGGCCGTAAGTCCTATATACCTATAACCTAATGGAGTTTATCAACACTACCGGGCATTCATCTGGAAACTACAGGGTTTATATGTATACAATGTGTGTGTGGTGAGGAATGGAGGGCTCTGGCTAGTGCGAGTATATTACGCTTGAGGTCTTAGGTCCTTTACTTAACCTAATAGAGTTTATCAACACTCCAGGGTGTGCATCTGGAAACTACAAGGTTTATGTGTATGTCATGTGTGTTTGGTGAGGATTGGAGAGCTCTCACTGACTAATGCGTGTATATTACGCTTGAGGCCTTAGGTTCTATACTGAAGCTAAGGGAGTTTATCAACACTCCAGGGTGTAAATCTAAAAACTACAAGGTATATGTGTATGCCATGTGTGTTTGGTGAGGAATGGAGGACTCTGACTAGTGCGTGTATATTACGCTTGAGGTCTTAGGTCCCATACTTAACCTAAAGGAGTTTATTAACACTCCAGGGTGTGCATCTGGAAACTACAAGGTTTATGTGCAAGCCATGTGTGTTTGGTGAGGAATGGAGGGCTCTGACTAGTGCGTGTATATTACGCTTGACTTGAGGTCTTAGGTCCTATACCAACACTCCAGGGTGTGCATCTTGAAACTACAAGGTTTATGTGTATGCCATGTGTGTTTGGTGAGGAATGGGGGGCTCTGACTAGTGCGTGTATATTACGCTTGAGGTCTTAGGTCCTATAGCTAACCTATTGGACTACACAGGCTGGTTATTCGAAAGGTGTTTAGCCTGAACGGGGGATAAGTTCCAAATGAAAAACTAAACTAAGTTTTTCTATTTAATTAAGAACAAAACTAAATATGTTGATGTAATTAATTAGCTTTCAATGGAAAGATATTTTTAGTGCATAAGATGTAGGTTAAATTCAGTCAGTCACAAGATGCATGATCTTTGGTATATCCACCGTTTAAGCTTAACGCCATTGCAATAACCGGCCCCAGTGTGTCTATCGGGGAACAACAGAGTTTGTGGCCTTATCGTGTGTGTGTGGTGAAGAATGGAGGGCTCTGCCTAGTGCGTGTATATTATGCTTGAAGCCTTATAGGTCCTATACCTAACCTAATAGAGTTTATCAACACTCCAGGGTGTGCATCTGGAAACTATAAGGTTTATGTGTATGCCATGTGTGTTTGGTGAGGAATGGAGGGCTCTGACTAGTGCGTGTATATTACGCTTGAGATCTTAGGTCCTATACTTTACCTAATGGACTTTATCAACACTCCAGGGTGTGCATCTTGAAACTACAAGGTATATGTGTATGCCATGTGTGTTTGGTGAGGAATGGATGGCTCTGACTAGTGCGTGTATATTACGCTTGAGGTCTTAGGTCCTATACTTAACCTAATCGAGTTTATCAACACTCCGGGTGTGCGTCTGGAAACTACAGGGTTTACATGTATACCATGTGTGTGTGTGTGCATGTGTGTTTGGTGAGGAATGGAGGGATCTGACTAGTGCGTGCATATTACGCTTGAGGTCTTACGTCCTATACCTAACCTATTGGACTACCCAGGCTGGTTATTCGAAAGGTGTTTAGCCTGAACGGGGGATAAGTTCCAAATGAAAAACTAAACTGAGTTTTTCTATTTAATTAAGAACAAAACTGAATATATTGATGTAATTAGCTTTCAATGGAAAGATATTTTTAGTGCATAAGATGTAGGTTCAATTCAGTCAGTCACAAGATGCATGATCTTTGCCTTATCCACCGTTTAAACTCAACGCCATTGCAATAACCGGCCCCAGTGTGTCTATCGGGGAACAACAGAGTTTGTGGGCTTACCGTGCTTACAGTGTGTGTGGTGAGGAATGGAGGGCTCTTCCTAGTGCGTGTATATTACGCTTGAAGTCTTAGGTCTTATACTTAACCTAATGGAGTTTATCAACACTCCAGGGTGTGCATCTTAAAACTACAAGGTTTATGTGTATGCCATGTGTGTTTGGTGAGGATTGGAGAGCTCTGACTAGTGCGAGTATATTACGCTTGAGGTCTTAGGTCCTGTACTTAACCTAATGGAGTTTATCAACACTCCAGGGTGTGCATCTGGAAACTACAGGGTTTATGTGCATGCCATGTGTGTTTGGTGAGGAATGCAGGGCTTTGACTAGTGCGAGTATATTACGCTTGAGGCCTTAGGTCCTGTACTTAACCTAATGGAGTTTATCAACACTCCAGGGTGTGCATCTGGATACTACAAGGTTTATGTGCATGCCTTTTGTGTGTGCTGAGGAATGGAGGGCTCTGACTAGTGCGAGTATATTACGCTGGAGGTCTTAGGTCCTATACTTAACCTAATGGAGTTTATCAACACTCCAGGGTGTGCATCTGAAAACTGCAAAGTTATGTGCATGCCATGTGTGTGTGGTGAGGAATGGAGGGCTCTGACTAGTGCGTGTATATTACGGTTGAGCTCTTAGGTCGTATACCTAACCTAATGGACCACTCAGGCCGGTTGTTCGAAAGGTGTTTAGCTTGAACGGGGGATAAGTTCCAAATGAAAAACTGAACTAAGGCTTTCTATTTAATTAAGAACAAAACTGAATATAGTGATGCAATTAGCTTTCAATGGAAAGATATTTTTGGTGCATAAGATGTAGGTTCATTTCAGTCCGTCACACGATGTATGATCTTTGGCTTATCCACCATATAAGCTAAACGTCTTTCCAATAATGGGCCCCAGGGTGTCTATCCGGGAACAACGTACAGAGTTTGTGCCTTTGTGGGCTTGCCGCGCGTGTGTGGTGAGGAATGAAGGGCTCTGACTAGTGCGTGTATATTACGTTTGAGCTCTTAGGTACTATACCTAACCGTATGGAGTTTATCAACACTCCAGGGTGTGCATCTGGAAACTACAAGATGTATGTGCATGCCATGTGTGTTTGACGAGGCTCTGACTAGTGCGTGTATATTACGCTTGAGGCCTTAGGTCTTATACCTAACTAATGGAGTTTATCAACACTCCAGGGTGTGCATCTGGATACTACAAGGTTTATGTGCATGCCATGTGTGTTTGGTGAGGAATGCAGGGCTCTGACTAGTGCGAGTATATTACGCTTGAGGTCTTAGGTCCTGTGCTTAACCTAATGGAGTTTATCAACACTCCAGGGTGTGCATCTGGATACTACAAGGTTTATGTGCATGTCATGTATGTGTATCGATCTGGTGAGGAATGAAGGGCTCTGACTAGTGCGAGTATATTACGCTTGAGGTCTTAGGTCCCATACTTAACCTAATGGAGTTTATCAACACTCCAGGGTGTGCATCTGGAAACTGCAAGGTTATGTGCATGCCATGTGTGTGTGGTGAGGAATGGAGGGCTCTGACTAGTGCGTGTATATTACGGTTGAGGTCTTAGGTCGTATACGTAACCTTATGGAGTTTATCAACACTCCAGGGTGTGCATCTGGAAACTACAAGGTTTATGTGCATGCCATGTGTGTTTGACGAGGCTCTGACTAGTGCCTGTATATTACGCTTGAGGTCTTAGGTCCTATACCGAATTGTTTGAGTTTATCAACACTCCAGGGTCTGCATTTGGATACTACAAGGTTTATGTGCATGTCATGCATGTGTGTATCTGGTGAGGAATGGAGGGCTCTGACTAGGGGGAGTATATTACGCTTGAGGTCTTAGGCCCTATACCTAACCTAATGGAGTTTATCAACACTCCAGGGTGCGCATCTGTAAACTACAGAGTTTATATGTGTTCATTTGTGTGTGGTGAGGAATGGAGGACGCTGACTAGTGTACGCTTGACGTTATATGTCCTATCCTAACCTAATGGAGTTTATCAACACTCCAGGGTGCGCATCTGTAAACTACAGGGTTTATATGTGTTCATTTGTGTGTGGTGAGGAATGGAGGGCGCTGACTAGTGTACGCTTGACGTTATATGTCCTATCCTAACCTAATGGAGATTATCAACACTCCAGGGTGTGCGTCTGGAGACTACAAGGTTTATGTAAATCAGGTAAATGTCATGTGTGTTTTATGAGGAATTAGAGGGCCTGGGTAGTGCGGTTATTTCGCGCTTGAGGCCTTAGGCTGTCCGTATACAATGTATTATTATCTTAAATAGATTAATTTTTTTCGTCACGCGTGGCAGATCTCTTGCTATATCTATCGTCGGGACTGGGTAAGTGCATGAGAATAAATTACTGCAGCTCAAACTCACAACCATATTCTTTAGAAATAAATAGCTAAAAGTTTTGTTATTTGGGTATTTGAATTGGGAATTATAGTCGATTTGATTTATTTTTACTTACCCAGAATCCGCCACAGATCGTCAGTGCTATATCTTAAGCCTGCATGTTCTCTGTTCTATGAAAAACGCGCAACTGGGGACGGAGCACTTCATGTAAGGTACGTGCTTACCGCTTTATATTAAGTCTAAATGTTAATATTAATATAAAGTTCGACTAATTAACAATTAGTCGCCGAAGGCGAGGTGATTACAAGCCTATATTCACTGAGCCGAAGGCGAAGTGAATATAGGCTTGTAATCACCGAGCCTGAGGCGACTAATTGTTTTAGTATAATTTCAGTATTGAAAAAGTTTTATTTATAAATACAACTGATACACGTGTTTATTTTATGAATATAATTTTGATTTTGAGTATTTTCAGCCATGTTTTTTTGGGGAAAAGCAATAGTTACTGCTCAGACTGCTCTGAGCAGTAACTATTGCCTCAGAGTTACTGCTGAGGGAGCCAATCAGAATGCTCAAAGGCCATTTTTCAATACTGAAATTATACTAATGAATTTTGAAGCATGCAAAACATGGTTTAATAAGAATCTTTAGTATAATTTCAGTATTGAAAAATGGCCTTTGAGCATTCTGATTGGCTCCCTCAGCAGTAACTCTGAGGCAATAGTTACTGCTCAGAGCAGTCTGAGCAGTAACTATTGCTTTTCCCCAAAAAAACATGGCTGAAAATACTCAAAATCAAAATTATATTCATAAAATAAACACGTGTATCAGTTGTATTTATAAATAAAACTTTTTCAATACTGAAATTATACTAAAACAATTAGTCGCCTCAGGCTCGGTGATTACAAGCCTATATTCACTTCGCCTTCGGCTCAGTGAATATAGGGTTGTAATCACCTCGCCTTCGGCGACTAATTGTTAAGTAATCACCTCGCCTTCGGCGACTAATTGTTAATTAGTTGCAAATCGCCAAATAAACTATACTTTTATGCAAGTTCTCAAAGTTTTAAATGGACGATGTTTTATTATTATTAATAAACGGTTTAAAAAATATAATAAGGAGGCATCGAAAATGCGAAAGCTGAAAAAAAAGTGTGATCTTTTATGCATTCTATATTTAAGCGCGAGCTTAGTTTATATTTATAGTTTATATATCAAGTTAAACATCTAAAGATCACAAGTAAAACTGACTCTCGATATAGCAATATCTTAACATTTTTGCTTTTTTTGCAACCATCAACTGAGTTTGTCAGAGAGCTAAACACTACCATACCACAGATTCAAATGTACGTACCTTCTTTTAGGCCAAAACTGTTGATGGTACTTGACGGCAGATGCGAATTGGAAAGTGACCGTCAATGTTCGCAGTAAACGAAAATAAGCCAGTTTCAACCACTATCATATCACCAAAAACATTCTTTCTTGTGAACAACAGTAGGAAATTTATTTATTGTTGAATATTTTCAACACTTTTTTCAACTAAAATGTCCATACTGCACATTCTCCTTGTTCTCGCCGTGATTGATGTGGTGTTGTTCAGTTGTTGTTGCTAAGCAATTGTGTAAACATTGGCAGCTTGCGATTGTGACGTCACTAATTGCTTAGTAGTTCAGTTAGTCCTGGTTAATCCAGTGAACTCTAAATATGGACATCTGACGATGCAAGCCTCACTGTGCAAGCCTGTCCAGGGTTTTTTGACTTCGAATCCGAGGTTATAAAGCCCACTTAATTCTCTAGCCTATCCAACTTGCCTGGAGCAATTTAAAAAAAGACTGTTTGGGAAAAAATCTATCGGAAGTTGTATGAGGAATCTGTTTTATTATTATTAGTCAAGATTACTGCCGAGTAACCTCTCGTTATAGCAATACTTACGATTTTGTCCCGCTGTGTAAATTTCCGTTATTGTAGTTATTCACGTCTTTAGAAAAAACAGAGTTTAGTGTAAACTTCCAAAACTGACCAATAGATGCATGTGTTTTAAGTGCTACGTGATTTCGGTAAAACTTGGGGGTTCCATCCCCCCCTCCCAGTTAACCTAGTCTGAGTCCAGAGTCCAGAGTCCAGACATACGAAGGGCTAGAAGTCCTAAACAGTGTAGTCACTAACATCCAGATAACAAGCATAACATTTTTAAAAATCCTGTGGAAAAGTGAAATGCAAATGCCCAAAAAAGCGATCTTCTGTTTGGATTTTCCTAAATGAAATTACGGAATAAATATACATGTATGTACGCGGTCTACTCATTAAATATAAGATATCTATCAAATTGGTGATGTGTGAAATAATCACTGATAATGGACTAGAGGTAATTGGTTGTGGCAAGATTTCAATGAATTCTTTATTTCAAAAGATTTTTAGAAATTACCAGAAGACTGGCAGTATAGTATTTACAACTAGGTGTTTTTTTACAGTTATGCTTTATGAATGAGATAGTTAAATGCATAAGTAACGTTCATATGTGTAAAGATTTCACTTAAATAGTTTTGTATTCACAGAAACATATTCCCACCTTTATGTCATCGGCACACAGACCGCAGAGAAATGAACAGAACAGTCACTTGACGAGTCGAAATGTTTGTCAAATTACCCATGTCACCCGTCATTATTTTAACCATGACCAAACAAAATGAAATATGGAGACTGGTTAAACGGTTGATTCGCCATGCTGTTCATTTCCTATGCTATGACACGTATGATAATTTACCATAATCGTAAAAATTCGTATTTACATAATGCAAGTGAGGATAAATACAGCGCTCAGAGTCAGCACAAAAATCTTTCGATAGTAATAGCACTAATATTTCATCAGTGCATGTCGTTGCATTATATACATTCTCGAATTCAATTTTCAAACCATCGTGTTGGTGATAAAATAGTTTGATTTAGAAAAATGTCGTTCCGCATTCTTCGCCGACGTATGCCTTGCGTTTGTATGTTGCTTTAGAGAAACTCCAGAATACCCAGAAACTGTTTCGAATGAGTTGATCGAAACACGAAACATAACTAAAAGAGAAGAAAAGAGTGGCTGAGTTGCTATAATACGAATATATACATGAATCTAATATATACATAATCTACATTTTCATATATATAATTCATAATATATACATAATCTACATGAATTGATGGAACACCCTTCAATATACGATCAATGAACACAATATAACATTATTACTTACATTTCATTTCTATGGAGAATATTCACACGGACATTGTGGATATAAAATGAATTGAAGCCATAGTACAACAGTTCTACGTTAAGCAAATCTCCGATATCATCACCATCCGTAGTCATTTCTAATTTTGTCCCAGCCCCCCTGAAGGAATAGTTTAAGAACAAAACCTTAGTGCAAGGTTGATAGTCACCAATATATTTGCAACTGTATATAGTTTTAAATTTCAATTCATTTACAAATACGGAAATAACCTTACCTTTCCAATTGAATCTTTTTCTTCTTCGTTGTGCCTTTACTGCCAATTAATTGGAAATATATAGCATCATATTTTCTTTTGCTTCTCGAAAACGATAGTAGTATCACATAATTGTAAACTGTAAATGAAAGGACAAAAGCTTGTAAGAATCGGCGAAGTAATAATATACCAATGTATATACGTTCTCTAATGGTATCTGTTTAAATGCAGAGGTGTGGGGATCGTTTCATTTTGACTCTAAAAAGTGGTTTGAACTGTAGGTATTTGGTGAAAATTGGTGAGGATCAGAATCTCAATACGTGGATCCAAATGCCAGATGTCAGAATATATCAATATGGTACCCCTCAATTAACGTTCGATTGACGCCCATGCATGTGTTCTTTGCTGTATGTTCGTTAATTTACATACCACAAAAAGGTGATTTGGACATTGTTGTTAGATACATCGGTTCTTCCTGTTCATTACATTGTTCTGCTTGCATGCCCATCAGTGATATATCTCTGACACGGAATTTCTTTAAACATTTTCCATTTTTAAAGTCATTCCAACTTGAGCATGGAAAAGCTGGGAACAAGCATTCTTCTCTAATTGATGCAGTGAAATATTCAACTGCCCTCATGTGATGGCACGTTGCCGCATGTAGAATTCCACTTCGCCAGATCGCTACAATAAAAATGCAATATTCAGTTAGTCCTGATACCCGTTACAGTCGTCCTAACATTTTATTCCATCGGTCACCTTGACATGAACAAAAAACAGATGTCCATGCAGTAGTGTTTTGTTCTGTTGCAAAATAATTTTATTTTGAAAGCGTAAATGATGGGGAAAAAAGGTCTACCGTTAGACGTGCGAATATCGTTTTAATGCATGTATGTTGCTAGAAAGAAATATTCATTCCTTACTTTTCAATAATCCCTCACATCCAGGTTGATATTCTCCGCCGTTAGGGTAGAAATCAACATGGCCGATCCGACCGCGGTACCCAGCACCACCGAGGAGAAATGGTGCGGAATTGGTGTGAATGACATCAACAAAAGTCGCATCGCTTTTATCAAGACGTGCCTCGGCATGGCTTCCCTCAAATTGAGGTCTGGCTGGATCCAGACCTTGAGCAGGGAAAGAGAACAAGAAGTCAGTTATCAGCCTCCGTCGCAAAGAACCTTCTCAATGAAAACTTTTGGGTACGAGGTCGGTTAGGTATGAAGGAACGGATCCTTAATAATATTTTCGTACAGAGGAGCTTTCATGAGCAAACGTCAATGTTTATATAGATTTCTTTATTCGATTATGAAAGATTTAAAACAAAATGAAAGTTTTATAGATGTCAAGCACAAGTTTTCATAGTCCACGGATGACGCATATTGTCTCATTCTTAGCCCAATGGACCACTCTCAGACAATCCAACCTACCTGTAATTCGCCCAATGGTCAGGTCTTTTCTTGCTAATCTTTTCCCAGCATAACCAGCTATATGAGCGCCCAAACTATGACCAATGATATGAACTGATTTAGTACGTACGCCAGTGACGTCATTCAACATTTGAACAAGGTATGCAATCTGTGCACCAACAAGACGAGCATTTGCAACAGCCTACACAAAGATGGTTGCAAACGTGAGATAAACAAATGCATTTCTCCTATCAATTGATTGCCATTGCGGACTTCGCAAATAACAAATAGGCGTTTCAATTACAGTTTTTGATCTGTAGTACATTACTCAACATACCCTTAAATAAAACATGGTAAGATACGACGCTCCTTTCCTCCAGTCAACACAGATGACATTACACAAATATTGCTTCAACAATTCATTCTTCATCGTAATCACCCAGGGTTTCTGGGAATGATGGGCAAAACCGTGAACGATAAAAATTGTTTTACGAGATGGATCAAACTTTGATGTAGTGATGGAGCTGGCATTATCCAGCTTCAGCTCTTCAACATTTTTTGGATTTTCACTCGTGTAAAGGTAGAATTTAGTTTGAATTACATCCGGATGAGACGGTAGTGCAGCATCTTTGACACTGAAATATTCATTGACTTCAAAACATCCGTACATCGAAAAACAGATCCTTGCGTCTAGAAAAAGTATAAATATTCAACAAAGGTGAAGCAAATCCTTCAGTGCGAGGATATTATCCAGTGCAAGGACTGTAAGTGAAGATTCCCTCGGGGCAAGAATATAATAATTGGGTGGGGAACTACATTTAGGGCGGTAAATAATGAGATACTCCTTGAAGAAAATTTTGAAGTATGCGTTGACCTCTATGTTTAGGAATGAGATTTTTATTTATAATTTCAATTTTTTATAATATATGATGCATAAACGAAATACATGCATGAACTTCGACTTTTCCAAACCGTGGTCTTAGGGGAGATTAAGAGGTCGGTACGGTGCACCCGATGGCTATATGATAAACCAGTGAGTCATGCACCGGTTGTAACTCATTACAAAATCTGTACCGTAATTGGTTACCGTACTAATAACGACTTGTTGATAAATCGTTACTTCGGGAGCTATTCCGGAATTTCGGATCTTTCAAAGGACGAATGCACCTTATATATACTTACACCTTATGCCAATTGAAGTGCATGCAATTGCAACATAAAAAGCGGAGGGGATAAACGAGAGTGTGTGACACACCTATTTTGAAAGAAACTGTCATTTGTATGTCATTCACATCTGGTACAAGATCACTATTTCGACTTCCCATCGACTCTTAAAACACACACGTAGCAAGCTCTATCTAGCAGGGCGCTTTAAAACGCAGCTTGATCAGTGCGTCTAAAGCGTTTGACCTGAAAGACTATAGTTGCTATTATCCCCTTTACTCTACTTCGCATTACTTTACCGTTTGATGATTGAAATGGAAACTGTAAACATATTTGTAATAAACATTTATAATTAAAGAAATTGATCAAAAGTATTTTGAATTGCCAACCGCTTTAGTGCATTTATTGTTCCCCGAAGGCTGCCGTCCTTTCCCGCGCTTTTTACACACCAGCATAATAAAGTTTTACGCCTGTATTCTAAAAGCTAAATGACACTCAAACTCATTGAGTGGGAGTTCTCAATCTTCTCAAAACGTTGCCACGATGATATTTCTACTCGAAAAGGAGCTTTAGTGTCATTCCAGTGATTAAGGACTACTGATACAACTTTCTCTTTGATCAGTAATAACAGAATTTCTACAGACGTCATAGTTTACAGGCACATAATAATATATTGAAGTGAAATGTGCATATTGGGTTTTGTTTGTTTTTGACGTGACAGTAGGTTTCTTTTCAGACCAGTGTTTTTAAACATGGATATTAGAGGAATAAATAGATTTGCGTTGTATGCGGTAGAGCTGATGTTGCAGAAGACATACTGGGAAAATCCACATGTACACATACCAGGTAATGGGATTGTGAAGTTGTGACATCCATGCATGATACCGAATGGTAAACATTTGCAAGGTCTGCGGGAACTACCACTCTGATTAAAATAAGGGTGCATATATTATAATACAGAAATTATTTGTGATCTATTATTAAGCATTGCCGTATAATTACAGTTGCCGTTTTGTTTGTATTGTAATTCCGCTTGCAGTTGAAATCCGGTGCTTTTTGCCTTCTTTTAGCTTATAAGGGTAATTCAAAAAAAAAGGATAGCGTATTTCACTACCAATAAACCGGTTGATTGGCTTGGATCATCCGTCTGGACGAACATTCTGATGATTGTTACGTCAGACAAAATTAGCGATGATACGTTCATAAACTTACTGAGAACCAAACAAATTTTCCCGCCTGGCTGTATACAGATTATTCCTCTCTTGTATAAGTCGGATTATTGATTGGTTGATTGATTAAATTATAGTGTTTAGGAAAACCGCCGCCATCATTAATTGTTTTTTAGGTCCCAATCGAATTGTTAACTTTAAATTACTTAATTTTAAATATGGCCTTAGCCCGGAGGCGAATAATATATGCGCTGTTTTAATTTTTTTTCGATTGTGAAATAAATTGAGAGCCCGTGGTTTCAGTTTATATTATGCTGAACTTACGGAAGCGTAAAATAAAACTATATACATGAAAAGTCGTATACTCATTTCAGTATACCTCAACTGAAGTCATTTCAGTGATTTCACGCCTCGTTAAAATCTCGGCTATAATCTCGGGGATCATGTAAACAGCCTCTAGATTTTATTCTCAATATATGCAGCATTTCTTACTCTGGGAATTCAAAATAGCTTCATGCACAAATTTCATTTTTTAGTTCAGCATTGTAATTACGAATTCATATCACTTTGAGAAAGGCATGCATGATTTGAAAAAGTTTATAATGAACTTACGAGGTTAAAACAACATGCAACTTAGCGACCGTTGTAGCTGTAGGACTACAGCATGATAATGGTGCGGAGTCGACTGATAATGGTGACGTGAATATATGTAGAAAGTGATGGTTCCCAGTGGCTTATAGGCTATGATCAGACTTCTGACCAAAATTAAAGGAACTGCATGAATGAATAGCCGAGTGAATGGAGACGCATTATCGTTTAGAATAAGACTTAATTACTCGTCAATAGTGAAAAGGCAGGTGGATAATGTTTGAATCGCAGCTAATATCCTGAACAACATGGGAGATTAAATAATTTCAAATGGCGAAGTCCCAGCTGGACGGCCAACGAATATTCTCGTCCAACCACATCTCACAAATAACAATGAATATCTTATATCTCAGGATTTACTACGGATAAATGATGACACCACAGGAAGCATTCGATTCGTGAACTGCCGTGATTCACAGGTGAAAACGCAAAACCTGGTTATATAAATTATATGAAACTGAGAATGTTCTGTTGATTTTGTTATAAAGCTTTGTTTAAGTCAACATGGTTGTGCATGTGGTAAACAACCCCGTTTGTGAGGTGCAGCACGGCAGTGTTCATTTTTGTTTTTGTCAACTGAGGACTACACGTTTTGACCCGCGTAACTGTGTAAGCTCTCCAAATAGAAGAATAATAATGCCCGTTTTTTGATAAATACTTCACCTCGCGCTCTTAACTGAACAGTCAGGGTCGACATTTAGTACAAACCAGGCTTGCTCCAAATCTGTTTCTAAATGATATAAATGGGGCCGGACAGCCAATTAAACACAAACCAATGTAATTATCGTGCAAACTGTTCGACAGCTGTTCTTTTGATTCTCAAATCTGATATCGAGAAAGACTGTTCCACTACAAGTTCTATGCCAATGTTTAAATAAGACAAATTAGATTTTCTACAACTGAGTGTGAAGTGATAAGGGGAAAATTTGAATTCTGAATAATTAACACAAAACACGCCACGGAGGACTGGCGTGAGAATTACTGGTGTAGCTATAAATAGACAAATGGGAGATGTTTAGGTGCGTGTGTGCACAGTCATGGATGAATCACGATGAAAGGGCGGTAGAAGAATTGAATAAGATTTATTGAGATAGGCGAGAAGCCGAACTACGGGTTCTTTGCATTCCGAGTGGATTCATGTTTCAACCGGCTAATTGCTTCTCGAAATTAATTAGCTTTTTTACCAAATACCAGCCGGATTTCACTGGTTAATTACCAAAATAATTACCAAGATAATTAGATGATATACTGGAAAATATATGTATTAATGAGGATAAGTTACAGGGATAGTGGAATTCTATGTCATCGAGCTTTATCGTGAAATACGACGAAGCACCTCACTGCCACAGATACCAAATCCAATTACATTATTTACACATCTACGAGAAGCGTCGATTTAACCGCAGTTGTGCACATGCTTGTCACCCAGTAGAATTACAACGGATTATATGTTTTTGATGATGGGGGGGAGGGTGGAGTCGTTGTGCCTGCGTGCGCGTGTGCAACTGACGCATCTGCGACTGCATGGTTCGACTGGGCGACACCTGTGCCAGTGCCATTCTTGGCGATGCAAAGCCAATGGGTTGTTGAATGGTGAAAGGAGTCCCGCTGTTGTTTCGTTAAGCATTACATACAATAAGGTATTACATAAACAAATCATTAGTAACGACACTTTTTGTTTACTTTAATGTTGGAAAATCTTTGTAAAACAAATTCATGATACTCAGTTTCGCGAATGTACTAATTAGCCTAATTGAACGTTCTGTCTTAATTATCGATTTTTAATCAAACGCTGCAAACATACTAAACACTGTCCTTAATCAAAGTTTTTCTACATGTAATAAAAATATCAGTTATTACTTCGCTGCATCTTGCACTCGGCGTAAATTAATCCCAACTGAAGACGTCGTCAGTAAAAAGAGCGAAAGCCATATGAAATTTGAAAACATGTCACTTACATATGGTCTTAATGTACCCGCGTCCGCGTGATAATTTAAAGAATTGTTTTCAAATCATTCGCAAGAGTTCATTAATCGTACCATCGGTTACAACTTGTATATCTTTACAGTGGGTCAACGATGCTCACTACAGGAGTCTTCATATATACTATATACACGAGCCAGTTATTTTGGACTTCAACGACGGAAAAGTTAAAAATTAAACGAATCGCATGAGTATCATTGCCGTGTATCCTGTAAACCAAAATGTTGGGTGTCGACATGAGTGTGAAAATAATTATATATATATATATATATATATATATATATATATATATATATATATATTTATATATATATATATATATATATATATATATATGTATAATATTGCTATTTAATTCATTTTTATATCCTTGAGTATTCATAAACACGGATTCCGCCTTTTTGTCTCTTGTTTTACGCCTATTTTATGACTGGTTGCTTGTGTTACGCCTATTTTATCAGGATTTAAATGATTTCGAAAAGTACAAAAGTGTTCATACAAGTGTTTTCGTTCATCACTATTAAGAGATATTGTTTTTGCAAGGAAAACACGAAAATCCCTTTCATGCACGAAGTTTTTCCCCTTTCATGCGCAAAGTCTTTACAAACAGATGTTTACCCCTCCCCTTCCCCTCCTATTATCACGTGTCAAACCTATGCGTGCCTGTGATCTATCCCGCGGCTGCTTATGACACGATATCGGTCCTTCAAAAAACTATAGCTTGGATAGTTGCCTGCGCGAAAAATTCCAACATAACAAAACTTGTACATGCTATATCACATGCTGTTGGAAAACGCAAATCCGCCAAAGTCTGACATTTATGCATAACCTTTTGAACTGCACATTGAATCGCAGCGACAATCTCGACTGACCTTTATATGAAGATAATTTAACAACAAATGTTCATCATTTAAGCAAGATTATCTGCAAATGCGGATCGCAAATCGTGGTCGCATCAAATGTAAACAACCTTATATTACATTTATCGCTTTCAGAACTGGCTAATTGCTTTTGTTATGATAGCTGCTAAATTGTCTCCATGCAGAAATTGCCCATGTGTGTTCGCATTAAAATCTAATAAATATACATCAATATAACGTAGCCTTAAGGTTTTTTTCGCCAGAACAGGAAACTTAAATCAAGCGCCAGTGATAATGCAGGACAATAGGTGCTTGGTCTGTTGTCATTTGAAATGTTCTTAGTTAGCGTACGTTCGAAAAAAACATGCCGAACTTCAATATACCTACTTGATAGTTTTGATAATGTATACTTGTCATCATACGCGGCTCAGAAGCTGCCGCGCTGATCCCTGCTTTCTTATTCTTATACTACAACTGGGCCGTATAAAAGTAATCGAACTGCGATTATCCCAATTTAGTTCATCAACCCACAATATCGCATTAAACCTAAATATGGTTTCGGTCTACCTTAATGGATAGTATCAAGATAGGCAATCATCAAGTACGGTTGATAATTCGCAACATGATAACTACGCTGGCATATAAAACTATAATGGGCAAAAAACCATTGGTCGCGGTCACGCAATCTTTTTTAGCATCATCCACAGAATGAAGTCCCATCAAATATCATTATCTACCCTATAAATTCTCGTTAGATATATTTCCAAGATTGGAATCAAGCCAAATACGAGATGCGTATTTTGAATATAGCAAATATCAATAATTGACATTGGACGAGATACATTTTACGTATTTTGAATACAGAAAATATCAATTATTGAGCTTAAAATTATACGCGATAACGCAGGAACTGACTCTGAATATTTTCAATAGCTCGATATATCACTGTATTGAAAAATATCTAAATCTGAATCTAAAATCTAAATTTGAAATCTAAATCTCTATTTGCGCATGTTAATAAAGCTCACAGTTCCTAATAACCATGACAGTTAAATGCATTAAATATAATTGGCACAACACTAACTACGTAACGTAATCACACTAAAAAGACCTTCAAACCATTACCTGTAGTGGGTATGGAAACTGCAATCCAGAAGCAGAGAAGAATCTTTACTGAGCCTGCCATCTGCATATTGCCTGACTGACACTACTCGTAACTGACGCTGTAATAGGTCGAATGCTGTATGAAGCAAGTGTCAAGCACGCTTTATAGCTTCAAACAAAGGTGCTAACATTTCTTACGCAGATCTAATTATTTCAAACGTAATATGAAAAGTGTGATGAAACTATTTCAAATATTTGATTTGCTGTGGTATAGAGGCTAATACCACTTAAAGGTCAGCTGAAAGACGTGATTTGCGGGTGGTTTTTGGTTCGAACTTCGTACCCAGGTATTTTTCGGTTCCTTAATTTGCAACATGTGAGACCTGCATTGTCACAGTGGCTAATATAGCTAACTAATCAATGTAATATAAAAACATAAATGAAAATTTTCATTTATGTTTTCAATTTTCTGACTTTTTGACCATTCGACTTAACTTTCCGTCGGAGACCTACTTAATTAAGTACTGATATGAATGGATCGGCAATTAATTAGCCGGAACATGAAGTGTTAGGGTCCTAATGATGCCATGTCTGATGATTGCAAGATATCATAAACGCGAAGGGCGAAACTTGCAGCATGTGCAACCTTTTTGACACAAATGCCGAACTCCGTCATGTCATCAACGAAAAGCAAATGGTTATAGGAAAAGTGTAGCGGTGTTTGTTCAAGCTCTAGCAACTTTCCCAACCTGACGCGAATATCTAATTTTCTCTTGACAGGTTTTTGTCGATTGGCGAATGTGTTTTTCCTTTTCGAGGTATCGAAGTTCCTGCGCTGTTCGTTACTCTATCTATGTTCGTATAGTCAAATAAGTCCAGTTGGCACTGAGCGACCTATCTTCGACTTAGTAAATTGGTCTTGTAAATAGCATGATCCCTCCGTAACCTTTGTTATATAGGCGTCAATATTACAACATCAAATATTATCGCCACACATGTCTTACATGCTTGCGAAAATTTACCCATATCCGTACATTTGCCACCCATTTTCTTCAGACATAAAAAAATAAGAACTATTTATGTTTCCGGTGAAAGTACAGTAGCTCCTGACATATTTCCTTGCCAATTTTCATGACTCATCAATTCCCAAAACGGGGATGAATAGGATAATAGATGTTCTTGGCAGAACCAAATATAATCACAGTTTAATTGGATAACATTAGGCGCACACACATGTCAAATTACGTTTCCAAGGGCAAGGCTGGCAAGGCATATCAGTCTCCAACGACATGATGAATTTAGATTCTTATAGCTAGGTGTTACTATATCTGTTCCTTTCCAAGCGGATACCTCCTGTAAATTGAATTTCCCTGATGAAAAACGTACGGAATATAGACAGGGTTGCAAACGGGGTGGTTGCCACTGATATATATACGTACAAATTCTCGGGGATTTGCAAACAAATAGCGACATTATGTTTGATTTAGGCTAGATAGGTCTGTATGGGCGTATCAGTTTTGAATATATCGATACTTCCAGAAAGGGAATGCTTTTTAACTCATTTAATTACCATCACCGATTTTTTAAGGCCTATTAAAATGTTGAATGATGACTGCATTTACATGATTTACTGTCCATGTGTCCCACTGGTGAACAGTGTCTGGCTTGAACGTCGTTTTTCACAATGAATTGCCTGTTCAACGAATTGGCTATATTCTTGGTTATATCTCGAACCGTGTGTGATAGTTCACGGCTGTGTTAAACAGTATGATCGTACGTCAATGTGAAAATAAATCAGTATTTTAAACCCTTCAAGTGTTGTTACTGCTTGGCGTTTAATCTTCATACCCTCAGGCGATTTTTAGGACAACTATTGACTCGCGCAACCAAGGGAGACTTGATGCGACGGCGCGCTTTGTAAATAAAGCATAAAAACGCAATTCAGTATTTAGCAACGGATTTTTTTGTTGTCTACGGACATAAGCGAAGAGAGAAAACTCAGGGTTGCGACGCTATGTTAGTGTAAACAAATTTTGTTTTTATAGTTTAATACAATTAGAAACATCTTATTACATTGTCACCTTAATAGTATTAATTAAAGCCTGCATTGTAATCTGGGCTGCAAATTTATTAGTAAACTTTTATTTAACGATAGGCAGACGCAGTAGCTAGCTTGTATGTACGTACGCGTATGGCGGTACCCTATAAGCAAGTGCATATTCTTACAGGAAATATCGAAATGGCGACTATTCACTATTTCAGGAAAAATCGATGTGGCAAAAATATGGGAAATATCATTTTTACATGTAGGGTAATCACCTCACTTGTAAGTGGTTAAACAAACACCGTATGTTCGATAGCGCTGTGTGACGCATAACGCATTACACCTACACAGGCTGGTCTTTCCTAGGTTCAAGAAGTAGATATATATTTCAGTTTCTAGTTCAAATTCATATCATATTTTTAATCCTGTCGCCTGTGTTCAGGTGTTAATAGAGATTACTGCATGTAATGTGTAAAACCTCACGAAATATTTGATGTATGAAACGATTATCCACCCTGAGGATGACACTCGTACATAATCCATATTTTGCAGGATTAGTCGGATAAGTGAAATATTACATCGTATATAGCCTTTTTTTTTCTCGCCTGATAAAAACATAGATAAAAACTTCTGATTTGATATACCATGTTAACACTCATCCATTTGTTTGATTGGAAAAATAAAAATCGCCTTCTTGAAATCCAATGAATAAAGAAGATAATTTAGAAAAACATAGTGCATGTCTTCACATTTAACAAATATTGCGAACAATTAATATAATTTTTTCATAAAAAGATGTGTTTGAAACTATTTCACAGCATGTAGGATAAATTTTGTTGGATTTTGAATCTCTAAACAATTCTTTTTGAGACACGCTGCATCAGTGTTTCAGACATTCTCAGTGGGCGTTACAGATCAGCAGATTACAGTCAACTTCAACGTTAACTGATAAATTTAATTCTCTCAATTCTATCAGATTGTCTAGCACTATACAAGCTGCCTTGCTGTAATAAGAAAAAGACCTGCGTGATGGCTTATTATATTACCTAAGTTGAATATACAGTGGGGGTCAAAAGTCTGTGCCGCTCTAGTCGATGATTTTTCTTAATTTACAAAAAAATGATATCTTGTGAGTTGGATATTGGATATGTTGATCTGAACTTGCGTATTTTATTATATAGTAATGTTCGCCATAAGTTTTCTTGTTAATTCGTATGGTATTTAAATGTTACAAGAAATGCGGATTTTTCTTTTTGTTGACCATAGATGGCAAGGAGAGGGCCAGCATGAAGGGATGTCTCAGCAAATAATTGAGGTGAGCTAGATTATACATGTGTCGAAGGAAAAGTTGGGAACGTTTTGTGAAGCAGGTATACGTATTCAATCGCTACTCCTGAAAGAACTACTTCTGAAAAGGAAGATTGCAAAAGTAGAAGGAAAACCAATGGACCATTCTTAATCAAGGTTGGAAAAGAATTGCGCCGGTAGTGCATGCTAACAAAACTGGTCCACTCTCACTCTATGCCATAAAATTAAGGTCAAAGCTGTTTTGAGACGTAAAATAGGTCATACAAAATGTTAGAACAGCGCCAATTTTTGTTAAATTTTATATCGTGATCATTATGCACATGAACCGCTATATCAATACGACACCATGTTGACCGGACTCGGACTTTTGACTCTTTTTAGCGCTTGCTCTCCCAGATCTTCATTTAATTGAATACGAACCTGATTCACAAAACCGGTTTCCAACTTTTCCTTTGACACATATAACCTCACATAAATATTTGGCTGAGACATCCCCCTTCATGCATTGTTGGCCCTCTCTTTGCGATCTTTAATCCACAAAAAAATAATCCGCATTTCTTGTACAATTTAAATATCATACGAATTAAATAGAAAACATGTGGGGATATTGCTATCATAAAATGCGCAAGTTCAGATCACGATATCCAATCTCCAACACACAAGTATCCTCTCATTTATTGTAAATTAAGAAAAATTATCGACTGGACTCAGACTTTTGACCCCCACTGTATTGTTCAATGATAGTTCAATAAAATTCCCATGTCTGCAGTCTGGACCTGTGTGGTACTGATACAAATGGTTTGACTGAAAAGGTTTGACGAGTCATATGTTGACAGTGTTCGTGTTCCCATGCAAGACAATATACGTAAAAGAAAATTCCGCTATAAGGTACCGAGTGGTTACAAGTGTCCATCGTCCATTGTGTCCATCTTATATTTTAAATTATGACAGTTTTTAACCAAGTATGCCGTCTCATTTTGGCAGTGCCTGTTTGAATGCGTTAATCCTTTTTTTTCAATTAATTGCACTTAATAATAAATATCGCCTTCAATCACTCTTGCGATGAAAGACGCCAACCTATATTAATCAAATACGTTGCCTGTTTTTCAAACGTATACGATACTAGTATTTTATTGACAGCATTGAGCACACTGCAACTTGTCAGCGAGGTGAACAACACGAGTTTGATCATAGACAATCCAGATTCCAGAAGACATCTTCTGGATTGTCTATGGTATGATTTAATAGAGCATTCAATATATCAACATTGGTCACGTCGTGAATGTATTGTGAATTGTGTATGTGGTAGCGCAAAAGAGTGTATATTTGCAGTTTTATGCAATATAACCTTCATATAAACTTTTTTATATGTTCAACCCCCCCTGTCCTTGTTCTCCCTCGTCTTTTTTTCGCTGCCCTATAAAAACTGTTAGGCAGACAAGACGAATCGGGAATGAGTAAGTGAATTTTCACACTTTTCGTTCATCAAAAGTGCCTGTACGTTTTTCTGTTTATCGTTGGAACGGAAAAGCTCTCGTGTTAAGCGTTCAGAGAAATGTCGGAAAAAAATATTTGGGAGTGGTCGATTCTGGTCCAACGCCAAAACAGGATTGTGGCCTTATAGTTGTTTAGGCTACAATCCTTTTTTATCGAGAAACTCCTAATTTTCTGTGTTCATATATCAGTATATATACTAATCATACCCTTGTTATGCTCTTAATTTCTTTGTTGGTGTGAACAGTTTTACAAACAGCTTGCATAGGCCCTCCGGGACCACTTGAACTACAATAAACCAGCGACATACCAAAGCATTAAAGCCGGTGAATAGATTCATATACATTATTTAAATTATATTTGGCTTGCTTGTAGCATATCTGATATCTCAGTATGACCATCTGTAAATGAGTTTTACTTATAATCATTCACTGCATGGTACTTCAACGTCTACAACAAAGTTTAAACAAAAATTAACATGAAACATAACTTTCAGTCTAAAGTCAGTTCAATTAGAAATATCGGTTGAGGACTTGCCACAACATCAATTGTTAAAGAATTACTTGCTTTAACCCCATCCCCCGCCCCCCGCCTTTCCTAACTGAATCCTGTCAGGCATGCTGGTGTTATTGTGGGTGAGTCATGCTGTCGCTCTCGAGAGACAGAAGGTCTGGTATATACTAATATAGTGCAGTTTATATTTACATGGGTGTCCATCTCGTGGACAGACTGATAACACGTGAACCACGCCGTATGACTTTTCGGTGCACTAATTTAAATTATCGCTTCCATTCAGTTTGATTTGCCGCGTTTTCGTCTCACTCAAACATTTTTCTGTGCTAGAAATATGCCATTATCAGTTTCATTGCTCGATCACGTACTTAGCTACATGATTCACACTTCATATATATTGACAATGTTTTACGTTTGTCTTCCCAAACTTAGTGAAGTGAAGAAAATTTAGTGTTCTATTTGGTTGAGCTGACGGGATTACCACAAAAAAAGGTATTGACGTACTACTTAATTGCATTCCAGTGAAGGTCAATGCTTCCGCAAAATTTAATGAGGTGAATACATTTAATTGCATGCGATCTATTTTGGAGACATCGAAAAGGAATATTAAAATGAGTAATCATTTTTAAGTGGACCAATTAATTGAATATCCGTAAGCGATTAACTATGAATTCTGTTTACGATGAAGAGTTGTTTCCTTGAAGAAATACGTTCCGACAAACTGTATAGCGACACAGGCGCACAGCAGGCACAGTGTTTTTAGAGAAGAATGAATAAATCATCCAATGTCATTTAAAGCAATCAGATATGAAAGTTTATTAGTGCTGCATTATCACTGAAATATGGGATACATGTAGATAAATTCCAGATATGACATGCTTAGAATAGATACATGTCGTCATTAAAATCATCTTAAAAGATTTGAAACATTGTATGAGTATTTAAAAAAAAATTGACATTTACCTTATTTGTCCCTGTATTTCAAAAGTGCAGTATAGTTATTGGGTTTTAAATAACTTAGACGGGAATTAGTTGACAGACCGACGCAGATGATCTCATGAGATAAAGTCATATACCGCGCGAGATTATCAGCCTTACAATTCTAATCAGTTGCTTAATTAATTATCTGATAAAGTGGAAAATAAAACAAAGTAATACAAGAGAAGAAAAATATGGTCGATACGCTAGACCGAGAAAGCAAGATGGGAATGCTATAAAACATAAATCAGGGTCTGTGACTAATTATACTCAGATTAGCTGAATTATTACGCCAAATCAACATTATAAGCGTCATCAGGTGAATTCGAAGAAGGAAAACAAAGGCCAGAAGATAGTAAAATGAAGTTTGGTCAAACATGTTCTATTTTAATCCAGTCCAACTATTCTATGAACCGCACTCTCTTCAATAGAACTATATATGAGCATTCTTATTCAGAAATACGCAATCCAACAGAGAGTTGCATGGAACTCTTGCAGATTTAGTAAAACCAAGTTGCATATATTATACTACAGTTGAGAGAAACAAATATGCAATTGACAGTCGAATATGCCATCGGTTCAGAATGCAAAGTAAAAAAGTACAACGTTAACAAAACTAAATATATTAAATATAAGGTCGAATAATAGTAAAAGAAAACGATTCTTAATTCAGCCGGAAATGAAAAATGTTCTTGATAATATGATAAACTTATTTCTTCTTTGAAGAAAGCAGACAAATACCCGCAGCGTGGGATTGATGCGTAAAGCTTATTGTAAATGAATTGTTCAACGATAGAATAAAGAAAAGGGTTTAAAGAATCGAAAATATATTTCGGAAAGGAACCTGCTTGACGGTCGAAAGATAATATGGAATATGCTGATAACAGATACCCACGCAAGAATTTATATGAAAATTACATTGTAGAAAGGGATCTATCAACATGCCGGTCGCCATGAGAAACCTATTGCAATGGTCTTCAGAGCCTTCGAATTAGGTACTGATTTTATCAATTCGAGTTTCATGCTTTTACACAATGTACTTTGCGCTTTTAATGAATATTTTTCGTTATATTATGTTCACTGAATCCATTTCACTAAATCAATGTGAATTGTGCATTGTGACTGAGTGTTTCGCACGCACTGCGTCAAAATACCACCCCCCTTTTTGTTGGATGTAGATACTTTATCTATATGTCTTTTTGGTTCAAATTTACATATACTTTATCCACTAAAAAGACTAAGTAAACCGATTATTTTAAAACCAGATTTTTTGAGTGCATGTCATACCCTTGTTATCCTCATAATTACGACGAATTCCCTATTTCCACACGTCTTGAAAACAAACAGCTTACCATGGCCTTTGGGAACACTTGAACTTCTTAATATCGCTGACCTCAAAGCACGCACCTGCCAAACGCCATTACAATGAAATGAATGAATAGTATTTTATTATATCCGTGAATACTGTTTGCGGAAAGGTCAAAGAACAAATTATTAATTATAGATATAGATTTTCCTGATAGCCGGTCGAATGTTGAAATAGTAAAAAACCACGCCATATTTTGGGTCTGCAGGCTGACGGTCGCTGCTAATTGTAGGCGACAGACGGTCGAGTACGTACATAATAATCATGGGTGGTTTTCACATGACGTCAGAGCGACCATGTTGGTGTTTACAAGCAATATGGTGGACGTATGTCATTTAGTCATTACATAAATGAAAGCGATCTTTTGCCAACAACGTGTTGATCACGCGAGTGCTCGTAGACTATTATGTATGGATAAAAATAAAAAATTCTCAGTGTTTTTATGTGTTCCTCTAATCTTCTCGACATAGTCAAAATTCCCTACAGGCTAATAGGGTAATCGAGTATATTTAATCAAAAACAATCCAGTTGGAAAAAGAGAAAACAGCCATGCATGCAAAAAATGAATTGATTCAATTGATCCACTAAGATGAGATGATTACATATAGTTAATAAATGTTCACGCGATAATCATTTCAAGTGAAAAAAATCAGATATTATTGGAATTATTATCAAGATTTCATTTAGCTATCAAACTTTTCCTTTTGAGAATAACGAGTAACGATAATGAAAAAGAAGAGAGAATGAAAAAAAATCAATAGAAAAATATTAAAAAATATATAATAGGAACCAGATGTTAAACATTTGGCAAAAACTGATACGTAAAGACTAAAGTTACGATTATACACTATAAGTATACAATTTGTGTGTATTGTCGTTCCTGATTGGTCAGAAGCAACGGTTAATTAGCCATTGCCGAATCGAGCAGGGGACTGGGTCTAGTCGCAAACCGCAAAGCATCTATGGCTCTTTGGAGAGACAAATGATTTAGTGGATTTCAGGCTGAAATCCACTAAATCATTTGTCCCTCCAAGCAGTCCTTAGATGCTTTTCGGTTGCGACTAGACCCAGTACCCTGCTCGATTGGGAAATGGCTAATTCTCAATATTCTGTATTTAATACGTAATTTCAGCTGCTGACGTGCTCATCGCCTCATCGTCCAATAATTATTTTTTTAGATCGAACTTGCATCCTCAGCTTTGCTTCGGCAGATAACATTGACTTTGGTCTGAATAATTCTTGATATCATGCTCAGCCTCATTCAATAATTGTTTATTGTCCGGACGTCCGGACGAACTTTACTGACAATTATTGATAATTACATAAAGTTCTTCATGGTTCGTACTGTTTCGCAGGCTCAAAACAGTCAATCATCTCAAAAAAACTATTGAATTAAATTTTTTTATTTAAAAAAAAATGTAGACAATAGCACTGATAAACAATCTGATATTGATATTGCAATGTATTATGTGTAGGGTTTGTAAGAGTCGTTGGAGATCTTCATGTAATTTTCATCAAAGATAAGACGTTGTGTATACAGGTCTGGATAGTTTGTGAGGATATATATAAAAATGTGTGCAGGCAGTGCAGCCTGGTCTATCCTCGCCTAGCAAGTGATGAAGGAAAGTTGAATCGAGATTTTATAAAATATTACTCAACTTTAATACGATGTCAAAGAGACGAGTATCTTATTTTTATGATGAAGAAGTAGGCAATTTTCACTATGGTGAGTTTTCATAGTATTGCACAGGGTCAGAATGAGGAGCCCAAATAAACAGTATTTACATTCATGATGACATGATCATACACAGAGAATATGTCAATTTATTTTGGCCAGAGTTGACTACATCACAGGTATCTGTTGTGGCTGATACGTAACTATGCACACAAGACAGGGGCCAAGTACAGGCAGCTAAAGGCCAGATTAGGTAAAATTGGCAACCAAAAACAGACATGAATAACTGTAGCAGCCACTAGAATTAAATAAAATTACCAGCAGTCAAAAATTGCCAATCTTAGGCCCGTTTCAAACGTCAAACTTTTGATGTGCAGAACCTTATGTTAATGATCTAAAGTCTTTGTTTAAATTAATTTGCATTAGATTCGGGAAATGAAAAGTTCGACTGAAACAGGCCTTATGCTCAAAATTAATTTCTTAATAAATTTATTTCAATGCTATTTTAGGGCCAAGTCATCCAATGAAACCTCATCGTCTTGCACTTACTCATAGTCTAATATTGAACTATGGTCTTTATAAAAAGATGGAGGTAACATTATATTTCTTTAGATGAAATAAAAATCTGCATGGAACAAGCCAAGTCAAGCAAATCCAACACTGCTGATCATCATGTGTACTTGCTAGCATTTGACAGTGTTCAAGAAATAAAAATGGCCAATAAGTCTTTCTTTTCCTTTTCCTATATCACTTATATATATATAATAAGTATTAAATGTTAACTTTTTAGGTTTACAAGCCATACAAAGCTACCATACATGATATGTGCTCATTTCACTCAGAAGATTATATAAAATATTTGGAAAGGTTTGTTTCCCACGAATCTTTCTCAAGTAATTGATTTCAAGAGATATAGGGGACCTGATTTGAAAATATTATTACTTGAAATTTACAAATTTCCATCTTGAAACATTAATTAATATTTGATTGTTGTTTGAATGTTTAGGATTACCAGTCAACCAGTTTCTCAGTCAAACAGCATAAATCGTTTCAATGTTGGTGAGGACTGGTATGTTTTCCTGTTCTTTTTTGACCTCATCCAAGATGAAAGATTTTATTTTCTTGATAATTTACAGTACTAAGTACTGCTAGTAACTACACTGTATTTCACTGTAGTTATGCATCTATAAAATAACAAATAAAGCTGACTCATCCAAATCATTAAAACAGTCTTTTCTTACTTTTTCACTTTTTTGTAATTCTAGCCCAGTTTTCCCTGGTCTTTATGAGTTTTGTTCAATATACACTGGTGCATCTCTTCAGGGTGCAGTACAACTGAATCATGAGGTAAGTTTTTTTTTATTTGCCATCAAATATTGAACAACAAGGTCCGGTCAAGCCATTGACATTATTAGGCTTTTATCATTTGATTTTGTTACTTATTTTTCTTACTCTCCTTTTAGCTTTCATCCTTCTACCTAGATATAAAATTTTTTTTCATTTTTTTCCCTATTTCCCATTCTTTAGAGTTGTGACATTGCAATTAACTGGGCTGGTGGTTTACATCATGCTAAGAAGTTTGAGGTATGTAATTGTAAAAAGTAAAAAAAAAGTTGTCGGTATTTGCACAGTGTTAACATGGGCAAGCAAAAAACCATTTGAAAATCCTCAAAGAACATGCATCAAAAGCATTTGATTTGAAATGCTAAATACTAGCAGTCATGGTTACAATTATAGATATAATTTGTAGAAGCTAACAAAAATTGTGTCAGCCAGCAGATCTGTAGGTCAATCTACTCGTACATATTCAGTAATGTACAGTATAGAATGTTTCCTGGTTATTGTGTAGCACCTTTGACATCACACCTCCAGAGCTATATGTATATTCCTTTATCTGGGAGGGCTTTGTCAGGGCTGGATAGAGATCAACGGGGAAAGAAAAGATGGAGGAGTGAACATATTGATAATTATTGGATTCAAGCTAATGTAGCAAAGACATGATATTTTTCTTGTTTAGGCATCTGGATTTTGTTACGTGAACGATATAGTAATCTCAGTTTTAGAATTGTTAAAGTAAGTAATATATGGATATGAGAGCACTATGAGGTACTTTTTGTTTACATACAAAAATAGACCTTTCCCCTTACGACGGGTTTTCTATTGCATTCTCTTTGCCCGCGCGAGGCAAGCTGCCTTTTAAAATCTGCGCGAAATAACGCAATTTTTTTTCCAATTTAGGTACCACCCGCGAGTGCTATATATTGATATTGATATCCACCATGGCGATGGTGTGCAGGTACAGTACTTTGATGCCTATAAAATTTTGTCGCTTCTTTATCTGCAAAGGTTTTATCTGGTTTTATCAACAAATTAGGCGTAGTAGCTACAACATAGAAAACGGACTTAGAATACGGTGAATACAATAAAAATGGTGAACAATAGTACAGTATACTAATAGTAGTTAAATTTTCGTTTTAGGAAGCTTTCTATCTTACCGATCGTGTCATGACATTGTCTTTTCATAAATATGGAAACCATTTTTTTCCCGGAACTGGTGAGCGATACGTGATGCACTTCTGTATTAGGTTATCATATGATGATATCACCATGCATCCTTGGTCGCCCCTGTATGCAACTGTGATCTGATACGTACTACTACTGTACATATATACCCCTCATTGTCACTGTCAATCGATCTGTATAAAAGGACGCGGAAAATCCGTTCATTGTTTTCATTGACTCTTTGATTTTAGTTTTAATTTTAATGCAATCATTTATAATATTCCTATTAACTGGCATTTGTGTAAATATATTAATTTAACAGCTGTTAGGGGTGTATATGTACGTGGTAAATATATTAATTTAACAGCTGTTAGGGGTGTATATGTACGTGATTCATGCATGTGGGCACCTTGAAGGTTTACCATGAATAATAGGCATGGTTAAGCCGGTGGAGATTAAGTTCCTTTCTTGTATATTGTAGGAGACATGTACGAGAACGGAGTCGATAATGGACGCTATTATTCAGTAAATGTGCCACTTCGGGATGGAATTGATGATCATGGTAAGTCCAGACGCAATCCGTATGCTATGTATATGTCCACATTATAACCTAAAAGTGTCCATTATCCTCTCTTCTTGTTGCTAAGGAATACAGTGTATTCTGTTAACTCTTCTGAACCCTCAGAACATCCAATCATGAAGATTTCGTCTGAATTAAGTTTTCTTTTTCCAGGATTTTTTAGTTTGTTTAAGCCAATTGTGAGTCAAGTTGTCAATATCTACCAACCTTCGTGCATTGTTCTACAGGCAAGTTTTTATACAGGAAATAATGTACACATACATACATTAACACATATTGTCAATAAATCAACTCAGTACAAAACCCATCCCCAGTACATACAGAAATATTTTAGTTCTGTGTACGGAATAGCAATTTTATTCGTTTGACAGTTAGGTTAAAACCATACAGCACAGGGTAACATAGTGAGGTGAAGAAAAACCCACTGAGGCAATATTGATCATCTTACTCTTAGGAGGCTTCTTCTCCTTAATGGCGGCCAGGGCCATCGTTGGAAGCTTGTGTGTGCTCATGTTTATATGTTCATGTTCAAATAAGCGTAAAAAAATTGCTATATCAAATAAGAAATCAGTCAGTACAGGCATAAAAAATATATTATTTCACACCCCCCTCCCCCTCTTCCCAATTAAGCTTATAGCGACGGTCCTGATGGTGGCTATAGGTAGTATAACTCCGCCTACTATTAGTACTATAGTATGCACTTGTTTACCATTCTTCACGATTTTTCTTGCAGTGCGGTGCTGATTCTCTTGGTTGTGATCGACTGGGTTGTTTCAACTTAAGCATCAAAGGTCACGGGTATGTACGTGTGAGTTAAAAATTTACGAAGGCATGACATTTTTTTTGACACTATCCAAATTAATGTCACGCTATCTGATGTCTGTGAAAGATTGAGAGTGCATGTTATTTTTTTGAAAATATCGCAGGAGATCAGTTGACACAAAAAATATTGTTTCTTGGTATACCAAATACAAGAACGTGACGAAAGCTTGTTTCTTTAGTATTGTTTTAAACTTACAGTAATACAGATTGAAAAACTGGTTTTCAATATCAATATCGGGAATGAAAAGACCGAGACTTAGTTAAGGCGCTTTTACACTATGCAATTTTCCTTGCAACTTGCAACGCAATTATAATTTTGAGAGATGTTTATTTGTAAAGAGTATTCGAAATGTTATAAGAAGACGTTTGCAACTTTAAAGTTTTCAACTTTAGATGCCTCAGAAGTAGAATTCATTGCAAGTTGCAAGGAAAGTTGCATAGTGTAACCGGGCCTTTACAAAATGCAGTGAGCCTAAATAAGCTCATTATATATACTCCAGGAATTAGCAATTTTGCAGCACCTTTCATAAACTCGCGTCACTGACATGAAATAATAAACTTTGATTTTGTAGTGAATGTGTGAAGTTTACGAAGAATTTAAATTTGCCTCTCTTGGTCTTGGGTGGCGGAGGATACACAATTCGTAACGTTGCTCGTTGTTGGTAAGAACCATGCACATCCACTGTTCTTCCTCTTACTCCCATGCATGTTTGTCGTGCAACTTATAGTAGCCGTCACAAAACGAGGGAGAACTGTTTTGTATGTTTGTTGTATATTTTGCATGATATCACTGCATATGTATGACACTGTAAGAATGTCACATGTTGAGCTTTTTTAATCGTGCATGTGTGAGTGCGTGCATGTGTGCAGGGCCGCCGAGAGAAATTGTGGTTTAGAAATTAAAATAACAATGATTGTCACTCGTACTTTCGACTAGTGTGCGAATAATACACCGAGCCCAAAATTTTTTAAGGTGCTTTAATTTTAATAGGTTCTTTCGGCTTAAGTCGGGGGCCCCTTCAGGTTTGGGGCCGAAGGCAAATGCCCCCTTCCCCCCCCCCCCTCTCGGCGGCCCTGAATGTGTGAGTGTTTTGCTGTTATTAAAATTGTAGAGAAGAAAATGAGTTGTAAAAAAGAGATAACTGATCCTATGTACAGTGTATAACAGCTTGATTGATGATTATAAGCAGTCTTTATATATGCGTTTCGTAGGACGTATGAAACATCAATATTGCTTGATGAACAAGTTAGTAATGAGATTCCTGAAAATGGTATGTAATAATCTAGTACTGTACGTGCATGTGAATAACCTATTTTAAAAAAGGGCTGTATTGCCATTGGATTTCAATTTAATTCATAAAGCCCAGTACAGTATGTAGCTATACCCTCCCTAATATTCATGTACACGAAGAAAAGTGGGAAATGAATGTTATCTAACAATCTTATAATATAATAAAATAAAAAAATATAATAAAATAAGATAATATTCCTAAGCGAAATATAGCTCTAAAGTTTATTTATATAATTTTCCATATTCCTTTTAGAATATTACGAATATTTTGGACCAGATTTTTCTTTACATCCTGAAATTCTAACGAGACATGAAAATACTAACACTAAACAGGTTAGTTTTGTATTGTATTTTACGATCCCTGGGAATTTCTGCATTAGGGCCACGCGTTCACGCATGTCTTAAGGCGGTTTTCCACTAGCGATATATTTCGCGCGAAGCGACATTCTACTTTTGTTTCAGAGTTCTCAACTGCAGTCATCTGGAACAAATTGCCCAAATACAAAAGAATAAAGTCGCTTCGCTCGAAAAATAACGCTGGTGGAAAACCAGCTTTATATATACGTTTTTAACATGGAATTCTTGCACCCGGCCCTCCCTTAACCCACCGCGTGTTTACCCAACCTTAACCGGGATGCGCTGTCAAGGATATCAACACTTAGATACAAGAATCAATGCGTGTGTCCTGTATACAGTATTGGTGTGTACAGTAGGTGACTGCACGCGATATTTAGCATTATGTAAAACTTAGTAGAAGTATGTGCTTGGCAGTTTTAGTCAATCATTCATAAAACTTTAAACGAACTCTGGTTCTATTGAACAGTTCGTTACACGCTAGGGGAATTGGCGTACACGTGAGATCAGGAGATTCTGATGGTCATTGCTTAACATCTAAGAACACCAGATAATCTCTGAGTGGATATTCTTTTATTTTGTAGTAGGTTGCTTCAAATTGTTAACATCACCACTACCCTCTCACCCGTGACCGTTCTTACTGTATTACTGGCTTTATGTTATGTTCTCTTTTCATATTACTTTTTTGGAAATTTATTAGAAGTCATATATACATATTATAGTACAATTAACGTGGTTGTTTTATATTATCATTGTTATAGTACCTTGAGAATATTAAGCAAACTGTTTTCGAAAATCTGAAGTTGATATCCGGAGCACCTGGAGTGCAAATGCAAGTAGTTCCTGATGATTTAATATCCATTGAAAACAAGAGAAAAGAAGACGAAGATGCAAACATCAGAACTGCAGACTACCACAGGTTTGTTAGCATCGGTGGCAATTCTTTATAATTATCGCTGTATATCGTCTTGTTTTGATCATGTTTGTGCATGAGAATAACTTTCAGCGCCTTTAAAGCTAAGCAACAATGTTGAGAAGTGTGGCAGGTAACAGTACTCTCAGTACTGTACAGGTAACAGTATTTTTCTAAGATAATTGATCGCCAAGCTGGTAGACTAAACTTACATACCTTCAACTATAATTGCCGAACTTTTATGAGGTACAGTATTTAGTGGTCCAGGGTAAATATAAATTCTAGGATCATAGCTGTTTACCCATGTAGCTATGTCCATTCTTTATCCCCTTTATATACATATATACTGCACCATTCTTTCTTAAGAAAGCCTGGGCCGATTACTTCATTTGCCACCTCTATAAAAGGCGCTGAATGTGTGTTTTTTTTTTGGTTTAGAATGGCCAACGAGTTTTATGACAGAGATAATGATGTTGATAGGGAAGACAATGTGTTAGATGTCTAGTTAAGATTGTCCTCGCGCGATGTTCCCTTTTGACTCTGAAATTTTCACTGACGATGGGGTTCGTACCTTGGGTACCAGGTTGTACCCAAGATCCACCAGTTCCATTTAGGAGTATTTACCTACAAAATTTAGTCCCTTCACAGTTCTCGTACATAGGAGAATTTTAGGGTATGGTATGCCCAAAGTTGATCGACCCCTCTGCATTTAACTGAAGTTACTTAATTCAAAACTTTTATCTGTTAAAAGTTGCTTTCAGTTTAATGAATACTACGTTTTTATTTCTTCTCAGCATTTTGGGTCTATAATTTAAAGCAAATTCTTGCTATTTTCCTGCTTATGTATGTACAGGTTAATGGAGGGAGATGAAACATTGTTCCTTTCTTCAGTTTCTTGCAACAGATCTACTCAGAAATATCACATCCTGGATACAACACTGTGGTCAATCAAATTTCTCAATAGGCTTATTGTCATTTTAAATATACATACAGTTTCTCAATAACATTATTCATTAAGATGAACTAGGATTATTGGCCCAACCAAAAACATTTATTAGGAAGTTATCCATGATGGGACTATGTCATGAACATTATAAATAGAATTAGATTTGTTCATACATGTGGCTTGTGGTTGCGAATTCTGAAAGAAAACAAGAATATAAGGTAACAAAGGCAATAGGATTTTTACAAGCAAATATATTTACATGAAGGGACACAAAGAAAACATTTTGGCCATGACTATCTGTATGAGACACCTAAGGGTTGTACTAATTTATTCATGAAAACATTTGAACAATGCAACAAAAATTTACCAAAATGGCCATATCTTCCTCACTGATAATCCAATCAAATACTTGAGCATTTTCAATGATACGCTTCTCATTGGATGATTTTGGAATGACACTAAAGCCTGATTGTATGGACCAGCGAATGAATAGCTGTGATACTGTCTTTTTATACCTGTCAAGAAGGCAAAGAAATTATGCCTTTTTATGCCCACATTTTGTGTACAATGTATACAATATACTTTAAGACTCCAATTGTCTATTCATCTCACTGTAATTTCTTACTTTTCTGCCATGGTAATCATATCAGGTTCTTTCAATCGTTTGCCTTTTGTTAGAGGTGAGAATGCCATTACATGTATGTTATGGTCATGGCAATATTTCACGAGCTCATCCCTTCTCATGTATGGATGTATTTCTATTTGGTTGACAGCAGGGGTTTCTTTTCCAGCTTTGCGCAGACCTTCCAACATAGCAATATTGAAGTTTGACACACCAATTGATCTGGAAGATTAACAGATTTAGTAGTTTCAGCTAACATTGAATATAACATTGCTATATGTAACAATTATTAACACTACTAAGGCAGTTTTTTGTTAGATTATATTTGGCTACTATCAGTCAAGTTAGTGAGCTTGCATGTGTGTTATTGATGAGATGGAAGGCTATTGCATACTTCTCAAGAGGCCTGTGTGCCTTTTAGGTTTTTCTACCAGGATAGAGTAATTTGAAAGCCCTGACAATACCCACAATAGGCTGATATCATGATCATTGATTAATAAGACAATAGTCTTTCACTCTTTCAAGAGGCCATATAAATTTGATAGTGATTGTAATGCTCTAATAGATTTCCAACATTAACTTTACTACTCCTAAAAAGTGGTCGTAATTAAAAAAGTTTGAAGTATACTTTGCCAAACCCCTTTCCTTCAAGGTCAGGAATGCATCATAGGTTTCTAATATATAATCACCAACAGGACGATGCATTAAGTAGAGATCCACATAGTTCATATTCAACCTGCAAATAAATAAATCATAGCAAAGGGGCCAAAACAAATATGCAGATCTATTAGCATCACTTTTAAATATATATACCGTTTAAGACTTGATTCAAATGCCTTTAAACAATAATCATAACCATTTTGATCCCAAAGTTTTGTCACAACATATACATCTCCTCTTTTTACACCTGAGTTTTTAATTCCTCTACCAACCTCTTCCTCATTTCTATGTGTATGAAAAAATAGGGCAAGTCAATTTTGATGGGTAATATTAAATGACTGACATTGCAATATTTCAATAGTATTGTAGAATCTCCTAATTCAAAAATGTAGGTGGGTGACATAACGAGTAGCGTAGCCAGCCTGTCGTAGTGTCGTTTTTCCCGCTATGCTAATATTTTCGTGACTGTGAAAACAATAGATATTTAAAGACATGAATAATTATAATAACTCGAAGTTTACATTTCCTTTGACTTTGCCATTTGTAAGAGAGAAGAAACTGCATTGGCTGCGTAATATCATGTACGAATATCAAATGTACAAAAAATTACGTACTCGTAAACCTCTGCTGTATCGATCATAGGGTATCCATTCTTTAAAGCAACACTAACAGCTTTTTCAGTTCCATGTACATCATCCTGGGAACATTTGTATACTCCTAGACCTAGCGCAGGAATGAAGTTTCCATTATTCAATGGATATTTTGATAAACAAGCGGTAAATTTCCTGATATTTGCCATTTTTCATGTCTTGTAATTTAGTTGTAAAGGCCTTTGTGAAATTGTTTATAATTGCGAAATGTTTGGTTGAAAGATGTTGCAAAGGTTGCACGTTATGTTGCACTGTGGAATGTAGTTATATCGATGTAAGTTGAAACATTCTTACCGGAAACATTCCCCCGCCATTCCCCCGCCCAGTTCCCAAAGAAATATGAATTTGACCGCTCTTAAGTCTTAACCTTTTATAAAATGTGCCTCGTTTCAGCGAGCGAAATTTCAAGCAAAAAGAGAGGAAATTAATGTGTTAAATCTTCTTTTTATCCCGGTAAAACGTTATAAGCGCCGTGTGAAGTTAGTGTGTTAGTATTGTAAAATGCACAAAAACGTGCATATTTACCTCAATTATACCGGCGACAAAAATATAAAACCCAAAAATTTAAATAATAAAGCTATAATTATCCTACAAGACGGTATCTTTTCTACGACTATATTTATTCCACTTAACTACTGTGTGAATTGTCCATATTGCGAAAAGTGTAGTTTGATAATCTACACTGAGGAATATTACAGCGAAAAACTCGATTTTTTGCCCGTCTCTGAAAACTGAAAAATACAGCCACAAAAACACACTTCGTCTTCTTTATACCTGTCGTCAAAACAAAGTCCTGAAAGAACTGTATTAATTGTGAATTAGTGAAAAAGTACAGCGAGAAAGGGAAAGGACCCTTCGGCTTCAGGCTTCAGTTCAGGGTCAAGTTTTGCTGACAATCAAGTGAAAAATACTAGTAAATACCATCTCACAGTCGGGTTTTATTCTAAATTTTGTTTCAGGCTTAGGAGAGTGAGATTTGTTGAGGGAAGATCATTACTTTCTTTTAAACTTGGTTAATTTGCTAATATTTAAGGCGGGGGGCAAAAAGTTCTCATTGGGCCCGGGGCTGAAAAAGGAGCTGTGCGCTCTCGCCCTCCAGTTATATAGCCATAAAAAGGCCCTGGAACGCGAGTGAGTGATTCAGGTGCGGTGCCTACTCGCTCCCGCCGTATATTGTAGCTGAATGCAACCTTTATATCGATACGAGGTTGCCTTTGCTTTTCAACAAAACGCCTGTTTTTTTATATGCGCTAAACCAGGACGTCGAGGTTAGTCATGTTTAGGGTTTCAGTCATTCGTCACGATTTAGTTAGGCTACTTAGTTTTAAGTATTGAAGCGGTTGCTTCTTGCTGTTGTTATGCAGTTAATTATGCGTTCTCAAAACCTGTTGTAGAAACTGTCTAATCAGAGTGTTGCAGCTAATGCAGCAAACGCACTGTCGTCAAAGAGGACGTGAAAATAGAATTTCAAACTGACAAATAGATTAATTTGTACGGATGGAATATTAAACTGACAAATAGTCAAATTTCAACCGTACAGTACTACAGTAATACATTTCGCTTTTTACGGTGAAAGATTATTCAAATGTGTACTTTACCAAGTGGAAGTATTTTCTACTCATGTTTCCTGCGGGCAATAACCATGGTTACAACCTGTCACATGCATAGTCACATGCTAATGAAGGCAAATATTTTTTGTGGGAACCAATGGAAACTGATTTTGTCATGACAACGCCTAGCTGTGTTACAAAAGACAAACTCTCAACGGATTCTCGTTATTGCATCACAGACTGTGTAAAGCAAAGTGTCGTTACTTCAAACTCTTTGCGTTTAAAAGCAATACCTTACCTTAATCTTTTTCAAAATGGTAGGTTTAATTTGATTTTTATCAATTTATATTTGTTACATTCTGTCACAAGTTGTGACGAACAAATTTTTCATGATATGTTTTTGCGATGGCAAATTTTCCTGCGCGGCTGCTGCGGCCATGCCGGCCATGGCAGAAGCGAAAATATAAATTAGGCTTTAAACGTTTTAAGTACGCTTTATTTTCGAAAATATGGCTAATAATTTTATTATTTACAGCGTGAATGTATCTCAGTTCATGTCGGCCAAGCCGGAGTCCAAATGGGCAACGCTTGTTGGGAACTTTACTGCTTGGAACACGGAATTCAGCCCGATGGCCAGATGCCAAGCGATAAAACGATCGGTGGCGGAGATGACTCGTTCAACACATTCTTCAGCGAAACTGGCGCTGGAAAACACGTTCCTAGAGCCGTGTTTGTTGATTTAGAACCAACTGTTGTAGGTAGGTTTCGCTAAAATAGGCGAATTCTGTGTGGATGGCTTTGGATACAATTATGGATTTTACTTACCACTGTTGTGTACAATACCGAGTAAAATACAGAGTTTACTAACTTTACTTCTTTGAGTTGTTAGTTTAAATTTATCAACTTTTTTCTCCTTTCTAGATGAGGTCCGAACCGGTACGTATCGTCAATTGTTCCATCCTGAACAGCTGATCACTGGCAAAGAAGACGCGGCAAACAATTATGCTCGCGGCCATTACACTGTTGGCAAAGAACTCATCGATCTTGTTCTCGACAGAATACGTAAGCTGGTAAGTCTGTTTTTGATGTCAATTGATTACAAAATAACAAAATATGGATACAACCGAGTGCGATCATTTTGAATTTGTGACATTTAGCTTTGACAAGTTATTGCAATTTCGTATGTTGCAAAATATCTGGCGTGGCAGTAATGGCGCCTAAATTTTTTAAACACGCCCTTACACATACTTCCGTCATTTACTAACTTGTTATATATGTGGAATTACATTTTTCGTTTTACTGTAAATTTGTAAAGCTTATAACTCGAATTATAGGCCTCTGTGTAGTTTTAATATTTTGTGTTTTATAAAAAGTCTTTCGTACTGTCTGCTATGTTACTTAATATTGGCCCAGGTAAATTCGTTTTATTCTATATAAAATTTATTCTATTTTGTATGTTTTTTCAAACCAACAACATTAAATTATTAGCGCTTTGACGTTTTGTAAATACTATCTACATTGATGCAAAATACAGTTAAAAAGTTTTCTGTTTAGCTTTGAGATCTACTTGGTTTCCATAGAATGTCTAATTGATTATGTTAATGATTTGAATATCATTAATTTTTAATTTTACCAGTATTTTCCAATGCTAGATTTGAAAATTATGCTAATTTAGATATCTACATCCTTCCCTTTGCCTCTGATGTTTCCTGAATTCAGAATTGTTTTCATTTTTGAATAGATATTGTCTTTCGAATAAATGTGAAATTGCTGTAGGGGCTAATATGAAGTAATGAGAATCTAAATTTTCATCTACTGTATTGCATTCTTAAAGCTCCATTATTGTAAAGCTCTCTTATCCCAAAATATTTGAAGTGTTTGAATGTGTTAAAATACTTAGAACATTGCTCACATCTGTACAAGATGTATCTGATTTGACTGCACTGAAATTTCAGGGTTGCATGTTACCTTAATCTAACTCAACATACTGTATGTAAATATTTAAATGTTGCATGTATTTACCTGATCCATTGGATGTTCACATTGTGAAGTATTTCTAACTCTCTTTGGCAGTCTGACAATTCATATCTGATATCATGAAATTGTGTCTTGAATGTGTACAAATATGTATTAGTTAATGATTGTATTTTTCTTAATCAGCATAGATTTAAGTATTTTAAAGGGTTTAACTTGTGTAGATGGTACATTACATATAGGAGAAATTGTGAAGAAAATTGAGGTGTTTATTTTCTAACAATTTTGTTTAACTTTGGAATTTTTCTTTCTTTTCAGGCTGACCAATGTACTGGTCTTCAAGGATTCCTTATTTTCCATTCATTTGGTGGTGGCACGGGTTCTGGATTCTCATCCTTGCTTATGGAACGTCTTTCGGTCGATTATGGCAAGAAATCAAAACTGGAATTTTCAGTCTACCCAGCACCACAAATCTCCACCGCAGTTGTTGAACCCTACAACTCTATTTTGACCACCCACACGACCTTGGAGCACTCCGACTGCTGTTTCATGGTGGACAATGAGGCTATCTACGATATCTGTCGCCGCAATTTGGATATTGAGCGACCCACCTACACCAATCTCAACCGTCTGATTGGTCAGATTGTGTCTTCCATTACTGCATCTCTTCGTTTCGACGGCGCTCTGAACGTTGATTTGACAGAATTCCAGACCAATCTCGTACCCTACCCACGTATCCATTTCCCCCTTGCCACCTACGCTCCTGTGATATCCGCCGAAAAGGCTTACCATGAGCAGCTCTCCGTTGCTGAAATCACCAACGCTTGCTTCGAGCCTGCGAATCAAATGGTGAAATGTGATCCACGCCACGGTAAATACATGGCGTGTTGTCTGTTGTACCGTGGTGATGTGGTGCCGAAAGATGTGAACGCGGCCATCGCAACGATCAAGACCAAGCGTACCATTCAGTTTGTTGATTGGTGTCCAACTGGCTTCAAAGTTGGTATCAACTACCAGCCTCCCACTGTGGTCCCTGGTGGCGATCTCGCCAAGGTGCAGCGTGCCGTGTGTATGTTGAGCAACACTACAGCCATCGCAGAAGCCTGGGCACGTCTTGATCATAAGTTTGATCTGATGTACGCCAAACGTGCTTTCGTTCATTGGTATGTCGGTGAAGGAATGGAAGAAGGCGAGTTCTCGGAAGCCCGTGAGGATTTGGCTGCTTTGGAAAAGGATTACGAAGAAGTTGGCGTTGATAGCGTTGAAGAGGAAGGTGAAGATGAAGGAGACGAATACTAAGAACTTTCTTTAATATTGGACCCACGTGTTCTTAATGTTACATCTTGTTCTGTAAAAACATTCATTCTGTTGGGAATAAATGTTGAGTAATTCTTACTTCGATGTTTGTTAATTTTTTTTAGTTTGATTCGATTTTCTAAAATTGATCGTTCGAATAACAAATTAACCATTTTGCAACGTTCTTTGAAAGGCAGACGACGACATTCAAAAATAGGTTTTTATTTTAATTTATTTTCCAGGCAAATAGTATTAACAATATAAAACTATAAAACAACAAACGGATGCATGTAAAACGAAACCATTTAAATTAAATTACTATACTGAGAATGTTCATTAGGGTTGTGAGTTCGCTCAATGAGGTTCAGCTACAAAAGAAGTATACAAGACAACACAGTTAATATTTTCAAACAAAAAACAGCTAAAACAACAAAAAGGGGTCGTTACATGTCGATTTCGGCCAGGGATTGGGGCCTGCGATGTTCTTCGTCAAACATTTTCGGAAAGTCAATGCACGTGTGTGTTCTTGTCTTGTCTGAGAATTTAGGATAGTTCACGATTTGGGGAATACAAATCATGCATCTATGTTGGTGTTTAAAGTGTTTCATGCGTATGATAAAATTGTATCCTCTGAGCACGATTTGAATATTTTACTTCTTATATAACCTTTACTTCTGTTCTTCTTACCCTCATTTCACATGAACGTATTTTGTATTCTCATTAAAGAACATATCTGGCGAAATATGATCTTGTAGTATACTTACTGCATTGCCATTGGTTTCTGTCTGGTAAGTTTTCAAGTCGTACATTTAAGATCAAATCATAAATGTCGTTTGTTTCATTCACAAATTCCCTGGTTTGAACTGATGAATCAGGCACCCTGCCAGTCTGGCGTCTTCGGTCGAAAAATTCCCTTAAACCACCTTGTAAGAGATGTTCAATTCGTTCTATTCTCTGGTTTATCCCCACTGTTTCTTTCGTCATTCGCATTTCAACAGACAACTGTTTTGCTCTTTCTAAGACATCGTTTGCTACAAAGCGAAATGAAAATTGTGTCATATAGATAAGCCACTAAACAGTTGCAAGTTTACTTACACAATGGTGTTTTAAATGTTCGAAGAACAAAATTTAAGGAATCATTTCGTTTCTTAGATGCTAAACCTTCAGTTAGCATTAATAAATAAAATAGAGAAAAACATAGAATTTATTTATAATTCTCGGTCCATTCATTTCGTGTATTAAGAGCATCTTAATTGTGAAATTCTTTTTTGCATTTCCTCGAGGCGATTTTTCCCTTCTCCCCCTCCCTTTCCATTTCTCTGCCATTCATTTTAAAAAGTAGAATTAAATTTAATTGCAGATTTTATTTCACAAATCAAACTGCACCTGCATGTAAATGTCTCTTTCCTTGTTCTACAGCCTGTGCTTCATCGTAAAAGAACGTCAACTCTCTGCTTGTGGCTTTTCGAATTAAGTAATCCGCCTTTGGGATAAGGAAAGTGCATTCGTGTCGTTTTGGACATTCAGGCAATAACTTCTCTACATCTTCAATGACTTTGTAAGCTTTCGCAATGTCTTCTCCCGACACCTCCAAACTATATCAAAGTAAACGACAAAGAAGTCGTCATATAACAAGAAATCTTCTCGGTATCTACATCTTAACTACGGTCATCGCAATCGAATTGTTGTAGATTCCAAAGGCCTTGATCATGTTGTAATATCATGCATTTATCATCCAAGACCGGCAAAAGTGAAGGGCAGGGGAGGAGTGCTCAGAGGGGCTAGAGATCTCTTGCAATTATTTAATTGGTGGAGCCTTTTGCTGGGACGGGGGTGCGTCTCACCAATTTGCGTGGAACCCGTCGGCCCCCCGGCCTCATCATCACACATATTATCAAAACATTTTGTTGGCAACTGAAAATTTTCACATTTACGTACTTCAAATCGGGAAAATTACTTCGGGATCCTTTTAAATAAAATAAGATTTGTCTGTTGGAAGTCCTGATGATGTTTCGAATTCTTTTAGGTCCATTTTTCTCGTGAAGTTTGTACATTCGAATGGCGTCTTCAAAACTTTCCACTGTCAATTTGTATTCCTCCGAGGTAAGCCTACAATGAGCAGCTTTTTGAGCATATAACGCCGCTAGATTATATCTGTTGTTTCCTGTTTCACTACATTCAAATACTTTCATGAAGTTCTGAAAAGAATTGAGAACGATGCATTATTTTACCTCGAAGAGAAAAAGGATCATGTATATTGGACGTTAAGATCTCACTTTCCGACATTCAAATTTTAACTCGAGAAAATGAATCAACGAGATTTAACAATTATTTCGAGCTATCCAGTAAAATTCGAGCTATCCAGTAGACGCGAAGGAACCTTTCAAAAGCTTCGCCCACGCGAATGTAAATTATGTAATAGAAACAGTTTTATTAAGGTGGCTCCCTACAGTAAATTGAATTTATCAATACACATCTTGAGCAGGGATATGAGGCCATCTAAATGCGGTTTGGCTAGAGGTTAAGAAGACTAAACTGTAATAAAACTTTTACGCAACATGTGTACTGTAGAGCCGAAATCTATTTCGAACTTTCGCTTGGCAACCGTTGCTATAGCAACAAAGGCGTTTCAAATAGAATAAAATAATAATTTCCGCCATTTTACCTACCAAATTTCCGCGTGGAGGCCTGGATATACCCACAAGAAACGCTTGAAATTTTTCGCAGACCTATAGCGTTCCAGTCTTATTTTAGTCCACTGGTTTAATCTAGTTTATATCGGAAACGAGTTCGGTGACCCCCGATATTTTTGCATCAAAATTTTACACCTTAAAAAAAATTAAAGTTTAGTCTTCTAGCCAAACATTTATATGGCTTAATATCCCTATTATGGCTTTATAATAATATGTTCAAGATGTGTATTTGACAATTTCAGTAAACTGTAGGGAGCCACCTTGAGACGTTTAAGAATCTGTGATCCGCAGATTTTGTCATCGTAGATTTTAACTCAACTCGACGTACCTCAGTTGATAAATTCAAATATTTCAGAGCCAATTCAAACTGATTTTGCTGTCTATGCACGCCCGACATAATGTAAAATACTCTCCCCAAAATAAACTCTGAATTTTGTGAAAAACTTTCCTCTGTCTTTTGGCGGATTCTCTGGCAGATTGTTAAGCATTCATCCATCTTGTTCTGCCCGTATTTTGTGATTCCTCTCTTTGAATAAAAAAATATATATAAATAAATCCAAAAGTTATTCAAATGAAGAAAATATGGATAACATGGTATATACAATAAGAAGAGGGATAAAGAAAGGAGGAATCTCAGTTGCTTAAACAATTAATGTTCAGTTCAAAACGTTCATATGAAAAGTAGCCGTTAGTGTAACTGTCGTACGTGTTAATTGTCCTACTAGTTTCTTTAAAGTTAATTGTGCCTGTCTTTAATATATGTGTCTCACTATTGCACGTATGTTCCAATCAAAATCTTTAAAAATACGTAAAAGTTCACATAATCTGATACCTGTAATTCCACAGCAAGGATCAGATCTGTAAAAAATTTTTTTTCGCCCAAATTGTTAACTAAAGCGGACTGCTTTTGCGCGAATTCAGCATGCTCACCTGAAGATAATTTTTAAAAGAAAATGAACATAATTTATAATGACTTTAATCTCTTACTTATGGTTACAAAACCAGGCCAGATATAGGCAGGGCGGTTATCCATTCCAAGACGCTACTTCAAATCCAGCTATGCCTATGGGGGCGATTTTTTTGTTTCTCCTGCAGTGTCGGACATGTAATATGAGTGTATTGTGGATTCATCACATTTATACTTACCATTATCACCAAGCTTCTGAAAAAGGTTAAGTACCTTTTGTGCATTCAATTTTGCGAGAGCTCCTGCAAAAAGGCATCTTTTAATCGTAAGGGTATAGTGAATATATATATATATATATATATATATATATATATATATATATATATATATATATATATATATATATATATATATATATAGATTCCTCCCTCGTGAGCATCTTACCTGTCATTTGCTTCTTACGATATGGAGTTTCAATGCTAGGTAATAAAGCTCCACTTTGGCATTCATCTAATTCTATACCATCTCCATGTGACTTCACATTGAATTGAGCAGAATGAAGAACTAAAAATAAGTTCATTTTTTGCACTTTATCCATGACATTCCAGCGAGTAGCTCTAGCCAGATTACTTCTACTCGTGCAACAATATTGTCAGCGGGTGTATTGACTAAATAAAAGTAGTAGTTAGCAGTAGAAGCCGTAGCAGTATTAGCTGTATTAAGGTGAAATGCAAAGCTTTACATGCTCCGTCTGTGATCCGCTGAGAAACTGGGCCTGCAGTGCTCTATACTATATAGAAGAAAATTTGACGGTTCGGAGCATTCTAACCAACGTGAACTATACAACATGCATTGGTCAGCTAAATAACCTGCATCTTCTTTGTATAATGTAATTCTGAGTCCAAACGTTGCAGGGCGTTCTTCCAGTACAGGTAACTCGAATGCCACACCACCAAAGTAAGGTAAAAATTGTTTATTATTGCAATCAAACCCCTTGAGTTTGATAGAAGACGATTGGGAATAGGGAGGCAATACTGTTGGTAAAATTCGAAATCCACCAACCTGGAGAAAACGAAAACAAGCCATTAAAAAAACTTCGGAATATAATACTTAGACTTTACACAATGTAAATGACTAACATATCGATACCACCGTAAAAATACTACCAATTCAAATCGGTTATGTCACGGATTAAATTTTTGGAACATTTTTTAGTTGGTTAATAAAACAGCTAAAAACCCAGTTAAAACATTCACCAAACACAAAAAGAGATGATTCTGAGACAAACAATTTTAAATTAATTGTTTTAATATTTTCTTTCGTTGTTTAAATTTCACAGTGGTCGGCATGATATGACACTGATTCAGTTTTATCTCGTTGATTCAGGCAGGCCCAAAGATTAATAATAAAATATGATATTATATTTATATATTTACATATTTATATATTTACCCCCAACTAAGCGTATTGCATGTCTTTAATGCGCTATACTATGATGTATTTAGTGTATTACACACACTGTCACTGCAAAAATTAACTGAGACAAACATGCATAGCCATCTCCCTGTACTTTTTTCTGAAATGACGGTATTTCACCGAGATATTTTACCAGACAGCTTTAGACATAAAAGTACTGTAAACAAGTTAGATGAATTAAATCGTCAATCGTCTGCGGTCTGTCACTTACAAAATACAACTGGGCACGTAATATGTCTTGCTTTATCTCACACCTCCAAAACTCCTTACTCTCCTCGTCCATTATCCCAAAATCAAATTGCACTATAAGACATGACTGCTCATCGAATTGTAATCTTTTCTCGTTGAATCCACTTAACGGGTGATAGGTTTTTTTGGAGACGTGCCGACTGTTTCTAAGAATATGAATTTGTGCTTGTCTTGGTCTAAAAGTGGTTGTTGTTGGATAATGCTCTAAATAATGAAGTATATATAACTCATTAAATTTAAACTATTACTATTAGCTGCTGTTGTCTGTTAGTAAATGCACCGATAGCGACATATGACTGTTATGACTTATGCAGTAATCACTACTAATCCGACCTATAAAGCTGTGGTAAAATAGCATTGTGAAAAAAGGGATCCGTCTTCACTCAAGGCATCTCCAGATTAATGAATCATGTTACAATGGTCACACAGGGTTAACAAGTACATAGACTGAACAAATAACAGTAATACTATAAGAGTTAGAAACAAACAAAAGAACACAATTACGATCGACATATACATAAAATGATAAGTATTTGCTACTTCTGGCGACATCAACTGTGTTGATTAGAAAAATTACAAATCAAGAACAGAATGCCTCACAGTAGAGAACATATTGATCATGTATGTACTAATAATGTAATGTGTATATGTTTATATCTGAAATTGCAGCCCCAGACGACAACACAAATTGTCTGTATCAAAGACATTGTAAGACATAAGAAATTCAATCCCTTTGTATCGTTTGAAATGAAAAAGATCTCACGAAAACTCTGAGTCAAGAAACGATCTGACGTACTGACCTTCTACGGTTTCTTCGCGTACATCCATCTCAATTTTCAAACGAAAGAAACGTATTTTTGAAATATTATAATTATTACACTGAAAAGGGAAATTCCCTTTGAAAAAATGCTGATAACTGATCTCCATAAATCTTTGGAGTGCGAACTTTGGACAAAAAACAGTTTATACAATGTCCACAAAAGGTTCATAAAAATATGGGGTGGTTCCGTAGGCGTAGTTCATAATAAATTCGCGACCAACGATTCATTTCATCTATGTTAAGCATGTCTAATTTGTGTTCGGAATTTTCAAAAGTATACTTCGGTTATGACGCATACATAGCAGGTACAAAACTTAGCAGGTACAATCCAAGTTTTGAAAAATCCAAGTTTTTGTTGCAAAAATCAGCGACGTACACACGGTAACAACAAAAGATTCTTCGTGTTCACAAAAGGAACCGAATGAATTCGAGCACGTCCCGAATTCACCCGGCTCACATGAACATAACCTTATGCAATAGTTTTGACGTCAACTGATAGCCAACCGGAAAAAGATTCTTCTCTTCTTTAAAAAAGTGTCGAATTTCATATTCTGAATTTCCTTGAATTAAATTTACCATAACTTACATGACATGACTTGACAATGACTTAGTGCAAAAATATGATTTGCCTTTGGTGCTTGCATATTGTGTCAATACAATGGTCTGAGCACGGTTGATAAATTGGTAAATGGGTACTATTTTAGCCCTGACAATAAATTTTCGACATATCACACGAAAGTATTTGTTGTATCGTAATATTAGGGACCTTAATATGCACCAAATCTACGACGCGGACGTGAAGTAATATTGTCGTCATTTCCACAGTTTCACAACAGGAGTAAAAATTATGAACTCTCTTTTGACCTTTTGGTAAGCAAGGTCAGAGCTGCATGTAAAACTAGTTAAAACTGGGTTTCTAAAACTACTGGCTGATATCATGTGATTCATGTCACGTCCGCGTCCTTATACCTTATAAGCGTAATGCCTTATAAACATAAACAAAAACCAATACCAGCCAACAGCAACTCGAAAAAATATCCCAACAACTCCACGAGCACTGGTCATGGTTAATGGGTATCAACCATATAATAACATAATAATAACGTTATCGCTTTTGAAAACTGAAAATCTCGTAAAAATCAGTTGGCGGATCCCTTGAATACCTTTTACCACTGTTTTTACCAAGGGGCATGTGCGCATATACTTGTAAGTGTGACGTAAAAGGAGCTCTAATCTATCATTGATTCTTCCGTTCTGGCGACCAGCTGACGTGATAGTAAGCAAGTTCAAGCCTCTTATTGGCCTCTTAGTAACATCAGTGACATCCCTGATTCCCTGGCAAATGTAGCCTGTAAACTGAACTGTTTTTCAAGGAAAAATTGTTACTATCTTGTTCTTTAATAAGATTACCACTAGATACTAGTAGAGATCAAACGCTCTGGTCGGATTTTGTTTTAATACTATAAAGATAAAATGCAGGGTCTGATAAACATCAAACATGCTATAATTAATAATCAAATTTGCCGGAAGCCCAGGAACAAGGGAATCACGTTATTCCGGTCCACGATAAACGGGGGTCTCTTCTATTCCGGTCAGATAGTCAGGCAAAACTGTCTAAAACTGTATTTGGAAATCAATTCATAAATTAGCGTACAAAAGAATGCGAAAATCGAGTACGAAAATCAATTTTAAATCAACTAACAGTGAATTATAACTGGGGTTATTTGTCGTTGCTGCATGGTGTTGTTTGTCGTCTTGGAACGGAAGTTCAATATTGACTCCAAATAATGGTCTAGATTTCGTCCAATGAAATTCGTCTCAGCCGCAGGTATAAAAGCGCGTGATACCCTGCGGTCATTCTCATATTGTTAACTGTCATTCTGCAGTAATCCGACTGAGGGCTGAATTTCGTCGAGGCACAAAACGCAACGCTAACTGGTCTTTGTTGCTGATTGCATACCATATTTTTGCGAATACTCTAGTAGGAACCGAAATCCAAACGAACCACAAGGTAGGGTTGAATTTCAAGTCAATAAACGTACTGTATTTTGACTATTTATCAAAGCTAGCTGGTGACCCTCCCTGCATGCTCTCAGTCATGTATGCTTTCATACGCCGCGATGGTTTAGATTCATACCATTATACCAAACACGCAGTGCAGCTATTCGTACTTCGTAGGCTTTGGAGCCTAAACTTTGCCTTTGCGAAATGATTGTAACGATATTTTCATACTGTGCTGCCCCAGGAAAGGCCGGGAATGGTCATGTAAGGCAACGGCAATAAACGACAGCATCTCGTGCTGTTTGTTACATGCGGATGCTTCGGTGTTATGTCAGGATGTATAGGATACTATATGTATAGGATCAGAATATATAAGATTTACGTTATTTTTCGCTAATTATCAATCAAAGAGTAGCCTGGCGCATCCTTAAACGTGAATTTTGTGAATGTACAGACTATACGGGAGTGGAATGGGTGGAGTTTTAGGTTATAATTTTATGGAGCTCCAACTTCATATCCGTCATCCAGCACGCAAACTTACAAAACGCTGTATTGTATGTAAAATTACGTATAGTTAAAATTTTCTTGGTTATTATTTTAGCTGCAGCATGCATGTCAACACTGCGTCTTAGGTTTTCAAATATTGAATGCAATTTCCATGTCGAAATTCTCCTTCTCTCAGGCTTAGCTCATTTTGTATTCATGCAACTATGATGCAACGATAGTTCCCCCCAGTGGGCGGCGACGTTAAAGAGCTTTTGTTAACGCACTCTCAAATATTCAAGATGTCGAATATCTTGGTGAACAAGTGCGTATCCCCCCACGAGGGTCCCATACTGGTTTTGCGGGATCGAGGCATCGGCCAAACGTTTTGAGCGTGGTTTCTATTTAATTGCAGTTGTCGCGAACAAGCCATTTTTACTGATGAGAATAGTCCGGATGTAATGTGTTTTTGTTTTTTTTCTGTATTCAAATTACGTTTCCCTTTCCCAAACTTCCGGAAAATTATCTGCGCGCTGGCTCTATTCGTCCCCGTGTATTCAATATTCTTTGTTCATGATGAAACAACAAACCACTTCAGTCTTGGCTGTCTATAGCGGCACATTTGCCGTAGACATAAGTACACAAACATTCTTGGCAAAAGCAACAACGCTCGACTTCATTCTGGGTTGATAGCGCTGCCCGTAGGTAGTATTTTTTCTCTGCTTAGTATGCACAGTGCATACCAGATCCGTGGTGCCGTACTTAATGCATAGTTTTGTTCAGGAAGATGAGCTTCAGACATTCAGTAAGCCAGATCGACTGTCCTTTTACAAACCAGTCAATTGAGCTGGCCTATGGACCAGAAGTCTCTCTGTTCTTGCATTGTCATCTGCGAGGTTATGATCGTGAAGGAAAGGGAATCTCTGGAGATCACGGTAATTAGCAGAATACTATAATAAAAGTAAATAACTTAATGCTTAAATACGCTGAAAGACGCTCTATACCACAATCAGTACAAAATAACCAATTAAAATTTCCCATTTGAAAGTTGCAACCGCTGAGCTGCTGCTACCTTAAGGCAGATTTCCACTTGCTAGCGAAATATTTGCATATTTTCTTTTGGGTTGAGAACAGTCAAGTCGCACTAATTTATTTATGCTGTTAAAATTCAAAAGAAAATATGCAAATATTTCACTAGCGAACGATTTCGCTGTAAGTGGAAATCCGCCTTAATAGCAGCCCAAATTTTCGTGATAGTTTGAACGCGACATTTTTTTTGGATTTTTTCAACATAGTGTAATACGTTACCTCGCCGAGATATTTCTCGCGTTCAAATTATCGCGCAAATTTGGGACAACAAAACATGTTGTAAGAAAGGCCAATTATATACATTCGATTGTATCCGATTGTATCCAACAAGTTAACTAGTCTTTTATACAACTGGCTCCAGTTGTTTTGCAACTTAAAATTATGGCCGATGTGCACAAAATATGACTTGTCTTTTGACCCAGGTGGCATTCGTGCACGCGTGGAAAATACGGTCGTGACTCTTGTCGTATTTTAAAACGAACCCATTCCTGCATAGAAATTTAACAGTCAACGGCAGTGATATTACTAGATATTACTGACACGATGTTTACGCTGGCCACACGATCCCAGTCAAGCATATTGTTGTATGATACGTGAAACTTGTCAAACAGACACAAACAAATGCGTGCAAAAATTAACACAAACCGACACGAATGCATTCGTAATCGCATACTGCTGCCTGAAAATTTGTTGGTACAGTGAGACACCGTTGCCATAAGGGGGTCGATCGGTAACATCATATTATCCCTAAACAAGACTGTCCTAAATGCTGTTAATTTATCTTAGTATTTAATGAATAATTTTTTGGTGTTCACAGATTATTATGACAAATATGGTGCACCTGCGAAGAAGGACGACTCCTGGGAGGAAGGATACCATGTTGTTGAAAAGAGATTGGCAGAGCACTACAATACTGTGGTGGACAATAAATTGAACTTCCCATTGGTCGCTGGAATGGGTGGAGGAGTCCATATTTACAAGACAAGACATAATGAGGAGCCTTGGAACTGGACTGGTTGGATTCCAAGACAGAAAAGATGGTTGAGTCAAGGAACTTTCTTCAGCAACAGGTTTTAAAGCTAAATCTTAACGCTGCTTTTAGTGTACTTTATGTTATAGACAACTAATAGTTCGTGTAGGAGAGATATATTTTTGGAATCGTGGGCTTGTTAGGGGCTGTTTACATGAGCCTGGTTACCCGAGATTTAACGAAACGTGAGAGGACTTTGAGGTATTGAAATAAGTCTTTATGTCACCAAACAAGCCCATGCTATTGTTGTGGTGACTATACGACTGCCAAGCTCATGTTATCTGTTCATTTTAATAGCTCAAAATCATCTAACGCTTCGTTTAATCTCGGGTAACCGGGCTCATGTAAACAACAAGAATGACCAATAAATCTCTAAATAATGTGAAGTGAGCCGGACTCAGACACCTCCCCTGCCATCCTGATTCCTCCCCTTTAATATATGCACCCCTGTCAATGATTCGTGTTAACTTACTTATTCGTGGAATCTTTTTTATTCCTGAAATTTTTCATTGATATCCTAGCTATCATTGCCACTCGTAGATTCTGTCTACTGTCATTACCGAAACCTACACAACGAATTGTGAAGAAAATAGTATCTCTGCTTTCATTCGGATTCAGAACTTTCTAACTTGTCTGTATTTTCAAGTTGATGTTTGCTTGGGGTTTTTACAGATTTTTTCTGGGTCTTCGTGGAAATGAGATTCAGAACAATCTCTGGGACTACGACCCTCATGACGAAGAGGAAAATGAAAGCGTTGATGACTTGATGTACACCCAGATTGAACCCAATGATAGATACAGAGGAGGATATTGGTTTCAAACGCAACCATTTGGTCGCTATCTGCATCTGATTACCCTAAAGTCGCATGAACATGACCCGGACGTAAGTCTCGTATCTCTCCAACAGAAGTTGCACCATACTGATAAAAAATAACTCTCTCATCTGAGTTATTTCAAACAGTTACCTTTTCCAAAAGGTTTTAAACGTACTTGGCTTTCGTTTTAGACAAAGCTGTGTCTGAGATATAACTACATCGTTCATCCTCTGGCGTACAGACCTTCGGTTGATACAATACCAGACAACAGCGTGGATGCAATGCAATGGGCCATCATAAATATGCCTGAGGAGAGGCATTTTGGGGAAGGAAAGCCATGGGGTGATAAATGTCACGGTTTGGAAATCTTCAATGACTTCACGTAAGCAGGCAAAGCATATTATTGGGCCTTTTCGTTCGGGGCATTTGCCTCGGCTTTTTCAACAAAATATTACTTCCCCCCACTCATTATATGTACGGGTTTATCTTATTATGTTTAATATGTTTTGGGATAAGGAACATACTTTAAATAGTCTTTGAAGTCCAATACTTAACACAAAAGAGTGAAAGCAACATCCCCCCAAAAATATTGGAGAATCGTTACTATTCAGAGAGAGGGAGAATGTAATGGTGTATGACTTTATTGGCATTGCTATATTAATGTGTAGATTGCTAAAGCACTTAAAATGACAACAGCTAGTATGCATAGAAATTGAAAACTGAGATTGTATATGTTTTCCGATACATATTGAATGTAATATTTCGGCGAAAGGAACTTTTAATGTGATTGACGCTGTTTACAAATAAGAATGCCATAGCAACTTTAACTGATACGCACACCTAGTCCTGGTTTCCCTGAAAGTACTTGTACATTAATATTTGTTCAAGACATAAATACGATTTTTCATAATCTCACTCGTAGTTGACTTCGCTATGTGCGTTGATAGAGTATAAAATTCATTGTTAACGTTGTAAATATTTTTACATACCAAGGTATTTCTATTCCTACCAACCATTGGAAAAAAATGGGCCAAATAACAGCGAGCTTTGCGAGGATCCACAGAGGACGATTGATGGTGATAACTACTACTACTTTTGGTATGATACATACCCGATGGAGTTTGCTGTGTTTCTCCTTGATTCGGCCCTAGCCAGAGGAGTTTACTTCCACACAATGTCCGCCAATGATGCTTTTTATGAGAGATCAAGTGGAGAAGATGATGGTGCGTATTATAGAGCGTCTATAGTTTTAGTCCGGCTATAGCTATATGAACATTGACAACGACTAATTCAGAATGATGACACCGATAACGACGACAACGACGGTAACTGGTAACAAGAACAACAGTAACAAAACAACAACAACAGTAACAAAAAAAACAACAACAACATGATTGATGATGTATCTTTCACTTTTAATTAACAACAGAACCGAATGACATTCTGTTGGCCGATCCTAAAGGTGGTTTGGTAAGGCATAACATGAAACACAGAGATGCGTCGAAAGACTCGCGATTGGGTGTTTTGAAGACGAAGCAGCCCGAACTCACAGAAGAGGAGAAAAAACACCAATACAGCTTGGCTGCTATAGGTTTTCTGAAACAACGACCGTATGGGCTTTACACATCGTTTGGATACGTCACGCTACTTGATCCTCGCCTGAAAATTAAGAATGCTGTTTTCAAAGAGGAGAAAGGAATACTTCATATGGGTCTTGATGACGGAGAAACATTGGCCCTGCAATATTTAGTAGATGGGAAGTACTTTTCCACAACAGGTACAGTTTTATGCTGTATTTAGTATTATATCTGTTTCTTGAGTTAAATTTTTATATCATATTTGGTACCACGATGCAGAGATAATAAAAACTTGCAAGCACCTATTAGTGAGAGGTTACTGAAATGCATTGAAGAACCATTACTCAATATAATCGTCAAAGTCATACGTATATGGTGATAAATTTCCTTAATTCAAGGTCTATTTAAATTGTTCAAATACGAGTTTCCACTTCTGCCATTCCGGATATCAAGACAACCGGACAAGGAAGATCTTTGCTATGATCTCACCAAAGAAATGGAATTGGAGTTCACCTTTCTTAAATCTTCGGATGATATGCATCACTTAATTTGGAGGTAGGTATAAGCATATAATAATGAAAGTCTGAGCTGTTACTGATAGACAATTTAGGCCGAACACTTCTTGTTTTAATTTACAGCCCGTGCTCAGAACGCCTAAAATTGTTTCTAAAGATGTGCATATTATGTATTGTTACTAAAACTATGACAATGCACGAATTACGAAAAGGAACAATAATAACTCATTTAAGGCTTCGTTAAAACTACTGCTTTTACTGTTGACTTCCTACGCCAAATTTTTTCCCCTCATACCATTTCCCTAGATATTTGTGCTATTTTCTTTTCCGAAAAGATCCCAGCAGTTTCAGTGAGAATGATTCTAGAAAAATTCAAAATATCACTATACTATTAATAAATTAATTAGATTTATAACTACGGGCTTTTTCATGTCAATTTACAACGTTGTTCAAATACATCCTTGTTACCAGGGCAACTAAGCATAGCTCTCAGAAGTATAGCTCCAGAGGTTAGCGTGCTACATCCTTGATCCTTCAGTTCAGGTGGTCATACGTTATGAAAGTTGTATGCGTTAAAGTAGATCTGCTTCATGTGCCTACCTCGTGTTTGTCGGTTAAAAATGAGTGTTACACCCCCCTGTTAAGATAGTCACGCTACGAGCCTGGATAGTTCTGCAATTGCAAACAGTTATTTCTTGTCACTCTTACTGTTGCTGATAAATTTTGAGTTCTTAATGTAACGCAATTCCTTCTTTCTCTTGAATGAATTATTTAAAATATACAATTTACCCACATGAAAGTAAAATGCCGGACACAGTATTAATGAGTTGCGGACTCCTATATTTATATAGATACACCATTATGGTTCAAACCAAGGACCACACGGTAGAGACCTCTCATGGTTACTTCAAGCTCAGTCCAGATCATACGACCGTTCTTGACTTGACCAAGACTTATCATTTGGAGGATGTGAAGTTCATCTATTTTACCGCGATTTCGCCAAAGAACCCGCAACATCGTGCATGGTTCCACGCTATCAGAGGACCTGCATTTGGCAATCCTTGGTTCCATGGCAAGTAGATCTGACAGTGCCGGGGGCAATGTATTGCTAAGATATTAGAAAACGTGCAAGATCTTCCTTTAATCTTCCATTTACATTCCTTACATCATGTGTGAAATAATATATTTCAAGACCATGCATTTATCAATTATCATTTGTCTCTTTCCTTCACTCGTATCCTTTTTTACCTTTGAACCTTGATCTTAAGTACGTTTTTCAATATTTTCTTGCAGCCAAGTGCCCGGAGCTGAAGCATAATGTTGTTCAAACAAGTAGAAACCACAACACTGTGACGGCAAGTAAAGAGATCGAAGTGACAGCTGTTGACAAAGGAGATCTTGATTTTGCTTTAAAAAAAGATTGCAACGAGAGAGACATATATGTGTATTTCATGCAAGCCTATCCCCATCAACAAGATTTCTCAGAACCAGTGAGTGAAAAGATTAAAGAGTCGTCAGATCTTATTCCACCAAGAATTCTGCAAAGTGTGCATGGATATTTCTCGTGCAAAGATGATCACCCCACAAGGATTAACCTGAGTGCATCATGGGACAAGGATACGGTAAGTGGCCCTAATGGGGTTTATGCGAGAGTTATCGTTACAAGAGGCTGTTTCTCGTATTGTTCGCTTTTTTGCTAAAAGAATCGTTACAGATACATTATTAGTTATTACGCACTCAATTCTGTCAATTTTCCAACTGCAGACGCGAATTACAAACAAGTTTGCAGATTAATGATGTTTACATGCTTTCAATCCGAATGCTTATGATTGCCGCACAGATTCGTTTGAGTATTCTTGTACGTGCTCGTTATATTTCAGGCCGAGCTCACGTTGAGTTTGTTATATTTCAGGTCAAGGATGAAAAAGTTTATTTCTACCATATTAATGCCGACACCGGCGAACCGTCGAAAATGGAAGCAGGCTGCGAGCCCAAACAATTTGGCTCAACTGCTTAAACACGTTCTGGACAATTTATCAAACGATTTTTTTCATTGTAGCTTAGCTATGTTAGCATTACTGATCACGTGTGCAATTGATACACAATAAAATTTAAAAATGATCAATATTAAAACCTTGATTTTGAATTTCTCTGCATGGTTATAACCATCAGCAGCTCATTGACTTCTGCTTCTTTGTGCTAACGTCAGCGGCTCATTCGACTTCCTGCTTCTTCGTGCTAACGTCAAAGGCTCATTGACTTCTGCTTCTTCGTGCTGACGTCAGAGGCTCATTCGACGTCTGCTTCTTCGTGCTGACGTCAGAGGCTCATTGACTTCCTGCTTCAGTCTTCGTGCTAACTTTGGTGGCTCATTCAACTTCCTGCTTCTTCGTGCTAACTTCAGCGGCTCATGCGACGCCTGCTTCTTTGCGCTTAACATCCGGGAAGTGTAATAATATAATAGTGCGTTTTCATGCGTATACTTCAAGTATTTGTGAATCTAGCGTATATACTCGATCAAAACTAAACGAGTGTACGCATATTCTGTGAAAAGTTTAAAGACTGTTCTGTGAAAACTAAACGACTGTACGCATATTCCGTGAAAGCTAAACGAATATCTGTGTACTAGCTCGATCTAATTTTTGCACTGTGACTTAATGTATTATATATTTTGCTACATTGGGGGATACATGGGAATCGATTCCCTGACTCCCCGTTCCCTTCTTAAAGTAATAATACAATTGGTCGTTGTATAACCTGCGCTGTTTTTTGCAGTCTTACTAATCTTCTTTCATTTATAAACTTTTACCGGCCAAAAAGCGCCAGCAAAAACACTTCTTTAGCTCGAGTGTAAAACGCCTGGCAAGTGTCTTGTTATTTATTTTTACTTTCAAACATGACAGCCCAAGTGAAGGCTTAGAGTCGAACTGCATGGGTTTTAGCGTTTTGCTGTTTTTTACGGAAACTTTCCAACATCGGTACCTGTCAGGTTTACTTCAAAAGCCCGAGCCACTATCTCCTTTATCTTAAAAACAAGCAGGCTGTGGGTTGTCCATAAAATGGGTAAATTAAGCCCAAGGAACGAGATTACGGTTATGCTGGACGTGTATAGAGAGATTAGCCTGATAAATTGGCAGTGAAAATGCTGGGGCGGTTAGGCGGTTTAGCTTAAACTATAGTGACGATTGGTAAGTTAACAAAGGCTGCTTATAGCTCAATCTAGTTCGAAAAACCTGGGAACGAGGCTGAGTTCCTGATTGAATGCTCAGTTTTATTTCATGTGGTTTCTATTTTGAATGTCTGTAATATTAGTTTGGAACATCGTAATTCGGCTGATATAATATATTGTATTGACGCAAAGTAACTGCGTGGCCTAGAAAATATTTTATTTTATTTGGTGCAGGCTTTTCTTAAGAGTACGTATGGTATAAAATGGTATAAAAATGGTATAAAAATGAAGATTTTAAATTGCTTTATGCGCGCCCCCTTAGCATCGACACGTTGCTATGTTATATAACTTATAGTCTTATGTATATACATATCACCCGGTTTGTTAGAATTTCCGGGCAATGTTGATTGATCATTAGATTATTATGGCCAACCGTTATCCTGACGTATATTTCTCGCGTTTGTAATGCTACGAATATTTTGCAAATATTTTAAAATGTTTTGCGCTCATACGAAGGTGGTAGACACTATATTGCGAGGTCTCACACCATGCAGTCTTGTCTATAGCTTTGTGCTGGTAAAGACTTAGTATACCCTCGACGTTCGACCAAAACCCAAATTCAGAACAAGATGTTCCCATCCTGTCCGTCCTTTTTTATCATTTGACGTGTTAGTGATTACGATCTTGACCATATCCTGTAACGTGAAACTTTCAACGGTACCATGCAAAACAGTCTTAAAACTGATTGTAAAAATCCTGAATGACCACGCAATCCTCTAGATCTGTGAAGATGAGGACAAAGCTGAAGAGAAGGATCAAACCGTTCCCAACGTTCCTGTCGAAAATCACTATATAAGGAAGCACGTAAAAGGTGATATAAGCAGAAACGATTATAAAAAAAGTAGGTTCGACCGATTGAATCGAGAGAAATATTGAAAGTAGTTATTGTGAATAACATAGAAACAATGATGAGTGCGGAATGAAAAACGAGAATTGTTTGAAACTTGAAGGATGTATGACATACGAGCAGCATGACATGCAGGGCCGTCCCGTCCCGATAGAAGCTTGATTTAAAGGAAGTGCATATTAATTCATTTATTCGTCTTATGCCTGATTGATTTCTTATATGATAGCGATTGTTTTACCCTTATTTGAACGTGAATAACATGAATATACACGGTCCGCATAATTTCAAGAATATACCAGTTGATTTTCAAGCGGCGGTCCTGGAACACGGCTAGAAATTTAACACCTAATTAATATGAAGCTCTAGCTTCCACTTTCACTTTAGTATGAATTTTGTGACATTATTATACGTATTAAAAAAAAGACAAAGGAATTCATATCTGATGCTTAGCGTGCCATAATGCACGTTACTGAAGTCTGATTTAATTCCGTTTCCAGCAGAGAATTTAAAAAATATGAAAATCAATCGAAATCTATAGATTTTAATTTATAAAACTAATATATAAGAATTGGTTGAAACCGAGTGAACATGGGTGGAACACGTTTTCATATCGTTTTCAAATTTATCCGGCAGTGCCGTCCGCGGTCGGAATCAAAGATCTTCATCATCGTATGGGCGGGGCCTGTTATATACCAGTCATTCAACATCAACCGTTTGAAATGACAAATGATAGAAGTGGCCACTAAGAAGAAGCACACACACCGAGTGGAGCGCAGTGCTATTAATCAGTTTTCGTTTCTAATCGCATAGCACATTGTTACTCATATTCAATACTCGATCAGCAGGAACCGAACGAACTCCATTTTGATATTAACAGACTATAGAAGGTAGGGTTGGAAAATCGTTGAGTTATTTTATTCAATCAATCATACAGGCGTGTCCTCGTGTTGCTGCATTATCATCCTACATTATCATCACTTTTCTACCTTATTCCGCGAGTTTGTGTTGCTCCCAAAGTGAAGTAAGAGAACAGGAAGGACATTTAAACATATACACAATGCCTTTAAAGAAGATAAAGAGTTCTCATGAATGTAAATAGATAAATAGTATGCATGGCACAATATTTTGACGTCAATGACGTGTTACAGAAAACATGCAGGCCGTTTGTTTTTTCCTCTTATTTTCGGAAGGAGGTCGGATATAACGATCGAAAATTCAGTTATTTTAAAAAGTTTAGGTTTCAGCTCTTTTTATTGTGCATGCAATTTTGTAAATCTACCCACCCAATATTCTATTAAGTGGAATTAATGAAATGAAGTAAATTTAAAGGGTAAAACTTATCTCTAAATGCAGTAAATATTACACTTAATATCGAGTAAAGGAGTGTCAGCAATAGTAATTTCCACCCCATAACTAACGTAAAGACTTCAATTTGTTCTCAACGCCTTGAGAACAATGGCGTGTTCTAGAACACGCTTTAGCTAAAGCGATGGCCGGTATAAAAAGGCTTCACTCTCTGCTAGCGCATGACTGTTTCCATCCTGCTAAACGCTGTGTTAGACGATGATGTGATGATGGAATGAATAACAAGGAATGCAAATATAAAAGTATATAAAATTCTAAGAAAATAAAACAATGAATTTGTTTGTTTATTTATTAAGGAATTGATCGCAAGTCAAATACCCTGAGATTTTCCATCTTAACGCACGTCTCCTTGCATGCATGCATGTACATATACATGCATGTCTGTTCAAGTCAAATTACACTGATAGACCCTCCAGATTTTGCCCCATAAAGTTCGTCTCAATCCGCTGTGCGATCTATGATACGGTATAAAAGTGCAGTATAATATACACCAGTTTATAAAGAAACTGAGTAGGTTCGACATTGAAATCGAGAGAAATGTATAAACAGACTTGAAAGTAGTTCTTGTGAATAACATAGAAACAATGATGAGTGCGGAATGAAAAACGAGAATTGTTTGAAACTTGAAGGATGTATGACATACGAGCAACATGACATGTAGGGCCGTCGCTATAGAAGCTTGATTTAAAGGAGTTGCATAATAATTCATTTATTCGTCTTATGCCTGACTGATTTCTTATATGATAGCGATTGTTTTACCCTTACGTGAACGTGAAGAACATGAATATACCCTGTCCGCATAATTTCAAGAATATACCAGTTAATTTTCATGCGGCGGTCCTGGAACACGGCTAGAAATTTAACACCTAATTAATATGAAGCTCTAGCTTGCACTTTCACTTTAGTATGAATTTTGTGACATTACGTATTAAAAAAAAGACAAAGGAATTCATATCTGATGCTTAGCGTGCCATAACGCACGTTACTGAAGTCTGATTTAATTCCGTTTCCAGCAGAGAATTTTAAAAAATATGAAAATCAATCAAAATCTATAGATTTTAATTTATAAAACTATATAAGAATTGGTTGTAACCGAGTGAACATGGGTGGAGCACGTTTTCATATCGTTTTCAAATTTATCCGGCAGTGCCGTCCGCGGTCGGAATCAAAGATCTTCATCATCTTATGGGCGGGGCCTGTTATCTACCAGTCATTCAACATCAACCGTTTGAAATGACAAATGATACAAGTGGCCACTAAGAAGAAGCACACACACCGAGTGGAGCGCAGTGCTATTAATCAGTTTTCGTTTCTAATCGCATAGCACATTGTTGTTCATATTCAATACTCGATCAGCAGGAACCGAACGAACTCCATTTTGATATTAACAGACTATAGAAGGTAGGGTTGGAAAATCGTTGAGTTATTTTATTCAATCAATCATATAGGCGTGTCCTCGTGTTGCTGCATTATTATCCTACATTATCATCATTTTTCTACCTTATTCCGCGGGTTTGTGTTGCTCCCAAAGTGAAGTAAGAGAACAGGAAGGACATTTAAACCTATACACAATGCCTTTAAAGAAGATAAAGAGTTTTCATGAGTGTAAATAGATCAATAGTATGCATGGTACAATATTTTGTCGTCAATGACGTGTTACAGAAAACATGCAGGCCGTTTGTTTTTTCCTCTTATTCTCGGAAGGAGGTCGCATATAACGATCGAAAATTCAGTTATTTTAAAAAGTTTAGGTTTCAGCTCTTTTTATTGTGCATGCAATTTTGTAAATCTACCCACCCAATATTCTATGAAGTGGAATTAATGAAATGAAGTAAATTTCAAGGGTAAAACTTATCTCTAAATGCAGTAAATATTACACTTAATATCGAGTAAAGGAGTGTCAGCAATAGTAATTTTTATCCCATAACTAACGTAAAGACTACACTTTCCAATGGCGCGTTCTAGAACACGCTTTAGCTAAAGCGATGGCCGGTATAAAAAGGCTTCACTCTCTGCTAGCGCATGACTGTTTCCTTCCTGCTAAACGCTGTGTAAGACGATGATGTGATGATGGAATGAATAACAAGGAATGCAAATATAAAAGTATATAAAATTCTAAGAAAATAAAACAATGAATTTGTTTGTTTATTTATTTATTAAGGAATTGATCGCAAGTCAAATACCCTGAGATTTTCCATCTTAACGCACGTCTGCTTGCTTGCATGCATGTACATATACATGCATGTCTGTTCAAGTCAAATTACACTGATAGACCCTCCAGATTTTGCCCCATAAAGTTCGTCTCAATCCGCTGTGCGATCTATGATACGGTATAAAAGTGCAGTATATATACACCAGTTTATAAAAAAACTGAGTAGGTTCGACATTGAACTCGAGAGAAATGTATAAACAGACTTGAAAGTAGTTATTGTGAATAACATAGAAACAATGATGAGTGCGGAATGACAAACGAGAATTGTTTGAAACTTGAAAGATGTATGACATACGAGCAACATGACATGCAGCCGATGCAGGGCCGTCCCGATAGAAGCTTGATTTAGAGGGGGTGCATATTAATTCATTTATTCGTCTTATGCCTGACTGATTTCTTATATTATAGCGATTGTTTTACCCTTACGTGAACGTGAAGAACATGAATATACCCTGTCCGTATAATTCCAAAAATATACCAGTTAATTTTCAAGCGGCGGTCCTGGAACACGGCTAGAAATTTAACACCTAATTAATATGAAGCTCTAGCTTGCACTTTCACTTTAGTATGAATTTTGTGACATTATGTATTAAAAAAAAGACAAAGGAATTCATATCTGATGCTTAGCGTGCCATAACACACGTCGACAATATCAATTGCACATATAAAACAGAACAATGGGCAACTTACTTCGAACAAAAGATGTTAGTGAAGTCTGATTTAATTCCGTTTTCAGCAGAGAATTTTGAAAAATATGAAAATCAATCAAAATCTAGATTTTATTTTATAAAACTAATATATAAGAATTGGTTGCAACCGAGTAAACTTGGGTGGACTGGGTTTTAAACGTGACGTGATTGTTTTCATGTCGTCTCCAAATTTATCCGGCAAAGCCGTCCGTGATCGGAAGTTTTTCATCATTGTATGGGCGGGCCTGTTATATACCAGCCTTTCAACATCATCCGTTTGAAATGACAAATGATAGAAGTGCCTACTTTTGCATGCAGTGACACGAAAATCCCACAGTACGCCGAGTGGAGCGCAGTGCTATTAATCAGTTTTCGTTTCTAATCGCATAGCACATTGTTGCTCATATTCAATACTCGATCAGCAGGAACCGAACGAACTCCATTCTGATATTAACAGACTACCGTAAATGATCGATTAAGCGCCGCGGCGCTTATTGCAAATATCGATTTAAGACGCGGCGCTTATTTGACAGCGGTGCTTATTCGACAGCGGCGCTTATTTCAAAGTGAGCAAATAGATTATTTTCTGAAGGCCGATGAATCGAATAAACTTTTGGTAGAGGTTACAGGAAAAAGAAAGCGCGAAGTTGGGCTGGTGATTCCCGCTAAGTTCACAGCATATACAGCGAATCGACGACATGCCCAAGCCAGTTAGACACGGAGTTAATTAGGAAGTAGGAAAATCTTAAACTATCAGAACTGTCATATGAGCCCGGTTGTAAGAGATATTCGACAATAAAACTTTAAAGTTTCAATCCTGGTCGTTGTTCTCAATAGTTTAGATGTTAGGATTAACGCGTTTAAATAAAGAATCGTTTATTTCTACATTTTTTAGCGTTTATTATATCTTCCAAAATAGGCGCCGTGGCGCTTATTCAACAGCGGCGCTTATTAATTTTTTTTATTGAGGTGCGGCGCTAATTGACAGCGGCGCTTATTCGAGTAGCGGCGCTTAATCGATCATTTACGGTATAGAAGGTATTATTTTATTCAATCAATCATGTATAGGCGTGGTCTCGTGTTGCTGCATTATCATTCTACAGTACATTATCATCAATTTTCCACATTATTCCGAGTTTGTGTTTCTCCCAAAGTGAAGTAAAAGAACAGGAAGGACTTTTAAACATATACACAATGCCTTTAATTTGCGCGTTCGATGGCCGTTTCTTTGACTTCCGAAAACCGTTTCCTAGCGTCAGCATTGGTTTAAAGCCTTTCAAATGTTTGTCTTTCTTAAGCTGCACCTAATCTCTATAATATATGCAATGCTACTAAATTCTTTGAGTTTCATTTTTGCGTTGTCGTTTCTGTTTTTTATTTACTTCATGACAGCCAGTATTTCTCGTCAAAGAAGGAGTTAAGAACATAAAGAAGATAAAGAGTTCTCATGAAATGAGATAATGCGTGGAATGAAATAAAGTTAATTTTCTAGGGTAAAAATCTCTAATATATTACACTTCAGTATATCGAGTAAAGGAGTGTCAGAAATAATAATTTTCACCCTATAACTAACGTATAGTCTACACTTTCAAACGACCGTGTTCTAAATCGATTATAAATAATCATTATAAATGACAAGGGAAAATAAAGTATATATATAGTATGCATGATATGGTATAAAAATTTCGAAAAATGGATTTCGGAACTTTTATGGAAAAGCACAAGTTTTTTAGAAGCCTTGAGGTGATTATAAATGACCTTGACTTCATTAAACAATTAATATCAAAATTTTCCGCTTCCTACTCGTTTATACAAGAGTCATAAATGCAGTAAAGACGATGATGTGATGATGGAAGGGATAACCAGAAATGCAAATATAAGAGTATAAAAAAAAATTATAAAAATACAAATGAGGAGGTGGGTGTAAAAGCTTGCGAATTATAGAGCGTGGGGTAGAAGATAAAAGAAACAATAAAACAAATTGCAAAATGGTATAGCAAGCACTAAAAACGAGCAACGCGTAGACAGGCTTAAACAAGTTCTTCTTTAGGGTTATCATTAATAATACAACCAGATGTCCGAGGTCAAGCATTTTGGCTTAGAGCGCAGAGAAATATTTTGCTTTCATGCAAGAAGATAAAAGTTTTGAAAATAGTCCAGGGGTGGATCCAGCACTAGTGCACTAATTTGCATGACACAAGAAAACTGCTGAAAATAACCATTTTGTTTTGTAATGCAAATTAGTGCACTAGTGTTGGATCCACCCTGGAAAATACAAAAACAGCTGCATGCCATGCATTTCATCCAAAAGATAACTGCACGGTTTTGTACTTGTTCGAATTTTGTTCAGTAAGATATGCTTCAAACAGGCGTCAAGGGAGGCCGAGTGCCCTTTTATGTGTGTAAGACCCACTAATTTAGTTGAATAACGATGGAAAGATAATTGTAGACTTGTAGCGAACATTTGATGTTAGGCCCTGTCTACACGATGCCGGAAGAATTTCAAAACGCAAAAATATTTCCACACGTAAACACAATAACGATCGGAAAACGCTAGAGTTATTTGACACCGCAAACACCATCATGTTTTCCACCCGCGTGTCACAGGTTGGATGTCGAATTCAAAGCAAAAATCTATCAAATCCAAAGCAAAAATCAAGAATGAGAACTTTGTTTGGACAGACGAAAAGCCCGAACTCCTAAAGATTGTTGTTTAGTATCTATTATAAATACATGTCGTGTATAAAAAAATGTGTATAAGCATGCATATACTTTATAAACATAGCTACATTTTGGGCATGTTTTTCGAGGTAAAATACTACCGCAAATGCTAGAAGGGTTGGCGAAGATTTCACTCATCATGAAAATAACCTAAATAAGACTTATTTGACATTAATATAGCAATATAAAGTTGAGCATAAGCCACCGCCTTGAAACAAGCCTCATTAATATGGAAACTATTTGATACGTATAACGTCATCGTTTAATTTATCCGGCAAAGCTGTCCACACGTATCCGCTAAGCCCGAAAATTCTTCCGTTTTCAGTCGACGAAAACGCTGGATACGTGTGGATGGTACGCGTTTTCAAATTCTTCCGACATCGTGTGGATAGGAGCATGCACGGGGCCTTTCTGTATATAACTTCACCAACGAAATCCATGAAGTGTTTGTTTCAGATAACAAAATTAGGAGATAAGGAAAAAAAAAAGTAAATATAGTATGCATGATATTGTATAAAAGTTCCGAAATCCATTTCCAAAGTTGTAGGAGGTCCACCGGAATAGCACAAGTTTTTTTTAGAAGCGTTGAGGTGGTCATAGATGTCGCTAATGACCTAGCTTGCATGACTTCATTGAATGATTAATATCAAAATTTTCCGCTTTCTATCGTTTATATGTACAAGAGTCATAAAGTTTATTGAATTTTATCTTCATCTTATGCTACATAACGAAAAATCTCTACTCACGCATTGATCATGAACTAACGTGGGTTCAACTCATAACTGACATTGAGTTGTGTTTGATGTAAATCTCGCCTGCATGTCAAGCGAGCATATATATAAGATGCACCAAATCTACGACGCGGACGTGACACAAAAGCAATCGTTGTTTGTGTTATAGGAATCTTAAGCTAATTATTTTTGCATACCGATCTGATTTGTTTGCCAAAGAAGTCTCAAATTTACATCCATGCTATCGAAAAAATACAATTAACAGAATCTTTTAATTAGATTAAGGCCACACTTTTGACTAAATGGGAAGTTTTTATCCAGCAGGTTAAGTTTGTCTAACATTAATTATCCTAAAACAAATCATCAATGTCCAGCATTCTTTTGTCACAAATAACACAAGTGAGTTTGTTTGATGTAACTCTTGTACTTGTTAACTTTTGCGAGCTTATGATGCACTAGATCTACGACGCGGACGTGACCCAACCAAAAGCAATCGTTGTCCGTGGTTGGTTTTACTATCCTAATTTATTTGCCAAAAGGACTCGCGTCTCGGTCTCGCGATTAATGACACATGCATACAAGGTATTGTTTTCTCTGAAACATCTTGGCATGCATGGATGTTCAAGTTTAAACTCTATGCATATTAATTAACAGCGCTTAGCCCAATAAAATTTGCTCCTGCATGTCCGCAATCCCATAAATGGTATACGGAGAGGGCGTGATACCGTGCGGTCATACCGGTCATTCCGGTATACCGCAGTAGCTGACAAGCGATATAAAAAGACTCGCCTTTGTAGAGAAACTATATAAACGCAGTGCGGCCAACTACATACCTAGTGCTAACTACTTTGTTGCTGATTGCATATTGCTGTTATTTCTCCAGCCGGAATCGAACTCTAAAAGAAACACAAGGTAATGTTGAATTTTTCAAGTTAACTGTACTAATTATATATCGACTGTTTTATTCCAGCTGAACCCTTTTTTCAGTGCGTGCATGCACAGCAATGTATTTTCATTATACAATATTATAGCACACACTGCATGTTAAATTGACTTTGTCTTTGGGGCCTGAACTTCGTCTTTGTGGAATGATTGCATGTATAACCATTATTTTTCATATTGTGCTGTACCAATAACATGCGTCATGCCTGAAAGGCTGGGAAAGGAACAATATATAACCTTGAATGTATATGCAAATATATATATATATAGACAAAGGACGATATACAAGTCTGATTTCTTAATATTTAGACTTGCATGGTGAGCAAAAAGATTTATAAGATGCTCATGTCTTACACGGAAGATTCGAAGTTTAATGAGCTTGTAAACATATATACTTCATTTTAAAATGGCCATATCACAGTTGCAATGCAGATCGGTTTTTGCATGATGAACTTTCAAAAGATTGCAGACTATTTGAATTTTGATTGCAAACTATCAGGAAATTTGAACTTGTTTTAACTTATTTAGTATGCTACAACAAAAACGTACAGTATATATGAGCGCTCAATACAAGTAAATAGTAGGGCAAAAACACAAACAAATCAACAACAAATCAACAAAATATAATTGCTAACTCCATTCGCTTCTCTTTCAACGGTTTCAGTTTCACGTAGCTACTTTTCAAAATCATTTTCATCTTTCCCTCACAGTACTTGTTCGCTATCGGTCTCGTGTCTGGATTTAGCTTTAGTCTTAGATGGAGTTTATCACCCGTTTTCGGGGCTGCATTCCCAAACAACCCAACTCTATGAAAGCACATCGCGAACGCTCGAGCACTGCCACGTATACGGCAATTATATCTATTATCCTAAGCAGCCATGCATGTATAACAATATACAAGAGTGATAAATATATATATATGGCGGTCAAAATGCTCTCAAATGAACGTAACTGTCCCTCTAACAATATATACGAGTAAATATAGACTAGATTACATTCTAAGCTATGTGAAATATTAATATTTTGTTGACCCTCCTTTGGCCTTATAATTGATTACGGCCTTACACCGGCGTGGCATACTTTCTGTTAAGATGGTAATCTTCACGGTCAAAAGAAATTCATCCTATGGACAGTCTTTACAGCAGCCCATAAATCATGGACGCTTTATGAATGAATTCCTTTCTTGCACTATCCCGTTGACATTGTCGCACAGATTTTCAATAGGGTTAAGGTCTTTTGAATGTGCAGGCCAATCCATTTCTGTCACTCCCTCTTCCTGAAACCATTGTTTGACTATATCTTGGAAGTGTCGCAGGTTGGATTACATTATTGAAATATTGTTTGGAATAAGAGAATTATACAAAATGCCTATGAAGCTCTCTCCTATATATAGTTATATTCGCTTCTTTTTTATCAATTTGAATCTAAACAGTTCCTTTTGACCGCTAGTGTACAATAAAAGATAGATTGTCACGATTCCTGTTATACATACGATAATAGCAACATTTGAGCAGTTCTTTTTGACCGCCAGTGTGTATATGTATATATATATATATATATATATAATATATATATATATATATATATATATATATATATATATATATATATATATATATATATATAGGTGAGGGTATATCAGTTATGATTTTTGGCACTTCACTCGATGCAGATAAATTCTAGAGGTTTAAAGGGTCTTAATTTCAAGTGGAATTATACACACTTCAAATTCAAGCCAGGAACAATTGATGGTCCGGCAGGAAACGAACCTATACTTTTGCGATGCCGGTGCAATGCTCTTGCCAATTCCACTTGAAATTATATAAGACCCTTTAAACCTCTAGAATTTACCTGCATCGAGTGAAGTGCCAAAAAATCATAACTAATTTACCCTCACCTATATATATACATACAGATTTATCATCTTGTATGTTGTTATACATGCATGGATGCTTAGTATGATATATCACGTATCTTTTATTTTTACGATTTCGTGCTAGTTTCCACGCTGACTATACCGCGATTAACCTCAAGAACACCCAGCATGGCTTATCCTTGGAACTTGAGTATAATGATTGTGCAGACTGGACGTGACCAGGGTAGAATTTGAGGCTATAATTAGAGGGTCTGCTTCCGTTATACGTATTACACATCTGACATGCAATCGCAAAAAAAACAAACTACTTTAGTCTAATGACGTTGTAACGTGCATCGAATACTTGAAAACTAATAAGCCTTCAAAAGTAACAACGTGAAACTACTAGAAAACATGCTGGTTCGGGTTCTCGATAAGTAGGGTTTTAAACAGCCGATGTAGCATGCATCGCTTGTCATAAAAACAAATAAGCCAAATATGACCTAGAACCTATATAATCACATGCATGAAGTCATGTCTGCATGTTTTAATCGCATTTGTTCAGCGCACACTTAGCGCATTTGTCACGCGTGTTAGAAAATATCAAACATGTTTGATAATTGGATATTACGACACGAATGACAGAATATCTCAATTTGGTCCCCGCAGACGAGGAATATGTGCAGGTGACAATTGTCACGAGTGACATGTGTGCGTGCTAAGTGCACCAGTGTGCGCTAGGCTTAAGTGGGGTGGACCATATTCATATCTTCATGTTCACAGACCGTCAAAACAATAAATTTGAATAGAAATGAATAATGAAAAACACGAATATACGAATAAGTCCCTCCCCCCACTTATCATGCTGGCGACGCCACTGTATTGAATCACAGATTGAATTGAATATCATGATCCAAACTATGGGGGCTGACTAATAAAGAAAGGCGAAAGCGTGCGGCACCAGGATGGCCTAATGCAACTGAGCCAATGCTCAGAAAATCAGAAATGCAGCCGGGTTAAAACTTAAAATCGCTGAAAAACGGTTAACTTTTTTTTCACTTAATCATTTTGATCTAGTAACCGTTTCTACATGATTTAATATGTTAACTTTCAGAAATAAAAACCGGGCTATTTTACAACACGTGTTCAGCAACTAGCTAGAAAGTAGAAACTACATCTATCGTCATCTTCCCATGAACACCTTCGCGCTCCACGCTCCGGCAGGTACTTCATTTATGCCTAATATATTGCGCTGCTAAAAGCCCATGTAATAAGCCTAAATACTGAAGCGCCTGGGTAAGATCTAGAGGCAGATCTATTATCGAATGGTTTACGTTTTTGCGGATACGTGTAGACGCCCAAGGCCAAAAACGCAACGCATACGTGTGGTCCGATGCGGATAAACTTTCGAATCCGTCACGAAAAGTTTGCGGATACAATGAATTCGTGTAGACAGGGTCTAATTGTCGCAATAAGTTTGCTACACCCACATTATTCAACCAATTACCCACATTATTCAACCAAATCTAATTCGGAACATTCAAAACTAACTTCGCTCTTTGAAAATGACCTGAAATCGACAGTAATCATTCCAGGTTTAAAGGTATAGTTAGTATATGATACAGTGGCAATGCATTGGCCGGTCAGTGAGTCAGTGACGTAGCTTCGTGTATGGATTTTGTTCAGGAAGATGAGCTTCAAACAGGCGTCAAAGGAGGTCGAATGTCCTTTCACAAAGCAATCACTTCAGCTGGCCTATGGACCAGAAGTCTCTCTGTTCTTGCATTGTCATCTTCGAGGTTATGATCGTGAAGGAAAGGGAATTTCTGGAGATCATGGTAATTAGCAGAATACTGATCTAAATACACAATCTACTGCAATCAGTACAAAAAGTAACCAATCAAAATTGAAAGCTACAACCACAGGCACCTCAAACTTGCGTGATAATTTGAACGCGAAAAGAGTGTACGTGTAGCAACATGGTGTAAAAATTATACATTATCAGCCTGAAATATTTCTCGCGTTCAAACTACATGCAAATTTGAGCTGTCTATGCTTCAACTTCATTCTAACAAGTAAACAGCTAGTCAATAGAGACCTTTAGCTTGACGTTTACGACAACTCTCCAACGGCAAACAGAGGAATTCATCTCGAATTCTAAAAACAAATGTTCGGTTTCTGAGGTGGAGAAAATTGGTGAACTACTGAGACAAATTGTGGGCGAGAAAGTGCCAAAAATGAAATTTTAAATGTTATTTGAAATTAGCCGTTTGCTGTTCGAGGTTTGTTATATTGGTTAAGCTAAAGGTCTCTAATGGCGATATTACCGACACGACGATATGCTGATTTGGTGTTCACAGATTATTATGACAAATATGGTGCACCTGCGAAGAAGAACGACTCCTGGCAGGAGGGATACCATGTTGTTGAAACGAGATTGGCAGAACACTACAATACTGTGGTGGAAAACAATTTAAACTTTCCATTGGTCGCTGGAATGGGTGGAGGAGTCCATATCTACAAGCCAAGACATAATGAGGAACCTTGGAACTGGACTGGTTGGATTCCAAGACAGAAAAGATGGTTGAGTCAAGGAACTTTCTTCAGCAACAGGTTGGAAAGTTGAGATTATGCTGCTTGTAATGTGCTACATGTTATAGACTCCTAATGGCTCGTGTAAGAGATATTTTTGAAATCATATCTGGGCTTTTAACCGGCCAATTTCCTGAATCGTGACGTTTGCTGGGGTTTTTTACAGATATTTCCTTGGTCTGCGTGGAAATGAGATTCAGAACAATCTCTGGGACTACGACCCTCATGACGAAGAGGAAGGTGAAAGCGTTGATGACTTGATGTACACCCAGATTGAACCTAATGATAGATACAGAGGAGGATATTGGTTTCATACACAGCCGTTTGGTCGCTATTTGCATTTGATTACCCTCAAATCGCATGAACATGACCCGGACGTAAGTCTAGTATTTCGTATTTTAGATCGTGATTATCCAATTCAAATCTGTCTCTCTAACAGAAGTGTCACCATACTAATTGAAATAATATGAGTCATCTCAAGCAACTGCTCTCTGTCCGGCAGGCTCTTTCGAAGTTAAATTAACCTTTTACGAGCTCGAGCTTGCCTTTCGTTTTAGACAAAGAAGTGTCTGAGATATAACTACATCGTTCATCCTCTGGCGTACAGACCTTCAGTTGATACAATACCAGACAACAGCGTGGATGCAATGCAATGGGCCATCATAAATATGCCTGAAGAGAGGCATTTTGGGGAAGGAAAGCCATGGGGTGATAAATGTCACGGTTTGGAAATCTTCAATGATTTCACGTAAGCATGTAAAATACATTTGAAATACATTTCCTATACATTTCCAAACTATGCATTACCAATTAGAACCCCCCTTCGTAGGAGCTACACAATGCGCTAATAATAAGTAGTTATAAAATTAGTATATATTTATAATAAGTAGTCTTTTTAATTATATTATGCATTTAAATGAAAATTTTCCATATTTAGTAACATGCTTTAAACCGTCTATAATTGTCGGCTATTATATTAATCACAAAAGAATAAAACCAACACGCAAGAGAAATATCGGGAATTGCTATTATTCAAAGAGAGCTAGTGTGATGTATAACTTTATGGCTTGGCTATATTAATGTACAGATTGCTAAAGCATTTAAAATTACAACAACTAGCATGCATAGAAACTATGCCGGATAAACTTAGATGGTATATGTTTTCCAATACATACTGAATGTAACATTTTCGGTAAAAGGGACTTAGAATATGATTGACGAAGAAGAAGGCCATTGCGACCTAGTCCTGGTTCCAGTTTACTTCTCTTTGTCTGTTGACAAAGTTGGATAATCAATTGTTATTTTTTTATATGCATCAGGTATTTCTATTCCTACCAACCATTGGAGAAAAGTGGGCCAAATAACAGCGAGCTTTGCGAGGATCCACAGAGGACGATCAATGGTGATAACTACTACTACTTTTGGTATGATACATACCCGATGGAGTTTGCTGTGTTTCTCCTTGATTCAGCCCTAGCCAGAGGAGTTTACTTCCATACAATGTCCGCCAATGATGCTTTTTATGAGAGATCAACTGGTGAAGATGATGGTGCGTATTATAGAGTGTGTATATGGTCAACAACAACATGATCGATGATGTATTTTTCACCTTTAATTAACAACAGAGCCAAATGATGTTTTGTTGGCCGATCCTAAAGGTGGTCTGGCAAGACATAACATGAAACACAGAAATGCCGCGAAAGACTCGCGATTGGGTGTTTTGAAGACGGAGCAACCAGAACTCTCTAAGGAGGAGAAAAAACGCAAATTCAGCCTGGCTGCTATAGATTTTCTGAAACAACGACCGTATGGGCTTTACACATCGTTTGGATACGTCACGCTACTTGATCCTCGTCGGGAAATAAAGAATGCTGTTTTCCAAGAGGAAAAAGGAATCCCTCATATGGGTCTTGACGACGGAGAAACATTGGCCCTACAATATTTAATAGATGGGAAGTACTTTTCCACAACAGGTACAGTTTTATGCTGTATTTAGTATCATAGCTGTTTCTCAATTGTAAATTAAAAACTTGCCAGCAGAACTGTTCAGTAGAAAGAGTTTACTGAAATGCTATGAATCAATCCTTCAATCTAATCGTTAAAGCCATGCATTTCCTTAATTCAAGGTCTATTTAAGCTGTTCAAATACGACTTTCCACTTCTGCCATTCCGGATATCAAGACAACCGAACAATGAAGAGCTTTGCTATGATCTCACCAAAGAAATGGAATTGGAGTTCACGTTTCTTAAATCTTCGGATAATATGAATCACCTAATTTGGAGGTATACGCACAAACTGAAAGTAAAATGCTGTCACACAGTATTACTGAGTTGCGGCTCGTATTTATAGGTACACAATAATGGTTAAAACCAACGACCACAAGCTAGAGACCTCTCATGGTTACTTCAAGTTGGATCCAGTACAAACGACCGTTCTTGACTTGACCAAAAGTTACCATTTGGAAGATGTGAAGTTCATCTATTTTACCGCGATTTCTCCGTTTAACCCGCAACATCGTGCATGGTTCCACGCTATCAGAGGACCTGCATTTGGCAAGCCTTGGTTCCATGGCAAGTAGATCTGACACAGTGCCGGGGGCACTGATGTATTGCTAAGATATTAGAAAACGTGCAAGATCTTCCTTTAATCTTCCATTTATATCCCTTTCATCATGTTTGAAATAAAATATTTGCATACAATTTATTATTTGTCTCTTTCCTTCACTCTTTCTTACCATTGAACCATGATCATAAGTACATATTGCAATATTTTCTTGCAGCCAGGTGCCCGGAGCTGAAACATAATGTCGTTCGAACAAATAGAAAAAACAACATTGTGACGGCAAGTAAAGAAGAGATCGAAGTGACAGCTGTTGACAAAGGAGAGCTTGATTTTGCTTTAGGAAAAGCTTGCGACGAGAAAGACATATATGTGTATTTCATGCAAGCCTATCCCCATCAACAAGATTTCTCAGAACCAGTGAGTGAGAAGATTAAAGAGTCGTCGGATCTTATTCCACCGAGAATTCTGCAAAGTGTGCATGGATATTTCTCGTGCAAAGATGATCACCCCACAAGGATCAACCTGAGTGCATCATGGGACAAGAATACGGTAAGTGGCATGCAGAGAGAAGGGTTGGGGTTATCGTGGGAAGAAATGGGTATAAATCAAGAATCGTTTTGGGTGTAGGTAACGTAATGTAGACACATGATTGTGTTGATTCACAATGCAGATGAGGTTTACATGTTTGGTCCGAATGTGTAAACTGATTAAAACATATGCCATTATTTATTGCTGTACCTACCTTGCTGTACACGTAGATTCCCATTTTCAAATTCTTCGATAGGAATAAACGATAAATATTGTTTCTGTTCGTTATGTTTCATGTATCCGCATGTATTCCCAAGCAAAGTACAAGAAGCATACAGTAGCCCATTCATGTCGGTTTTTCGTGACGAGTTTGTGTTTCCACGCATATCGTATTGCGCATGCATCAATGTCCGATTGTCCGCCGTTGTCTTTTATTACTCTTGCGAGCAAAATGTTGGACGGCTATTAAGTCCCATGCACTGTTTATTTCTTACATTGTTCACCGGAGTAGATATGGTGGAGCTATGCTTATAATTACGTTGATCACTTGTTGTGTTTAGGTCAAGGATGGAAAAGTTTACTTCTACCGTATTGACGCCGACACTGGCGCACCGTCAAAAATGCAAGGCTGCGAGCCCAAACAATTTGGCTCTATTCCATAAACAGGATGTGGACAATTTATCAAAAGATTTCCGTTTTTACTTTTTTAGTTGCGAGTTAGCTTGATTACGTGTGTAAGACCCGCTAATTTAGTTGATTAACGATGATTTTGCCAAAGATAGTTGTAGTGAACATTTGATGTTAGTATAAGTCTGTATAACTTCACCGACGAATTCCATAACAGGTGACAAATATATACTTTTAAAAGTGATAACATTTGTGAAATTTGATTCTGAATTCCATGATAAAAATGGTCCTAACTGGAAATTGGTAATTTAAAGATGGAGAAATTGTAGGGGTCTGCAGGACCTCTTGCAGAAAACTTTCTGTATTTTTAAATCCCTATGACTTGATTTCCAGCGCCATATTGGGGGACAACTATGAACTACTTATGAATCCACCACTATGAGTGAGGTCTGTTGAGAAAATACCATTTATCACTGCACATTCAGTCACTGCACATTCTACTTTTATCACTGCACAGATTTGTTATCACTGCACACTAAAATTAGGTATTATGCTGATTGGCCTTTTCATGTCCTAGTATGCTTGTCATTGTGAGTTTTCAAACATTTGGACACTTGATCTCACGGGTTCAGCACATTTTGTATTGATTCAAGCCCGTAGAAGATATAGCAATTGAAAGCAGATATAGATGAAATCGTATGACCAATCTCAGCTTCCAATGATTTTCATATTGCCGCGTCATAGCGTCATATCAAAGGCAACAATAGGCGCCAAAATTTTGACGTCGCCATTATTAAAACGTGTAAATATTACCGAATCCCAACATCCCAACCTAAATATTTGGAATTGCTTCATCTGCCTAATGGTAATTATGTCTAGACTTGTAATTGTACTGGTAATTTTGAACCAAAGCACTAAGCAGATCTCTTATGCTCATGCTAATTTGCAGTGAACTTCTGCTTGACTTTGAGTAGTTTGAACTCAGGTTTTTCCAAGATAGATTCATTCCTTGGTTAAGTCTATCTCAAAAAATAATGGGAGCTGACTAGCGCAGCGGCATTCATGACACTCCCGGCATGAAATATTTTTATTGTGATCCATCATCATACAATGTTCTTTGTCGGTAGCAACTTCTAAAGGTTTTAATTTTGCCACGTTAAAGCCTCATGTCAAAGGCCATGTAAAAGTGTAAATATTACCGAATCCCAACCCAAATATTTGAAATCAATTCATTTGCCTAATTAATAATAATGATGTCTTGTAGTATTTTTATACTACTGCTGCTTTGTCACACTGGGGCCGGTTGTATGAAGATGAAAGCCAGATAGGGCTATCCACCGGACAGAAATTTTTTCAACTGTGCTAAAAATGTTCCAAAAGAGATAGAATTTCAGTTGTGGAGCGCCTCGGCGCATTCCCATGATCCTTTGCGTCATCAATTTTCATCGCTTCGTTAGGGACTGTGGAAGAGTCAGCTGTGGAGCCAACAATTATTAAAGAGGATCCTCGATTTAGGAATACTAAAGCCTCTAAAGGCCCGTTTACACTTGCAATTTTGCTGCGATTTTAAATGCGATTTTCTTCGTTTGATAGATGCGAACGAGTCATTTAAGTCATATCCAACAACGGGCAATTTTATTAAGCGGGATAGTGCTAATGTGCTATCCGGCTTTCATACAACCGGACCCTGGTAATTATGATCCAAAGCAGATCTTTTATGCTCATAAAATTTCGCGGTGAAGTGTGAACTTTGGCTTTGGTTTTCATATGTCGTAATTCATCGGCGATGGTCTACGATCTATTGTCGGTGATCAATGAAGTTATTGAAGTATATAATTTTCTTCGATAGACAAACTGAAAGGATTATATGCATCAATCACCACCGACAATAGCCATCGCCGATGAATTACGATTTATGAAAAACAGCCTTTCGTTGGCTTACGGCAGCTTTGAACAACTGGCCGTCTGGTCCCTGGCGTGCAACAAGGCACGTGATTGACACCGCTAATCGGCACATGATCGGAAACAACCGGTTAGAATCGGTTAGAATACGGTTTCGATTTCTGTCTCTGATATACCAACAGAGAGCATTTTAAAAACTTATACATTTTGAATATTGAAAATTTCACTAAAATGCTTTCAAAACACCGTCTGTAGGAATAGATAAAATGGGTAACTTTATTTAGAGTTATGGATGCATCCTGCGGTACTTTATTTGCTGGGGAAGATGTTGAAACCGACTGCTTGACATTTGTGGAGGAAATTCCACGAAAGGAAGTGGAACAAATTGAGGTGAGCAATGTGTGAGCATGGATCGAACGGATTTAGCGTTATTCAAATACATTTGCGATTGATTCAAAGCTGAATTGAATTCAAATGGAACGTTGGACACTTCAATTGTTTTAGAAGTAATAGCAAATCTATTAAAATGAAACTTCTAAATCAGACTTAATCAGTTATCAGCATAATGCAAATATTTTGACATCTTGTGGTACAGCTATTTAATGCGACATTACTTATGGTATACTAATGCAGGTTCAGCTGCAAAAAAGTTTGGAAACTTACATTTGAATCAATTTAAACAGAAACATTGTTTGTAAAACTAATATTGATTGCAAAATTCTTCACAAAATTTGGAATTTACTAATCACCATGATTTACAATCGTAGATCCCATATTCCAAGTGACTGTAAACTGATGTTTCGATACATGTGAAATGATTAAGGCACATTTTTCAATAGCATTGACAGTTTTTCTCTGATGCTGGTTTCTCAAAGGACTGCACTAATTTAATGATCTCTTGAGTGCATGCACTTTTCTAATGGAGGTATTGAAATTTGAAACAACCTCATGCCCAGGGTCTTGATTTAAAAGGAGATGCTAAATCATGTTATTTTTATTCATTGGTCGAGAAGGAATCACATGAGAGTGATGAAATTTTGATGATGCCTGCGCGACCCCCTGCAAAGTGAGATAACATGCTATCTCATGGGAAATAACAACTTTAATCATGTGCGGCGCACCTGGAAGTGCAACCTTTAGACTGTTTATCCATTTGAAATTATGTCTTTTATAAATAGATATTTCTTTGTTTACCTTGTAGGTTGGTTTTTTTAACAAGTGGTATATAATAAAAAACTAATTTACCGAGAACTCAGAAAACATTATGTTTTATGTACCCTCGACCATCAATATTGACAGGCCTCGGGTCCACAAAATATAATGTTTCCTTCGTTCAGAGTAAATAAGTGTTAATTATACCTAATCAGCAAGTATTAAATTTTTAGATAGTTGGCCGTGGGGCTTTTGGTGTTGTTCACAAGGCAAAATGGCGTGGAAAAATTGTAGCAGCAAAGACACTTGAGGCTGACAATGAACAGAAGGCATTTACAATTGAGGTAACATAAATTATTTGCTTTTAAGTTCTTTGTGTCTTTGCTTTAACTTGCACATGACTTTGAATTGTTATTAAGAGAGCTCTTTGATCAGTACTACTTAGTGCTTAATTCAGGTTTGACTGTGATATTACTAATATTACATTTACATAGTATTATTATCAACCCTGTGCATATATTTCCTTTGTCATGTAGGCCCAGCAGATGTCAAGGGTAAAGCATCAGAATATCATCAAGCTATATGGAGTAGTTCATAATCCGGTCAGTTTAGCTTTTTCTTTTCGTATGCCTCCGAATATTGTTTGAAAATCCCTAAGAGATTCTGATTTAAGAGACCCTACTGTAGTTCTTTAGAAATGATAATGGAAGTTCTAAAGTATTGCATTGACTTGAGCCTTTGGGTAGAAATCGAAGGGTATATGCTTCAAAGTTTCTAATGTTTTCTGGTTTTGAAAACTTATTTTTTGCAAGCTTTTTCTAGTTGCAACTTTCAAATGATTTGTACTTTAATATGAATAAGGGCAAGGCCAAGGGGCAATTTAATCAGCAGTCCTGCTTTCCCTTCTAATTAATATAAGAGAATTATTTATATTAAAAGCACATGTTACCATTTTTTTAAAGATATGCCTTATTATGGAGTTTGCTGAGGGAGGATCTCTATATAATTGTGAGTTCATGAATTAATCTAATTTATATATATTATATATGAACTGATTATTGACCAAGAGTGAGGTCTGTAATGTGAAATATCAGAAAGAGGCTTTTTAGTATGGACCAAGCGTTGAAAGAACGAGCTAGGTTTATGCAAAAAAAACTTTGGTCTGATATTTCACAGTACAGATCGAACATACCAGGTCAATAATTTGTTTATTATATGGCTGAACTGCATGAGAATTACATACAAAATATATGGACCAGAGTTCGGGTATGGGTTTTTACAGACCGCTCGACAACCAATCAGAATAGAGGATCTTAAAAAGTCATATAAGTTATATAACAATATATGTTACACCTAATACATTATAATTATGCATTATATATGTGCCTTATTGTAATTTGTTTCTGTCTGTGATTTCTTTTCAAGTGTTACATGGCTGGGAAAATTGCATAGCCTGTCCAGAGTATACGGCTGCTCATGCTATTAGCTGGGCACTGCAGTGTGCCAAGGGTGTTGAGTACTTACATGGAACTAAACCAAAGTCCATCATCCATCGAGATCTGAAGCCTCCAAAGTATGTAACCCAAACAAATTACTGTATATTCAACATTTTCATAGAGTGTTGTGTTTTTCAGAATATTTTTCATTGTATGTGAGTGACTGCACAATCGCTGAAACATTTCAAGTTTATTATAACAATTTAGATTAGATTAAGCTTTCCAACCACTGATCGAATCACTAGTTAAAATGCTTAATGAGATCCACTAATTTCCCAAACATCGAAAGTTCTAATTTTGTGAAAGCCCTTATGAATAAGACAAAATTGTTACCGGCAGAGAGGATTGTAGCGGGAACAGGTTGGGGGTGTAATTAAAATACATATGCCACACATTGACTGTCACTATAATTTTGATGTTTTCTTTCTCTTAAAAGTTTGCTGTTGGATAGCACACATACACTTTTAAAAATTGGTGATTTTGGCACAGCATGTGATATGCAAACTTATATGACCAACAATAAGGGAAGTGCAGCCTGGATGGCACCTGAAGTGTTTGAAGGTACCATATGCATGTTGATATGGTTGAATAGCCGAGAATAACATAGCTTTTTTAAAACCTTTTATTAAAAGAATGGCTGCACAGATTGTATGGATCTGCACTTCATCGGGGTCAGACTAATTTTGGGTTATACCAAGACGATTTTAGAGCTTGGAAGAATCGAAATATTACAAAATTAATGGGGCTATCTGGCCTCGATTTCTTTTAATCCAGTTATTTGAATAAGTAACAATCAAGAAGAATTCACGAACTATAAAAAAATGGTTATTTATATGTAACAGAAAAGCTAACTGATGTTCATATGAGTCTTTAATGCAAACTTATCGAGAAACACCATGTAAATTTTTTTGTTTTAACATGTATATTTTAGGTGACAAATATACTGAGAAGATTGATGTTTATAGGTATGTTTATGAGCATGAGTAATGAGTATTGTAATATTTTGTTAATTCTGACTAATTATGATCATTATTGAGGTAATTATTAGTAATAATTGTAGCCATAGCCACTGACTGGGCAATAAAGGGATCTCGCATTATATAGAGAATAATACATGATGCACAGAAATATGGAATTTATTTTAAGTGTTGAAATAAATTTCATATTTTGTTTTTATTATATTTTATTATATAATATGCAGTACTCTGTAAATAAATTCCATATTTTCGCGCATCCATGTATTATTCTCTACGTATTGTATCCTGATCAAACTATCTGTAATACACTTTTAGTTTTGGGGTTATAATATGGCAAATGGCGTCACGGCGTAAGCCTTATGATGATATAGGTGGCCCAGCTTTGAGGGTTATGTGGGCAGTTCACCAAGGTATTTCATTCCTAAATGCTTTAATTTCTTTTTTGATATCTATCTTTTGATATAAACTCTTAACTACATTTTTCATACTTAAATTGTAATTAATTCCAAAGAGTGATTCTAATTGGCAAACTCTGTCACTAACGATAGTTGAATGTGAATGAAACCACCTAATCTCAACCCACCCTAACCTCAACTCACCCTAACCTCAACTCACCCTAACCTCAACTCACCCTAACCTCAACTCACCCTAACCTCAACTCACCCTAACCTCAACTCACCCTAACCTCAACTCACCCTAACCTCAACTCACCCTAACCTCAACTCACCCTAACCTCAACTCACCCTAACCTCAACTCACCCTAACCTCAACCCACCCTAACCTCAACCCACGCTAACTTCAACCCACCCTAACTTCAACCCACCCTAACCTCAACTCACCCTAACCTCAACCCACGCTAACCTCAACCCACGCTAACCTCAACCCACCCTAACTTCAACCCACCCTAACCTCAACCCACCCTAACCTCAACCCACCCTAACCTCAACCCACCCTAACCCTAACATATTCTGTTCCCAAGTAAAAATCCTACTTCACTTGTACCACTCTAGGTAGACGACCTTCCCCGATCCAGGGAATACCTAAACCACTTGAAACGCTAATGACGCGGTACGTTATACATGGATTTACATGTACCTATATAGCTATTGTCGGTATTTGCTTGGTGTTAATGCCTAAAAGAGGGAATGAAATTTAGTGTTTTTCATAACTAAAGCAGAATACAGTTGCATCACTCTACAGGATGAAAATTGTTTAGATAATTTAGAAAGATAATTTGCTATCTTTTCTATAGATGTTGGGACAAAGAACCCATTAAACGACCGTCGTTTTCAAAAATCGTTCCTTTTCTGCAGCATTTAATGCAGGTTGGAAGTTTCACCTCTAGTCTTAGTTGTCAGATTTATACGTTCATGTCAATTAATAGTTACTACACATGTGATTGTACAATTAGTCATGCACAGATATGGCCGCCTACTGGAAGAGATGCAGGAATCCTTCTATTTTTCCGGCTGCATAGGATAAGACATTTTCTTGTCAGTAAAGTCGATTAAAGCCCCGTTTACACCACAGTCAATTTATCGGCACGGCACGGCACGGCACAAAATGTCACCTAATTAGATTCTGATTTGAAAACCAGCTATAGTTCATTCGAAAAGAAGCTTGATTCAGTACAGTGGTTTATGTCCCCTGAGTGATGTCAAAACCGCCAAGGTTATTACTAAGCTTGTTTACGAAGTTATTAGACATGGCTCGTTCCTAATTACCTTGAAAACAAGAAGTGGGGACTGGGAGGCCTTTAAACGGGGATTTTTTCCTAACAGCTCCTGCGTATATGGTTTGACATAACTTCATTTAATTTTAGTTTGTACAACATCTTCGCTTTTGAAATTCAGTTATCTATCTTTACCGTTTTGCAATGAGCCAACTTATCATACATTACGGCAAAATTATCAAAACCTAATATTTGTTGTTTATAGTTTTTTCACGGTCACGACAAACCAATTGTTTTTCCCGCCAAAGAAGCAGCCGGCGACCACGAATCGCCTTCAGAGGATACTCAATATCTCAGTAGCTTGGAAACTCAATCAGATCCCATAATTCGGAGTGAACGTCCGTTCGACGATGCCAACGCGTCATCTAGCAATGCCGAGATATCCAAGAGCGATTCTTGCGTTGGTGGAATTACTTTTGAGGCCTTTATGCCTGAAAATGTTAATGAGTCTAACTTAATCGATGGCTCAAACAAGGAATTTGAGATTTGCGAGCCTGAAAAAGCTAATGATCTTCATGCTCCTAACATGGGGTATGAAAATAGTGCTTTCACTAAAGTACTCCCAAGCAAGCAGCCTCTTGCCACAAACGAGGTGAGGGAAGTGCTCGAAGTGGAAGAATCACCTTTACTTATTACTGCAGAAGAAGGTGCTGAGGGGCTGCTACCAACGGATGTTCCTGACCCAAGTTGTTTTGAGGATAATACCGGAAACACTGACTTGTCTGAAGAAGATATTTTACAGAGTTCTGAATTGGAAGAACAAGAAGAAATTTTGAATAACACGGATACAATAGACGTTCCTCTGTCAAATACCCATGGAAGCACGTCGCCAGTGTCCGGCAATATTCCTCCTCATAACACGCCTGTGATTGGCTCCAATAAAGGAGAAGTTAATCTCTTGGACGTACGGCTGGCTCTTACGCAAGTTTTCAACAATGAGCAAGGAGACGAACAACCACATATGGACAATAGTCATGATTTCCGCAGGTCAGTCTCAGCTGATGTTTACCACGAGAAGGACAAGGAACATGGGTCGAGATTACGACATAATTCAGGTATTTAAACGATGCGAGGTTAAGTAAAAGTAAAGACTCGTGTTCACATTCACCAAAGTAATTTTGCATGCTTTTCAATGTCAGCCAGTTTTCAGCATCTCCGAAATGGTTCTAGTCTGTAAAGACTCGTGTTCACCTTCACCAAAGTAATTTTGCATGCTTTTCAATGTCAGCCAACTAGTTTTCAGCATCTCCCAAATGGTTCTAGTCTGATACCATGTTTATTACGACTAAAACCCCAGGTCTTAAGGGAGATCGTGCTTGCAAGCATTGGTTTCCAAACTTAGTGGCAAGAACACAAGATTCGTGCCTAAAATAGGATGAACGTGAAACGGATGCATTGGGATAAGACGCGCTTTTGGGTACAAAATGGAGTATACAAGGCTATAAAAGGGTATATGGAACAGATGGGGGGACACGTTACGGTTATTTACATGAGAGGGGATAGGAATCAGTGATAGGCATAGGATAGGTCATGCATGGCTGTTTATTTTGTACATTAAATGCGATCTCTTACGCATAGATGAAACCAAAAATGTTGTTTTTTTACCTTCTGTAGATGTTACCTTACCGTCTTTTCGTGGCGATATGATGTACGTCGATGATTTAGATTTTAATTTGCAGGTTGGCGCTTTTTCATAATTATATATACTAGACCCATTATCGATGATTAGGCCCAAATTTTTAATCAGTGGCATATAGTCCTCGATATAATTTCCTTAAGGCTGCTTCCATCGTCGCGTTTTTTTGCATGCATGCATGCACGTGCGTAAAAGCTTAAAACTCTCTAAGTTGTTATTTGATAAATTCTATACCATGCAGAAAAAACACCAAATCTTCAACAGAATCAAACCCTATGCAACTGTTCAATCGTTGATTTCATAAGTATCATTTAGATTATTTTAAACTTCTTACGTATACGTACGTAAAAAAACGCGACAGTGGAAAACAGCCCTTATATAATCAGGAGTCAAAGGGTCTTAGGCAAAGGAGACAATCATGCAAAGAAACACACTACTGGCAAATGTGGCAAAGATATACATGCCCATGGGAAGAAATAATTTCTTAATGGACGGCAGGGGAATAAAAAATCGTTTAATAATAGTTAATACACATCTTTTTCATACCGATGCCATGCTTTGAATCAGCTTATTCCGTTTTATAATTTTTAGCCAATACCCCCAATTCCGGAAAGTCAAGAGTCTTTGGATTTATTCGAACAACATGTCCAGGTAAAAAATGCATTACTTGTGGCATATTTCGAAAGGTTGCCATTGAACTTAGTTTAATTATAGCGACTTTATGTATAGCGAACCTCTTCAGACAGGACCATATACACGAAGTTCATAGTTGACTTAATCCGACTGTCCCAACCAGGGAAAAGATCGTATTTCCCAGCACGAACATGCCGCAGTTAGCATTTCAAGCCAAAACTCTAAGAATTTGTTATCACGCATATATGTATTATAGTGAGTGATAAATGCATGTGCACCTATAATTGTCATTTGTCAACTCTTTCTAGCTGGCGCAAGATTTGGTAGAGCTGCGAAGAGAAATAGACCGACAGTTACAAAGAAGGTGAGTTATTTTCGAAATGCATGCAGAGCAGCTATTTTATAAAACAACTTAGTCGTTCTTGACATCGCAAATCCCATACTTTCTGCTTGGCTTATATGAACTACATCACCATATATCCCGGAAAGAATTTACAGATCACACGAATTGCCATTATTAAAACATTATACATTGTCTTCACTTTCCAAGCGTTTGCATAACTTTGAACAAAACGTAAAACAAAAAATTTCCAGGGCAAGGTCAGGGAGGCTATATTTTGTCGATCAAGTATTTCTGTTTCTTCAGGACTGAATTGGATCGTGAATTGGAAAAATATGAAAATGAACAACGATCGACAGGAAAGAATGTTGAAGCGTTCTCCCTTTTGACGAGCGAACAGGTATTCTGTGTTTGGATAGAACTCACAATCTGTCTGTCTGCGACCTTGCGATTCCGCGCTGCAGTGCCCGGAGCTATACTTAGGAATTTATTATTTGATACCTGACCTGTGGATTTTTTATAACTTCTATTTTCGTGTATCATGCAAATCTCCGGGATTCTTAGGTGTAAACTCAGAATTTAATTCCTTTTTTCCAGACGTCTCTTAAACTTCTTCGTGATAACCTCGAAAATGAATTGAAGCAGAAGATGCAGGTCATGCAACCATACAAAAATGTTTTCCCCGCATTTGACCGGGACACATGAATTGGTGCGGATACCATGGCAGACACACTGATACAATTGAATGCGTCCAAGTTTGTAAATAATCGGGTCAATCTCTTAAAAGTTGTATTCATTGTACGTCTGGAAACTACGTTTTTCATCAAACGCAAGACTTTGTTTCTCGTACGTATATATACGTACATATTTCTCGGCTTTTGGCGGTCCAAACCATATGTCCAAACTGAACCAATGGATCATTGCATAGTCGTCCAAAACTGGTTTACAGACACGAGTTTATAATTTGAAACCGAGAATTGTAATCTCGTGGTTTTCATAACGTAGCGTAGTTTTCATAACGTGTGAACTTTTTTGCGCCACCCTCGGTTGTTTTTATATCGTACAGCAACTTAAATTCAGGCTAGCTGCAAGTAGATGCACTTAAAGTAGATCTAATTGGGATTGTGCAAGATTTTAGTAGGTGTTACTAGAAATCGACTAAAATAGCTACATTTGGGGTTCACTGGCTGTTTTGTATTTGGTACCATAAAAAACGCATTTATGACTATGACTATATAATTATGTACTTTCGACTTTTCTTATTATTTAATTTATTTGCCCTGCGCAGGATACGAGTCTAGACATAATCAAGCATTTAGGGCTGATTTGAACTTGATTCATTGACATTGATTAAAATGCTTAATGAAGCCATATATCAATACGATCAACGAATGCCAGGAATTAGTGATTGTGATTTGTACCAGAAAAAAAGGCGAAGCTACAAATTATGTATTTTAATTGCTTGTGTACACGAAAACATTAGTGAGTTTTCAATCTCTACTTGGAATATTCATCCTTCATCAAATCCCGTGACATTGAATCCCGTGACATTGTAAATGTTTTAGCTACAAACGTCACGGTGTAGCTTTTGTGAGTTCGACAAGTTTTTTTGCAATTATCCGAACAACGTCAGGTGACACGACAGTTTTTATAAAATCATCCTCACTCAGTTTGTCACTTTCCGTAGGTTCAGCCACCTGATTGACTTTCATTTGTTCCAGATGGTATTGTTTCAGAGCTTGACGTAGGTACTGCATGCTTGCAGGGAATGATAAATCCTCCTGTCAAGCAAAATAATTCATCAGTGTGGGTAAAACGGCTGAAGTGCTGTTAATTCATCTGGTTTTGGTATGAGTGGAATATTTAAGTCATGAGAAAAATAGCGATAGATCTTAATCTCGTACCCAGAGGCAGAGCTATGAGTGAAATGGCTCTGCCTCTGGGAACAAGATTTAGGTCTAAAAATGTTAGTTTGTTAGCATAGAAAAGAAGCTTGCTAATGTGGAAATTGTTTAGTAATTTAACTGGGTATCCATGAAGTAAAGATCGTTCTTTAATACATATTGACCGAATTCTAAATTTCACTGCATTCCATCTACATTTTCACTTACACTGTACCTCTTTCATAGATGGATTCAACCATAATTCCGAGTGCAGAGCATCTACTTTTGCTTCTTGTGACTTCAAGGGATATATCTAATAAGGAATCGCTGTGAACAATAGAATCGTTTCTAAAATATCAACCTCTGAAATCTACTGTCTACAAACCAATGGCAAGGTACAACACACAGAGTACAATCTACCATCACAGCCGGAAAAGACGTCAGTAAGTCTGTATGCTTATTAATTGTAAAGCTAAATGGAGTTAAAAGTAGATTTAAACCTACCAAAGACCTTGTGATTGCCTCTTCAATTCTATCATAGTTATCTGTGTGCTAAAGAAAAAACTTTAAATACTATATTTTTCAAAACTATTCATTGAAATTGTGTGAAATATCTCATGTGTTAATCATGATAACAGTTACAAGGCATGAAAATATGTTGCCCTGTTTACCATTTCAATCCAAGTGTTAACACTAATTGCTGTTTCCAAACATTCAACATAATGCCACCAATGTTTAGGTACAAATAGAACATCACCAGGTTCAAGAATAACCTACCAGGATTTAAAGGTCAGTGCTGTTAGTATGTTCATCATTTTTTTTTGTTTCTTAATTAAGAATAAGTTGAAGGGCTAAAGTAAACCAATCATAACCATTTGCTATATCTATATAAAGATACTGCAATATCGTGCTTCCTGTTATTTCTGGATTTTCTAACACTTTATAATTTCACACAAACCTCATAACAGGTTGCATTTTCAAACTTTGGAAATTTGTCATGATCAGGATCTCTAAAATTGACCGGACTGAAAACACTGGATTCTTCATAAGGTACACGTGTGGGATAGAGACAATCACTTTGTGTTGGTGAAAACAATAACCATTTCTTTCTGCCATATAACTGAGCAACCAGGTTGCAACCATAACTGTCATAATGGCATGGTGTGAATGATTCAACACTACCCATCCAAAATGTGGACTGCTCACCAGTTCTTGATGGAAAACCAAGACTGGACCAGTTTATGTCATGTAGTTTATTGGGGCATTCAGCAAATAAGTCTTTCATATATTTGTAATCAGCATAGCATGAGTAGTCTGCTCTATCCAAAACAATTTGAAGAACATTGTTACAAAGAAAAGCATTGTGCATGATAAGGACAACAGACTTTATGCATAATGACGTATCAAGCTGAGACGCCTGCAGGGAATTCTGGTTTTTGTAGTCGCTGCAAAAAATTAAAACCTCAAAATTCCCTGCCATGACTACTAAGACCAGAATTCCCTGCAGGTGTCACTAGCTTGTTACGTCATTATGCATAAGGTCTATTAGGAGCTTTTGCTTTTTTTAGCTACAGGGAAGGGTATTACCAGCAGGCCCGGAGCTAGCGGGGTTGGGGGTGTCACACACACACACCCCCAGAAAATTTATTCTGAGTTTCAGTTGGTAAAATTGCTATTTTAGTCGGCAGACAAAAATATTTTTGACAACTATAAAGAATATTGGCGATTACTTGAAGTCGGTAAATATCACTATGTCATCCTGTTTCTACTCTGCATAATTACTATAGACTGATCCAATAGAAACTTGACAAAGTTTCATCCAGAGTGTAATCGGTACAAGTCCGTCGATCAGTCGCCAGTCGGTTTCGATGACTAATCTGGTCTTTAAAAAGGGAAATGTCTTCGGACAACATATAAAGTTCTGGGAAGGTGATTATAAGAAAGGACAAATTGCTGATTGCTAATTATGTACATTGCACGGGTGTAAAAATGTTTTGTCTGTTGGAAGAGAATTAAAGAACACAAAAGATCATTGAGGTACCTAAATACCATTTCCGGGCATCAATCTTATTTGTCACAAATTCGCCTATATATGCCTGAGTTTGCCTCAAATTGCCTGCCTCGTACACCAAATCACACGTACAGACAAGGAGCGACATCATATAACGGACTGAATATAGCTCTAAAGGTAAGCTAGATCTTAAACGTTTTACCTTTCCTTGGAAACTTTTTAAACACCAAATCTTGCGAGTTCTCCTCGGTGCATGTCAACCACTTGTAAAAATCTTTAAATGTTCCTTCCACAAACTGGCAATCGGTCTCCATAACAGCATGCTTAGCAGGAAAGCGGTACTGGCTCGATGATATACGCGGGCAAAATCGGAATCGAGTGCGCGCATTTGAGAGCTGTTTTGCCAGGGTTTCAGGCGTCCATGAAAGACTTTTCCAATCTGATATCTTGTCCAAAAACACAACGGGTTCTTTAGCTATCTCAAGAATGTAGCGTTGCAGTTCTCTCTGCGATAGATTGATGTGAACGCGATCTATATCAAGCTTTCGTCTTTTAAGAGTACTGCTATGTTCAGCCATGAATGGTAGGAGAAACTATACAGGTATATAACGTGTGTTCTGATTGGTCGAAGCCCGTGTTTGGATCAGGCCATCTAAATCATCTAAAACGGGCGGAATTTAATTAAGTAATATATTCGCTTATGGAAATCAAACTTGGAAGTTGGAACACTACCCTTTGTTGTTATTTTTGTATTGCACAAGTCCTTATGTAATATCTAATCATCAATATTTGCAAAAAACAATACTTAATGGTTTCCCGTGTTTGGATCATTGGATGACCTGATCCAATCATCCAAGCGCTTGGGAATGTTGCTTCCCAAATCACGTGCCTTTGGCTCGCGTTTCGTGCGCTTTTCTGACTCTCGCAACATTCCCACGTGTTTGGCTCAGGCCATCCAAACATGGAAACCGTGATTGTTTATTGCAAATATAGATAATTGGATATTACATAAAGACCTGTGCTATACAAGGATGTTTTATCACGTTTGGATATGAGTTATCATGTATAAATATAAACCAAAATTGGACCACCAGTGAACTCTGCATACAATCGCTGTATTACTGTGAACTTGCGACCCCTAGTGAATTCTGTATACAACTCCCCCCTGCATTACTACGAACTTGCGACACTTCTACGCGACGAATTAACTGCTATTTCATTATAAGAAAAATAGATGTAGTTGGAATTTTTGTGTATAACTGGCCTTTGAAAGCTTACTTCAGCAATACAACAGTGCGTGTTTTCGTAAGAGGGGATGGTGCATTGTTGTAGGTATGATATACTTGCACAACAACTGCCACTTCCAAATTAGGATAAACTTTTTATGCGAAACTTTTTCATGAATTTTTGGAACGACTAAATTCGTTACGGAAAGATCAATCAGCTTGGGAAACATCGTGAAACTGGTTACATATATAAACCACCGGCAGCTCAATGGCAATAGAATTGTTAGCTATGTAGTATAATCCAGTAATATATATACTGTATACCATAATTAACTACTGTATACCAAGACTAACTACTGTAATTAGGCTGCCTATGTGTAAACTGCTCAACTAATGTTACTATTGATGTCAGTTTCGATGAAAGTTGGAGAAGGTTTTATCAATGACCGGGACAAACGTCAGGGCAAACAAACGTCACTTTTTTATTTTCCTAGGTCTGTAATGTTTGACATAGTTGTGTCAATAATCGCAAGTCAATTTCTTGGTGCGTTTTGGTATTCGCCACTTTTGGTTGGAAAGCAATGGTCATGTCTTGTTTTTCCTGGCTGTAGCATAGACGAAATAAAGAATCTATTAAGTGTTAAAATAAACTATGGAATAGGGCTTATTTCTAGCGTCTTCCTGGCGTTGCTGCTCCAGTTCTATTTCCTACCGTAAGTGTATTGTCTTTGGTATTATTATTTACGAAATGATAAATCTCCGACTTGCTTGCGGTATAAACACACGTTTTTAGAGGTTGACTGAGTGGGCATAATTTCAATCGTGTTAATTATTAGGACTTCATCGTGTCTGCGAATACAGTTAATAGAAGGACAAGCAATCTCTCTTGGCCAACCGTACACACGAACAGTTTACTTGGTTGAGTCATATAATTGAGTCAAAAATTGGCTTTAATTGGCTTTTTAACCAAACCCAGTCAATGTTTTGCCGTACATGAGCATATAAAACTAGTAAATTTACTGACGTAGGTCTACTATGCCATTACATTCATTAGAGCTGCATAAATAAGGGACATTGGGGCACAACCCCCTCCCCCCCTCCTACGTTGAAAACATCAAGATGTGTTCCGATTTTTTAAGCGAAGAAGGGATTTTTTCCAACGTTGTACTGACGACACGTCACGTTGATTAACGAATCGACCGACGGTCTCTGTGTGTAAAAGTATATCTTCTTTGCCGCCATATATAGGTCAGTGACGAGTGTTCCTGAGGCAATCAATATTGCTATTTTGCTTGGTGTATTTTCTGCCATTCTCGAAGTCTGCCATTATGGGTTTGAAGGACGATCGTGGAAATTATTCATCATTGATCACACTCATAATTTTCTTAATATTCTGGTTATTAGCTGTGTGCCGATTGCAATTTAACCAGTCCAGCTTTGCTGATGACATTGTAATAGCTAGGGTACAGTTGAAGAACAACCTGGTTTTAACCTAGTTATATTTCTTACAATATATTTAAGAACAATGTTTGAGGGTCATATAAATGTATATATTGCACGTTAATTAAACAATAAACCTTTAACACAAAACGCGCAAAGCATAATGGGGGCATAAGTTTCAAGCTTAATATAAGAGAATATTGCCGCTATTTACTCGTGAATGAAATATTTTCTTTAGGGATGTTGATTTCACAATATCCCTGGGACATGACTCGATATGAACTGATCGACTTTTCTCCTAATGTTCTTGGTACATTTAAAGTCTGAAGTTTTGATTTAATTAAGGTTTAGAATTTTATGTTAATAAAAGAAACCTTTTCTATATATGCATGGAGTCACAATAACAGCGACGGTTTTCCTGTTCGGCATAGTCAATATAGCATTTTCAATGATATTCTTTGAGCACTTTGTTCAGCCCTTATAATTGTAGCTTGGCTGAATTCTCTTGCTTAAACTGACGCCTTTTTCTTTGATAACATAACTTAACATAGATATGTATCTAATCACGACAGCAGAAGTGGGAAAGAATTGCTTACGAATTCGCACAAATGAGAAACAGGCTATTGTCGATCTAAAGCACGGCGAGGATGTCAAACCTATTGAATTATTGAGTCGAGTCCATAGATAATTTGAAGTGGCAGACTTATAGGTATGACGTAATTGTTATCCGTCCTGATTTATAATTAAGTTGATATGATAATTTCCCGATTTTTATCTCATCTGAAAATGATACAATACTTGTACAAAAAAACGTTGAAGCTATTATCTTTATATGATTATATGATTTTTGCAGGCACCAGCAAACCGGGCTGCCACCCAACATAAAGAAAAGCGTGTGGGACCTAAAACAAAATGACCGACACTTTCACAGCTGTGTGAATTTTATACGATATATGCTAAGTGTACGTAATAGACACCAGAAATTACGCACTATACAGCGAACCTTGCTAATGGCTATAACATGTTACCTTTATAGATGGTGACTGGTTTCCAAATATACACATTCAACTCAAATATATCATCAAAAACAGTTACAATTATCTGTAGTTGCAAGGTCAATACTGCTATTATATTTAAATGTTTTAACCCATTGTCTATATAATGACCTTACATGGCGCTTGAAAGTTCTGGAGATTGAAAATCATTCAACTTACTTTTAGTCCTAATTTCCGATGTTGAAGTGGTTTCGTACAAAGAAACGCGTCATGCTGACGTCATTTGAGAAAAAATTAGCGGTTCATGGGCGTATTTCGCGCCATTAAGAGAAGAAGTATATTACCGCTGTTGGGCAGAGTACTTGAGTGTTTGTTTATAGCCTCTTGAAAACATAGTCGTATTATATACACAAAATAAACAGTCAATATCGAGTATTTTGTTGTTTTTATATTTTGAAGAAAATTTGAATCATTATAAAAGAAATCCAAATTTAGCATATCGTATAATCAGTCACAAAGACATTTAAAGCTCAATCTTTTAGTTATAAAATCATTTGAAATGGCACCGTTTCTGCGTCATTATCACAACATATATATGACCAACTATACGATACCGTTTTGCCTCTTTAACGGTTTAAAACTTTGATTACGTTTCTCCATTATTTGGACTAAATTGAGCGACATTCCTTTATCTTCATCGCTTTTTTTGCTATATAGAATTCTGGTTGTATTCCTGGTTGTTGAAAAGGACTGTGATTCATAGTTTCCTTTTCCATTTCTACTAGATTTAATCCAAGCGCGCGTATTTTAGAAGGGACAGCGCCAGTACCTACGAACTCGTAAAGGGTTCTGCATGCATGACTTTAAACTTTAAGTATCTGATAAACTTTTCCAGGACAGATGAACGATTTACCACGACACATTTGCTCCTCATAAATATAGTTTCTTTTGCTGGTCACTCGTGCTACGACACATTAAATCTTGAACAGCTCATCGATATCTTCAATTGCCCTTAATTTTAGATGCATGATCATCGATAAAAACACCTGGAATATTGACACATAAACATCTCATCGATCATGCACTTCTATTGCCTTAAATTTTAGCCATAAAACCATCAATAAAAACACCTGAATAACATTTTGTAGTGGCGAAAAGCGTACGTTGTCATCTCATTGTATGATTTCCTGAAAATCTTATCGAGAAATGACGACCTGACTTTCCGCTCGAAGGGACGACAATGTTTCCAGGCTTCTTTCTCGCAATTGAAAACTTTAGTGATTCTTTAACCGAGCGCACGTTAATTCTTGATAGTTGATTTAGTATCAGAAAAAATAGCACTAACCGTTGAAGAGACGAACTATACTCCCAAGTAAGATAAACGCAAAAGAGATGAAATGTATGTTACTCCGCATACTACATGTCGATCCTTTTATATGTGCACGATCAAAATTCACTTGAGAAAGAAACCTACAAATATGCAATAGAATATAGAAGCGATCTGATTTGTTGACGGTTATAGCTATCATGTAATACATATACGCGCTTATTATATACATATAGCTAATACATTTTTTATAAGTCTGTTTTTGTTGCCATGCAAGCAAACAATTATTTTCACTTGTAACTTCAATCCAATTGGAATATACCTATGAAATTGCTTGCAAAGAGTGATCATATACAGTACATAATGGCATATTGTACGTCTATATATAGCTTCAGTCCTTTGTGCTCGATCGACCATTTGTACTATATAGTTTGGGCAGTAAGTTCATTCGCGCAGTAGTTTTGCCCGGTATTTATATTTCATGTTTTTCTTTTAAGAATTCTCAGGTATGTTTATAACAATATATTTTTAGGAAGATAGGCTTATAGACACTGCTGTAACTACGCATGCAGTTAAAAGTTAACTATATATGTACTTTAGTGCAAGATGGCTGGGGGTATAAATTTTATCTGCATGCATATACAATTTACGCCGCAGGTTTAAATCCAGCCAGAGGGGCCTATTATAGTTCGCTTTCATGACTGCATGCAATTCCGGTTAGGGTGTCACAGTTTTTCCTCAAAATTAATCATTCCATATATATATTTACCGACATCAGTTGAAAGAATGAAAAACACGGTATAGCTATAAAATATTTACAAACTTACGTGTATTACAGTATTTGATAATATATAACTAAGCTGTAAACTGTAGCACAAGAACCGTTGCAATGGGATGTGGCTAATTATAAAGGTGCATTCACACTATCCAATTTTGTTTGATCCAATTCACTTCTGACGTATGAAATATATCGGTTATTGATAAAGCAGTACTGCATTGGCTTCAGTGGATTTGCTGCTCGTATACATTACAAGACAACAGACTATAAAACATCCATCAGAGGTGAATTGGATCCAACAAAATTGGATCGTGTGAACACACCTTAACATAATACACGGTCGCTTCTTGCACGAATCACATATCTGCTGTAAAATGCCGGACGAGTCGTGGGACGACGTTGCTTCAAATTATATCTAATTGCCGATAAATATTCGGTTTTAGCTATACAGATTAAATAATATATTCCGATATATATAGGCATGGGCCATGCACGCGTCGACATATCTTTGTATATAAATTATAATTTATTTCAAATGAAATTTGTCTTGACAATATCACGAATCATATAAATTCGACAACAAAGCAAAGTTCAAGGTAAAGTTGGCTAAAAATGAGATCACAGTTGCATAAATATTCTTTTGTTAATTGTTTGTTTGTGGGGAGTAATATATGTTTACCTCATACGTGGAATTAATCCTTTGTGGATGCCAGCTGCCCCAAGACTGGCATCTATAGTGCTTTTTGTCCTAATTTACAAGCACTGCAATGATTGCATATCAGTATAAGTGAGATTGGCGTTAATATCGATCCGTAATGACATACGACTCAGTGCAGAGACTTTCGGCATATACATTTATTTGTGAATTACTACTATTATAGCTTATCCTTCATCGGTCTGTCATGATCTTACCTCACGATATATAAACGGGCTTCATGCGCCTGCTATGCCTATAGTGTGCTTTTAACAATATATTTTTATATAACAGGAACGGTCTGCTATCATGCTGCCACATATATACGAGGAAACGAAGAGACGGGTAATATATATTACCACTATATATGCATATGTTCAAGTGATACTGCCACCAGGTTTTTTTAGGGAGGAGAGCAAACCATCAAGCACCGAAAACGGCGAATCAAGCCCCGGCATCAGTGACAGTGTATCAATTTTGCTACCCGTCCCCCTGCCCCGTCGAATTGGAGCGAATATGTCGAATGCAAACGAGAGTATAATAAAACTGAACAAGGTTTATGCCAACAATTCATAACACTATGGCTTGCGGCTTACTTAATTTCTGTGATTTGTACAACGGCACCAGAAACTGCATGTTCAATTCAGTATTGGTTGAGATCAGTTTAAGAGAAGGGTGCGGAGGAACTGGAGTTAGCAGATTCCTTAACTTGTAATGAATTTTAGTGCATGTGCTTTAATTCATCTTGGCATTCATTTTCTCGATATTGCTATGAAGATTCAGTGAATCCCTTTTAATACATTAAAATGATTCAGCCCAAGGAATGACTAGTATGCCATGCACGGAAGTCTGTGCCAAACTGAAACAACAGTCAGTTTTAAAAGCACAAAAACTGACTTCTATCTGACTGAGTAGAACACTCCGATGGTCGTTGCCCTTCAATGCAGGTTGAGTGAAGAGGGCGGCATATCGAACCCAGGCTACGTGTCGTTTCACACCGATAGTAAACTTGGAATATTTATATATACATATAACTATATTTTTAACTGATATCTGATGTCCTGTACCGCAGGGATAGTCATGATGTGACTAATTAAGTTCTGATTTCACGTGAGTGTGCATTCAGTTTAGCAAAAGAGTGTCGTCAAACACCAAAAAGAGTCGCCCGTCTTACTTCCTTTGAATTGGTCCTTTTCCAATTAAAAATATTAATATTATGATTTCTTTTTCCTCTCTTTTCAAACTGTCGATTACAGTGGTGATCAATATTTTATATGCCTCATTTAAAATTTTATATTCCACTTGGCAAAGCGGATTAATTAATTCCATTGAATTCTATAAATTTCCAGCCTAAATTTTGTCCTCCTCAACTTAGACTCCCGACTCGACCACAATTATATTCTTATACACTGTACGTATATATTCTTATACATTCTTCTTTCTTTAAAATTCAAATGCAAGCTTAGATGATATTGATTATTAGTTAGAACTTCCGGAAGTATGAATCACGGTTAATGTTTGAACGGTTTCTATATATGATGAAAATTTTAATCTAGGAACTCTATAGAATCCGCTTGATACTCCTTTAAGTCCTCTGATGTACTTCTTATCTGTGTCAGTGAAATCACATTGCTGCATGCTCGGAGCACTGGTTCGGAGTATATAGGTTCGGAGCCGATGTGCCGCTTGGTGACGAGTATACGAATGACGCATGCACTTAAAGAGCGTATTAAAAGAGAGCGACGCTAATAGAGGGAAATACGAACATTAAGAAGGATAATAAATATGGAATATTGTTTTGTCAAGCGTTAAAGCATTGAATAGATATTTGGTGCCATGTCGCTACTAAATTATTATTGGCAACTATGACAACACGAACACCTTTTCATTCTGTGGATCGACATAAAATAAACACTAAGTCCCCAGCGTGTGATATTTTCATTTAGCTAAGCTATCGAGAAACATATGCCCCAATTTTGAGAGCATATATGCCTCGCGTTTCCCGACTGTTTGAGTGGCTGGAATTCAGCCATGGCATACAAGACTATCTTTGTATTATCGCTGCTAAAATGCTGTGATAAATATCAGCTTCTTACAATTCGGTACGCCTTTAGTCTAACAATTCTTTTGGCTAAAGCGAAAATAGAAGGGTGAACTAAGAAAGCGAAACAAGCGGCCATGCCGAGGTCGCCATTTGTGTCCACAGAAGTTCAGTAAAAAGAAAACGAGTGTTCCCTATGGCGGCTAATAGTTCGAGAACAGATATGCTTTCTTAAAATAATACCACTTTCGAGCCAAATGTTCGCTTCATGAGTGTCATTAACGCGAAGCGGTTTTTCAGAAGTGAACAAAAGGCTCTCGATCATCGCAGGAGATTAGTGCTAACGGCTACGTAAATTTGCTCTTCAATATTAGCTTAGCGTCGAAAGAACGAAATAAAAACGCCTTTGGCTTGTATTTACCGTGGTCGCTGAGTCATAGCGAGCTGTATTTACTCAAAGATATCCGTGCTTACAGTCACACATGCGTTTAATAACAAATGAAAGCTTACGCCATCTTCAGGAAGACGAGAAATTTTAATATAAAAAGCCGTATAAAAAGACACAACACGTTTTTTTAGGATGCTTCTAATTAGATTCTGCGAGCGTCATACGCAAGCCTAGAAACAGAAAATTTGTATTGCTTAATTCTTTGGCTGATCAGGGAGTATTCCTCGGAAAAGCACGGAAATCTGTTTAATAATTTGGGATTTAAGAAGGAAACTGACTGAACGACAACCTGCTGTCGCGTTGAGGTTTAAGTGCGTGGTCTGAGGCCACTCCCAGCTAATGAGAAAAGACAGCTGAGCTTTGCGCGTGCGTAATTGCGCAAAAAATGCACGTGTTCAAAAAAAGAAAAACAAAGCTCTATTTATATTGATTTCTGCCATTGTGTGTCATGTCAGTTTACGATTAAGCCTCCGAGCTAAGAGCGTTGCTCGAACGGATGGTATCAGTTTTGGTTGTAAAAGACGTTTCGCCATTCTTAGGAGTCAATATGTTGGATAAAACTAATGTTCAGCACACAAGATCGAAGCAGAACTGTCTACGGCAGCCATTCATTCATCCCTTCAATATATCACGGGCTCTCCCAAGAACTACGACTTTAAACAAACGGACAAGAACACGGAATTTCTCCCAGAACTGCTGCGTTAATATGGGACCGTCGAAGCTATATACTTTGAGCGAAGAAGTTCTTGTTTTAATACTGGAATATCTTGACGCTAGGACACTTATACGATTGAGTAAAACTTGTCGTTTATTTCATCGACTTTGTCATTCGGATGTTATATGGCGTCACCGGTGTAAGGTAGGGTATATATGCTCATACAGACCGGCGTTAACAATATTTTTTATACATTTACTTAGCTGTTCGATTTTCGTAACTATAACTTGCGATCTTGGGAAGTTTTGGCCGAAAACAGCGAAATAATGCAATGAATTAATCATATTGTAGCCGAATACTCGGTCGTGCGACTCGGCTGTTGTGGGGTTTCCTCTGAGTGTTGTCAACTTCGCGTTCAGCCTAACGCCATATTTGTACGATTGTCAGGAGTTGTTTCGTGCAAGCTGGTCGATTATTGTCAAGATAAGGGCTCTCTTTCTTTGAATAAGTGAACGGGTTTTCTGTTGTTTCTTCGCTCGGTTTGACGGCATGGGGCAACGAGGGAATCGGTCCTTGAATAATGTTTACTTTACATGTCTTATCTATAATTCAAGAATAGCCATCAACGCTGAGATAAAGCGAAATGAATTTTAATTTAAAATCGGCACGAAATACACAGGAAACTAGATTCAGGGCGCGTTCAGGAGAATATAATGGGACGGAAAAGCAGTGTTTATAATCGGTGTACTATAAACTTTACGATGTAGACATTGACATGTATGTATATTCACGCTATCTCATAGCAGTCGAAAGCCTATCAATTCCCACGACTTTTCGCATTGTGTTGTTGTTATAAATGTAAAACACAATTCAAATTCGAGATGCTTCTGAAACGATATTTCAATTAAATAGCATTTGAAAAGCGTATTCAGCTTGCTGCGTATGTGATTGCATGTGTGTAAGATAGCGCTTTTTACCATCGTATGTCTAGACAAGTCGAGGTAGACTAGTCTCGTGACATTTTCACATCATCCAAAATGATATAATATGAACACCGTATCTGTGATAGTCAGGCGGTCTATTATCTCGGCAGTTGAAACGCCGGAAAAAGCATTATTTGTGGGCAAATGCAAATAGAAGGCCACATATTTGGCTTTAATATCAACCGAGTGCTAAATGTGTCAAAAACGTGGGCTGTCAACATCAACTAGTTTCCTGCTCACGCTTCGAGAGTTTTACAATAAAATATCCTCTTTCATTGTAAACACTTGAGGAAAATAATCAAGCAAAGACAAGCTAAGACCTGTGTATTATTTGTATTATTTATCTCGGAGTTGCCACCAATTCGCAACAATGTACCACATTTCTCACGTTTTTCAGCGTGCTCCGCAGGGGAGCGCACCGCAAACTCGCTGTACACGCAATGCCCTTGAAATATGTGGGGAATCATTCGCGTTCAATGCCAATCAACTTTGCAAGGCACTTCGCATGCCTTATTCACGCAAATCATCACGAATGTGCCGTATTTCGACGTATTCTTTGGCAGTTTTCTTGTCAAATTCACTGCAGGCGTTGGGTGATTTCTGGCGTCAAATTACGGACGAGGTTGGAGAGATGCTAAGAGTAGCGTGAGGCTCTATCTTCAAACCCAATGTTTATAGTCGGGTTCTTTCATGCTAAACCGCACCATCAAGCCTTTAACATTGTTTTGAGGAACTAACTACGGACTTGCCTGCAAAATGTGCGATTCAGAGCGTTCTTGCTACTAATGCCCATTCGGAATCGATTTAAGAAACTGTGAGATCAAGACATATTATAAACTTTGTTCTAGCATAAAGTTGTGCTAATTCAATACATTTTTCCTACTGTTTAAAGTCGTAAAGCAAATTGAGATATATCTATTTTCAATATTGATTATATTAATTTTCCGCGTGATGGATGAGAAGCCCTATATCTGGCATCCAATTTCAAAAATGCTGCAATATACAGGGTATATAATATCTTTAAATAACAAGTGTCAGTACGCATAGGCTGCTTATGATACTAAAGACGATCATTTGTATTATCACTAGACTATTTGGAGTCGTTTGACAAGATTCATGCCAAAGAAAATATTAACAAGATTTCTTCGTTATTGTTTTGACAAGACTCTCTTTTTCTCGAGGGTGCTCTCTAATTAAGGGCTGATGTGGGGCCTGCCTTGCACTTGTATATTGTCACAAATTACTAATACCCAAGAGTTGCTTTTCCTGTTTTTATTTTAGTAGTTCGCTTCTCAACTGTGAAAGCTATTCGTCTCTGTTCCGTACCTAAAACAAGAATATTTTAGATTATTTACATACAAGCCCCCTTAAGCTTAAAGCCAAACATATGACAGCATTCGGCGATGAAAGTTCTAATTTAGACAAGCGATATTACTGATTTATCTACACACGAAAGCGCTTTGCACAGACATGCTGGCTTGCCAAGCTTTTAAGGTCAGCTTATTGTTAGCGCGTTTTTACAAGATTAAGCCTTAAAGGGATTAAATCTCTCGAATTGAAAGGAATTGACTGGAGTCCGGACGCAAAAACAACATGACTTAAATAGTTTGTATTTGATGACCGCATGTAATATTTAGACGCTCGCATATTTGCTTTGCGATGGCAAAAAGCCTTTATCTCAAGCCAAATCTCATTTCCCTTTCTTATTGATGGAATGCCACCGCTCCTATAATGGATATATTGAATAGCAGCTTGTAATTTTAAATACCGACATTGGAGAAGTGTTTTTCTTCCACTTGGAAAAGCGATATTAAAAGCCAGATTTAGTTCCTAATTTTAACAAAAAGAAAACATTGAGATATTTGATAATCTGATTCATCGACTATCCGTGCTTACACTTGCTTCTGCTGAGGGGCTGTGTTTTGAATGGCAACAATGCGATGACCAAAATTACTTTGATGGCCAATGAAATTTGAACTTCCACCATAATAAGTAGGAAGTTATCAAATAACATAAGCACTTTGCATTTTTCTTTAATTTGTGAATTATTGTTGTTGCTTTAGGCGAAGTTGATTGAAAAAAGACGTGCAGCTCTGATGTGATATCGTTCGTAAAATATTCGCACAGCAACAATAAGCACGGGTCTGGTTTTCATTTTAAACATAACCGCCATTTTAGATTTAACATATAAGTATAGGCTCTTTCCGAAATTCCCTTGCACAGAGGTATTCTCGGTGAACATGTGGGTTATACTAGACTTGAATAATGCTTTAATATTGTTCTAATATAGTTCTTCTCAAGTTATATCAGTGCGGCTGATCTTAAATTGATCGAATACGTCACAATATATTTCATATGCCTGATATTAGAACTTTCTATCATTGTGATCTCGATAAGCAAAATCATGAAATGCACCATAATACGTCTGTGGCTGAAAGCTGCATGCATAATGCATAATTTTATGTAATGCAGGCATTTTGCACTTTGCGTTACCCTTGGAACACTTGTCACGTGCCGCTAAAGTTGCTAAAAGTATCAAACCTCTCCTCCATATTTCGCTGGCGTAACTACTGTAAGCAAAAGAAAGCTCTTTCTTGAACTGCCATGCAATATACTGAAATCTGAAAATAAAGGATATTACACCCCTTTCTGTGCCAATATACTATAAATTTGGAATGAAGCTTCGAACGTTCACTTCGGCGATTGCAGAATTCTTTGAACCCCAGACACAATTCCTAGAAAGCAGATAAGTACCACTCGTCGTTGACGTATCACAGAAAACATGTATTTGCTATTTTCGAAATACAGGTAGCTGTCGAAATGATTTTGAAGTTCAAAAGCTTTTCAATCGATAGTGTTGACCAAATGTTGTTAAACCGGGGACAAATACTGCCTGGATATATATACATCTCATCGTCATACATCTCGTATAGAGCTATACATATGGGCGCTTTTTGAAGGCTTCCATGTGGATTTTAGTTGATCAACTTGAAGCGCACCCCAAAATAGCAACACTCTGTGACATTGGCTGATAAATATTCCCCTGCTGGGCATAATTGATAATATTCAGTGTATTTTTATGGCTAAGGGTTATAAATTTTTTGAGTATTGTTGTCTGTATTTTAATTTTCTTCTGATCTTATCCGCCGTCAACATCACAATTTACAACTGTTAATTTAAGGATTGGGTTTTTTAGAAGTGGGAGGACCAGAAAGATTGAATTGGTTCCGATCACCGACCAAAATAAGAGTTTTTTTAAAGGAATTTGCCTTCCTGTTGCGATTATACGAATTTAAAATAACCCTCAGATATGTACGTCAGTTGTCTTTGCCATTAATTGACAACATCGGGAGATCACAGTTTGCAAACCTCCTGTCAAATATTCAGTGCAAAAACTATGAGCCTCAACTTCTGCCGTTTCTTTACAGCCTCGAAGGTATAGATATAGTTTCATGCTGTACTTTTTCCAAATATATTTTCTTTTTACCTTTCAGCTTGACTTCAATCTTCGTACCAAGTGGCTAGAATATTCTTATCTTTATCTATATGAACTATTTAGCAAGGCTAGTGTCCTAAAGAACGACCATAGCTTTTTTCGGCCTGTTAGTCAGCTAAAAACGTCCGTCATAGTCTGGTATCTAATAAACCCGGAGCCACCGAGTAACAGTGTTTGCCAACTCACGGCGAGTCAGGCGAAGTCGATCTGGAATTTGACAGATGATGATCTAGATAGAATGAATAATGAGGCAGAGGGTAAGTTGAAAATAAATAGAAATTCAGTATAGATTATCAGTGTAAAATCGTCAGAACCATGATAATGAAATATACGGGCAGGGAATGCTGCAATAGATGACCATTGTCACAGGATTCTTACTTATTGTGTAATTATTGCACTGGAAATCCATGAATATAATTTTCAATGCTAGCGATACAACAGATTGAGTATTCGTGCAACAAGACATGTATTTTATGCCAGTGTACAGCTGACCCGGCTGACCGCGATTACTAGCCTGGAACCACTGGAACGTGCCTAGAATAAAATCCATTTGCTTCAACTTATTTCTAAAGGGGTTTATATCCCTTTTGGCACACTAAAGCTAAAGTGAAATATAGTTCATGAGATATGAAGTACATGCAGTTTTCATCGCAAAACATGGTTAATTTCGATTCCACTCCTTTTTAGGCATTTACTTATAATTATTCCCCATGGGCATAGGCATAGGAATGATTCAAGCACGTATTTTCACAGTATTTTGGGTGTAATTTATGTTGTTCGAAACTTCGAATGGAGTAGGATTACTAAAGTAGCATAAAACCCCCGTATAATTAGTCTTTAATAATGTAAATTTCCTTTACAGATAACCTGTTTAACCATAATTACTACGACTGGGAATCACTCTACAAGTTGTTCGTTGCCAAACATGGAGGTATTATCCAAATGCAAAACTACGTACTTCGAAGATGTCTACGGAATAGGCAAGCCCTAGAGGAACACTATCAGCTATCATTGCACTCTTCACGACAACAGAAATGGTATCAGTTTTTGGATAACCGTGATACAGGAAACAAGTTTCTCAAGGCTTTGACTGAGCACATGCCGAAGGTCACACATAGTTACATGTTACATCAGGTAAGATACTCGTTAGAAACTTGAGGCATTTCCGAAATACTTCAAATGAAAACGTCAAATCGGGGAAAAAACTCGTGTTACAGTAGGCTACGTAGAATTTTATTGGCTTGATGACGACATTTCATGTTCAAATCCAATCTGTTGATATTTTTTTCGTTCAATATCTCTAAACAACTTTTTCCCTAGGTTACTGCAATGTATATTGATGGACATTTGAAAGGAGGCTTCGATACCGTGAAAGCGTACGCTGATTTTTGTGGTGTTTTCAAGACTTGGCTAGAGGATAAAAGTGTTAAACTATGGCCACCGAGACAGGGCGAAATGCTAATTAAGGACTACAAAGATTGTTTACTATATGTCAATAAGGAGGTAAATATATGAACAGTGTTTTATCTCTAGGTAGATTATGAAAATAGTTTCTTAAACTCGTTGTTGTATTTGAACCTTAGGATCAATTATTTGAAAAGTGGATATTCGAAATCTTTGAAGGATTAAATTGAAAACTTTCACAAAAGTGAAGCGTTTAGTATTTTTGTTGGCAAAAACGGACGTTTCTTCGTTCACCCCTTTTTGTCAATGGCTTTTTGTTTTAGCTGATGGTACCTTCAACCTTTCGAACTTTTGACCGGTGAAAATTATAGGAATAACCCTTGCCCCAAAAAAGTTGGACTGTAATTCGCATCTGACAAAGCCGTGTAATTTGTCCTTGCATGGGACCCTTGAAATCTGCACATATTGCACATAAACCTCTACAATGACACGATTGAATACTTATTTTTGTTTGTATTCAGATATCTACCGTGGCTGAAGAGTTAGAGATTTCGCTAAATGATTTCCTCAGCAAAGCAAAGCCTTACATTGAACGGCTACATGAAGTATGGCAATGGCAAAATAAGAAGGGCCAAGGATATATGAAGGAACACAGGCCGTCGCGTGTCGTAACTGAGCACAAATGTTACAAGTAAGTTCATACAAATTGTATGTACAAGAGACTGGGTATTTTTTGAAGTTGTAGGAGACCGTCATCAATTTTAGCTCGTGTTTATACAGTATGCAAATACACCTTCAGGAGTAGATTTCAGCTGTAAGAACAGAGACATGGTGTGGTCGATTGGTCAACTTGTATAATTTTCACAATCTAGGCGATTCTTAGAGAGAGGTAACTTCGCCGACTATTGCCAACTGAAGCAGTTTTTTGAGAGGCGAGAGATCGTCGTGGATTGGTTCAAGAAGAATGAATGGCTTCATGCATTATTGAGAGATTATTGTACAAGAGCATTGAGACCGGCTCACATGTCGGCAGAGATGGCGCCTGCACCACATTTACCTACAGATCCTATCACATTCTTAGTTCATAGGTGAGTTACCGTGGCATATATACCTGCAAACTATGTACAGTAAATCGCAAACTTACACCACCGACACTTTGCATGTTAAAATATTTGGTACGTCTTTTTTGCGGTTGTGGCTTACATATATGCACATCCTTGCCTAAGTCAAAATCTAATATAGCGTACAACTTGCCTATTGCTAAAAAATTAACGATTCCACCAAAAATATGTTCAAAAACACCCAGCAATTTCGAGATTCTCGCCTTTCAATTAGTACAGTACGTTCCAACAACCGTAAGGAAGGAACCAACAACCGTTCTTGGTTTAATTACACAATACCAGTCCCCGTTATATCATTTGGTCGCGGATTTTTGTCTACAATGTTGCGAACGTGCGACAAATTTTTGCAATTTTAGGAGCATGGACTGGAGTTAAGCTGTTTTTGAATGTCATAAACTATAGACGTTTAACAAAATCATGTATTTTCTTTCAGATTTTTAGAAACAGGCCTGAAGTCAGACTTCAACAAACTTAGAATGAAACTATCAGAAATTGGAAATTTACAATTGGAGAACTTGAACCGAAAGTCACGGCAGTTGCAGAGAGCAATCTCGCGTGATTTGAGGACAGAAGATAGCATTTATTTTAGCGAAGTTGACGCTCCACATTTTACGCACTGTTTCTATCCACCGCGTACTGATTGTTTTACCGGGAGGCAACAGTTTCCGTCGGTTGAAGTTGTAAATCTGGACTGATGGATATACGTGTGAAGGACGTGTAACAGGAAGTTGGGTGTTTCGCTTCATAATGCCTTTCTAATGGCTGGTGATACAACGTCACGATTCGTTTTGTTGTGCTTCTTGGTTTTGTTGTGCAAAGAACTTGACGCAAACCTGATCTATGTGTTGGGGCATAATCGTCCATCAGTACAAATCATCCTGTCAACAAAAATACTTTCATCCTGTCAATAAAAATACTTTCATCCCTGGCATAATTCCGCCAAGCACCGTCAGACAAATGATTGTCAGTCATATCGTTGGCGTTTAGCATTACAGAATGTTGGAAAATAAATGAACTAGACAGTTGTGGTTTCATATTTAAAATATGTTGCCACTAATATCTATATCGTCACATTTATATGCTGCTGGTAAAAACCAACAGTGAATTGACATTCCGAGGAAAACGGACCTATTCCATAATTAGAAACATGTTGAAAATTTATAACTGTAACTATGAATCTTGTGTATATATCGAGGTATTATTGAACATGTTGAAATTTGGGCTGTTCTGTTATGTTAGTTCGGCAAAGGCAGTGCCGATAGCAAACATACAGCTGTGAAATATTGACTAATGTAAATGGAAACTCAAAATTTGTGTTAATAGCTACGGTAAATGAAAATCCACCAGACTCGTACAAACGAAGTTTGCTTTTATGTTATAGATACATCCAGTGCTCCTTCGTCCAAATTGTCATTTTCCATCTTTCTCCAAGAAAGCTTTGGACCAGACAAAGCTTTCTCCATCTTTCACAAAGCTTTGGACCAGGCAAATATCCAAGTTGCTTTGTATATCTTCTTTTATGGCATACTCCTCCTCTTTGGATATTCGAATCCAGAAAACGCCATTCCTCTTGAGCCTTCAATTTCCAAGATAAGTGTTAACTGTTATTGCATTTCAAGGAAACACACAAAAACTCAAACTATAGAAAAAGTTGGGTCTAATTGCATTTGCCTCGCCACCGCACTTTTAAGAAGGGTTTATCCTTCTCTGTAACCAGAGATTTGCTAGGCGGGAAACGAATTTTTGGAATAAATATGAGAGAGCCCAACATATAACTTTTAACATTAAAGCCATTAAAAAAAGATATGTTGGTAACGTTTCGTCTTTAACTTCTTCAGACCCATGTTCAGACTAATGATAAAATGCATGAAACGTTACGAACTATTCTAAGAAGGTTTAGTAGTTTGGGATAGTAGTTGAGAATGTGGGCAGAGAGGAATTACAATACAAACAAAACGACAACCAAAGAATATGCAACTTTATTACTGTTATTTATTTATTATATACAACAATGTCGAGCATGGCGTAACAGGCTTAATAATATTTGGAGGGGGCGAACAAATGTCAACGCGACAGTGGCGATTTCGGTGAGAAATTCTCAAGTCTGTTATCAACATTTCTGCTAAATTTGAAGAGGGAGGAGGACTTCAGCCCACCTCGCTCCCCCACGCATCTTACGCTGTGATATCGAGAAAAATTGGCCCCTCTGATGAAACGGATGGAATCTATGTATCGTCGTATTTCGAGGTAAAGACATCACTTCCACTTCCTGACGTTTCGCTGTAGTTATCATCAATGAACTGGTTATCATTCATGTTACCTCCTTCAGGCACATTTTCTTCAACTACATAAATTTCCTCTTTTACGAGATTTTCAATTTCTTGTATACGCTAAAATTAAAATAAGAAAGAGCATAACGGAATCTACCATTGGAAAAAGCACAACGTAATTTTGCAGCAAGTACGGAGTTACCGGATTTCGCGGGAGCGTCAGTGCTTAAGCAATTTATTTTCATCCCACTCAAGTTTTCACAAAAAATTATACAGTTTAACGAAACTGTTAAAAATATCCCTAAGAGTGGTTGTTTTTTAAATTTATCAAAGAATTAATCTGGTGTCAGGTTTTAAAAAGTAACTACAACTACTGCAGTTTGACTACCTGTGTGATTTTTGGTCCTTCTGTTACGTATCCAAATAATTTTGCTTCATCAAAACTTTTATGAAGTAATTCTAGGGAATCATCGTGTCTGCCCTGTCTGTAATACAAATCACTCTCGACCATCTGGAATTGAATTTTAGAGCCATTTGGTGCACTGCCTAAGAGATCACGCTTTATAGCTTTCACGCACTCAGCGGCGAGATCGATGGAATTTTTCGTAACTGTTCGTCTCTTTCGTCCGAAAATGGAATTCGATTCCAAATGGATCCTTGCACTTTTTATCAGGGCGTAAAACCTTTTTTTGTCACTAACGCGTTGGTTTGAATCCTGCGAACCAATTTCACTCATTTTCTGAAAACTGGTTAAGGCAAGTTCCTTAAACTGCTCGTCCGGTTGTGCAAAAGTTCCCATAAATTTATCAAGATAACTTCCGTAGACCTCGTGATAATGGGAAAGCTCCTCGAAACTGTGGCCAGACTCAAAACACTGTTCAGCCAAGTCAAGATATCTTTTCGTTTCCCCTAATTTGTTTTCATACCTGTAACTGGCGCTCATTATCAGGTGAGCTTGTGCGTGGTAAAGGGGTGGGAAACGGGTGTGGTCCGCGAGTTTGTGGGCCTCGCTGGCGAACCGCCTCGCTCTACGCAAATCGTTTTGATACAAAGCGCACTGCGCTCGTTCTATTGTGACAGCCGCTACAATATCAAAGTCCCCCTTTTCACGATATATCTTCACTATTTTCTCGGAACAACGATCAAGTTCTGTGAAGTCACCATTGTCTTGGAAGAATACGAGAATTGTTTTAATCTTTTCTAAGGCTTTGCTTGGAGTATAGATAACTTTTGTTGGCCCGCGGAAAAGCATTAGAGGGAATGTTAAAATTTTCATAAACAGTTCACTGAAAGGCAAGTTCAGACTGGCATCTTTTAAGCGCTCTATTATGGCTTTGTCATCAACATTTTCTGAATCTTCAGCAGCAGCAGCCTCGTTTTCGTGCGAAGACGAGGGACTTGGAATAATAGATGAGACGTTTTCAGCACCAAGCTCAATGATGCGTCCATGTTGGTTTCTATCAACACTTCCATGCGTTACGTCGTGTACGAATTTGGCATCCAGCTCTGCGAGTATTGCTGGCGGTAACGTCAACACATACGCTTTAAATTCTTCCATAAAGGTTGTGTCTTCAAAATTGGTTTCCAAAGGTGTTGGAAGCGGGAATCGGTCCATACGAATCGTGATAAAATAACTAAATAAATAAAATAATAACTAAAATAGAACGATTTGAATTACGGCTAGAAAAATGTCTTCTTTCGTAAAACATTGATTGGCGACTACCTGGTTGATATCACTTTGCCTTACAATATCTGAAAGGAAGTTATTAGTCGAAAAAGAGCGGGGATATTGCTGATTTTGGCTTTTTCAGCCGGCTGTATAACTATATTTTAAGTATTTTAATAGTAGCCGTAGGTTTCTATTTAGATTGGCCATTTCTGTCACTAAACTAAAATTAACTAGCTTCAACCGTGCCGGCGTGCCCAGAACGACTGCTACAGTGCTACTAGTTGTGAATGGTTGTTACTCCTGTCCAAGGTTAAATTGAGCCCTCGTTATAACTTCACTCTTGCCTTGGCCTTTATTAATGCAAATAAAAGACGTTTGAAAGTCGTACATGCCTTTGTTGAAAAAACGAAAATTAAAACGAGCGGCGAAGAAGACTACATTTGCTTTATGACATGTACAGCCTATGTAGAATCACTTTTTATAAGAGAATTTGAAAGAGACTATGAAATCAAAACTGATGTTGGCTAATCGTTCTGTTTCAACAATTATAACTAGTAGACACAATCATAGCATAACCCCCCCCCCCCCTATTTTAGCCATTTTTTGTGGCGGGCGGACAACACAATGCTTTTATTTTAATTTCAGCCCCCCTAAAAATCTAATGTTCGCCGCCCCTGCTTTTTCTGTATTGTCTTTTCTTATACAATATTTATGCTTAGTGGCAGGTTATGAAAACGCTTGCCGGTTTTTCATGTGACATCAAGACCTATATAGTTTTTATCGCATAACAACGAATTTATGGTAGATTACTACAGTATACTGGGGTAATAGGGCCAGAGAATTGCGGCAAATTTATGGGCGCTATCCATTATACGGCAAGAACGGCCAAAACGGTCCTGTTAAATACTCTATTTCAATCAAAATATGACCGGTTTGGCCATTTTGGCCCTTTAAAGAAAAGCGCCCTGTAACGTACGAAAACCACTGCCACTGGCCAAGCCACAAGCAAAATAAGCGTTATATTTATATCGCAATTGGAGATAACAGCTAAACGTTTATAAATTTTGTCTACATTAATGCAATAGCATTGAATTGATTACATTTCTATTTTACAAAGCGTAATTGCATTTCGTTTAGAGGTAAATTTGTGCGACAGACACGCATATTTAAATGTAATCGATACTGTATAGTTTACCTCGCTGACGATTTTCGGCTGTAGAATTACAACTGAATTACACTTCATCAGCTCAACAGGTCACGGCTGAGGACTGCGATTGTACAATTTTCTTGATTTCTCTGTCAGTCGAGGCAGTGGTCTTGATTAACAGCGATTTTTAAATCAATACTGATCAAATGATTTAATACACCGATTTCATTTTCCTTTAGCGCCGTTCACAGAAAAATAAAAAATTCCCTGATTATAAAGTATGACGTAATTTACGGGCCGAATTGTAAACGGGCCGAATCGAATATATGTTTACAAAATGAAAATATCCCACTGATCTCCATATAAGACAAAACTGTTACTATACTGCTATTTTACACAGAAACATTTTGATTGGATAAGTACACTTTTGCGAGTTTGCCGACTGTAATGAATCTAGCCTTCCGAGGTGCCGCGCGCCTCTATACCACTGAGCTATATAATTCCTGGAGTAAGTGCATACTAGGAAAAAAGTGTCTGCAATGTTTATACTGTAATATTTATGAATTGAGTTAAAAATAAATATCTACTTCCCATGCAGTTTTCTGATTTTCTGATTATGCAACTGAGAAATTGCTTTCTGTGATCAATATTAATTCGAAGAAGAAAGCTGTGCGAATGAGGCAGTTCAATAATTCATTTCAGCCCGCGGACATGGCTATATATAGGAAGCGTTCTCCTTCGTCAAACGCAATAACCATCTTAAAAATACCCTGAAAAGAATTGGAACCTCAGTTCAATTTTAACTGTCAGGGCATATGTTAAGAAGGAATTTAAACGAAACTGTTGTGTCCTAACTTTAGCTCATCTAAAGAAGGGATGTTCCAATTGGCTCCTTTTGATCCGTGAGGGAAGACGTGTTAGACAGTTCGATTTATGAAAACGGCTTCGTGCATGTCGGCCATGCAAACTTATCTTATATATATATATATATATATTCATTTAATTATATCAGTAAATCCATGACTTGAATAATGTGTGTTCCCTTGTCTATAATCGCCGAATTTATTCAGATATTGTATTTCAGTGAAAAACGAAAAATCCCCGAATTCAGATAATGCGGAACCGAAAGTATTTATAATAACAATAACAGAATGTAAACAGAATGTTTAATTTATTATACCGAACTCAAACAGAACAGACATCACTTTGTCTGCAAAGACTGTTTGATACAGCAGATACACTATATTTGCCTTGGGAAAACTTTACTGCAGGTGCGGACACAGCTTCGGCTCACAGACAAAATGAAAGCAGGCATTATACCGCGATGTCGGGCATAATAGCACTCAAGTTATTATTTCAGTAAAACGCATATTCTCATATTTTTATACTCCTGATATAATCCCCTTGAATTTTTACAATAAACTTTTACAATCTATATACAGAAAAACTAAATTAATACAGAATATACTACAAATGATACATATAGCTACGCATATATATAAAGTTTGTTTTTGAAAATTTTAAGTGAACTATAGAATTCCTAATTTCAACTGCCTGGTATTGAATTCCCAATTGATAATGAATTAAACTGGTATCATTGAATTGGTGATAAATTAGGATTAAAATTAGGAAAACTTATCAGTAACTATGTTGACATATGTACAGTGATATACAAATGAGTCAGAAAATTGAAGTCTAAATGGAGAACAATTATAGGCCCCTAACCATAGTTATAGCGGGTTTCCACTAGGGGAATTTTTTCGCGCGACGCGATATCTGCAATCCGCTGATGTGATCGGTTTGCGAAAAAGTATAATCACTTCCTACTTTTTATCTGTTCGTGGAAATAAATTTGCCTATTGCGGGAAAACGAGTTTAACGTGCCGTGGTCGACAGTAAGCCAGTTCGCAGGTTGAACCTTTGTGATATCAAATACACCATAACATATATAGAGCCGATGCTATTGGTATATTTTATACACCGGTTTAACAGCTCGAGGTTTTAAAAGTATTTTGACGAAAAATATCCGTCACTTTCGCTCTGTGATGTTTCATCGTAATGGCCATAATAACCACTTTCGTCATCACTAATGGAATCTTCACCAATACTATTTAAACGTGGACGTTCCTGGACTACTGGCTGGCGTCCTCGTATTTCTTGCATGCGCTGAAATGTAAATTAAAGTTTGCCGTTTTATGATGAATTTTCGTAGTTCGTCCCCGGTCCCCACCCCGTATTTCTACTAACAGACGATGATGCGTCAAGGCGAACTACCATTCAAATTATGCAGATAATTCGTGTTGACGGATGGATCGTCTGTTGCCCGTGTTCACACACAGACGAAGTAGTAGATGAACTATCTTTCGCTTGCCCAAGTTCGTCTAGACTCTAGACGCATGATCTGTCTTTAGGATAAAACGGGTCAAAACTCGATTGTAATCGACGATTAAAAATCTGGTTTTCACATCGGAAACTGGCCGAATAAAGAAGGAAAAAAGTATCAGTGGATATATTGCTATACCTGTTTGATTTTTGGTATTTCCGTTTTGTATCCAAACTGCAGTACTTCATCCCAGCATTTTTCAAGTAACTTAAAAGCATCAGCGAATTTTCCTTGTCTATAATACAAGTCACTTTCTACCAACTGAAATTGGATTGTAGTCCCGTGTGGTAAACTTTCAAGGTGGTCACGTTTTATAACCTCGACAATTTCAGCGGCCTTAGCAATAGCAGTTGCCTGCACTGTTCGGTTCATTCGACCGTGGGAAGAATTCGAATCTAAATAAATCCTTGCGCTTCTCATCATGGAATAAGGCTTGTTTTTCTTATCAACACGCTGACTGGCACTTGAATCTTTTGAACTGATTTCGCTCATTTGCCGGAAGTTGGTTAAAGCGAGTTGTTTCAGCTGTTCGGTTCGTTCTCCGGACGTTCCCAAAAATTGATCAAGAAAACTTCCGCATAGCTCATAGTAATGCGCCAAGTCCTCTATACTGTAAACGAACTCGAAATATTGTTTAGCCAAGTTTAGGCACTTTTCCGCTTTCCCTAACAGACGCTTATTCCTGTAATAACGGCTCATGACGAGAAAAGCTTGCGCCTGGAAAAGAGGTGGGAAGTGCGTGCTTTCGGCGAGTTCTAAAGCTTCATTTGCAAGCTGCTTCGCTCCTTTCAAATTGTTTCGATACAAAGCACACCGTGCTCGTTCTACTGTCACAGCTGTTACGATGTCAAAATCTCCCTTTATGCGATTCTCTTCTATCACTTTACTGGAGTAAAAATCATGCTCTTTAAAATCGCCATTGTCCTCAAAGTGTATGAGGTGTGCTCTAATTTTTTCGTATGTTTCGCTCGGAATGTAAATTACTTTTGCTGGCCCACAGAAGAGCGAGTAGGAAAATGTTGAAAACTTAATAATTAGTCGATTTAGTTCAACCAGGCTGTTGTTTAATAGATTTATTAATTCCTCGCTTTCAAAATTTTCAGCGTCATCCATAGCAAACTGAGCAGGATCCGAGAATATGTTTTCAACTTCAGGACATAGATTCAAAATTAATTGTTGGAACATATTGGGTGATGCAGATATGGGGCTATTTTCTAGTTCCATGATGCAACAGAACAAACACTAGAAAATAATAATATAAAATATTTTAAAAGATTGGATTATTGAAATAAAGGTAAAATTTCGTATCATGCATTGGCATTTAAAGGCGCGGGATTACAGTATCTATACGACTATATAGATTACAGCGTCAGTGCAGCTTATAACAATCGCACGCCTGCTGTCAGTTTAAAAAGATCAGCATTTCATAAACACGTTAATCAACTGTTATTGTTGCCAAATATGGAGTTGGAGCTGCACGCCTGCACCAACAGGAACAAACACAACGCTATGTTTTCAGGCTCAGCATTGAATTTTCTTATTTTATACGGCTTAGCGACACTTATAAACCTTTTTTTACATGATGTGCGTCTATAAAGAGGGGGGGCAAGGGGGGGTCTTGTCACGAAATCACAAAGGTGTTTTTAAGATTTCACGAATCACGAAGAAGATCATTTCATTTTCACGATTTTTACGACTAGTTGAGACTTTGCAGCGGGAAGACTGGGAAATTAGGCGGAAAGCTACTGTTTTGACTATTCTACCTTTCGTTTAGTTGGGGCCCAGTATTTAATCTAAAAAATTATAAATAGTGGTAAAATATTGGGGAAAATAAGATGCCTTTGCCAGCGTTTTAGGTCTTCACGAGTCACGGAACGCATTTTAATCACGATTCACGGAATGGCATTTTCTCAAATCACGCATCACAATACAGAAATGATGCTAATCACAGATCACGAAAGTACCCTTGCCCCCCCTCTATAAAGTTGTCTTAACCATTTTAATTTGTCTAAATATTGCTTACAATATTTACGTCATAGACACAAGTTTAAATGCGTTTTTCCATACGCTACCTTACTTGAATATTATTTTTTTGCTAAGGTTCAATTTCATTCGATGAATGATTTCCAATAGTTGCTTATCAAAAGTGCTCCGTCGGCCATGCAGGCTAATCAGTTGTGTAAAGCCTTCACATTGCTCAATATTTTCAAAGTGGCATATGAAATGAAAATTTCGATATCGCATTTTTTGCATTTTCGAATTTCAAATCCATCATAAATACACCAATCTGGTCGAAACGTTTAGGAAAATATTAAAGATTAGTCCAACCTGGCTGACGATGTTATTCGGCAATAGATTTATTAATTTCTTTCAGACTATTTCAGACTATTTGAAATTGGGTGATGCAGAAGGGGGCTATCAGTAGAAGCGTTAGGTTAAAACATATTGTTAAAATGAATAGGGCGGATGAGGGTCAAAGAAATTTTTTTTGGGGCGAGATCTTATTAGCTAGTGAAGCGAAATCGCATGAAACTATAAACTAATTAGGTAACATGAAACGAGCTGGGGGGAAAACTGGGGGTATACAACAAAATTGGGAGGGGGGTTCTCTTCCCTCTTGCGTCGCCACTGCCACTGGGGCCATTTTCTAGTCCATGTTCTAGTTCCGAATTAATACGAATTTTATATCATACCATCACTAGGACGAAGGAATGTTTGGTCTGCCCGTTATGAATATTTTCGCGTTTCTTTAATCCATGTTTTATAAACACGCACGTTTTGCTTCAAATGTTGATATTTAATAGAATTTCATGATCACGCAATCTTTTTCAAAATATGACGCGTTCGCAGTTGTTTTTGCACAGTGTTATTTACAGCATCAGAACTGCTCATCGGACGCCTGCTGTTTTAAATAAAAGATAATTTCTTTTATTTATCTTTTAAGACGAACCTTAGTTCATATTCATTCAGTAGCATAGCAAACCACGCTATGTCCGCGTTTATACACAGACGAACTATATTTCGCTTGCCCAAGTTCGTCCAGACGGATGATCCATCTCTCCATTTTCATATACTGTTTTAACCTCAGTTATTAAAGTGTGAATTAGGCCTATTTCGTTGTCATAGCCCGCTTAATCAGTCTCGTGACAATCGAATGAATCGTTTAGAACTATGATGAGCATTTGTAGCTTAGCGACACACATAAACCATTATTATTTCTTCATGATGCGCGTCTAAAGTTCACTAGACCCTTTTCTAAAAAAATTCTAAATATATTTCTCATAATATATACATCGTAGACACAAGTCAAAATACGTTTGTCCATACCTTGCTTGAATATTACTTTTTTATGAATATTTGCAACAATTGTCATTCGATGAATGATCTTCAAACTTGCCGATCAGTAGTGTTCTTGATATAAAGTAATTCTGAAATGTTTCAACGCATTTTGTTTCTTCAAACAGCTCCACTCGTTCATGGTGTTGTGTACAGCCTCTATATTTACTGCGTAGAAAAAATTCCCTTTAAATTATGACGTACATGTAAACAAAGAATTTCATTTGCTTTGCTGAAAGGTTTCTGATTACACTCTTAGTCACTAGGCGTCATTTCCTGTTTGTACTATTTCGAGGAATTGGGATTCTAATAACAATCATGTGATAATTTCGAAAAAATTTCGCGTCACCACTATTGTTACATTAATACTAACTCACTTTTTTCCAGTGATTGCTACGAATCAAATTTTAGACAGCAAGAATGTGTTATTTAGCTTTCTAACATTATCTTTTTATGACACAATTTTAATGTAAATAATAAATTTCTTGCTGTTATGAACTGAAGAAAGGTAGCTAAATAACAGCTATTTCTGCATAAGACTTAAAAGGGTCTGTTTACTTCCATTTCGTTTTTATTGAGACACCCTGTAGAATCAGCGACGCATACTATTGCGGGGGCGTCAGCTTTAGGCCGTCACCAACAGTTCACTGATCTAACTCAGAGGAGGTTGGACAGCTGTCACGTGAATTTCTCGACCAATGAGATTGCGCTATTTTCCAAGCGTGCTTGCGAAGATTTTGAGCGAGAAAATTTACATAAGACGGAGAAACATAAAAATATTGAGTATATTTTTTAAAGTTTACTGATTAAAACGCATATTTTTTGAAAAAAGATTCATTGGACTGGCGATATCTGTCGAGATTATCGAGGTAAGCGTTACTTTTTAAGTCGATTTTTATAACTGAAGTTGGTCGGGTCGTTCCGAAGTGATGAGTCATGTGCTTGTCTGTTTACAATTTTCAAAGTTGAAAATCTCGAATTCCTGTGGTTCGATTTTTGAGATTCTTTGTAAGAATGAAGTTAAGTATGTAAAAAAAAAATCGGCTGGATCGACCCCTTGCGACCCCACACCATTTCCGAGATATCGGGCTTTGAATTTACCACTCTTGTTTTGAGATGTTCAAAATAGCGCATTTCGGGTCAATGGGATATTTCCCTTTCAAATATTGTTTAGCTACATAATTTGTAATATTAATGTAAATTTTATTTGTATTCATGGTTTAACTTCCTTAGTTATTAACATTTAGACGGGAAAATAGTATTTTTTTGTATTTTATATAGATTTCCATTTTTGGCAGTGACGACTCCTATGCTCATTCGCTAACGCCTAGCTGTAATCCCACAACGTGGTCAATTGAGTGTTAGATCAGCACATTTCAAACAACCAGAAGGCTTACCACCACCACCACCTTCACAAAATTGATAAATATGAAACATATTGTGTGATTATATGTTTTCACTTCTTCAGTAAAATAAACTGACATTTTATATTGGTTCTGTTCTTTAGATGCTTGTTGATGTTTACAGTTAGTGTGAGTTAAGATCTGCATTACTAAGCCATTGTGTGTTAGAACTGGCAATATTTATGTATATTAGGTTGATTGAAAAGCTAAAGGCATGAACACCTTATCTAGTACAATTGATCTTCAAGTTTGCATGAATTGTAAATGCTATTAGCATAGAAACAATAGCATAGAAACAAAAAACAATGGTGTGTGTATGCAGGTTTTTACTTTTTTGAACATCATGTAAATATATGTATAAATGCAAAATCTTGGCTGTTTTGTCAAGGCAATTTTACTTACAATATTTTATAACCATAATAAAATTTGATGAGTTTATTTATTTGTTCATCAATAAATACAGATTTACATATTTATACCATGTATTGTATGAATATTTTTCTAATTTTCTTAATACTGCAAGGGTTTGTATGAAATATCACATGACAGTGAAGTGCTTTGGTTATAGACAATAGGTTTTGAGGATATAAAATAGAAAGCCTGGTTTCCATACAACATTGTCAGGGTGTTGTGTTAACCATTAAGAAAAATATCTATCATTATTAGTTATTATGCAACAACTTGATTGTCATATGGAAACCAGACTAAAAACAAGTTGATGGCAAAAATGCTGGAAAAATCTACATAGGTTAGCCAATGGAAATAATTGCAGAAATTCACAACTTGCAAACCCTGGTTCTTATGAAATTATATGTCAACGTACACTCATACTAGCCCTTACAATCTGACCTTCCCATTTACCACGCCTCTTTATCCAGATTTTTGGATAAAATCCTATTTTTAAAAAGTTAACCCGAAACTTGATGTGTTCAACATAGACGTCTAGTATATCTCCTGCTGCAATCAGTGGATGTAAATACTTGCAATGTTCAGAAGCTATATATCCAACATTTTCCCATTGAGTTCCATAATGAAGATCAATAGCAATTGCATTTTGGTCCCGAGGATTCTCCGGCTCTGGTCTTAGTCTAACATTTACTGATTCATTATATTCAAGGGCAAGATATGCCTGTTCCAGATGATGTTGGTAACTTTGTTCATGAGCAGCTCCAATGCACTTGAATGGTAGAGCATGAGTGATTTCTTCCTCATCACTTTCAACTTCTTCACTTTCATCTTCTTCACTGTCCTCATTATTAATTTCGATGTCATCAAAATCAGGAGTAACCGCATCCACAGCGCTCGTATTTTCTGTCAATACACGATCCACATCAAAATCCCAAATTAAAAGCATTCTCTCCGCTTTACAATGAATAAATTCATCAGGGATAGTACCAAACTAAAAAAAAGTTTCAGTTAAATTTTAATACACAAATCAAGCCTTAAAAGTTAATAAAAAATATTAAAAAATGAGGTGTTGACAAGTACTTTATACTAACCTCAAATATAGTACTTGCTTTAACGTTGATGACACAAGGAGATTTAAGGCCATTCAACTTCGAAAGCAGTGCTTCGGTGTTTGGTATAATACAAAGTCTTCTTTCAGACGGAGTATTATGAAAGGCGAAATGGCAGCAAAGCCCATGCAGCTTAAAAAACGGTAAACTCGGTACAGTAAAAGATAAGTCGTAATGCGGATCGCAACAATACATATACATCATAGTATTTTGCACTATCGCAGCTTGAAAATCCTGTCTTTCGAAAGCATCCATTTTTCCTATACTCGCAGAGCTCTTCACATCACGACAGTCAAAACGTCAAATGAAGCGTTCGCATAATTGAGCGCTCAATACCCATCATGCTTTGCGGCCTGCTGTCCAACCTCCTCTGGATCTAACTGATCAGTGATCACCACGACTTACTTACTAAGTTCCACGACTTAGTATTTGCACATTACTATCCTCATAGTGGGATAGCAATGTTTGAAGAGAATGCATAAAATATTCTATCAACACAGGTCCGTCCTCCCTCCTGGTTGTCATTTGGAAATTTCCTTCCATTGTGGAAACCCTGAAGTGCCACTCACTATTCAGTTACTGTTCAGCAACTCCCCCCCCCGTGGTAACCAATAAATTATAAACATCATAAAATGAAGTTTAGATGTGGTTTTAGGTAAATTATTTGCGGGCTCTGATTAAAATTTGGCGCGTTTTCTAAACAACCACGAAGCCAGGGAAGAAGAATATCAATGAAAGTTGAGACAATTTTAGCTGGATTTTTGGCTAAATTTTTAGATAAAACGTTGTTATTTTTTGGGTAGTTGGAGTTAAATAATTTGTATGGTATGTGTTATTTATATTTATATTACGCCAGACTAAGTGGGACATTTGCGTGTTGATGCACTGTGGTTGATGGAATCACTTCCATAGTCCACATAAAAGTCTAAAATTATGATTAATGCTAATAAATTGTGAAATTTTAAGTATCATCTCGTGCACCAAGTGCTTGTTATAGATCAGTGATGAATAGAAATATCAGTGCATGTAGAGTATACTTTGATTGTAATTATGATATAAATTTTGTTGGGTCTAGCAGTATTTAATAAATCAATTAAATGCTTTTGTTCCGTTGATTTCTGTATTTTTGTACATCTGGGGACAGTCATTGGGTGTCCACACTTTTTTTACCCAAGATATTAGCACAGTTAATAGAATATACATGGTTTGGAGACCACATAAAACTACAATTCAATTCATTAACTATGTTGAGGTAGATTTATGCAAAAAAGTGTTCCTTTCTCATCACGTGTCTATTGTCTCCAAACCATGTATATTCTATTAACTGTGATATTAGCAAGGTTTATTGCTCGTGTGAGTAGCCAATGTGATGGACGTACGACATTTGATTAGCTAATACATTCTCTAGAACCATCACTTTATATGATACTCTGGTTATGCTGTGTGAATATTGTCAGAAAGTTTCAACTCTATACAGTATTAGTATACACCCGACTATTGTCTATTACAAATCCTACTTTCTGATTGGCTACTCAACCATTGTCTATTCATGATGGTGAACGTTTCGGAAAAATTGCTTGCGTGACCGTATAAAATTGAATTGATTAAATTATTTTTCATTGTAATTGTCTTGTATCGATTATTTTCTCAAAATTAATATATCTAGGTACAGGGTATATACTAAAACAATTAGTGAGCAGCATTGTTCTTCACTGCCATAAATATTTCGGTTATTTTTTAGCACTTTCCTGCCATATGACAAATTAATTATGGTTGATGCTGTGGAAAATGAGTATGTCAATTCTGAAATTGTCTGCACATTGGCTGCTCTTGGTTACTTAGAAGATGATAATTATTACAAAGGAGATGACTGCATAGGTAAGTATTTTACTAAATATTGTACTGATATTTCCAACAATTTTAGACACCTCTTTCTGAAAAATTCACATTTTCCGTTGGCTAATATACGTATTCAAGTGTAACTTAAAGTGTCCTTGGAAAATGGTGCGGATTGTTTATATGTGTAAACTACAGTATATGCAGCTACTACAGTATAGTTTGTTCTTGGAAAATTCTTCAATTTATATACACCTCTGTTTAGTCTGGAAAAGAATTGAAATACTGTTTTTTATGCAACTTAATTAGTTGATGATAACACAGTGTATATATGTGTACTAATAGTTTTATTCTTAAGATAAAATAAAATGTTAATTTTAACGTTGAACACGCACTCTACACTTCAATTCCTATGTGTTTGTTAAGAATGCTTAAAAGACCTGATCCGTTTCCTGAGGGTAGATGATGCTACATGTGAAATCAGAAGACAGTTAGGAAGATCACAAGCTGTGGAAAAGGTGTTGTAAATTGTGTCCCTAAAACTGCATGCCAAAATGACAAGGATTCTGTGAGATTATGCATAAATATAAGGATCACACAGAATCCTTGGTATTTTTTTTCCTGATTGGTGATCATTTGTGTTATGTTTTACAGTTCTGGTAATTAATGACTTTGCTGTCTAATTTTGCATTTTTTGTTTTTTTACATTCTGCATGCAGGATCTCATTCCCTTGCTTAAAAGTTGTTCACTTAAAGAACATGACATTTTTGATGTTTGTATTAGGTAGGTTTCCTTGTTTTGTTGTGCAGGTAATATATACATTTTTCATTCTTGTTCTATATTAGATAACTTAATTAGAGGGTAATGATTAAAAGAATTTCATATCTCTTCTGAAAAAGAGCCTTTTTTTGCAACAGCAAAAATAACAATACATTTGAGATTTACAGGTTATAAATTTAGAGACGTTTGAACATTATTACAACAAATATTAAATTGGTTCCATAAGCAATGAACTATTTGGAAACATTTATAGGTTACTGGTCAACCTAACTCAACCAGCAATGATTTGTTTTGGAAATGTACCCAAAGGAAAGATGGAACAGCACTGGTTTTTAGAGGTTACTTCACATCTACAGTCCTACAAAGAGGTGCAGTATGTCCACATCCGTTTGTAAACCCTGTGATACAGTATATGTGGTAAAGGAAAGGTGTTTAACAGTTATTATGAGGGTGTCTCTGATGTGGAAGAGGCAATTCATTAATCTGGATCATAGATTTCAAAATGCTGCATGCTAAGGTCACAATTCAGTGAAGGTACTCTAAGTGAGTTTCCTTTGATAACAACACTGGTGTGTCTTCCATGTGCTCACATCGGCAGTATTTTGGCGCTCAGAGAATAATCACGGTACCAGTATGGAGTTAAATACCACGCAGTTTGAGTGAGAGCTTATTTATTTATCGTGTAGTCAAAAGCAAAAGGTAAACACTGGGTAAAAATAAGGAATCTTATGTTTGTTATAATTGTGGCTTCATTCCAGGCATTTGCAGAAAAAGAAATTATGGCCCTACTTGGCAGGGAGCTGGGACGTTTATTGCAGGCTGTAAGATAAAGATTGTTGCACATTAGAAAAGCATGAGTATAGGTACATTGAATAGGTGCCCCAAAAGAAAATTGAAACCTGCATACACAAGTTTTATGCATGCATTGAAGCAAATCCACAGAGGAAAATGATTTTAAATTATATTTCCAGGAATGGGATAGCAGAGAAGAAGAGGATACCCTGCTAATTGAAAGAATTCTCCTCTTGGTTCGAAATATCCTCCATGTTCCTGCAGATCCCAAAGCTGAGAAGGTTTGATTATATGAATATAAACTTTATGATATCGAAACGTTGAACAGTTCAGTCAGTAAATTTGATACTTTTGCTTCCAGAGAACAGATGAAGATAGTACAATCCACGATCAACTTCTGTGGTGTGTTTTCTTCATCAGTTTGTAGGTTAGACACCAGGGGCATAACTTGACTCTAAGCAAATTTGCCCTACAAAAGGGCGTGGTGTACAACATATACCCAGAAAAGGGCGTGGCACCCAATCGCAATTATAGCGTGTTTATGATAGTCTGTGAGCAGGCTCCCTTATAGTTATAAATTTATTACGCAAATCTGGCTGCATAAAATTGAAAGCGAGATGTTTTATATGAAAGCCTTAACCTAATTACTACATGTCACCCCCCCCCCAACAGTTACGCCCCTGTTGACACCCTTGCATCAAGCTAAATCAGTTTGTTTAATAAAGAATTGGTGCATTTGCAACTTCTTCACACTTTGCCATTGGAAGTTTACAAATGCTCTAACATTGCTGCATGCATGTATACTAATCAAGTAACACACATTATGTATATATTTACCATAAGTTCGCCAGTTAATTTTAGCGTTGAGTAATCTGCGAATTGTGATGGTGTATAAGTTTGAGTGATTCGAATATATCATTAATAAAATTATATATGCTTTTCCATCAACGCATTCACTGTTTTAGGAATTTACATGTGAATGGTGTGGATGATCTTGTTTTGTACGTTGCTAGTTCTCCGGACGAGGTTTGTACTGTGCGTTTACATAAATTAGCCTTTCTCTATGGCTAGCGAAAGTTGACCAGTAAAGATTATTCAAATCAAGTAAAAAAATATGCATTTCCAGATAGTCATAGAATTGCAGTTCTTGTGTTTTTCTCAATTGTTTGACTAAACTCTTAATTGTCCTGTACAACGTTTATCCCTGTATTCCAACAATTTTATTTCAGAAAGAATTAAGTAAGATACATGTCGATATACACACATATATTCATGTAATTCTAACTACTTTCTATCTTAAAATGGTAGATAAAAAATTAATCATTCAGGCATTGAATTTGCTGTTTTTTGTACACTCGTACGCTCGTTCATTGATTGATTAAAATATTTAACCATTTCTTCTTATTTTTCTTTTTTACAGAGTCGGTGGTCAATGCATGCGCTGGAGATAATTTCTCACATGTTACGAGAACAGGTTCGTACATGTATATATCGAGTTTCTGGAATGAAAAGTCGGTAGCCGCGTCCCGTAAGCTTGAAACCTCGAATTAATTTTCACAAAAAATTACATTTTAGAAAGCCGATGTTTTAGCGAAGACGTCTGTCGGAAGAACGAAAAAAGAACAGGAGGAAGACGCAAGGTTTGTTTCGCGTCCGGACTGTTTTGGCTCGTTTGCAAACGTGATAACGAAAACGGAGGTCGATTTGTGACCACACATGTGCCTTACAATAGCTACAGTATTGAACCGTAGACAAAACAACACGCATATTGTTACGTAGATCATAGATCATAGTAGATAGAGAAGAATAAGCAATTTATTGTTTAATGTTTTTGTTCTTGTCTTTGCAAAGTTATGAACAAATAAATGGTATTGTACTTTCTGCATGACATGAATACCTAGTATATTAACGAGTCCCTTCATCATCACGTGTTAAGCCACTACATCATCGTACGTATGTTATATAATGGGTTAATGTACACTATTTTTTTATTATTAAAAGTTATTTTTATTGTTTTGAAGAGAGCTTGAAATACTCTATGAAAGAGAGAAGTCTTCAAAGAACATTGCTGCTCGAAAGGGAATTAGGTAATTGGTGTATTCAATCAGTTTTTTAATTATAACAAATCAATTTTGAAATTCTATTCCGTCATTTAAGCGAGTGAGGGATTGAACAATTAACTCATTCCGTTTATTGTGTTTCGATATCCAGTTCACCTGCAGTGGAAGCAATCACGCTAGATAAGAATTGACAATCACGCATTCGGCATTCATATTGTTTAGTCTGTGGCTAAACTGTCAACTCCTTTCCTTCAGATCAGTAATTTGAGTATAAGGAATTATATTGTTTTTCCGATCTAGACACTCGAACTTTGGTGGGACGTACTGCATGCAAAATCTCAAAGCCCTTAATGATGAAAATAAGTTGCTCTATCACAGACCAATTCAACGTAAGTGTATCACAGCCACTCCGTAATCAGTATAGCAAGTCGTTAGGAATGGGCGCCAGGGTTGTCATAGTAAAAATGGCAATTTTGTAGCCCTTTTAACAAATGTACATAATGACCTTTTATTAGTAGGGTTACATACATATCAATATACTGTACTACTGGTATGGATCAATATATACTACCAAAATGTATCAATATACTACCAATATCAATATGAATATCAATATACTACTAATATGTACTAATATAACGTATCAATATACTACTGTACACCTGCGTGTCCTTAAGGGAATTTTTACCCGATGTGTCATCGTGTGCTCCAAAGTGTGTGTATAGCTCCTTCCCTAACCTAACTCTTTGCCTGACAAGAGAGATTAATACACCAGGGGGAACGCCTATTCCACGCTTTTTTCTACTAGATAGTAATAATGGCAATAATAGTGTGAAACCAGAACTAACTGCAGTTAGTAATAATAGATTAACTGTATTCATGTGTTAGGAGCGAAGGATCTCTCGTTTGACTTCGGCAAGACTGCCCCAAGAAAAAGAAAAAATGAGATGCTGGCGAAAGAGCAGGACACAGACAGAAAGTCTTCCCTGAGTGTGAGGTATGTACGATTGTTCACAACTTAATCATTTCTACTTCACTCAGTAATGCGATACTTCAAATACTGAAGACACATCTTCAATTTAGGATGTTTCTAAAAGATTTTTGTCTTCAGTTTCTTGAGCACGCCTACAATCCTTTGATGCACATCATCAAGGTATTTAATTCACGCGTTGTAAATACAATTTGTAAGTCTTATGTGTTGTGACAGGTCTGTTAAGCAAGACACGATTTCACCTTGTGACGCCGGTCTGACTGAGAAGTTCCTTTGTCGGTATTGAGATGGTTATGAGCAAAAGCCTTTTTTAAAACAATTTTCCCTTTTAATGGTAACCGACAATGAGTCGAAAGCAGGTCAGAAACTGTGTGAATGGGAATTGGGAACTGATATCCATGCATGCAAGCATCGGACTATCTATTTTATAATTTTTACACAGAGCTGCCGGATAGAGAATGGTCAGATAATGCCACATATTCTTTTTACTGCAGGACAATTTAAAGCACTCGAGAGCCCAAGAAAACGACGAATCGTATTTCCTTTGGGCAATGAGGTATGTACTGTAACTCGATCATGGTGGTAGAAGCCATTCGTAGTTCGGTTCCTCTCAAAAGGAGAAAATCGCACATAATTTTATTTAGGTTTTATTTAGGATATTTAGGTTGTTGCAAAATGATGATGGCCGCGTATATAAACTCAAATTAAACCATGATATTTTTAAGCTACGGTAGTGTTTTTTTTATTGTTTTTTGAACATATCACTACGATTACGAAAAACACCATTTCATGAGCAGCACCATGATATAAGCTTCGTGTTTCCAGCCAACGAAGGTGATCCTGAAGAAGACAGCTACGTAATTTCTCAACGCGCCATGTTCAACGTTTTGATTTTTTTAGATTTTTTATGGAGTTTAACCGACATCACGGGTTTGATGTTGCGTATATCAGGTTTGTAGATAGATTTTTTTGCGGGCTGTTTTCCTCATCAAAAATCGACGTCCTGATATTGATAACGTTGTTGGATTTATATATACATCAAAGATTCTATGGCCTTGCATAGTTAAACGTCGCATTTTGGTCGCGTCGAATGCAATTCAAACAATAGATAGATAAACCTCATTATTAGCATCTAATTATCTATTGTTTGAATTGCATTCGTCTAAAATGTGCGACGTTTCAACCAAGGCCTATAAGTAAAAACGGGATCCATACAGGAGGTGTCTGCATGAAGACAATAAATTTTATAGGCAATCATTATCCCGTAAAGTTGAATAGTATCTTTGGACAACTCTTTAGACAAATGTTTGACGTAATTTTTTTTTACTAGTGAGACACTGAATGTGCCAACATTTCAGTACATTCTTATACTGCAAACGAAATTCTTCGACAGTCTTACGACCATCAAAGACGAAAAGGTGGAGTGGAGTCGAAGGTAAAATTGGTAAAAATATTGTAGAAACCGAAAAAAAAATTGTATAATGTGTTCATCATTCTCGAAACAAACATTTCAAGCTAGTGAAACGATATACGGGGGTCGGATTTTTTCTTTTTTTTTCATTCTTGCGTACATAATTTATGTCTAAATCTTAAAAGATAATGGCAATAAAAAGTAATCTCGTAAGGGGTGAAACCTAAACTACATTAAAGTGGTTGTGCCAAATAACGCGTGCCATTTCCGTTCAGTTACCAAAATTAGTATAGGAAACTTCATTTAGCATGCTGTTTAGTGTGATATATGCTGTAGGTATTTACAATAAGAGCCTAAACACTATAGCTGTATTAAAAAGTAATCTCGTAAGGGGTGAAACCTAAACTACATAAAAGTGGTTGTGCCAAATAACGCGTGCCATTTCCGTTCAGTTACCAAAATTAGTATAGGAAACTTCATTTAGCATGCTGTTTAGTGTGATATATGCTGTAGGTATTTACAATAAGAGCCTAAACACTATAGCTGTATATGAAAGTTATGTTTTGTAGGGTAGTATTCATGTCCATATTTATTTTACGTTGCTGACGATATTATTATTTGCTGCACCTTTCTGTTAGATTGCATCTCGCAGTGAGAGCCTATCAAGAACTTATTCAACATGTAGCTTTGTTGCAACTGTCTGAAGATGAAAACATACAAGATAGTGCTAAAATCATAAAAGGTATATGCAGTTATTATTGCCGTTATTTACCCCATGCATAACTCGTGTACTGTTGTACTGTTGTACTACAGTATAATAGTAACACATCCACGAAACAATTCCTTTATATTTCTTTCTAGAAAACGTATTCTATGTCTCGGAATATCGAGAAATATTTATTATTCTGTTAAAGAAGTTTAATCCCTGTTTTCAAACAAAGTAGGTTATGAAAACTTAAACCTTTGTTATTCAGAATGATAACCTTTTATAATTTGAACCGGCGACTGACTGATCGAGAGACCCCAACCCAGGGCAGTTTACATGCAGAAAAATACCGAAAGTTTTTGACTAAGCCAAATTTATCACGCCAAACCATAAACCAGTTGTATTGAACCGTTCCATTGTTAAAGTTGGGGTGACGTCATCGGTCCATTCCCCTGGAAAGATGGAAAGAGGTTGTTAACTTCGTTAAGGGGTACTCTCTTGTGTACCTTGACTAAACCGTCGTTTAGAAAGGAGAATGAAAATATCATGCTTCGCTGAAATCTATGTGTATATGTTATGAAATCTATCTGTATAGCTACAGGTAATTCGCTTATTTACAAGCAAGTGTATTTTGTATAGATCGTTTCTCAGAGACTTGATCGAAGCATTTCATATATTTCTCAAGTTGTTGGAAGCACATTGTAAGAACAAAGGTCATGTCATTGTACAGGTAAAAGCTCTTCCGCTTGATAATATACAAAGCGATACAAAGCGATAAACCAAAAATACAAATTTTGTAAAACAGATACAGCAATCTCAAACGGACATGGCCACGCGGTTATTGGAATTATAAACACCGCTTGTGTCATTAATTATTTGAATGCTTCTCCGAGTCTCCCGGAGTCACTTTGTATGGTGAACATAAACTGTGTGTCTGTACGATAATTTCATCGCGTATAATTTTATCGTTTTAGCAAAAGAGAAAAAAGGCGAAAAGAAGAAAAAAGAAGAAAACTGCGGCCAGGAGCGAACCGGGTATAAATACTGTACTTTTAATACATAAAATGTGTTACAGTAATCGTGCTTAAGCTTTGGGGCATGGGTCTGGATTTTTTATTATTCCGTGGTGTAGCCTCGTGGTTTGCAAGAATCTGAAATCCCTTTAATGATATAAAATTTAATTCCAGGGGATATTGCATGTACATATTTTCATTAATTATGTCGTATGGCCATATAGAGCCCTTGCTCTCAAGGACATGAATCGACATGCGTCTTCTTATATACAGTGCTCACGACCAAATCGTATTTGGGACATCATTAAACAACGGAACGTAGCGGGCTTATATTCCTTTTAGAATCGTTTTTTTTACATCCATTGTACCAATGCTGGTCTGAAACTTAAAACAAGCATAAACCCATACAATATAACAAAGACTTGTTTACGTGGAGCTAGTTATCCCGGCTAGGCGAGATGAAAACTGCAAATAATGAAAGACTAATCAGGTTAAGCCTTTGATATGATGCGCTTTTTACCTCGCCTAGCTGAGATAAAACGCTCGATGTAAACAGGCCCTAAATCAGCTATTTCAAAATTCATTCTTTGTCGTTCCTTGATGCTATGTATGGTTTTTGGCCGGAATTCTGAACATGTTTATACTTGAACGTATATCTTTCGTTACAGTTGTTCCACTCACAGACGAGCAAAAGGAAGAACGTTGGCAAGAACTCAGCGCAGATCTTTCATCATTTCTACAGAACGAGGATGGTGGCCTTCCTTCGATTATCAATCCTTTCGATCCTGTGTCGGACGTGCCCGAAGAAGATCAAAAGTAACATAAATAATAACATACTGAATGAATATACTGGTTATTCACAGTAAAAAATACATAACATGTTCTGGGGCCGGTTTAGCGAAGCCTGTACTTTGCATGTACAGCACAATTCATTAGATAGGTATATATTCTTTTAACCATCGTCATACCGTTGTTCTTGTTGTAGCAAAACACTACAGAAGTGGAGCCAATAATTAATGAAGAAAAACTCTAATTTGAGAATACTTAGGTTTATTCTAGGTTTTGTCAAACTATGATCAATTTCCTGTCCAGATTATTTGAAAAATCCTACGGTGGATAACCCTATCAAGCTTCATAACCGGCCTCAAGTGTTTAGAGCTTATCACTGTAAATGTATCTCTGAGTTCATCTGTTTATTCAGAATTTATTGATGTTTTGATTGTATATCTTAGAACGAGATGTTTATCGTTAATTCAGCAAAATATTCGTGTGAACTCGTTTGGTGAAGCTTTGGCTCTTCTTCGGGCAGCCAGGTAAAAAAGAGTGTTTCACATCACGTTTAGGCCGTTAATAGGGTAGTTCAATAAATTCAGCTGTCTGCCCTCTCTCTCGCAGGGAAATTTGGCAAAACAGCTCATTCGGTGAAGATGATATTGATCCAGAAGGCGAATTTATGTGTTTTTACGAGATATTTCGCATGGACGTACCAGGTTTGTCCAAATCGATGCGTTATAGCGTGGTTGCTTGTGCCCCTAACCCGAGTAAAGTGTTATTCTATCATGTTAAATATTCGAATAAATAATGAAATCTTATTCTTTATCGTGACCGATTCCATTGTTTATATAGTTATTAATGATGACGGTAATGCTGAGACAGAGGCAAATGGCGATCAAGAAGATGAAATGACGGATCCTGGTAAGACCATTATGGCAAGAACCTTTCCACGGCGTTGTTTTAAAACTCCTGATTACTGTGCATGGATTGTGGATCAGTTCTTACGAATTGTATCTTTTACTCGCAGAGACTGAAGAAATACAGGCTGTTCAAGTGAGGGAAACTGAATTTGACTTCGAAGCTTTCCTAAAAAAGTACGTCGTTTTCAATATAAGATATCTTCATATTATTTACACTATGACAATGAGATTTTTCTTCATAAACTACAGATTAGCTTCGCCGTTGTTGCTGCAACCTTACTGTTGGCTTTTGAGCTGGTACCAAGAGAACAATGCATATATCAATCATTACATTGTGAAGATGATGTATCGAATTGCTGTAGATTTGAAACTGCACGCCATGTTGTTCCAACTCTCTTTGTTTGTGACCTTCAGGAAAGTGTTTTCTGATCCTGCTGTAAGCAAGTATAAGGTACACATGAAAGATCACTCCTTTGGAGTGCAACCTGTCTTCTGCTTATTTAACCCTAAAGTTGGTCATTCTCAAAAGCTTTGTTTTCCAATAATCTAAAAACTGCTCCAGTTATAACTTCAACAACAATTACAACGTCACATGAATTTGGTTCTTCTGATGCAGGAATTGGTGAAGTTTTCAAAATATATTCTATCAAAGTTCTTCGCCTTGCTTCCTACTAACCCGACCTTGTGTGCAGAACTTATCTTTTGGAAATCTCCTGCGGAATGTTATGAAATAACCGAGGGATATGGAAGCTTTGTTAATAGGTATGGACATAGGGCAAGTTTGTATGGTCGCTTTGCTGGATTTCACTGTCAATGTATCTGATCACTGTACTGAAGCATTTATACTGACCTCTGATAACGACGCCAGCAATGGATGTATATGCATGTATTATAAATCTTCTGAACCTCTTAGAGTTCATGAATTTTGGCTTCTTTTTTGTATGGTAGTCAATGTATTATCAGATCAGTTTTACCAGCCATTATGTCCATCCATCAGCTACTACGCCGTAGTAGCCTATTGGAGCCTACTGTATTTGGTCGATAATGAAATGATAACGGTCGAAAATGAAATGCTTTAGGGAAGTGAAAAGAAGTGGACATTCATGGACATTTGAAGAGGAAGAACAACTGAAGCAACTTTACGACGAATTCAAAGACTCTGAAGGTTTGTTATTCAACCATGATCCCACTATCACTTTATTTCGTAAAGTATATAAATTAATCTCGTTATGGGGTGATGACTCAAAAAAGTTAGTACATAGTTGTGTTAAAACAGTTTAGAAATTCCGACAGGAATTAACGGAGTGTCCACTTACGCTTAGATCTCGTCGAGAACATTCTCAACGCCATCGACAACGAGTTCAGATCTAGGAGACAAGTACGTGCCTCGTCTCAATTATGCAACTTATATCTTCCAAGTTTTACAAATCTCGAGATTTTCACCTTTTTGAAATTTCGAGTGCTCCTTAAGGCCCTGTTACACGATGCAATTTTCCAATGCAATTCTACTTTTGAGAGATGTATATTTTGGAACAACGAAACTTTTGTGTTTGTTACACTTCATGCATTTTCTTCTGCAAGACTCTTTACTAATTTACATCTCTTAGAAGTAGAATTGCATTGCAAGTTGCAAGAAAAATTGCACCGTGTAACATTATGGCCTTTACAGTGCTTTTATTATCGTAGATGCATTAGTTATATTAACGTATTCATTTCCCTATTTATAGGTTGTTGGGAAGCTTATCACACTCGGTTTAGTTGAAAATAAGGAGATTTTAAAAAAGTATGTTTTAGACAACTTATGTAGAACATGGTCGCTATAAATTGAAAGATAACACTATCGTATATTCATTAAAACTTTTCCTCAGAAATTTCATATACCTTAGATTCTATTTGGGATTTTAGAATTCTCCAATGCCATGTCTCCAGTCCTATTATCCATATATATATATAGCACTCCGCATATACTGTATGTACTAGTTTTCACCTAACCACAGTATGCTGTTGATTCAGAAAGCCTGTGAATAAAAATGAATGGCCTGAAGAGGAACAAAACGAATTACGAAATTTGTTTGAGGAGTTTAAGGAGAGTGATGGTGAGTGATCATGTATTAATAAATTATACAAAGCTGTTGTTATGTTTTACTACATTGTAGTTTTTTTTTGTATGTCAAATTTTCGATATAATATATAAAAAAATATGTTTCAACCCTAGATATCGTCGGTGGCATATTGCTGAGCATGACTAACAAAACGCGATCAAGAAGACAGGTAGAATTATCCATGAGAAATGAGTTGATTTTGTATATTTTTACCTTTGGTTGTGGAATATAATTTGATTGAAGTGTAGTCATACAGTCGCACCGTACATATAATCTCCCTATTCTCTGATCTTTTTTATATCAACTTGTCTTAGGTCATAAACCAACTGGTTAAACTAAACATTGTTGAGGACCACAGCATACTTAGGAAAAAACGTGCTAAGAAAACGAAGAAAAGAAAAGGCAATGAGTACGAGGTAAGTTATTATTCTGAAAGACCTTTTTTCTTTTTCACATAAGTCTCGATTGTATTTTGGGTAGTTGAATCGTACCAACATCAACATTTCTATTTGGTTTTAACCAGGAAGAAGATGGTGCTAGTGATTCAGGTATTTAATTTTCATTTTATTCTTTCTTCCAGTTGCATGTGTGCACAGTTTCCTAGGGTGGGATTGTAGCCTTTTGTTTGTCAGATAGACATGGTTGGTTCAAGTCTTCTATCGCAGTAAAGAATCGAACCATTTATTGTAGCTTTTTCGGTTTAGAAAATGGTGGGAGCGAAGAACCGGAAGCTGAAACGTCCGACGCCGATGACGAATCTGATGTGGACGATGAAATCGATACCGACTTTCTTGCCATATTGACCACCGTGAAAAAGTCAGGTAATATCTTAACTCGAGTCTTAATTCACACATTACCTACTTTGATTCATGGCATAAGGTTTGAATGGAGCGGTTTTACGTGTCAACATTTTTTCTTCGGTTGATATCTAGAACATGCTGAGCAACTTGATTGGCTTAAAACAAGATTGAATGAAGAGGCTGACGACAGAGCTGAAGACGGTACTACATGTTTCTTGTCCGTTATAAATATTATATGTTTGATTATAAACTGTTTAATGAAAATTATTGCTAAGAATGTGTACAGAATAGTTTCTGAATTTTGATTCATTTTTAACATTTTGATAATGAACATTTTTAGTCGAAAGATTTATATACATTTTAAGTTGCTTTTTATTTTATGTTTGACAGATGATTGGCAACCATTACCACTGGTGACGTTGACAGAGCAGACTGAATTAGCTCTCAGAGATAAATCTTTTCAGAAGCTCCTGAAGAAAATAGGATTAGTTCCGCCGTCCAATGAACAGGTACTGTGATTAATTGGTGATCCTGAAATTTTGCGTGATATATACTGCTGCATAAATAGGCCATTCCCTATTGAACTAAATTTCTATTCGAGAAAAATACATGGATCATGCTTGAAATTCGACTGCTTAAGCACGATTTATTTCGTTGAAAAATGCTTTCACGTTTCAAGGAAAGGTATTGGCGGATACCTGACAACTTGACCCCAGATCATTTAAGAAAAGCAATCACTGACATGGAAGCTGAACCATCAAATTGTAAGTTGTACAGCTCATCGCCTTTTATAATGTCTTTTAGTGAAATGTCTTTTAGTTTATTTCGCTGTTTTTTTCGTATCTTGATTAGCAGCGCCATAGTTGAGTCAGAACAATCAGTTTCAATCAGTTTCAATCATGTTTTTAAGAAAAAGTTTGTTTTAAATAGCGCTCGAATCAAGCAGTAATGAGAGCAGGAAAAGCAAGGTGAATCCCAAGAGGCAAAAACTGGCGGAGTTGGCTGCCACTCTCAAGTCCTCTGACAAGAGAAGTGAGCGAGCAAGAAAAAGAAAAGAACGCGATAACAACAATAGGAGAAAAGAAAAAAATTTTGGAAATGACGAAAGATCTTCTAATGGCAATAGGTTAGCAATCTTTTCAGGTTAATTCAGATTCTGATTAATTTTGACTGTTTTATATCAAATTTCTAAATTCGATTTCGTTTTGGAAGTGAGTAATACCACACCTTCGGTTAATGCTTTTCTGGATATAATTATTTTTTTACAATAACCTTCATGAATGGTGTACAATTGTATCCCTTACTAAAAATACTATAAGTTTGTGAGCAAAAACTTTACATGTAATTATGCTTTAGGATTACCACAACCTTCCCTTTAGGTGCTCAGAGATTTTTTTCTAATATGTCACAAATATTTATTTAGTAGCGACGAATCAGACTCTTACGCCCAAGAAGGCAGCAGAGAACAAAAGCAAAAGATAACGCGAAAGCGAAGAAGAGTCAGAATGCAGGAGAGCGATGACAGTGACGAGGATGCTTTGCACATACACATGGAAGAAAATGTCCAAGAAAATCACGATGGTGTTGCAGCAGGTGAAGAAATTGCCGAAGCGAGTCAGAAAGTTGGTAGCCGTCATCACGATGGATTGGAGGACGATAGTGCAAGCAGCGATGGTGACCACCCTGGTAGGAAAAATGATGCATTTCAGACATTCGAAGGAAACAGTGGTCAAAGTGACGATGATCATGATGAGAATCGTAGTAGAAAAAGAGGAAGGTCTGAGGAGGAAAGTGACAGCAGTGATGACGATTTTGATGTACCTCTAATACGTACAAAGAGAGCGAGACAAGCTGTCCTGGATGACGACGATGATGAAGACGATTAGGTGGAGATTCCATTGCTGTCAATTGTGATTGTTATCGTCGGGTCAGTTGTTTGTTTTATAATGCATCTAGGGAAATCTAGGATAATAAATGATCGACAACAAACACGCCTCGTCACGAAGTGAGCCTCGACCATCAGCTGGTGCTATAAAAGTCAACAAGCAGGAACAAGTTTCAGGTACTGTGTGTGTTACTGTAGAAGAACAGCTAGCAATATAAACGAACAGTAGTTTTTACTGTAAAATTTTTGTGAAAAATTCCCAAAATTGAACTTTCTGTTAATTAAATGTCATCATTGTGGTTTGTACATAGTGCTAATAAGGTACCGCGCGTCGCGTTGGTAATTGCCCGCATCAATTTTTCCAGCTAGTCCAACTAATTCCATTGCAAGTTTAAAAATATGTTGTAGCGTTTAAATTTTAATATATCAGTCTATACTTTTTAGCACAAATTACACGATAATTACACGATAATTCAAAAAGTAATTGCAGTTAATGCATGTTTACAAAAAATTACCGATATGGGAAATATTTAAAAAATACAAGATTATAAATTACATAAAATTTGCCGGGCTTTTTCGTCGAATGACAGTTGTTTTTGTTGCTTAAAATATCCACATCGATTAGCTGATTTTAAAAACTATGTGTTTATCACCAGCCATCATTACATCTGTATTAGAGTTCACAGGATATGAGAACTATAGTATAGCTTAACTAAGAAACCGAGGTATATTCTTGTAATAATTTTACAGCATGTTTTCGTCCCGACAGATTATTTGCTTTTCCTTGAAAGCGGCCTTTCTTCCCCCCTCCTTTCCCTTCCAGCAATCCAGCAACCCTGTAAACAATGTAAATGTCCGTATTAGGAGCAAGTTGTCTGTGTCACCTTTGGCACTTTCCAAGCGCACTTACTTTGCTCCGAGTTCTGTAACAGCGGTCTCCGGTCCAGCAAGCAGAAATTGTCCTGAACCCTTAGGAGCTCCACAAGTGACAAACAACAAGATATTCTATGGTTTAAAGGATATACGATTTAAACATAATTTTGTGTTCGAACACAATCGGCATTAAAACTGGGGCCGGATTTATTGAATTGGTAATGAATACCTGGTCCTTGAGCTCGTTTGCAATCGTGTTCATGTATTCCATATCAGCATCATCCCTTAAAACACAGAAATCGATTGCTATAAAGCGCAGGGTTACAAGACTACAGGGTCAACTTAGGGGACGACTCATTTACCTGTGAATGCGAACATATGGTTCCTTTTTCTCGCTTGATTTAATCTTGTACGCTTCTAGTAATGCCAACTCCCGCAATTGCGATCTATTAACCTTTATACAAAGAGGATAGTCAAAAACGTTACATATTCGTCCAATTGTATCTTAAATTGAGTCAATTGACATTTCTCATAAATGACATCAAACGCGGAAAGCCTGATGAAAACGAAGCTTGACTTTTGCCAACCACGAAACCAATTCTGCACGGGTAAGGCAATTATACGCTCACCAGTGACCAGCCTCACCTTATTGGCCGCTTTAAGAGACTTCTGTAGTTTATCAACCATTGCAACATGTTCATCGGGACCACAACTGCCAAGGAAATATGAAATGAATTTATTAGAGATTTCGGTTCAGTTGGACAAAAAAATTTTTAAATTATGAATATAATTATAAGTCAGTCACGTCAAGCCAGGCAACCTCAAAATTTTTGTAAGTCCCTTTTCGTTGTCCAAAGCTTTATGAGTAAAATTTAAAACCCTTTTTCCTGCCAAGAAAAACAAGCGCAGACATCCTTTTGTCGGCTCCGTGTAAAGAAGTTTTATCATCTAAAACAACGATTCGATTATTCTTTACGACCAAACGAATCAGAAACTGTTGAATGTTGGTGCAGAAAGGTGTAATACGTACATACCTGTAAATCGCTCAAATTTTGGACATGTGTACCACAACACATGTTCATTTCAAGACCTGGAAGTGTTTAACACAAACATGGTAAATAAAAGCTACAAACAAGAAGTATCATGCACTCTAACATCCCACACCTTCCTCCCCTTAACTCACTCTTAACCCACTGTACCCCCCTCTCAATAACCCTCACTCCAAACACAGATGAGCTACAGGTATATCCAACCTTCAATCTCTACAACACGAACTTGGCCAACGTGATCATCTGGCAAACCACGAGTTCGAACCTGTTGAATCAAAAAAGAGGCAGGAATTTCAGAGGAATTGGCAGCATGATTTGCACTAGTATTTAAGAAAAATAAAATGCAGCGCAGAGAGGCCTGTCGCGTTTACTATTTTTTCTAAGACCAAGGCTTTTTTCACGTTTGCTGGGTATCCACGGCTTACTTGCTGTAATTCTGGATCTTTAGCAGATTCATAAACATGCACAGTAACGTTGGTGTGATTTCTTATAGCCATATTGCATTCTTCCTCTATCTCTGTCAGTTGTTCTGGTGTCAAAGTAGAACAGCCAAGATCAATTGCTGTTTTTGCTTTACCAAGCTCCCTGATGGAAAAATATGTGTTCAGTTTTTATCTTGTAGATAAAGTTATCAATGTACGGTCAATATTATATCAATCAATATAGTGCAGAGTTTGACAGGTGCATGTATTATTCTCTTGCTATTTTTCCTAAACAACAGTTCCAAGATTTTTCCGTAAATTCATATACCATGAAAGTGTTTTGTAACCATAGTTCTTGTCAATAATTGCTGTCACAAGATGTTGCCCTAAAACAAAAAATGCACTACATTATGCTATGAAAACTGATAGACACTCACACTCATACTGGTGTGGTACTCACTATTGGTGTAATTTATCTATGACAAATGTGATACCAATATTCAAAAAGAGAGATTATATATTAAAAGAGAGCATACAATATAATATTTTGCTTTTAGTGGGAACATTTTTTGTTCCTTTCGTTCCTTACTTTTCCTTATACACTTTTATATATACAAATACTTAAGTGTCCCACTTGGACTTGAATTCACTACCGGTACAATGATCCCTACTAATATTCCTACCTGAATGTTGTTGCATGTGGTCAAAACGTCTGGTCCAGTCGACTTTTAGATTAACAACAGTATCTTTAGGGATAGCTGTTCCTATAACATGGACAGCAACTCCTCCACGCCTGGCCACACGCAGCACTGGAATATCATTTATCTATTAAAAGATTATCATCAGTTCAGAATATGTATGTGCATTGTCCTACAATAATATTTAATCACACATACATTATTGTCATTTAATAACTGTTGTCATAAGATATCAATCATAGTTTTAAACAACACAATTTCACCAGTTATACTATAGTGCAATAATTCCGAAAAGGGAGTAACATGTTAAAAATGTATCAATTTAAAAAAGTTATGTTTATTTTGCCTTTCCCAAACATTTGTGTCATGCAGAAAGTATGTACTATATATTCTTCAACTAGGAAAACAACAGTTGATCCAGCTTGCATGGTCAAGTAAGCAAAACTAGTGGGAAATAATAATTGACAATTTTTTTAATTCTCAACAAGAACATCTAGAAAAGTCAGTTTGACACAGGTTTTATTAGTAACTTCATTAACTGATTGACCCAATATATATAAAGTACTGTATTTACTTACTGTCCCTTTATCACTTGGCTGGTCATATAAAAAAGAAAATAAAAATATCGCATTATGATGAATCTTCTGTACTGATGCTATCCTTATAGGATGGATAATAGAGGCCTACCATCAGTACCATGGAGTAGGTAATACAAGTTAGCTTTCACTTTCGCTTGTTTAATGTACAATCTAATGCAATCAGGAAATTGGGTGTGCAGAATTGAACCTTCAGTAAACCTTCTTGCATTCAGTAAACCTTCTCGCTGCAGAAGCTCACATTTATAGTCCAGTTTTACATAATTAATCAAGCCATATATAAATTTAAGACGCTTACTTGACCACCACCTTCTGGAAACAGTATTGTGTCTTGCAATACAATCTCGTACTCATTTGACCCACATTCTTCACACGAAACTACTTTTGTCGTGTAGTCAGTTTTATACGAATCTCTTTGGCATTCGAAAACCATCCTCGCTTGTTTCAACTTTCAAGTATGTTATGTTATCTCATACATACGGTTAATTAACCGTGGTATAGCAGATCGACCGTCACAATTATGCTATGACTCAGCTCAGACAAATGGTGGAACTTGCCACTTGGCATAAACATCGTGTGCTCCCCCCGTTCATTATAGATATTGAAAAAAGTGGAAGGAGGGAAGATTGAAAAAAACACTTGCATAATTGCACTCAATGAAATAAATAAATGCAGTCAATGACATGAGCTTAGCGAATTCTCTATAGACGAGTTCTCTTCAAGTCCAGGTAGCAATGATTTTCAGTATGAATAAACTACATAGAATTTAACAGCTTGAGTTGAATATAATTTGCCTCATTGTCTCCTATAAGCTGATTTTAAAACAATGGTGTTTTGTTACGACACTAGCGAGCGGGGTTTCGATATCGATTACTGACCCATTATGACATTATCGTTTGATACTTGTGTCGATACTCAAGATTTTTCACCAATTTTGGTATCGAAACTGGTATCGGTATCAATCGATATCAATTATAAAGCAGTTGGTGGCTGGTATCGCCCAGCACTGCCATTTTCATGATCAGGAGACAATTTGTTGGAACAACAATAGAAATTTTAGATAATTCTGTCACAATTAGCTGTACATATTTCATTGAATAAATTTGATGGAGCTGTACAGGGTGTCTCAAAAAAAACGCAACCACTTAAATATGCAAGAATATTAAAATTGTTCGGGTTTGCACCATAGTTCAGCTAAAATGACTTTTAGCATTGTAAATGAAGGATTAAGAGCCATTTTCAATCCCCAGAGGTGCACTTTAGAGCTGTATTAAAGACACCCTGTACAGAGTACAATCTGGACACTTACACTGGTCATGTCCAACGTGTGACGTCATAACGTGTGATATGATTTTTTCTTGGACGCTATACGTCATAACGTGTGACATCAATGGCGAAGACATGAACGAACAAGAATGTAAAATCGACACAAATTAAAGCGAACAAAGTTGTAATAATAATACAGTTGTTAAATTCGGTTTTCAGATGATATGAAGAATTATCAACCACAGCCTCCAGCTTCGGGTAAGAACAACAAACTTTGACTTGATAATTTTTCATATTATGTTCAACCTCAGTCACTAATTATGAATTATATAAGTTGTCGGTTAATTTTAACCGTTTCGCGATGATGTTTCTAGGTGGATAGTGACATGATTCTAGGGCGTGGCTTTGTCAGCTTTATCAGCAACGCTTGGATTTTGAACGTAAACAAGAAACGTCAAGAAACGTCTTCGCGAAACGGTTAAAAATAGTGCGGCAACAACAATTCATGCAACGATGGTCTACCTTTTTCATATATAAGGACAGTAAGGTTACTTGCAATAGTCGTAACCATGGATTGCCCATTTTATAAGTTCAAAGCATTGAAAGGTGAGTTGCAGTTGAAATTAAACATATTATTATTTTATGTGTTCAATTGTATTGCTTTTATTAAAGAATGTAATTCCACTTAGTCTTGAACACTTGTTTTGAACCATTTCCGATGTTCGGTAATCTTTTAGGATTTGTGTCCGTTGCCGATTTTCCTGAAATTTTGAAATTTATTTAAAGTATGACTTATGTGTTCAAATGTATCATTTTCATGAAAGAATGCAATTCTACTTAATTCTGAACCATTTTCAGGTATTTGAACCAAATTTTGAAACTTCGAAAAATTGACGAAAGTTAGAATTTTTCCTCGTTATCGATTTCCCTGAAGTTTTGAGATTCATCAAAGTATGATTTTATGCGTTCAAATGCATTGTTTCAATTAAAGAATGTAATTCTACTTAGTTCTGAGTCGTTTCCAGGTATTTTGAACCGAATTTTGAAACTTCGAAAAATTAACGAAAATTAGGATTTTTCCTTAGGCCCTCACGTCCCCGTTACCGATTTCCCTGAAATTTCGAAATTTTTCAAGGTATGATTCTATCCGTTCAAATGCATTGTTTACATGAAAGAATGCAATTCTATTTTGCTCTGAACCGTTTCGAGGTATTATGAACCAAATTTCCAAATTTCGAAAAATTGACGAAAGTCAGGATTTTTCCTCGTTATCGATTTCCCTGAAGTTTTAAAATTCATCAAATTATGATTTTACGCGTTCAAATGCATTATTTTAATGAAAGAATGTAATTCTACTTAGTTCTGAATCATTTGCAGGTATTTTGAACCGAATTTTGAAACTTCGAAAAATTGACAAAATGGGGATCTTAAATCCTTTGGCTTTGGTCCCCCACTATCGATTTCCCTGAAATTTGAAAATTCCCTGAAATTACCTTAAAAGCTCTAAATTTTTAAACTAGTTTTCAATTTTTTTTCCAGACTTTAATTTTCAGTCTTTCTAAGAGACACATGTTTTTAATTTTTTTTACTTGTGATATTTTTTCAATTTTTGAAGTACAATTTTAAAGTAGCTTGTAGCGAGATTTTTCTTAGTGTTTTTTACTTCAAATTTCTCTCAAATTTACAGTCTTCTCTAGCTTCCAAATCATACCGAAAATTTCTAGGCTAATATTTTTTGCATTGCCAGGACTTCAAACATTTGTCCTTGGATTGAGAGTCCAAGGTCTTAACAAGTAGACCACCACATCATTTGTCGAAAGCTATTGTTCTTTATTTCACTAAATCGTTTTCGAAGAATTTTAAAATAAATAGTAATTTCGGAAGCAAAAATCAAACCTTTTCCATGCAAGAATCAAGATTCGAACCTACGCTTACAACTTGGTAGACCGTGGTCTTAACCACTGGGCCATCGGAATAATAAATATATATTGTAAGATTGGTAACAACGTACGATCCGGTGGCGCAGTGGTTAAGGCTACGGCCTACCAGGTTGTAAGCGTAAGTTCGAATCCTGCATGGGAATGGTTCGTTTTTTCCCACCGAAATTACTATTAATTTAACATTCTTCAAAAAGGATGAGGTCAAATAAAGAACAATAGCTTTCGACAAATGATGTGGTGGTCTAGTGTTTAAGGCATTCGTCTCTCAATCCGAAGACAAACGTTTCAACTCCTGGCAATGCACAAAAATTAACCTAAAAAATTTCGGTGTGATTTCGAAGCTTTAAAACAATTAAAAGACTCCTCGGCCTTTCCAAAAGAACTGTAAATTGAAAAAAATTGAAATAAAAAATATTGGAAAAAATTCTTGCGTTCAAAAGTACTTGAAAATTGAAAAAAGAGCACAAGTAAAAAAAAATTAAAAACGTGTGTCTTCTAAAAAGACTGAAAATCAAAGAAGTCAGAAAAAAACCTTCAAAACAAACTATAAAAATTTCCCGCTTTTAAAAAACTCATGTTTACTTACCTTAATTTTTTTTCACGAAAATTTGACAGGGTGATTTTCTCGAGACTGAAAAAATTTAATTTTTTTCACTTTTTTGAAATTCTCTTAGATTTTTTTTTTCACGCGGAAGTATTTTGTCTTGGGCTACCTGTGTCTGTCTTGGGCGACCTGTGTCTGGCTTGACACAGGTAGCCCAAGACAAAATACTTCCGCGTGAAAAAAAAATCTAAGAGAATTTCAAAAAAGTGAAAAAAATTAAATTTTTTCAGTCTCGAGAAAATCACCCTGTCAAATTTTCGTGAAAAAAAATTAAGGTACGTAAACATAAGTTTTTTAAAAGCGGGAGATCTTTAAATTTTTTTTTGACTTTTTTAATTTCCAGTCTTTTTAGATGACACACATTTTTGAATTTTTTTTACTTGTTCTCTTTTTTCAATTTTCAAGCACTTTTGAACGCGAGAATTTTTTTTCATTTTTTTTTATCTCAAATTTTTTCAATTTACATTCTTTTCGCAAAGGCCGAGAAGTCTTTTGACTGTTTTAAAGCTTCCAAATCACACTGAAATTTTTAAGGTTAATTTTCGTGCATTGCCAGGAGTTGAAACGTTTGTCTTCGGATTGAGAGACGAACGCCTTAACCACTAGACCACCACATCATTTGTCGAAAGCCATTGTTCTTTATTTGACCTGACCTTTTCGAAGAATTTTAAATTAAATAGTAATTTCGGTGGGAAAAATCGAACTTTTCCCATGCTGGATTCGAACCTAGGCTTACAACCTGGTAGGCAGTAGCCTTAACCACTGGGCCACCAGGATAAATATCGATAGATTCCGGTGGCCGAGTGGTTAAGGCCACGGCCTACCAGGTTGTAAGCGTAGGTTCGAGTCCGGCATGGGAAAGGTTCGATTTTTCGCACCGAAATTACTATTTAATTTAAAATTCTTCGAAAAGGATCAGGTCAAATAAAGAACAGTAGCTTTCGACAAATGATGTGGTGGTCTAGTGGTTAAGGCGTTCGTCTCTCAATGCGAAGACAAACGTTTCAACTCCTGGCAATGCACGAAAATTAACTTAAAAAATTTCGGTGAGATTTCGAAGCTTTAAAACAGTTAAAAGACTTCTCGGCCTTTGCGAAAAGACTGTAAATTGCAAAAATTTGAGATAAAAAATAATGAAAAAAATTCTCGCGTTCAAAAGTGCTTGAAAATTGAAAAAAGAGAACAAGTAAAAAAAATTCAAAAATGTGTATCATCTAAAAACACTGGAAATTAAAAAAGTAAAAAAAAAATTTAAAGATCTCCCGCTTTTAAAAAACTTATGTTTACATACCTTAATTTTTTTCACGAAAATTTGACAGGGTGATTTTCTCGAGACTGAAAAAATTTAATTTTTTTCACTTTTTTGAAATTCTCTTAGATTTTTTTTTCACGCGAAAGTATTCTGTCTTGGGCTACCTGTGTCAAGCCAGACACAGGTCGCCCAAGACAGACACAGGTAGCCCAAGGCAAAATACTTCCGCGTGAAAAAAAAATCTAAGAGAATTTCAAAAAAGTGAAAAAAATTAAATTTTTTCAGTCTCGAGAAAATCACCCTGTCAAATTTTCGTGAAAAAAAATTAAGGTAAGTAAACATGAGTTTTTTAAAAGCGGGAAATTTTTAAATTTGTTTTGAAGATTTTTTTCTGACTTCTTTGATTTTCAGTCTTTTTAGAAGACACACGTTTTTAAAATTTTTTTTTACTTGTGCTCTTTTTTCAATTTTCAAGTACTTTTGAACGCAAGAATCTTTTTCCAATTTTTTTTATTTCAATCTTTTTCAATTTACAGTTGTTTTGGAAAGGCCGAGGAATCTTTTAACTGTTTTAAAGCTTCAAAATCACACCGAAATTTTTTAGGTTCATTTTCGTGCTTTGCCAGGAGTTGAAACGTTTGTCTTCGGATTGAGAGACGAACGCCTTAACCACTAGACCACCACATCATTTGTCGAAAGCTATTGTTCTTTATTTGACCTGATCCTTTTCGAAGAATTTTAAATTAAATAGTAATTTCGGTGCGAAAAATCGAACCTTTCCAATGTCGGACTAGAACCTACGCTTACAACCTGGTAGGCCGTGGCCTTAACCACTCGGCCACCGGAATCTATCGATATTTATCCTGGTGGCCCAGTGGTTAAGGCTACTGCCTACCAGGTTGTAAGCCTAGGTTCGAATCCAGCATGGGTAAAGTTCGATTTTTCCCACCGAAATTACTATTTAATTTAAAATTCTTCGAAAAGGTCAGGTCAAATAAAGAACAATGGCTTTCGACAAATGATGTGGTGGTCTAGTGGTTAAGGCGTTCGTCTCTCAATCCGAAGACAAACGTTTCAACTCCTGGCAATGCACGAAAATTAACCTAAAAAATTTCGGTGTGATTTCGAAGCTTTAAAACAGTTAAAAGACTTCTCGGCCTTTGCGAAAAGACTGTAAATTGAAAAAATTTGAGATAAAAAAAAATGAAAAAAAATTCTCGCGTTCAAAAGTGCTTGAAAATTGAAAAAAGAGAACAAGTAAAAAAATTTCAAAAATGTATGTCATCTAAAAAGACTGGAAATTAAAAAAGTCAAAAAAAAATGTAAAGATCTCCCGCTTTTAAAAAACTTATGTTTACATACCTTAATTTTTTTTCACGAAAATTTGACAGGGTGATTTTCTCGAAACTGAAAAAATTTAATTTTTTTCACTTTTTTGAAATTCTCTTATTTTTTTTTTCACGCGGAAGTATTCTGTCTTGGGCTACCTGTGTCAAGCCAGACACAGTCGCCCAAGACAGACACAGGTAGCCCAAGACAAAATACTTCCGCGTGAAAAAAAAAATCTAAGAGAATTCCAAAAAAGTGAAAAAATTAAATTTTTTCAGTCTCGAGAAAATCACCCTGTCAAATTTTCGTGAAAAAAAATTAAGGTAAGTAAACATGAGTTTTTTAAAAGCGGGAAATTTTTAAATTTGTTTTGAAGATTTTTTTCTGACTTCTTTGATTTTCAGTCTTTTTAGGAGACACACGTTTTTAAAATTTTTTTACTTGTGCTCTTTTTTCAATTTTCAAGTACTTTTGAACGCGAGAATTTTTTTCAATTTTTTTTATTTCAATTTTTTTCAATGTACAGTTCCTTTTGGAAAGGCCGAGGAGTCTTTTCATTGTTTTAAAGCTTCCAAATCACACCGAAATTTTTTAGGTTAATTTTCGTGCATTGCCAGGAGTTGAAACGTTTGTCTTCGGATTGAGAGACGAACGCCTTAACCACTAGACCACCACATCATTTGTCGAAAGCTATTGTTCTTTATTTGACTAAATCCTTTTTGAAGAATTTTGAATTAAATAGAAATTTCGGTGGGAAAAATCCAACCTTTCCCATGCCGGATTCGAACCTACCCTTACAACCTGGTAGGCCGTGGGCTTAACCACTCGGCCACCAGTACTAAGCCTTCCGCCCTTGGAGATGGATCCGTATAAAGCGTTTGGGTTCTTTATATTGTTCTTCATTTGACTAAATCCTTTTTGAAAATTTTTATGTCAAAAAGTAATTTAGGCAGGAAAAATTGAACTTTTCCCTTGCAGGATTCGAACCTACCCTTACAACATGCTATAGGTCGTTGCTTACTCCACATACGCACTATGCTACCGGTGTTAAGCCTTCGACTCTTGGAGTCATACTCCTTATACTGCGCTTGAGTCGAAGGCTTACTACCGGTGGCCTAGTGGTTAAGGCTACGCCCTAACATGTCGTTAGCGTAGAACGTTTCAGCTAGAACTAAGTAGAGGCATTCATTATTCTCCAATTTTGAATTATTGACAAAGCTTAACTGCGGTGTGCATGTGTGCACGCCTTCCCTTAGCGACTGGAATGATTAATATGCATAAAGAGCAGATATACAGGGTTTGATGAATAATACCTTGCTGGATTAATTTCTTCTCAAGCCTAACATTATGTTCACAAAGATGCCCTTTCATTTCAAAGGACTACTCCATCTCTAAAGTAGAAGTGCCTACTAACGAGTATCACGAATAGCAAAATTTCTTGCCACCGAAATTATTTTGGAGGGATAAAGCACTTTTTATACTTTATTATGTGCCGCTACAAATTCTGAAGTGCATCTATATAGCTCCACCAAAATCCACCCCTTTGCCCTCGCAGTTACAATAGACCATTTCAGATGTTGACCAGAGAACAGCCAATAAAAATTAAACATTTCAAACCATGTGATTTTTAACGGGTTGCATTAATTTTGAAATAGCTGAGAAGGTCCGGACATACTGCATGACGGAAAGCCAATGAAATGCATGATTCCCCTAAATCCCCTGCAGCATTTCCACCCTCTTATAAGATGATAGGATCTACGTAAAGGAAACTAAGAGGGTAATACTCTACGAATCGAAAAGGAGTGTTGTCATTTCGATTCAACTGTCAAGAAGTAGGTTCGCATTTGTTGGTTGGGCAAGAGCTTCAAGTTCAAAAATCCGTTCGCATCGATACAAAATCATACAATTTCCAGTACGGGTGGTAGCTTTTGCAAATTGATGAGTGGATTTATTTTTGGAAGTTTTTCATGAGTATATATATATAATATAGCTTTTTTTATTTAGAAAATGAAATTTTGCGTCTTTTTGATTGTTTTCCTAATGTCTTTATTGGTAAGTGGCGTCAGAATTGTAAAGAATTCATTTATCGTTTTATATATTATTCTTGCGATGGATCGAATAATTGATTATTATCGCCTTCCAACAGGGAACAGCAACCGGAAAACCTTTTAAACCTGATCCTGGTAGGTCGTTTCGTATCGCGCCAGGGATCTATGGGGCTATATAGCTAAAACACTCTTCAGTTTACTGTTTTTCAATACTCGGTAGAATGTTCCTTGAAAATTTTGGGTAAAATATAGCTGCCTGAATGAAACATAAATTAATAATTATTGGTGTTTTTTGTAACTTTAGATTGTAATTTCCTTTGTACAATGCAATATGAACCAGTTTGTGGCTCGGACGGCAAAACATACGGCAATGCTTGTCTTTTACGATTGGAAGATTGTAGTAAACCTGGCAGAGTTTACCAAGTTGGTACAGGAGCTTGCGGTGGTAAGCGCGATGTAATAATGATAATATAATATATTATATATATAGGTTCATGACAGATATAGCTATATATATAATACATGCTACATATTCCAAATCAAACTATAATGATCGGAAAGTAATATTCCGCTATTGGGGCTCATTGCACACAAGCTGAGGGGAATGTCACGTTAATGAAAGTCAATAGATAATTTGATAACGGCTTATCGTATTTTACAGATATCGTATTTTTATTTGTAATTTTTAGACGCCCAAGGGGTTACAAGGAAATAATTTACATTAAAGTTTTTAGTGCTACTGCATGCATGTTAGCTAACTGTTAATACATGAAATTGGTTGTCTGATTGTCCTCACTCAGTTTAAGAAAAGTTGATAATAAAGTTGCTTTATATATACACGTGAATGTCTATTAAATATTTCTGTCTTCAATACAATTCTGCATGTATAGCTATATTGCCATAATAGCTAGGCCATGCATGTCTATCCGTTGCAAACAGTGAATGAACTAATGATATGTCTAATAGTAATACTCTGATCATGTCTTGTAGACTTGCATTGCATGCGCTAGAATTATTTGCCTTTATTCAGAGGTTTGCATCAATTAGCCTTTCTATAGCTCACGATGACGAATATATGCCACCATTTTCGGGTACGTATATTTTCAGCACCATCAAGAGCTTAAGACGTCGTAACGGCGACTATCTTTATTTTTAGGCTAAATTTATTCTTCAAATTGTCCGTTGATTCTAAAAAATTGCTTTTCATGTTGTTATAATTTTTAAACCCATTTTAGAAAATTTAAAATACCCCAAAAATGTCATCGTGAAAAAGGCTAATTGCAACAAAATCCTCTGCATGACGTATATAATTACGTTTGGCGCTTCCTGACTGGCGTTATAAACCTATAGTTATATGGCTATCTTCCTGGTACGATAAGAATGACATCGTCAAGATAGACTGTCAAAAATGTCCAATTTTGAAATGTTGTTCGGCGAATGCGATGTTCATTAAATTTTCTGAAATAGCTAAAAGTTTCCGGTTTGGCGCATGTTTCAACATATTGGGCTTATGACTAGTATTAGATATCTTTTGAATTAATTTCGTCGCAAGATATAGAGGGGAATTGGGAATTGAAGTTGAGGACGGTACAGGGGAAACGAAGAACTACGAAAGCATGACCTAATTGACTTCCGAAGTCTCAAGTGTCGGATCAACGAAGAAAGAAACATTAAGTGACCTGTTTGCAACCAGAACAATTATAAGGGAAACCTATTGTTACAACAACATTTTCTGCTGAACTATTTTGAAAAGAAGATGACGTCGACTTTTTTGACATTTGGACCGGCCTTTGTTGCCTTGGTAAGTATTGTGATTTGTCATGAATATCAGGTTTAGCTAAATCCAACTTTAGCAGACAGTTATGTAGAACAAATTGTTTAATTCTACCTTTGGGTTAGGTTGTTAACCCTAAGTTAGGACATGTTCATTCAAATTCAGCCCATATAGATCGAGTTATATTCCCCCTAAATTACCATGCATGGCGGCAGCACCTGATATTAGTTTTCTATACACGTATAGGCTGCTAAAGCCAGCTATATGTGATGACAACTGTGGATATACGTTTGAAGAGAAATTGGCATATTATACTGATTCATACATATAGATTAAAGATTGGTCTTTTTTTCAGGCATTGGTGTTTTTATATTCACCATCGACCAGCGGTAAGTTTGATCTTTAGAATCACTATATCATTCTTTTTTCAGCCCTATATGCATGCCCGTGGAAATAATCTGTGATTAATAATGACAAGCTTAAACAAGCTTATAATATATATGCATGATATTGCCATGCACGAATATAACTGTATATATTGGCTACAGATAAGCCAGAAGATATACTAATACTTTCCGAGAAATTTTGATATAATGACATGCAGGTTTCTATATATAGTCATTTATTATATATGTATAAGATTTAGATACGCTTAGACTGTAGCGAAAACGAATTATTTCTACTGAGTTGGAAAAAATGTATAACGGAATTCATTCATTTATATATACGGTTTGCTTTGAACGTAATGCTAGCTACAATTGATATATTACTGATAGTTTCATCAATTCATAGGAAAATGTCTTCCACTCCGCTGTGATCTTTCTTGCCGTTCCGTTTCCAATGGCAAGAATGGATGCCCAGCGTGCATATGCCCACGTAAGTAAACAGGCGCCAGAAATTTTTTACGCTCTAACTTTATAGGAAAACTTTAAAATTGTTAGCCACCCCGTCTCCCATCGCGACATTTGCATGGTCAAGTTTTAAAACCGATCTTCAAAATTGTATTCAGTTTTTTTCGGATGTCGTAATACAAAAATATGCGTAGATGTGCATGATGTCAACCCTGTACACCAAGGGGTGTAAACCGGCGCCTAAAAAAGTTTGCACAAATTATACACCATGGCGTTCAATGTCCTGATGGTTACATATACGCGGTAGAATATGGCAGTAAAGTATTTAATATGCATGATTTCATGTAATCAAGTAATACTTCATTTTCGCAGACAATGTAATATGCCCACCAAGATTCCGTTGCAATGTGTACTGTCTAAATGGTTACGTACTTGATCACAAGGGATGTCGAACTTGTCAATGCAAACGTAAGTTTTAATTTTTTGCACATATAAAATTACAAATATATGTGGTATATATACGTAGATATACGTATTCGTGTCAAGAAAGGTTGGATTTCTCGAGGTGTTTATAAACAGAGCTGAAACTGAATGCGTTACTTGGGAGATGTGGGGCACAGCATATTCGTATTTTCGTTCTGCCCGAGGAATTTTTTAGTGTAAAGTATTTTTTTAAAAATTACCGTTTAATGTTATTACAGCAAGCTAGCAAGTATAGGATTACAATATACGTATATATATGCCACTATCTATTATACCACATGCATCTATATATCAGTACATCCGAATTACCGAATATATACCTGCGACAATCTATAAACAGATACTGCATGATTCATTATTTTATACTTTATAGCCTGGGATACTTCGTAAATAGTAATGTGGTGGATGTTTGGAGATGTGGTGGACGCAACAATTGTTAGTATTATAGGCTTCAATGCATGTAATGTTTATTTGTATGATTTGAATTCCAATAAATGTGCACAGAATATATCACGATGTTTGAGTGTCAAGTTTTTGTCATGCAGTGAAATTATATTTTCCGTTTGGTAACACGACTATATATTTTTGCCATTGCTATGACACCCTGACTTCTGAAGTCCAAATATAGCGATAATCGTCTCCGGGGACTTCAACCCAATAGGAAATGGTTTTCAAGAGAGAATAATCAGTAAACAATGTCAGTTAAAACAACTAGTTAAAAACCCTACAAGAGGAAAGGAAACATTCGACTTTGTATTGGGTTGTTAAGTATCTGCATGGAGTGATCTCTTATAAATTGCTTGGGTTACGGATCGATAACGATTTTAAATGAACGACCAACAAATAATACATAGTGAAAAAGGCAACAAAGCGATTACATTTTTTAAAAGATAAGATTTTAATTTGTGCAAAGACGCTTTAGCATGCAGATTGACAAGGTAGCGTAATCAATCTAAAATCAATCTGGCACTTGGGAGTGATGTTGTTTTAAAAAAAGCATGCAGAGGTTCGCATGTTAGACGGTATAGGGGAAACGAAGAACTACGTAAGCATGACCAAATTGACTTCCGAACTGTAATAGGCTATATCAACAACACCTAAATCTCACGCAAGTTCAGGTCAAGTGGCCAATGACCATAAAACAGCCATTGAGTGATCTGTTCATACACAAACAAAACAATTATATTATAAGAAGAACTTATATGAAACAAGCAGCTAGGGCCGGTTGTATCGAGCTTGTTCAGCTTAAACGGTGGTTAAGCTCAAAATAGAAAGCAATTAAGTCTATCGTTTTATTCAACAACCGAACTAAAATTACTAAATGTTTTTAACCTTAATACAAAGCAGAGTTGCAAAAAGAGTTCAACCTTCCTCCGGTAGGATTTCAAGTTTTGAAAACCTTCCTCAAAATGACGTTATGTCACTGAGTTAAGCATAAAGAAATATTTGTTTCTTTGGTACATGCATGTCATCAATTAAGGTGTTCAACTTTCAACCTTCCTCACAAACCTCATTCAAAGCAAACCTTCACGGGTGGTACCCGACTACCCACAGCTTTTTTGCAACTCGGATACAAAGATAGCTACTGTTTACAATTACATATTCAGTGCATATAATATTCAAGTTAATGACTCATCAAAAGAGATGTAAGAGTGCATGTTATTTAATTTTGACTTATCCACCGTTTAAGCTAAACGGCCTTGATACAACCGGCCCCATGCAGTGGGCCGGCTAAAGGTTGCTTGGCGAACGTACTAATGTTCATAAAAGTTTCTGAAATTCTACTACATTGTCATTGCACATGACAAGAGACAAAACTCCACCAAACTCCACCACTTTAAATGAACTTGAATTTGCACGTGCAAGTGGGTAAAAATAATAAGGCTCCTACAAACAGATCTCCCGTTTTTCGAGGTTATAACAAAATAATAAAAATGGTATGATAGATATCATTTGTGGGTACAAACAAATTTTACTGTCATCACTCACAAAAATGCTTATGTCAAAAATTTATGCTTGTGCAGAGTGCCTATATAGGCATTCAAACTAACTCTTGCTAATTGCTAATTGTATGTTATATGGGTGATTTTGCAATAATGGTTTTGCCGAAACCATGTATAGATAGTAGCTTTTAGTTTTCTTGGTGTTTTAACATATTGGGCTTAGCATTTGGGTATCCGTTTTAATAAATTTCGCATTTGAACAGTATATCGCCAAAAGGTATAGAGGGGAAATGAAGTTGAGGACGGTATAGGGGAAACGAAGAACTACGAAGGCATGACCTGATGACTTCCGAATTGTATAATATCACTAACACGGCTAAAGCATCACGTCAACGACTGTAAAAATGGCATTTTAAGTGCCCTGTTTACAGACAGAGCAATCAGTTATTGGGTATAAGGGCTAGGGAACTTAGTTTGCAACATCATTTCTGCTGAATTGTTTTAGAGGAAGATGACTTTCAGTTTGAGATTTGGACCAGCCTTCGTTGGCTTGGTAAGTATTCTGATGATATCTAATTATATATCATTAATATCAGGATGGATTAAATTCAACTTAATTTTGAGGGCAGTTAGAGGTGGAACAAATCTATCGTTAAATTCAATCTATCAGTTATTTTAAGACATGTTGGTTTAAATTCAGGCGTATACCCTGTAGCCGCTGTGGCAACTTTACATATACGTTTGAAGAGAAATAGGCATATTTTACTGATTCATTACGATTTTTTTCTAGGCGTTGGTGTTCTTGTACTCACAAACGACCAGCGCCGGTGAGTTTGATCTTTTTTATCACAATATATGCTGTTTCATTTTAGCTAGGCCCATGGGAATAATCTGTGATCTAAGACTAAAGGCTGCCTTCCGCTTATGCGTTTTTTTACGCTTCCAAATTTTTATTTTTTTAACAAATGGGTAATGCGTACTAAAATATGTGCAAAACTAAGTTCTTTCGATTCCACCTACATGGCTTTGACGCGAATGCGGTTGCCGAACGTGCTTTTGCAAACGCGGTAAGCTAACAAAACTCAGCTGCAGTTGCGCAGGAATTTTTTTGCATGCAATATACTGCATGTATAGAGCTTGTATTTATAGACTGTAACGAAAACGAATTGTTTATAGTTGCAGAAAAGGTAATGAATTCATCTAATATGGAATATACATGCATAATAGCTAGCATTCCACTATATAATATAAATTGTAGTGGCTATATAGCTGTTGATCATACCAGTCAAAATTGATATATTATAATTTCATCAAATCATAGGAAAATGTCCTCCACTCCGCTGTTCATTGCGTCTTTGCCCATATGGCCGTGTCATTGGCAAGAATGGATGTCCAACGTGCCTCTGCAAACGTAAGCTAATTATGCATGCAATTACGTCAGCGATAGGAACTTTACAGACTAGTCCCTAGTCCTCATTACCACGCCTTGCATTCTTGTGACTGGGAATTTTCAATTTTATACTGTCTAACTTTAGTAAAACCTTAAAATTGTTAGTTTATTATTTGAATTGTTGATTAAATATGTAAATTATATTTATTGCGGTTATTCGAACCTCGGTATGCAATATGTATTCTATCAGCCCTATACCCATTGGCACTGATGATAACACTGAATATAGCTATATACTATAGACTAGTAAAGTTTCATGTTTTGTCATCCAATATTTAGCACGTAAATGTCCGATATATCGTTGCCTTCGATTCTGTCCTAATGGTTATGTAATGAAAAATGGATGTCGAACATGCCAATGTAAACGTAAGATGATTGGGAGTTTTTGTTAAAAAATCTAACAAAACCAAGCAAAGCCAAGCAAAGACTATACTATAGTGAAGTTTCATGTTTTTTCATCCAATATTTAGCACGTATATGTCCGATATATCGTTGCCTTCGATTCTGTCCTAATGGTTATGTAATACAAAATGGATGTCGAACATGTCGATGTAAACGTAAGATGATTGGGAGTTTTTGTTAAAAAAATTAACAAGACCAAGCAAAGCCAAGCAAAGACTATACTATAGTAAAGTTTCATGTTTTGTCATCCAATATTTAGCATGTCCGATATATCGTTGCCTTCGATTCTGTCCTAATGGTTATGTAATGAAAAATGGATGTCGAACATGCCAATGTAAACGTAAGATGATTGGGAGTTTTTGTTATTATACTTATATACATAAGCTTGCTTTCCACTGTCGCGCGCGCGTTTTTCGTACGCACGTACGCGCACGTACGCGCACGTGAAACGAAAAGTAAAAAACAAATTCCGAATAAACAGGACATCTTGAGACTTGAATCAAACGAGACAGTCACACAGGTTAAGACTGTAAATTTTCCAATTTATTTCAAAGTCATCTTCGGGCAGAGAAATGAAATAAAAAATCTAAACCTTATAAATTTCAAATTTGAAAAAGCAAGGCGAATAAATCGAAAGAACTTTTAGTTTTCCACATATTTTAGTATGCATTTGTTGACCCATTCGTTAAATAATAACAATTTGAAAGCATTTTTAAAAAGTTGCGCGTAATAAAACGCGTATAAGTGGAAAACAGCCCTTTAATACAAATTTACAACTACTCATTACCGCACACTTGCATGACCATCGATAATGCACAAAGTGTACTGTACTCTGTACCTTACTCTCTATTTTTATAACATGTAATCAAGTATAATAATTTATTCGCCCAAAAATTTAACAAGGCCAAGCAAAGACTATACTATAGCAAAGTTTCATGTTTTGTCATCCAATATTTAGCACGTAAATGTCCGCTATATCGTTGCCTTCGATTCTGTCCTAATGGTTATGTAATGAAAAATGGATGTCGAACATGTCAATGTAAACGTAAGATGAAACAATGCTTTCGTTCGACTTTGTTGGTTGTATATGACAGTAGAGTATTTCACATGCATGTAATCAAGTATGATTATTTATTTTTCGCCCAAAAATTTAGCAAAGCCAAGTCCGATATGTCCAAAATTCCAGTGCCTTCTATTTTGTCCAAGTGGTTACATACTTGATATCAGGGGATGTCCAACTTGTCGATGCAAACGTAAGTTTTAAATTTTTGTGTTTATTTTAACTCACAACTATGTGATACGTATTTATGTTAAAAAAGGTTGCATCCCTGAGGCGTGACTATGATAAACGGAATGAAACTAGATGAGGGATGGGAGACCCAGCATATTTTAGGTGTAATTTTTAAATTACTTTTCAGTATAATTGCAAATGCGGCTATTGCCCTATCACCTCTCTTATGCACATGCTCCTCCGTAGATGCCCACGTGCTTGTCCACCAGGGCAAACGTGTATAAAATGTAAAAATGGTTGCCAAACGTGTCTGTGCAACAGTCATGGCTATAAGCATGGTGTTGTTGCAGAGCATTTGTTTAATTACAACATACAGCTATAATTTTATCGCTTCTCTTACTGGTTTTCCTTTCATCTGTGCAGGAAAATGCCCACTTCTCAAATGCCGTGCTTGTCCACCAGGACAAACTTATGTAAGAGATAGAAATGGCTGCCGAACGTGCCTGTGCAGAAGTAAGTTCATGCTATATAATCATGGCTAAAATAGGGTGCAATTTTTGGTGTAATTTTTTAAATTACCGTTCAGTATAATTGCAAATGAAGCTATTGCGCTATCGCCTCTCTTACCGGTTTTCCTTTCATCTGTGCAGGAAAATGCCTAATTCCCCAATGTCGTGCTTGTCCACCAGGACAAACTCATGTAAGAGACAAAAATGGCTGCCTAACGTGCCTGTGCAGAAGTAAGTTCATGCTATTTATAATTATGGCTAAAGTATAGGGCCTGTGGTATTGTTGCAATGCATTTTCTTTTTCAACTATGCATGCAGTTATATGCGAATTTCCTTTCATCTGTGCAGGAAAATGCCCACTTCGCCTGAAATGCCTTCCTTGTTCAAGAGGACAAATTTATGCAAAAGATAGAAATGGTTGCCAAACTTGCCGGTGTATAAGTACGTTTATGCCATATTACCATAGTCGTGGCAAAAGTTATTATATTCTAAGTTTATTTATTGCATTTTTTATGAATTATGTACTCAATTTTCCTTTCATCTGTGCAGGAATATGCCCACTTCGCAAATGCCTTCTTTGTGCACCAGGACAAATTTATGCAAAAGATAGAAATGGTTGCCAAACCTGCCGGTGTATAAGTAAGTTTATGCCATATTACCATAGTCGTGGCAAAAGTTATTATATTCTAAGTTTATTTATTGCATTTTTTATGAATTATGTACTCAATTTTTCTTTCATCAGTGCGCAGAAAAATGCCCCCTCTGCAAATACTGCGTGCTTGTCCACTATACCAGGACAAGTTCGTTAGACTGACGTAGTATTTTAACGCTATAATAGCAAGCTATATAACGACGTGACTGTGCATGCTTAGCCTAATAAAAGTTAGAATTAGCTATACTAATATTTTTACTATTTAATTCACATGAAATTTCATTTAATTTCACGTTAATCGCTATAAGTTTTATGTATGCATATATAATATGTGACCAAGCCCTTGCAACTGCTGAATTAACTGCATGAATATAGTTTAAAAATACCAATGTAGAATTACAATATACGTGTATGCCACTATACCCCATGCATCCATCAGTGCACCCGAATACCTGCGAGAATCTAAACAGATAAATGAGATAATCAGTCGTTATTTTACTCTAGGGAAAAGTCATAATTGGCTTTAAGATGTGGACACGACGAATATTAATTAGCTATACAGCAGTTTGTTCTTCAATGTAATGTTTAGTTGTATGATTTGAATTCCAATAAATGTCCACAGAACATCACGATGTTTAAGTGTCAAGTTTTTGTCAGTGAAATTCATGCATCCATGCTGATCATGCAGGTTATTTCGGAAATATTCTCCGTTAGTAACAGCTCAATACAGTTCCAACCTTCCCAGTAAAACATTCAAGGGCAAAAGAACGATGAAGAAAAATAAACCTGTACTTGCATCAGATTGATTAATTGTCAGCATGTACAGGGTATATATTGTAGCAGTTTGGTATAAAGCTTTGACAATTATTACGACTTTAGATTCGATTTAGGGATATCACGCCCATGAATACGGAGGTTGTCTATTTGTCTATTTAAATATCCTCGGCAAGGTGCGGCACTATATATAACTTTTTCCTTATATATTGCATTATATCTGAACTATAAAAAACCAAATCGTATTTTGGAAAGAGGACTGTACATATCCAAGAATGGTTTAATTCATTCCTGTATAGTGTGCCCCTGCGAAACCTGGATCCGGGTCATATTGCTCTTCCCCTTCCCTTTGCTGGACGATGCTGCCTAGAGGAGCTAAACCGTGGCGGACAAATTCGTTATAAGACTTTATTGAAGCCATTCGTGACATATTACATGTGAGCATTCCGAAACAACGGATGCACTGCTATCAGTGGTTCAACACTTACGTGCTGATGCACCCCACATCACCCTTGAGTAACATCCGCGTATGCACCCAATAGAGGAAAAAGACGCTTTGTCCTATTCCTTACAAAAGCATGAAATAATTGTCCAAATCATTCCAAAAAAGGCGAAGACCACACAGTATCAAGGACGCTTTTTAAACCGACAATTTCAAGTTCATTCAATTTAATTTTTGTATCCATGATGGCAAATGTTTTGGTCTCAGCGATGATAACAACAGCGAAAACACGAAACTGATATGGAACCGCCACTATATTGACTTGGCTAAACACAAAGCACATAGCCCACGCAATATATATTTCAGTCGTTTTTTTATTTTAAGTTGACTCGATATACGGGAGGGGCAGTCTTGTGACTGCATGTAGGTTTTCTCGGAAATATAAAAGTGTGAAAGATAAATTCGGCCCATTTGGCCCATTTTAGTGACCGGGAAATGGTTTCCTGATAATGCAAAACAAACATATTAAACAAACTGTAGATGAGAGGACAGCCGTCGGGGGATTCATGCACCTTCAGTGACTGCACGTGTATTATATGAGTATATAAACTATGAATATCTCTAAATTATCCAAACCACCCTAACCCCTAATAATGCACTATACATAACTGAACCGATAATGATTAATTCAAGTTCTTACGATACCATGCTGGAGTCTTAAAACTAATAAGTGAACTTGAATATTTAAATCGTAGTTAACTCCAGAATACACGATTCTGATTTGCTTTTCCGTACATAACGGTAGTCAGTTTAAAAGATTACTGCTCTTTTATGCTATCGGCTCCGGAAATGTATCAACTAAATAGTTGGTGAGTTTGCATCGTTTTTCTTTTATCTTTATCTATAGTAATTTCTGCCAGAACAAATAAGGATAAAAAAAATGTGGGGAAAAATTCGATCATGCACGTATGATAAAGTTGATATAAGCTTCAACTAGATCACTGAAGAAGTAATTATTACCCAGCGTTTGACGGTCATTGAGAAGAACCGCTGAGATTTACCACAAGCAAAAGCACAGCAAGCTTCGGCCGCTTTCAAGTAACGCTCCTTGGCCCAAACGTGATACAAGCATCGTCATATTCCAAAGGCGGCCATGATCAAAAGTTATATAACTGTATGAATTCTTGTCCTCTATTTTACTTTATGATAATCGTTGACCGGCAGCCAATTGTGGCTTTATTTGGCTAATTGAAGCGTTGGCCACCAGCACGACCTTGATCACCCTGGGTTCATTGATATAGTTCTCATTATTCAAAATTGTTCTGTGACTGTATAGATTTGTATATCATTTTACGAACATTCCAAGACGGAAAATTTCTCCCTAATCTTTGGCCTAGGATGATAGCTAATCTGCGTGATTAATCATTGTTTGAAAGAACTACTGTGTCAGTCATAACAATGCAGGAAGCATATAATTCACACGAAATACGAAGCGTTCGCACCGCAGGCTAATCATGGAAATGGCTCGCATGGTATAAATATTGTTACTTTGTATATATCTCTCAATATAAACAAATTGATATCTTCGGCGAATATCATAGGTCACGATGCCATGGTCGACGTACACTCTCACCCTTCCGGTTGGGATAAAAGCATATTGTATATAATACAAGTATATGGTGACGTAAATATAAATGCTTGCATAATCCCTTCAGCTTGTATTATGACTAATAGATTTCAAGTACGCTCATTACCTGTGCTATTTAGAATCGGAAGCATAGCTTGGTTGTATGTTCTCATCTGACATCTGACGTTTTTCATAATCACAAACATGGCCATCAATAATGTATCGGATCTCAATTCTACGACTGACTATAACAATTCCTTCAGTGGTCAGGCGATTGAGGGTTGCTTTATGACATACATCGTGCGAAAACCAACAACATCGTATATTGTAAACAGTGTATTTGGTATCCTCGTGAACGCAATTCTAGCTATTCTCGGGACATTTCTCAATGCCTTGGTCGTAGCAATCTTTTGGCAAACTCCGAAGCTCCGTAACAAGGTGACTTACTTCATGATAATGCTGTTATCATGTGTGGATATATGTGTCACTATCATTGTTCATCCAACTAATTTGCTGAATTCGATAGCAGAGATCACTCAAAATCCGAAGTGCGCTTATAAAATGGTTTACCAGACTTCAGCAGTTATGTTATCTGGCATGTCATATCTGACATTTTTCGTTATGAATGTCGAAAGATACCTATCAGTATGTCGACCATTTTTTCATATGAAAAGTGTGACTAAAGAGCGATGTTTCATACTGTGCGCTGTTTTATGGCTGATTGGCATAGGGACAGCAATCGCCCCAATATTTGGAGCAGACATTCAATTTTTTGTCACAGCAATGGCGTTGCTTGTTTTAGCAGGGACTTTCTTTATCTATCTATCGATTTATCGGGTTGCCAATAAAGGACGAGAGTCACGGTTACGTTCAGCCAATCGAGGTGGTCAAGAGGCGTATTCGGTCACCATTGAGGAGACAACGTCTGCGCTGGAGTCTCGTCACTCTACTCGACCTAAGAAAACTATATCGCTTTTCCATGATTTACAAATCGCAAAAATGTATGTAATTGTTGTATGTACGACACTCCTTTTGAATCTACCAAATGCGTTGGTGTTAGCCTTGTTTAGTGATCGTGTAGAGACTCTAAATGGTGTTGTTCAATCTAAAATCTGGACGCTCACGTTGGTCTCGATGAATTCCACATTAAATTCACTTATTTTCTTCTGGGCCAACGGACGACTACGTGAAGAAGGGTGGAGATTGTGCAAAAAGGTTTTCAGATTTTGAGAAAGTTAGGCTTCTTTCCGCCGTTTTAGTGTCACAGTCCAAGACAGACTGGTATATACGACAGAAAGTTACATAAGCAGATACTGTCCCCCTTCGTGAACTTTGTTCGTCGTACCAAAATCAGGCGTGTAAGCAAAAGTGTGTATACGAAGATAACAGAACGAACCATATTCGATCACTAAAAACGGAACTGAATCAATCTAGAACTACTTGTATAGCTTCTGTTTGCGAATTTGACATTAATTGAATATTTGAATACAATGCATACATTGGATGTGTAAATTGTATATTGTATATTTTGATTATTTTGATCTCTCAAGTACTATTAATAATTTAAATATAGGCCTATAAAAAAGTGGTCAAACGAAAAAATTATTGGCAAGCCGTGTTATTGGTAGCTTAAGATTACAAAAACTTGAATGATGTAGTTCTTTACAATTAAAAATCTTGACCGTGACTTTGATTTTTTAGCATAAAGGGAAAAAATTTCCGCTATGGTATTGTGCGGACAACCAAGTCGGTTGTATTGTTCCACCGCTGGCTTAGTGCTATTAATACCTAAATCATTCAAAATCGTTTGCAACCAATTTGCAGAGGCGTGATCTTCAAGCCTGCTTCACACTGTTTCCAAATGTCGGGGAGTTTTATACAGGGACATTTGCATACAGGGCGTGGGTAGGGCAGCTGCAAATATTTTTGAATTATACTTGTTTTTGAATTGCCTTGTTCGGGTAATTTTTGCTAAAATCAGAGATAAATTGAGCAAAGAGTACTGAGTCGTGTGATTGGGGTACTTTTTTCTAAAGCTTCCCCCCTCCCAATTATTAGTCTGGTCGCCAATGTACAGAAGAAGGTATAGAATCTGTATATCACCGAAGAGAACCTAAAATGGAAATCATCCGGATTAAATAAGGACAACGCATGCATGTGTTCCAGGCTTTATTCAGTATACTAGGCTGAAGTGTCATAGGGTCAGATCAAAGGGAGGTAACATCATTGAAGTATCATAGAAATCTTTTAAATTTGTTAGAATGAGAATAAATGGACCATGTAATGAACAACAGAACAACATAAAAGGGTAATCAATAGAATTGTTGTAGCAATTGTACTTTTGTATTTTTAGCCTGCTAATTCTATCCTCACAAAATATGTATGAAGATTTTTTACTTGGAAACAAAAATTTAAATCGTATTTGCTACGAAACTTTGACAGGCCCGAAGCGAAAATGTTGCATAAGCGATGTAGGTCGATGTTGTCCATTTTTGTTGCCTTAACAGATCTTACAAGCAGAAATGCCTCTATCGCAAGAATCTAAAAGACGTATTGATTTAAATTGGCTTGCTTAACGTCATTTCCGAAGGCTCTCCAACAGCACACGATGGCACTTCATCGGCGATGGTGTCCTGCCAATTTTTTAATGGCCAATTAATGTAAATGTCATCGCTATTAGCATCTAGCATCCGAGGTTGAAATTAAAATTGTCGTCATCCACTCAAGAATTGAGCTTGTTGATAAAAATGGTTTAATCATAGCCGACACCAGGAAAAAGTAAATCAATAAGTTTGCAGACTTGAAAAACAACCAAGTAAAAACAACGAAGGTTGAATCAAGCATAGGCGTACGAGCGAAGGAAGGGGCTGAAAAGACTACAGACTCCCTCCTCCCCCCACAAATACGGTGCATTGTCCGTCAGAAAATTCTAGTCTCCATATGCCTTAGTTTGGTCGCTGATGGCGGTAATACAGAAGCTTTCGTGCATGAGCTCAGTCGAAACAAAAACAACCGTTGGTGAAATAAAGCAATGAAGAAAGAATGAAACTAAAAATTCGGTGAGAGAGTAAATTTCTCCCTATCCCTTCTAATTCAGAGACGTCCCGTACGCCTGTTGAATCAACCAAAACAACGGCTGATGACAGATTATAGCGGGCGATGATTGTACCAAATCTACATCACGGACAAGTAGAAACAACTGTCGTTATATAGTTATTCCACTCGAGTAAAAGCTATATTTTCAGTGTTTTACCCTAAATCTTCCACTGATTAAGAAGTACTTCCACATTGAACAGTAATAACAAAATTTCTATGTCACACTCAATGAGTGTGAGTGAGCTGTTTGACTGTTACAGGCGTTATAAGCTCGCTAATGAGTCATACTCAAACAAGGAATTCTAAAGATTTGATACGGTATAAGTATACATTGATACACTACTTAAAAACATTAATTTATAGTTCCATATATGGTTCAACACGTTTCGATAGGCGTTTTCAATATTCCTAGAAATCGGAACAAAGAAAGCCAAGTGAACGTGGGCGCACGTTTGCCGGCATTGTGGGGAAGCTGCACGAGTAGTTTATATTCTAATTTCAAAGAATGGAACTTTCTTGCTTGGACCATTTCCGGTTCAGTCGCGGGCATGAAATTCACGGTTGTTCACTGGCCTCGCCAAAATTTTGGACAGCGCCGCCTTTCCCCTACTCCCTAGGGTTGTGCTCATTAATTACTTACCTTATCCACTACATTTACAAGTTGGACAGTACTGTTCATCAAGAACAACTCCACCTTTTCCGTCACAAGAAAGATTGCAGGAGGACATACTGGGACATGGCGATGCTAAAATAGGACAATTTGTTTACTATTCTCTGGTAAACTTTTCATTGGCCTTTTCGAAACACGCCAACTATAGCTATAGTTGTTCACTCAATGTGTAGCAAATGTAGAGTACATGTGTCACACGTTCTCTGCCCATACCTCAAATTTAGGTCACGTATGAAGACGCTTAGCTTATTAGTTTATTCGTCCCATCTTAAAAAGTCTAGACCTGTTATAAAATGACTAATGATAAATATGACTCCTATTTACCTCTACATTGACATTTGTGAAAACATCCAAAACCATCCTGAATCAAACCGTGTTTGCATGAACCCGCGAGTGGACAATCGAATAAACCACAAGGAATACCGAATGAACGCCCTAAACACAATAAATTTCCTTTATTAGTTATTCCCTTTTCAGTTAAAGTACCGCTTGTATGCAAAGTACGCAGTTCTATTTGCACAGTTTTAAAAATATGATATGGTGTTGGTCTAGGTTGGCGTTGATGCTCTTTTCACTATGGGATCACCCGTACATGAATTAGAAAAAAAGAAGTGTTGGACTCAGAGGCTTAGACACGATTTAGGCTGGAACGCCAGTGTGATTCGAGGCGAGGTTTATACTATAAACCTGCAGGATTTTGTGACAGTTGGTAATGGACAACTTTAATGGACAAAATCACACAATGGACGGCCATCAGGACGGCATATGCACAAACAATATTATAACAGTTGAATACAAAATTGCACATAACTTGAACCATTTCAAAACGCATGCTCTAAAATCTTAATGCAATATGCAATGCAATGTTTTTTGCTTACCACACATTCCTTTTTTGAACAAGAAGAAATTTTTTTGTTGACCACAAGCATCTTTTTTGAGTTCACATTCATTCATATACTCAACACCATTGGATCCACATGCACCTTCCATTTCTGTACAGTTGTCGAAGTTTGGACAAATGCACTCCCCCTTAGAGTTAAATTTTCCACCATATTGACAAAGTGGCTTCCCATGGTGGTGAACTACATATAAAATATATACTATATTTGTCGTGTCAGTGTATATGATTATATGCGTTTATCCATCTGTACATATATGTATACAGATACATCCTCCATACATACAGTGTATCACATGAAAGAGGGCGCTACTGAATTCATAGCAATATAAGTGCTCTGGTATAGCTGGCTAGCTACGTCAAAAACGGCGACTCATAAAGACATAAAGAAATTAAAAGTTATGTGGACAGCCCACGAGCCCTTGGGAATTTCAGGGTAAAGAATTGTTTTCTTGGGGGTGTTTCAAAAAAAGGTAACTTATATAACTTTAGCGCGAAGTTGTGAGAAGAAATAAGTTCGTTCAAAAATTAAGGTGAAAATCGCGTATTTCCACCTCCTTCCACCCGGCTGAGGATTTTGTGAAAAAATATTGAAATTTATCTCTCGTATTGCCTGGTTTTCATATGTCGTAATTCATAGGCAATGTTCTATGATCCATTGTCGGTGAACAATAAAGAAAACTATTTCGAAATTTTTTCGTGACTGGCAGCCAACAATACATCGCCCATCTGTCGGTAAGTGAGACCCCGTTTACACTATAGTCTATACCAGTTAATTCCCTGACGCGAAAATATAACTACATTGGCGTAAGGCAAAATCAAGGTATCACATGTAGCAATAAACTGAATAAAGTACTTTTTATAAACCAACTCACCTATCAGAACAGCTAGCAACTGTAAAAAAAATGTAAATATTTATAAACATTTGTCCCAACCAAAATTCAGCATGACCCGGCCGTTCTAAATCTCGAATGTTTCACATGTGATCACGAGTCATTTAGCACAAGGTCATGTGCTAGCCTGTCGCATGCATTCATCACTATAATATTATACGAATAAAAGTATTATATAACTCAGCGTTTGATAACTTCACGGATCCTCAAAAAAATCCCTTATGGTTGAATATAAATAACGTTCCTTTTAAAGAATGCAGCAGAATTTTTTTGCATGACGTGCGTGCAAAATCGAATTATCTCATTGCGCAAACTGTTCTACATATTGTCCTGTTGTCATGCCGTATAAATATCCGTGTTGTGGTAATAGTTACCATTGTCCTTAGTAACAGGTACAGTCAAGCTTTGCAGGATGTCTATTCTTTCGGATGTCTCGCAGCAGACGATTTTCTAACTATATATACAAATTAGGGTTTAACAAGCCCACTTCAACGTGTTTCAATGTACTCCGCAAAGGTCAAATTTCGTTCATTGAACGGCAACAGAATAAGCTGATGGAATTTATCCTTCAGTGTATTTGTTAAAGTACTTGGTAGAAATTTAAATTTAAATATTTCCGTGCTTGTGGACACGCATAGGGAACACTTACAAGTGGAAAGTAACCCTTAGTGTCAGCCTAAACAGCCATTTGCAATTTAGCTATATAAACACTCAGACTGTATCAAGAGCGTTGCGTCTGTGCACAACAATGCTACGCCTTAAGCCTGCTTTCCATGCAGGTTGTTTCCTGTTTTTTTACGCACATACGACTATGGACGGGAAATTTGAAATCTTCCTTATTTCGTAATAGTTAGCATGCAAGTTACACATTGCATCCTCATTTCTTAGTCTTTTTTGAAGTGAAATAAAAATGGTTTATATTTGGACGTGCGTGCGTGCATAGGTGTGAGAAACGCGTATAAAAACAGCCTTCATGCAGTATCCAATTCCATCAATCATGTGCACATACAGCTGTTGACAGCGTTGTTATTGTTCGTTACCTGTCTAACTTGTGCAATCAGTTATTAACTGTCCACAATAAAATGGTTAACCTTTTGTCTCAAAATAGCTCTTCCGTCTAATAAACTATGTATGCAAAAAACATCTGGCGCACAAAGACCGCGGCCAGTAGGTGAACACGATGCCTTAGTTCAATCATAAATGAATGGTGATAAACACTTCACTTTTTTAAAATTTTCACCTTCACTTATTAAAAATTTTGGGGTTTGTTTGAATTATTATTAAATGAATTCACAAAGGTGAAACCGTTTATATCTGCAACGTTACGGACAGATTTAATCAACGCAGGCATCTTATCAAATCTGAATGATTTTGATAACACCTGAATTATTTTTGGTGCTATCAAATTTTGTAAATAAAACTCATATAATATATTCCACCATCCCGGAAATTGGTAGGAAAAGGCTGTACATCAGTTCCCACCCACCATCTCGCATTTACTTTAACAATACTTACGCAAAACATTCCAAGGAAAAAGTTAGTATTGGTGACATACATCATGACCGGCACTGTAGATGTGGCTATACAAATTTATTGAGAAAATAAAATTAGTCCCTGATAAAATTGGTTATCGTCTATAAGCTGTTACAGCAAACTTTCCAATTTGTCGTGATTTTATAGTCGACATGTAAACTGTTTGTATTCGATCAAAATTGATTATTATTGATTGCACACACACAATATATATAGCAATATCCTATTACATCAACCACCTGACGCATTCACGGCAATTACGACTAAATAGAAATCAGACATTGACCCTTTAATTTATTTCTCACTGTAATGAAGACCCAAGTTTGCAGTTTGTGCAAAAACAATAGAAAATTCAATGGCAATAATTGCACAAGCGAGCCATAACCTATAATGAGTATTCTATATGCATTTACTGATAGAATTGCCATCCATTGTTTTGCCTTCACTGGTAGTTTCTTTCACCGTAAAAAGTTCTAGTTACGCGTTTATTTCCAGAATGAAGATGATAAAATAATCAAAATATTTTTAATAGGTGCAATCAGAGATATGGTAAACTTGCTTATATCAGCGTATACACCTCCAAACCTGTCTCTAGACAAGTAGGCGGACTATGGCTCGCTGGATCGAAGATTGTTTGAAATTTTTATTGTAATTGACGTTTTAAGCACATTCGATCAAAGCATCAAACGGGTTGTTGCGATTGACTGTCTCAAAACGGCACACCCTCCACTTTGCTCTCAACCTGACCCATAAGGATGAAGTTATTTGTTACATTTATGATTAATACTCACGAGAACACCGCAAATGTGTTAGTATGATGGCATAACAACCATCCAATGTAATAGATTTTCGGAATCTTACCTGAATAATTTCAGATCTCTCCTCGAAGGCAGCTCTAGTTTTCTGATGTGCTGATTACAGCTGACAACGTGATTTGAAGGCAAATTCGTATGAAATTATACTTTATGCCTGTGCATGCGTGGATATGACGTCAGACCTAACTTCCGGTACCATATTTTCAAATAATCCTGCCATTGAATGTCACAATTGATACATTCCTATGGGATGGATTATAAACATTATAAAGTACTTGAGATCTTCAGAGATGAAGGGTTTTGTTTATTTCATATATCGGTTTTGACGTGCTGGCTGAAAGATGACACACGTACACGTCCATCCAGTGTATAATAAATAGGTCACGTTTTTTCGCCTTTGGCAATGGTACCTCGCCAAAAACATATTTTCTTCAACTATGATTGGCCCGCGGTTCAGATGTTGTTCAAATTAACAATAGATAACAAGATTTGATGAAGTTTATCAATCGCGCGCCCTAATTGCATTTGACACCTCTAAAATTCAGTATATATAAAGAGAAGTGTTTAGACACTGTTGATAAACACTACCACATACGATGTATGTTAGGTGCGTTTGCGATCTTTGCGCGCTCTGAAATTTGTACAAGATTTAAAAAGGCTTCAAAACCATTAATTCAAAATATTTGTGCAACCAGCTGTAGTATGCACTAGAAATACGGGTATTCCCTAATTCGTAAATTTCTCTTTCAACGCCTTAATGATTAACGACGAAAAAGGTAAAATTTTGAAAAAAGAAAAATTCAATTAAGCTATTGTTATAGAACAATTAAAATTCTTGCGTATCAGTGGGGGGAGGAACATATGCCAGACATCGGGGAGCCAAACTCGCCAACCACACAATAGCGTGACGAGCCCGAGGGAAGTGGGGAATAGAAGTTTGGGAAGGACCCCCCAGATGTTTCCAAAACTCTTCCAGTCTTAAACCCGATTTGATGATTGTACCGATTATATCTGTTCATCGGTTGGTATGTTTAAAAGGTGATATTTTGCAAAATAATTCTGCTTGCTTTCTCAGTTTTTTTGTCCTCTTGGTTCATATCGTTTACCGCACTTTGCTGCATGGAATTGCTGCATGTGTTCGTTTCACTGACTATCATTCTGGCGAACTCCTCCCCCCCCTTTTTAGGTCAGGCGACGGCACAAGTCTTTCTCCTCAAAATTTTTCAAATAGATAGACGTGCATACAAACCTAATGTAGTTAAGGGTGGATCTTTCGAGGGATTTTTTAATACACCTATAACAGTAACATCTGGGAAAATGAAACATTAATCGAGCCTATAACCAGTCATTTTTGCGGCGCTCGAGTCGGATTGCATATCGTACGGGTTTCGCATGTCGCTGTTACTGCATGTTCACAGTCAGTGATTAATTTTTCAATTTTTCAATTTAAAAAAACAAAGCACTCTGATTGGTCTGTGATCATGCACTGACGTCATGCAAAAGCCCTCGCCCGATGATTGCGATGTATACTAGGCTTACCAGGCTTAAATAAAGTAGTGTTATACCTTGAGATAATATTTTCCTGAAATTCATTCTTTTGAGCATTTAATGCTATTATACATAACGAATATGACAAACTGCATGATATTTTATCCGGTATTGCATTACCTTTCTTGTCGTCGTATTAACCAAACAATGACCCATTCTAGGGCGAAGAGCATTGCTAAAAAATGAGTATAATGACAAAACAGACAAGAAAAAACGTTAAGACGGGTTTAAGTAGGTTCCTAAGTGCGTCTTTCTAAAATTTTCTCTCTGAAATTACGCAATTATAAATCTTTTAAACGTTAAGTTTAAAACGTCAATCATAAAATGTTAAGCCAGTGGCAAATAAGTATATTTGATGGCTTCATTATATAAATTCATTTGGAAATAAAGTCGATAATTTAGCGAGCTTCAAGAGCTTTTTGAGAAAATCGAATGTGGTGTACGTGGAGTCTTGCATATATAGCTATGATTACAAAAAATCGCGGGACAATACAATGACATAAAGGACGATGTGCAATAAACCAGTAAAAGATTTTCCAATACTATATGATTATGAAGAGCTAGATTTAGTTGAATTCCTAGACGTTCTGGAAGCATTCACGTTTTTTTAATTATTCAGATATTAGTAGGTATAAAGGTATAAAGAATACATTTTTGGCATATTTTCAAGAATGATATCTCAAGTTATAATACCACCTTAATGAAACTGCGATGACGTTTATACACCGTTTATATATGCATACACGACGCGGTTCGGTATAATATCGAGGTTAAAATTTCTCCATCTTACTCCATAGGTATTTCCGAATGTGAAAGGTTGAATGATGGAAATTTTGAGTGGAATTATATTCATGCAATAATCTTATTTTCTGAACAACTTTTATATAGTTGATTGTATTAGAGTCGATGTAAATTTTAAATTATACATGTTCCAGAAACTAGTTTACAAAACTTCAATAAGCCGAAGGAGCGCGGATCGTGGAGCTATATAAGATCAGTTTGATGTTATATAAAACGACTCATCACTATCAGAGCCGGATCTTTTGAATTTTTGCTTATAAGTATATTCTATCGAAAAGTATATACGTGTGCATGAAGAGATTATCCTTTAGGCTAACTGTATTGGAAAACGGTTTGGAAATCGTTATAAGAATGGAAAACGGTTTCTAAACTCTTTCTTTATTGGCTAAGATCGTAAAGAATAGCATTTAAAGTTAACTATAAAGTCTATACATGTGCACACAGGTGACAGGGAGCATAAATAAAAATTTCAACCTTGGAATCTACTTTGGAAAGTAATCCGCTTTGTTCTCAAAGTACAAAAAAGTTTAGATGCTTGGAATTTTAAGAACTCGAGAATAATTTAAAAACAAGGAGCTTAGCTGCCGAATTGACATGTTCTTAACATACTCCTAGTCCTGGAATACCATATACTGTTGAATTAGTAACTCGTTCGAATGCGTGAGCAAAAGTAGATAATTGAAGAGAAATTACACTAAATCAGGAATTTGACATTGTTTTGAACGTCATTTAAAGTTCATAACTGCAAATTAGAACCTTTTGTGTTTTTCTAGAACAACGTGGGTTTTTCCGGAAATTGTAGGAGGTGCGATACACGTCCACGAACGTCTAAAATCGGGTATTTAAGAATTAAGGTCATAAAATATGTCATATGTGTGTATCATTTTACTTGCAATTTCCACTGTTCTACAACTATACGTGAATCCATCTGATAAAACGAACATAGTGCATGGTATTGCGGTACATCCTTGAAAAATTTTATTTACTACTATGAAACTTACTGTTGCTAATGAAAAGATTATGCAATCGTTTAAAACGTTTAATGACAGATGCAACCCAGAAAGTTCAAAATATTCAGACATCCATCTTAATCTCCCACCTTTTTCGGGGACGTGCTGAAAAAGTATTTCGATACTAAATCAACCCACACACAGGAATTTGTTTCACCCAGAAGTTTCCTTGAAGGGTATCACATTGTCCTGTACGTGTTGTGTTATATAGACGGTCTGGTAAAAGTTGAAAACTGTCACATGGACATCTTTTGAATTTCATAAACAAATGCTGCGTATATTCGCAAAATATACAACAGATACATAGATAGGTAGATAGATGGATAAAAAACACTGTGCTGAAAGAGATAAATATGACTATAAAAAGGCAGTTTCTAATGATACAGATCCCCTTAAATTTTTTAAAGAATGTTCTCGCTCGACTGGAGAGCATTAGCCTCATGCAAACAAACTTTCTCCTCTTGAGGACGTCCGTGCAAACAGGAAAAATTCTATAAACACCCAACCTCTTTTGGTGTAAAGATCTTTTAGCGAATAAAATTGTGGTGGGGAAATTTAGCTAGTGTGCAAGACCCATCTGGTGTGAATTTCAACACCACGAAAATCCTGTCATGCGTGAAGACAACTAATAGACATTTCCCGAATTTGTTCTCGGGCAATAAAAACCATCCCATAAACCGATAGATTCCGCCATTGCTCGCCGCTTCATTTCCAAGCTATCATTTTGTGGGCACTCAAGTGACTATATATGCAATAGTGCGGACAAAATATAATATGATTAATAAATAACTTTCGAAGTGAAATGCAACTATATACATTATATTTTCTTATATATTTATTCTGAATACTTGTAGAATATTGGAAACTGTTTATCTAATAAACCACGTTAAATAAATTGAATTAATTATAACAAAATAAGATAATATTAAATAATTACACCCGATTAATAATAAAACAAATTACTATGCAAGCGTTTCTTCAAGAGAAGATTTTCAAATACCACTTTTCTTTTCTGCCTCTCTGCCTTACAAGCACAAGTGAGAACCTTCCGTTTACATCCTTGCTCCAAAAAATCTTTCTTGTCTTCGTTATGAACGGCCGTTGTCTTCTTCCCTCCGTTGCTCAGCTCGACGTTCTCATGGCGAACGCAAGATTTTCCGTAACATGCGCACCTGCGACCCATACGACTGTGACAATCATGGTCACTGTGGCAACCCTGCGGTGCAAGCGAGCATTGATAGACGGGATGTTTCGGTGTCGAACGTTCAGCATGCTCAAACTTTTGTAAAATGGGCCCACGTTCACCCGCTGGTATGTACGGACAGTCAAAATTAAGATAGCCGTCGAAGTAATATTGCATGTTTGTGGCTTGGGCCACTCTCTTCGGATTTTCCTTTTTCACATTCTTGTGACCGTTTAGAACCTGCCACACTGGAGTGAGCTTGAACTCGATTGGCGAGGCGTTATCTTCGCCTTCTTCAAGGAATTTTAGAACAAGTTCCTTTGTTCTGTCATAAAGAAGCTTGCTTCTCGTCTCAAGAGTTCCACCGCGGATCGTAATAGTTGACGTCATCTCCGCATCGCTTATACTCTGAACGTCATCCTTTTTGACACCAGCGCAAGCGGATAACGACAAGTTTACAATAGCGTTCACATTTCCAGCTAATGCCGAGCAGGCTTTGACCGTAAAGTCCTTTGCCTTATACTCGGATGATTCCTTAGCAAAGGCATATTGAATAATACTGGCACCATACGTTACTGTTGTAATCACGTGCGAGCCATGTGTTTTCAAAAATGCATCATATTCTCTCCATGAATCTTTGTACCATGGCTTGGAAATTTCGGTTTCGAGTTCTGCAAAATCGTCGGTTACCCGCTCCTGAAGGTCAGACTCGTACAGGCAGTTGGGTTGAATTTGCAATTCGTAAGACTTGGTGACGAGATTGATTGAAGTTCCACTCACCGTACGGTTGTTTCCGCTAACGCTTTTGGTTGTCGCGTCCAGAGTGAAGCCAAGGGTAAATTTACTTTCATACCCAGCATGGAGATTTGTCGTCGTCGCAATGCCCTTGTAAAACTGCCCGGTGTTTTCGAAGAACGACTGATCTTTCACTATTTTACGCCGCTTTATTTTCCGGTAACATTCCTTTGGGACGTTATTCAAGAACTTTATACCGTTTGGAATTGCCCCCAAGAGGTCCTCTGTAGGTACGTAAATGGATTTTCCCAACAATGCCTCATATTCGTCGACCGATGGACCTACGAAAAGAAATCGTGTGCGTTATACGAGGTCTCGGATGATGAAATGTACACCACAGCTGAACAAATTCTCCATCGTACGGAAAACAAAGTTATATATAAGTATTTCCTGTAATTTTAGTACGTGAATATATAGGATGTGCATGTATCATAGGCTCAACCTGCGACTTCGAGGTTTTACTAGCTTATATGGATGATATTAAGGTATTAAGTATATGGACAATATCAAAATAGTGTGAAATAAACAGGGCACCAGTTGCAAGACAATAGACAACCAGTCAGAATTTATTAGCAAATATGGAGGCAATATTACCGAAGCCACCTCTCGAGTGGTAATATTCAATAGCCGATCAGACCAATTTTTTTCTCTGCACTAAAAAGTGACTGGACTTTTTTAAAATTTTTTGAAAACCAAATGGATTTCTCTTTCGAACAGTTGACATATATAGTGCGTGCCAGGCCCAGGGAGAAACGGGGTGATTCGAGTCACAGTCACTATAGAAACCTCTAAATGTTTTTCAATTATAAATCAAATTGGTAAATCATATGGCAATTTTCATCTATAACGTAACGCATAAATACAGTATATTACTATATATAAATATATAATCACACTGGTTCTGCTTTAATTTATGGCACCTTCACATGTTTTATGACTGTGAAACTCAGCGACTAAATGGATATATAATTAGGCCTATATTTGCAGTCCGGTGAAGTAGCTACATCCGACTATAGAACGTCGAAAATTTCTCGAAAAACGTACAGCATGTGTGGCTGTAACCTACATATACAACTACTGTACACAATACACGCAAAAAAGTACTATTACTATATAGTAGACACCGCCATCTCCACGTATATAAGTTCGTAAACCGATCAGATTTGCATGCAATTGCAATGGTATAAAATATAGCTAATTTTGTGACACAGGACAACAGGAGCACATATACCTGCAGCTCTTCGAAAACACACTGATGGTAAAAAAGTTAGCACAGACCAAAGGCAAAGATAGCTTGACAACCTATGGCTGAATTGTTTTGACCCTGTTTGTTTTTCTAGGCACAACATTTATCGTTTATAGTCAATAGTGAATTCCAGAGCACTGAAGTGTTTTTTTGATTGTTCTAGTTTGCTTATTAAAATAAACTTAAGCCAGACTTACTTTCACCAGCGCAATCATAATGAATTCCAGCTGTGATTGACCAAACTACAATGAACCAGAATCTCATACTTGAAAAGTGACTCTGAGAAAGAGCAGAATATGCTTAACAAAAATATATACAAGAAAATTCATTATTTCGAATTGTTTCAGAATCACGTAAAATCAAGTGTTAAACAAAACTCTTACTCACCCAGCTCTATACTTCTCTGATGAATAGCTCATTATAGCATTGTCATGCATTTAAACGACAAATGTGTGCAACTGGTGGCTCAGCACGGTTGTCAAACCACAAATGTATAAACCAATGTTTAAACCACAAAATATTGCAATGCAGCCGGTGGCTTTCAGTAGCACGGTTGTCAACTTTTTGACAGTGTCCTACTGATATCAGTTGTTGTATATAGTCGTGACAATCAAGCATGACTCTAACCTCAGCGAAACAAAGCAATGCTAGTTCTAAGCGCACATTTTTTCTATTTTGAGGCCTGTTCAAAATAACATTTGGCAGTTTAGTTTCAGTCGCTCTTATGCTGTTTTTTTACGATTCTATTACCAGAGACAATGTTATAGATATATTACACTAAAATTTTTTGTGAGAATAGAAACCGTAATCTTTTTTCCCCTGCTAAAATTTCAATACTACCATTTCCGACATTTTCTTGCAATGCTCTTAGACATCCGGCTATTGTCAAATGTGTAATTGTATGACGTAAATTACTTGCTATGCGCTGGAAGGTGCTTTGGCATGAGTATAATAGATCGAGTTTATCACCCACGAATGGTAACGTTCTATGCCCAGAAGAGACTAACACCGTGTCTAACAATAATCAACAAACAAATTATGCGGCATTGGTACACATGCATCGATTTCATGTTATCTATATAGATATCATACTCCCAGGACAAGCAGGAAAACATATAAAATCTATAAATACGTACATCTAACATTTTGTGGTTAAGGTGACGGATATCTCAAGCAGTTATATAAGAGTATAGCTGCGGAGCTGTGCATGTGCCGGATACTTATTAATTGCTTAATATTGCTAAGGATCATAGATACTAATGCCGAAAAATTTCGAATAACTTAGATATTTAAGTCAATTAAAATACAAACGAAGCTGAGGGCCAAGGCATAAGGAAAACAATCAATGTCACTGTAATTTTAAAAATCATGTCAAAAAGTCAAGAGTATTGATAGTCAATACTTAGCTATAAAGTTGAATTACTTTAAAAAACAATCCATTAGGCAATTTCCCACCAAATTGTAAGCATTTGATAAAACCTCCAAATAATGGCGACAAATGGTTTCAAAACAGACAAAACTCATTATCACCACGCGCTTAATTTCACCAAAACAATGAAATCATTTTTGCCCACCAAAGTTTCAAAATTTGAACACAACTTAACACGTGATAAAATTACTACGTGATATATCCGCGTAATGCCATATATTCCTAACTTTCTGCTTGTATAATGATTATGTCATTGACGCTCAATCAACTCGCTTGTTACCAGATAAGCTTTCATGTAAGATAAACCTCAGTTTCATCATAGGTTTCATCATAGCTTCAATACCTATGCATCTTCTCGTATAGGAATTGCAAGCTGAAAAAGTCGTACAGACAAGGCTGACATGAGCATACCTATGAAGGAGCGATAACTGGATTTCTCTCTATCCTTTAAAACAATTGTCTCGATACACTAGAGACTAGATTTCATATTCTCGCCATTTGCTAAATATCATATATATATAAGTATTAATGACAATGTGTCGTATATGTCATACACATAGTATTTTGAAAAGAAGTTTAACTGTATAATAAATCTTTTATCTTGAAAATAATCGATAAGGAACTATTCACAGATACAAGCATTCGTAAAATCACGACATCTTTTCTTTTTGCTCCTCGTCAGAATCTTTCTCCAAGGCAGGGCTAATCTCTTCTACATTTTTCGGCTCTTTGAACCCTTTCTTTGATGCGGAGGATTTACTTTTTGTTGGAATGAAAGCTAAGATCCTGGGTGAATATGAGAAATACACAAAGAATTGAAGGTCTGCATGTGCTTCCAAAATACAAGCAAGAGCGTCGACTGAAGATAAAAAACCTCCACATTTACAACATACCTTGTCTTCACGTCTTCCATTACTTTAGACACTTTGTCTGTCATGTTATGTATTTCATGCTATATAATGGTAGTAATTAAGATCATTTTTGATACCGAGGAGTGTTACATTTGCAATTAGGATAAAAAAAAGTAATCGATCAGGTGTTTGAACTTACTTTGTAAACGTCGTAAAACTTCGGAATTGTGAACAATGCTACGAGACCTGAATTTAATAGTTATTAAAAACAATATTTGAAAGATTCTGGATATACACAGCGAAATAATTCATTGTTATTATTCATTAAGTATTTATTTACTTTCCAACTCACCTAAAAACAACAACGTAATCCCACTAAACCATTCTCCGAGATAGGAAACCACATGCACTATCGCCAGAACCTATAATTTACAACAGACAACCATTAAAAATATAAAAGATTGTAAAATAATCAATGAAGCACGCTGGTCTTCTGAGTTGAAGTTCAAAGAATTCGAACATAATCGGGAACTGACTTAGCTACCAAACTAACCATTTAACCAATCTATTTTTATCGGGTATCATTGATATGTTTTTCACAATATAAGCACTGGCATATAATAATTTTCTCATTCATAGAGCCAAAGAAAATATATTGAAAACCTCTGATAAACAATTTTTGAAATGTTTGTGAAGTGTGTGCTTTTCATAGTAATATAAAAACCCTTTTTTACCTTTACAGTGTCAACTACATCTTCGACCAATAGTATTCGACGGCATTCCTGTAGCATGACCTTCACAAACTTAGGCAAACTCTAAACAGCATACATAAAAAAGCTAATATTAGTAAAAAACCTAATATTGAAGGGAGAAATTTTAGCTACGAAAAGATATTTGAAACGTCAGAAACACTCACCATGCCAACTAAAGACTCGATATTTGAATCCAATGCATCCCTGTATAAAAAATCCATTAAAATTCACTAGTGTCTTTTGGCTTTGCTGCTTAAGGCGGCTCCTTGCAATTGGAGTAAGGTCTTAACGAGTTACAAAAGATCTGATGGAAAGTTTGCAAGTCGCGCGATAAAATCTTCGTGGAGCAGTAAAAATTTGGAGCAACCAACGGAAAATAGTACATGCCGTCAATCACTGAATGCCGTGCAGCGGAAACCAGTTTAAACTCAAAAAGAAGGACACAAGCAGCAGGGCTTGATCAGTGAACTATATACAGACAGAAGACCGACTATAGTGCCAGAAACGTGACGCCAAATAACAATAATTCCACGGATACAGGAAATAGAGTTTTCACGGTGGTGGTAAGAAAATTTAAAGTATGACGATAGTGAAAGTTGTCGAATCTTTTTAGGACAGCAAGCTCAGTGTGTCAGCGGTCACACACGGAAAATCTAGTAAATCTCTACCGCTCACATAATGAAACTAAAATTTTGCATACGCGGATACCCGGAATTTTCGCTAATCTGGCCAAACTTTCTCAGTCTCTCTAAACCATGGGATCAATATTACGAAAATTTTATCATCACAGATATTGGCCAAGTTATCGTTTCAGTTCTGTTAGAAAGAGTTCAGCAATCTTACTTGAATGGATGTTCGCATTCTGTCTTTGTTAGGGCAGCTTTAAGGCTGATGACCAGACGAAACAGTAATGTTGGTAGAAGCGATATTTTGAGGAGATATGTGACAACAGTGACCACGCTGAAGTGATGAAAACCGTACAATAACAGGAGGCACGCCACGAATATAGGGCCTGTTTTCTTTGGATCTCGCCAGTATAATATGTCCATAAACGTCATATTGAAGAACTAACTACATGGAAAAATGTAGAATGTCATAAGAAAACCGGCATTGCATATATTTCCCAGATGATGCAAGGAAGTCAATTTACTTGTTTGTGATTGGCTAATGACATCAAAAATCTCTCTTAAAGGGTATAATGAAAACAAACAAACCAGGGATATCCGGTACAAGTTGCGATTTTAATTCGTCATGGTTGTTTTTGATACATTTATACTTTCCTTGAAATATGAAATATGAGAAACTTGAAATATGGCACAAAAATGAAATAGGACTTCTGGCCTTGTCTTCGCCGGAATCTTCTTAATTGAGAATCGCCCTTTTAATTTGTTATACTTATAGTCGTATCGTGAATGTTTCAGCATATTTTCAGCATATCAAACGAGGGCTGTTTTTTGTACCTGCATGTGGTTTTGTTGCCAATGTTTAAATTTTGACATTTGCTGAATAATTCACACATTTTGTCAATATGATCTTTGGACTCAAAGTGACGCCAAATACGGTTACATTTACAATAGGCGAATAGCAGTCGGAATTTATTCAACCTCGCTCTTGCACTTTCATCTTTAGTCACCATTTTGTATATACAGATTATAGCATTATGAAACAAACCGGAATGTTTCGTATACGCAGTGACGAGTGATAACTGATAAAAGGATGCTTAAAATTGTGTAATATTTATATTGTGTAAATTCTCAATGTTGAATAATTGAAAGCATAAGCAATAGTGTCAATAAATTTATAATTTGAAACGAATCGTATACTGACACTGGCGTTCAGACAGCTCCACAGGGAGACAATGCAAATTGTAAAGGCTTATTCTTTGTTAGTGAAAATCGATTACTTTTACAGTCGGTAGATACCACGAAATTTGCATTCTGACTGCGGAAACTGCGAATAAACAAGGCCAGTGCTTATATAAGTTGCAGGATGAACGTTGCTATTCCACCCAGAATATATAAAGTCTGTAGTATACCTAAAGTAGCAGTTACAAAGCAAACAATCTCATTTCGTTTCATTCTTTTGAGATGAACGTCGCAAAAGATATAGAGCTTTGTATATGCGTACATTGTACGGCACAGAGATGATTGTATACATGTATATTACTCAGTTTCATCCTTGGCATATGCTGTTAGACGGCGCGAGATGCATTTATCTGGCCTGTGAAAGAAATCTAGCAATTTTGGCGCGAAAACAGTGAACATCGTTTAATATAGGGTGTTACGTGGATATAAGATCAGAACACCGAATCACAAAATGGGGTACATTTTGTCTGTCGAAGTATTAAATATAGTTTTTATGTCAGATCAATGACAACACAAGAGCAATATCATACAGCAGCTGTCTTAACATAAACATGAATAACTTAATACGAATATCAAAATATACCGAAAGAAATCATCTTCCCCTGGACAATGAGCACTCCATTTTACGCTTGTGATTCTTGCTTTAACATAGGCAGGAAAAGATGTTCATTGATACTTCGATTTCAATGAAACAACGCCCCGTTTAATCATCTGCATATTGGCTTGTTGCGCGAAGGCAGCAAAAATATTTAACTTACTGTTAATCGTATCCATACCTGTACGAACTCGTTTCGTTTCCCAGTTTTCTTTTGCAATTTCTAAACCTCCTTTTAAATAACTATCAAAATACTTTCCCGCGATCACGGGTGTTGTCATTCAATATTGAGCTTTGTGCTAAGAGGACTGGTACAGAATAAAGGAAATCAAAACACGATATCAATATTTAATGAAGTCGGATGCAAAAAACTGCAGCCGTCAGGCCCAAACTTAGCACAACTTTTAAGAGGCCTCATCATATCAAGAGACACAAGACTATAATAAATCGAGACCCAAGACTATATAAAACATAAGAATCGTGATGAGCCGAAATATAGTTTCCATGCCAGCGCGAATTCCACGATTTTGCTTTTGAAATTTGAAGTGTAAACTACTAAAATTACGAGAGATTGATAATTGAAATCATCAAGTTTCTGGTTTTCTGTAACAATGAGAATGAGTCGAATAAAAAATTTTCCGTTGAGATATTTATGTTTCATATATATTAAAGTTTAAAGACTACGCGCATAAAATGTGGCATTTTTACTAGTCTTAACGACAAAAGTGGTATAATGCACCCACCGGATTTGGAGTCACTGCATGTGTAATCTGGATTTTTTCCGGGTTTTCGCAAACTTTGTTGAAACCGGGCAAGTGGCAAGTTACCTTCATTTCACCTATTACCGCGTATATACACACCTTTACACACTTTGGCATGCACTCTCAGACTACGATTCGGCTGTTAAACATTCACTCATAACTCGATTATATTCGTCTGACATGCCAGGATAAAGCAAAAGGGAAAAAATAAAAGAAAATATAATACTTCCTATGCAGATCTTCAATTTTGAAAATAGAATTGTCCTGAGCTTCGCTGCGAAATTATATAGATTCATATAGATCTATGTCCGTGAGGTGTATTAAGATCTGACAGTGACTCGGCCTATATGCCCGTCTTTAAATTACTATATATAATTTTTATTCCAAGTTTCATATCTTCATTTCCAGGTTAATAATAGCAGTTTACTGTGTAAAGTAAAAGAAAATATATGTGAAACCCTTCTAAATTATTTCCGTTGATCTGAAATGTCCACTCAAAATGTCCTATAAGTTGTCAATCTCATGAAAACGATTGGCAGATCCTACCTCGATAATATCCGCCACTGTGATCTTTCACACAAACAAAGCAAAATAGCACATTAAGAGGCCCTCGTGGATACAAATTATGGAATGAGCACTGTCAAAGTATACGTTGTAATCGCGAAACGTTACATTACACTGACGTGAATATTGATTTGAAACTCGCAAAATTGATGTGTGTAGAAATAAATAGGGTGGAAAAATCAAAATCGAGATGTAATCGAGATGACATCAGTACATGACTTAATATACAATGTCCATACTATATGGGTTTTCAATATATCTTCCAGTGTGAATCGTGCACAAATGCATGCAATATAAATATGCATGTGCAGAAAAGTGTCCCAACAAACGCATGCAGGCCAAGACGAGATTTATTATATTATATTTACTTTTTTAAAATTATCAACTTGTCATAAGAGTATAATCAAAAGGGATCGATAATCAAAATAATTTAGCTTCTAGTTTTCAGTAAATTATCAGAATCTCATTAAGACAATCACGATGAGTCGAAAAAAAGACAAATTCGGTCGAGATATGAATGTTTAAAGTACGTTAAATGTACACCATAGCAAATATGTTGTACAGTGTATACCCTCAGATGTTTCTACAACAAAAATGGAATGATGCACCTTCGGGACTTTGGATAGTCTTTGAACTCCTTGCGATAATTTCTGTGTTTTCCTTGAGCCCACTGTGCCATCTGGAGCAACCCAGCCAAAGTGAACAATCCAGCTATAAAATGAGATCAGATCAACATAATTATGATGTCCGTGTAACCGTGTTTATTTATTGAAAAGAAGACGGAGGTAAAATGAAATTGTACGTCTTCTCGACCAAGCCTTTTACTGCATGCAGACACCATTCAACCACACATTTTTTTGGCGTGTTTAGCGTTGTCAGTCTTTTTAAGACGCTAAATCCTTTAGCTACTGTACAAATATACGGCTAGACAAATGCATTAAGAAAATAATACTTCATTTCCATACCAGGGAAAGTTTGGGTCATCACGGTGAAGAACAGCCACGCAAAGAACTGCAAATATATAATAAACCAGCGATAAATAAATATTACCAAGACTAAAAGAATATTAAATTCGGATTCTGTGTTGTAACGGACAACACTTCCAAGCTATGCCTACCTATAGTGGGATATTTTGACTTGGAAAAATTATGTCATGCATTCTCTAGTCTAGTCTAGTCTGGTGCAAACAGACCTAAAATCCCGAAGGACATTTGCTTGGCAGGCAACGAGACGAGTTTAGAGTATTACTAAAACGTCACTGAAACACGCGACAGTACCTCGTAGGTATAGTTTGGACAGGACACTAAATTAAACATGAACGTCATTGGGTTTGACGTCGGGTAAGGAATCCTTCGCACATTTGAACCTATAATAGAACAAATAGCCCACTTCATTTCTTTATGAAATTTTAAACAAGCGTCCACGGAAACTACTTTAGTTTCTTCCGCGAAGAACCACAAACACTTCTTAAAATGAGAAATTAGCAAATTCCTACCTTTAGGGCGTAAATCTCTTAGAACACAATGGGACGCAAAATTTCCATATTCATTGACCTAAATTGTATTGAAAAAAGGTCAGAAAGGTAGCTGGGAATATAAATAACCATTTGCATCATTGTACAGTACATGCAGAGTTTCTAGAATCAAGAAGTTTCGAAGTACTTTATAAATTACTAGCTAATATTGTAACAATAAAAATAGATGTAATATACGTTTAGACTCTTCAAAGATAATTATTCGTGCATACCAAGAAGCCGATTAAACCAATGGCAACTTGAAGATCGCCATATGCTAGAAAAGAAGTTAAAAACAAGATATAGATAAAGTATGGATAAAGCCACAATGCCCAGGAAACAAAAATCCCCTCCCCCTTTGGATTACATGGTGAGTAGCTACATTGCAGATTACCTGGGGGAGTGTAGAGTGGATGATTTATGAAGTAACTGACAAAGGCTGCAAATCCCCTAAATGAAAAGATTTCAAATCTTTCAATTTGCTAATTTTAGTCCAATTTGCATTAAGTCCATGGAGCATTCATCAAAATTCGAGCAGTTTGTTTTAAGTCATCAGTTCTCAATAGTTATAATTGACTTACCAGTAATAGCTGCAGTTCTTTATAATTCAAGAGAATTTTTGGAATCCAAAGAGAAAAAATTTTAAATTTGGTTAGTAAATATTTGAACAGTAGATGCGTTGCATATCAGAACTTATATATGTTCTTTCAAAGAGTCACTAATTAATTAATGGAAGCTTGGCTATCAATAATATTTCAAACTACATATGCATAGCCAGTATAAAAGTATATTTGGAACAGGAGAATGTCAAAATGAATAAAAATATGTTCATGCATGCTAAGGAATTATCAAATATCAAATACTTGCTCACCTTAAAAAGATTTCGTATAGGCATGGTTCCTTTTGAAAATCTGTGCACAAATAATGTTTCTAGAATACGTTTGATATAATGAAGGGACCAACAACCAGCAGCAATCCTTGAAAAATAAATGATATTTTTCAGCCACTGATAGGAGCTGCCACAACTGAATGCTTCGGACTTTCGATGATGATGAAGTCGGGTGGTACTTTCAAGCACTATGAAACTAGTAGTGTGGTATTTTAAGGTTTCTAAAAGAACTTACCACACAACTGAAGCCCGAGGTTTTAAAGATGCTTGTACTCCATAAATAAATGCTGGTCTTGGTACAAACATGAGGTAAACAAAAAGTGGACCAGCATATTCTGAAAGGAATACCTAAAGAAATATGCAAAAATCAATACTTGTTCTCTACACACTATATTATGGTGTCATATAGGACACTGTGATGCAACTTACTGTGGACCATCCTATCTGAGGACCTACAAAATACAAAAATAATTGAAATTATACAAATGTCAAAAATATAGTTATTCTTCAAATCTCAATGGAATGCACTTGGATAAACTAATTTATACATACCTAAGTCCTTAAAATATAGTCTATTCCCTTCAGGAAGATCAAGGTCTGATAATTTTAGTTCATCTTTTATTGACTTTCCTCCTAATATGAACAGGTTTGTTGAATGGATACCAATTTAATATTAGCTATAAAATCATATTATTAAATAAATATTTCAATTGTCACCGTGCACTTACTCTGCTCTAATCTTAGTGATTGTCGACTTGGATAGTACTTTGGGCCTGATAAGAAAATTGATATACATCTCTTATGTTACATAATAATAGAAACCGTGCATGCAAGCATGCAAAAAGGGTAAAAACTGCAATATCATACAATTTCGATGTATTTCATCTTTGAGAAACTTTATAGTCGAAGATGGCTCAAGCTAAAAAAGAAGTTAAATAAAATTGGACAAATATAATTTTTTTATTCTGCTAACCACACATTGCTAGTCCTTAGACATAGACCTTATGCATAATGACGTAAACACACAGAACTGTATATATGAATAAACACACCCTCCCCCCAAGGATCAACCTAAGGTTGAACTGTCAGTAGCTTTGTAATAATAGTACTAAAATTTTAGGGCTCATAACTGCTACTATACTACAATAAATATTATACAAACATTTTCAATACTAGCAATTTGCTTTCCGTTGCTTGCACCAATAATTTCAACCTGAATAAAATTATAAAAACCAGATATAATATGTCATCCCAAAAAAGTCCATAGTCCCAAATCGAATGTATCTGACTAACTGACTATCTATCTGGCATTTGAACGTACTATGTAACAATATTATTTTTCTTAAGCTTATAGTATTAGGTGGTAAAAGAATTAAAACCTGACAGAGCAAATATTTTGGAAAAATATTCTTCAATACCTAGAGCATATATTAATGCAATATTGCATAATCCTCATGTGCTGCGTGGTGTACAGTACACCACGATATTGACAATAAAAGCAATAATAGAGTATGCAGACACAGACTGCAGATCTAGAATGATACCTTCATCGTCTGATCGTCTATAAACTTCAAATCCTTTCAAGACCAGGTAGATTGGTAGAAATTCTAGCTAGAAATTCATGAAAATGAACAGCAAAGCCAAGGAAGTCAAGGAACACTTAATATGATATACTTCATGTAATTTACACGATGCGGGGCCTTACGAGTGGCGCATTACTGAAGGGGGCTTCTCAGCTTCTGCCTTCTTCCCTCTGACTCTGAGCTTCTTCCTGGAGCAATGCAAACATTTGGCGAGGCAGTGGTAATAAGATCAGTTAGTTCACAAGTACAAAAATAAGTGAGATGACATTAACTCTGGTTATATAGCTTTTGATAGACGTTCGATTTTATGTTAGAAAAAAGAATGCGCATTTTAAAGAAAAGAACCGAAAGTATTGCACCCCAAAATAGATTCGAATTTCTGTCGATCGAAACAATAAATTCTTCCTGTAACGCCAGCCAATGTGTACATTCAATACATCCACAAGCACGAGGGCTGAGACTAGAAAGATTTACACTGTAATTGTGATGTATCATGGCGTGCCTTCATTTGCCGAGCATCCGTAATGTCCACTCGTTTCATCCAAAGAAGAAAATCGCATGATCGCAACTAAAGTGGTAAAAATTATAAATAACAACTAGGGTGCTCAACTTTGGGGTTGAGATATACTGCATAATATACTGATTCGTTATGATACAAGTGTTGATGATCCTCTGCCAATTGTATAGACACAAGGAATAGAAATTTAAAGTTGTATTTCTAATGTTCATCAAAGCGGTAGGAAAAATTCTGTTCAAGAATCAAGACACAGACTAGAAAAATTCAGCAATCCAATGCCGCATGAAGTACCTATCTTATACATAGAGATTTACACAGTGTAATATGTATATACGATTTATATAATGTATTTGCTTTGTATGTATTTGCTTTATGTTATTAACCTATGGCAGCGGCGTTAACCGATTTTAAGCTGTTACGAAGGGTAAGTTACCCTTGAAATCTCGACATTTGACGAAAACAACACATCCTCTTTCGAACTACTGATAATACGTTCTAATTCAAGCAATCTTTGAAAGGTATGGCCAACTTAAGCTTACGAAGTAAACCTATAAACCTGCTTAACTGAATATCTTTGACCCTAAAAGTGCGAAAACGCTTGAAAACACACACAAGAAAAAGTGACGATTTTAAAAGGTACTGATTGTTTGCACTGATGAAGGCCTGGCTAAACGGAGCGAATTGATTAAAACATCAACAAGCACTGAACATACAAATATACGTGCTGCCGGCTGGTGGTTCCCAATACTGTTAATGAGTAAGATTAAAAATTCGCCCATTAAAGACAATATTGATATATTGTTGTAAAAATGACTAAAATATGTGTTGACTTGTCATAAATGGTTTGGTATACAATCAAAAACTCAGCTGTTTAGATTTGACGTTATGAGATTGCGTGCGTTATAATTTGTAGATACATACCTAGGTCGTAAAGGAATTTTGTGCTGATGTATTTTCTTCATGATGGCACAATTACGAGCTGGGCTTTATTAAATTTCAAACTTCGTGCAAACTTTAGCTTTGGTTTGGATCAGTGAAATCTACTGGAAGACTGTAACTGATTTATTGTTCAGCTATATAGCTCATGACATGAGAACAACATGAAAACCAGAACTCAGTTGATGACGTTATATATATTCTTCAATGGCCCGTCTCTTTGAGAGAAGTTATATAGTAGGGCTATATCTAATTTATTAACAAAGAATGTTTAATAAAATCAGTAAAAATGTTGCTTACTTTCTCACATTGTTTGCTTACAATTTCATCTGTTTCCTTATATTTTTCTTGTATTTTTCAATGTTTCTAGGGTAATATTATTTCATCCTAGAAACAGGAAAACATCAGCGCACGAAACTATTTAGTTTTCATTAAATTAGGATTAGGTGCCCACTGTTTATTAATCCAGATTTATATGCAAGCGAATAGAAGATCAATGAGTCACGGATATTATTTTTGTCATTTATCAGTAATGGATGTTGCCTGCAATTAGAATTTATATAATTACTGAACACATTTATGTGGCCGGTATTCATGCAAACAGGGATAACACTTTTCGCAATCTCCAATTCTTCCATAATAGTATGTAGTATAGGCGTTATCAGTACCGACACTGGCTATCACCGTGGTTGTTTGTAATGCAGCAATGGCTTGCAGCGATTCATAAATGCAGCGATTGCAAGACGCGTATACATTACGTCAAGCTACAACGCGAAGTCGTACGTTGGTGGTGAATGGTACTCAAACATCACTGACTGGATAGAGAATCGGTATCAAATTAACGCGCAAATCTTTCGCTTTTCTTTAACACAATATGTAAAAAGCAATACCTAGCTATATTCGACTCAGAAAAAGTTAGTAACATGCCTATTACCCCCTTTGTGCCGCCCCAAAGTGTGTCCAGTTTAACAAGTTTATATTGTAAATATATATTTTTCAATTTTGCATGAATGCCCGGGTATTTATACTGTCTATATAAGGTATGTTCGCCATGCAGATTAATGCAATGGTATACCGTTCAACGTTTACAGTCAAAGTAATTAGAAAGTAGAAATGAATTAACATAAAATGCGGGTATAATATGCGGCACGTAGTAAGTTGATGACATGTCGTAAATGCTTCATTGTTGTCACGGTAATAACCCTTCACCCGTGGTTGCCAATGTGAATATCTATATATTACGCAAATATTTGCATTATTAACGATTTAACGTGCCAAGATTCGGATTACCGTGAGCTCAATCACACCACTTGATAGCTGCAAGTTGGGTACTCGGCTAGCTCTGTGTATTATACTTGACGCTCTAAATTCTTCAGTGCTTCAGTACATCAGGAATGTGTTACTGATATTGTTCAGTAGCCTGGAACCGCTCTTCTGTCATGAATTTAATTTATCATGGGCGTACCGGTCCAAGTTCACACCCAGAAGCAGGACCGAAACTAGATGCTATCTTTGGTGGAGGTACATGTTCGTACATTCGTCTTGCCCGACGAAGTTCTTTTGTAAGTTTAATCTGCCCCGTCAGACAGAACAAATCTAGTTTCGGCTCTGCCCTGAAAGCCAGAGGGTTCAGGATTCATACCGACGTTAACTGCACAATAATCGAACTTCTAATCTTATTAAAGATTTTCATCTAATTCATGTGAACAAAGTTAACGACCACCTAGATTATAAATGGTTTTAAAACCGGCAATGACTGAAGTTATGAAGCAATTTCCAAGTACTCGGTTAAAAAACAGGTTTCACATCCTTTGATCACACCGCTTGGCATCTACTACTTTTTGTGTAATTTGTGAGTGGGTTCTGGAATAAAGACGCGTTTCTTGCTGAATTCTAGCATATTCTATAAATTATTTTTACCAATATTAAAAAAAGCTGGGAAATGAAAGCCGCCAATTACGCACATTCTTATCACACCAAATGTGAGTGCATTCACAATGCAAATTTTATTATAATAAGCTTAAGTCGAATACTTTGATGCAATTGTTTATCTATATATTTATGCTGATAGTTGTTTGTATTCGCGTCTTTAATTGCCATGGAAAATCGGTAGAGACCAGCACTTGTGTTAAAATTGCAAAATAAATTAGGTGAGCTATAAAAATAAATGAGATTACAAAATTGATTTGATAATTGATTTGGGGACATGGCGATTAGCATTGTGAATATTGCGTTGAACTAGGAGGTAATTGCTTAATAGCCCTCAGGAAAACCTTAACGGTTATTTTTGGGAGGAAGTTGAGATGATTCGAGATGTATGTTGAACTATTTTTTAACATTTATTACCCTTCGATGAAAACTGAATACCTTATCTACTTAAAGTGCAATCAATACGTGTACATTCCTTGTGATGACTAGCCCGGAAGGTAATAGAATGTATATAACTTCCTTTCATTCTTTTTTTGGAATTTTGCGCGATAAACTGCTTCTACTCCATTGCACATTTAAACTAGTTTCCATTTAGTCGTTATCTACCGCCACAGCGACAAATGGAAGATGTGAACTAGTCTGTTTGTCTCGGCATCTTGTGTGTACTTCACAGATCTGCATCCTCCGTGCAGATCTGTCTCCACTCCAGAGATATATTTAACACTTTTTTACATCCCCTCTGATTGTCGTGGCAGGGACAAGCAAGGTCAAAATAGAAACTAGGCCTTACCGGTACCACCAATGCATATATATTCATATAGTACCCTATATGGTCGTGATTTCTGGCACCGTTATTAATGCAAAAACCAATGGAACGTGATTACGTAAAGGAACAAACATGACTCAATGTTGCTCTAATTGCAGAATAAACTTTGTCAGATTATGAACAAAACGGAACAGTTTCAAGTTTCAAGGAATTAATTTGAGGCAAAAAATCGCGAAACAGGATACCTTTAAGACAAACGGGCGAGATTGGTAAACATAATCTCATTTTCCATGACTGTGGTTCACTTGATCCTTTTGCTTTTAAATATGCCCAGGAGGCAGTAAAGAGAGAAAATTTTTTGAATGGAAACATCAACTGTCATCCAGTGCATGGAATGTTTATTGTCACTGCTCTGCGCGGTCCAGTTGTCCCGTCGGTGATAAACTCATGTAAGAGATCGAAAAACCTTTTTTTTAAAACACAGTTTAAAACCGTACCCCCAAGTCAGGTTTGTCAGATTCGCTGTCATTTGCGCAACATTCTGACCCAATAGCTGACGGCTTCCAACCACAAGCGGAGATAAATACTGGTAATCAAGACGCTCCCTACCTGTGGGTGGAGCAGGTCAAGTTGGTCTGATCTTGTTAATTGTAATGAAGCAGTCCCTGTTTATATATTATCGAATATCACTGTCCGTGTTATTTTCGAACATAGCCTTGCAAGTGGTTGCACGGCTATGATACAAATCAAAAAGTTTTGGTCAAGGATATACACTTGTCATCTTCAATTAGGTGCATTAGTTTAAGCACCGCAGTGTAAAGCGATGTTAACACATTGTAACCTTTAGCGATAACTTGCAATAAAGAGCCGGGGAAATTTGATTTGTCATGGAACGACTTGTTGATAGTTTATGCTTGGCGATAAACGTGATAACCTTCAGCGACAGCTCGTAATGGTAACGAGGCGACGCGATATTTGATTGACTGCAAACGATTCCAATTGCAAGTGTCGGTTGGTTGACTGCTGTAATGTCGCCTATAATTCGGCAATTCAAGGCTATTTATGCACAATAATATCACTTCGGATGAATTTCATATAAATCATTACACTTAAAAGTGAAGATCTCAATTTAACAAATGAGCTACCACATGCACGCTAAAAGCAAAAAAAAACAAGCAAAAACACATTAATATAGCAAAAGAAATAAACATGAGTTATAAAAACTTATATCGCTACTATACTCTATAGAGAATATCAGTGCAGATGGAAGAGTGACCGAATTCTACATGCATAATAACTAGTCATTCGACCAGCCCAAAATCCACATCCACCTGTGGCATTTTTAAAAAATCAGCAGAGTGTTGCTTTTAAAAAACCAAAATCATGCAGCAGAGTGTTGCTTCCCATTGAAATTTAGGCACCCTAGAATGGTATTTCGGAAGAGTATATCTCCTTGAAAAAATTATAAAATTTAGCTCGAATGTTTAACAACAGCGAAAGCAACAACACACGCCTGGCCGGTGGTGATTGCCTTGTTCAGCTGCGCAGCTGCACTCAGAGAAATTTTTATCTAAATGTCTCTGTGACGATCATTATTTGAGCTTCATAGCCTGATGTGTGCATGTAAGGAACGCTTTGATGCATCAACATCGAAACTGGGATGGCGCCACGCATGCATGACGTGTGTGCATGGGCTTGGGAAAATTTTGGACGCACAAAATATCTTTTTTCTGTGTTAGCAAGCAGTATTATGCGAGTTATACCCATGCATGAAGATGATCAAAGCGCAAATATTTTTGCAGAAAATAATTTCACACGAAAGAAGTATATTCCATGCATGCATGCTACCACTCATGAATTCTTCCATGAACATGACGCGGATTGCACGGCAAGGAAGCATATGCTCTATTAATTTAGCACATACTATATCAAATACTGTCAAATACAGACAATATAAAAATTCTTGCTTATTCCGCTTTTCGAGGATGCAGTTTTGTTTGTAATTGCGCGTTTTATTGCTATGGTGAATTCCTTAGCTTATGTCGTAAGCCAACAGATTATCAATGGAGAGGAATTAATGATCACAATCGTCGCTTACTTGAACAGGTGCCGAAAGCGTGAATGATTGACGCGCATGGAACCGCAACGCATATATTTGTATGACGAAGTTTCTAAACCCCCAGTTTCTATTGCAACGGTCAGGATGAAGATACCGAGAGCAAGAATTCAAGTGGCAACAGTCGCGCACGACTCCAGGTTCAACCCGGTTGGAACGATAGAAGTATTTCCGAAAATGTCATTCCCGGCAACTCCGGAACATGGAAAAACCGTTGCCGAAGCAGACAACGAAGTGATTGGCGAGGATAAGAAGCGCAAGCAGAGAAAGAAAAGAATATTGACGGGAGTAAGTCGGCAACGCCGTGCAGCAAATGACAGAGAACGTCGCAGAAACGTGAGGCTGAATCAAGCTTTTGTCACGTTGAAAAAGACTCTTCCTTTAGCGAACATTGACATATCTAAGATTGAGATCCTGCGTTTAGCTGTGAAATGGATTGACCATCTCGCAACATTGCTGAAAGACCATGAGCAGCGGAAAGATTTAATACCATCGGATGAAATGGTAATTTATGATCAGATAGTGGAAAAATCCAAGCCAGTAAGACATGATTGTCTTTACCATCAAGATCCTGACTTGAAAAATACACTTTGGGAGGACTGCATCGGTTTGCCAAGTAAGTTAAACTACTTATTTCTTAACAGCACTTGCCAAACGGTTATTATCGTAGGATTTTTACTGATAATGCTTGTACAACAACAGTACGTCATTGTTAAATAAGGAGTCATGCTTATCAAAAATATAAAACAAAAGCTCTTCATCGTGCATACATAACTACATTGTTTTCCACCTAAACAGGACTCAAGAGGTTGGCGTGGGATTTTCTCTTTAGTTAACACATCAAAACAACTTATTCTTGGCCCCCATGTATCAATAAATATAGCTTCGATGATAGCCAAAAATAAATGCCCATGCACGTCAAGTCGTCAATCTTTTCAGTCTTTTTTAAATTCATGACCATACCAAATTCAAAATTGCCCAGCATAAATTTCGAATTTCGTTTGAGTCAAGTACAACTAATCAAGGAATCGATGAGGTTAACCATCTCATTACTCACTGTTCTAATTGCAATCGATCCAAACGAAATTGGACAAGAAATTAGGTCCAAAGTATGAAGCAAACATGACAAGGTCTCACCATAGTCGGCAGTATTACGCGCTGTTGATATACAGTATATATGGGTATAAGTGGGTCCTAAGATTTTAGATTGGCCGGATAGTATAATACGACTTGACCGTATTTTGAAATTATCAATGATCACTCCAATTGCTATAATTGCTATTTAAGTGTTGAAATATCTTTTTTTAGAGATAATACGTTTATGCGTGTAACTGTAATCCTTATGTATCTAACAAGTCGCAATCGGTATACGCCGAGTTTGTAAACAGTAATCATGACAACCAAATGAATAGGTAGTGTTCTATTAATATAGAGTTCAGTGGATTAACAACATTCTTTTCCTATTTATAGAACGCACGGTCGATGATAATGATGGGTGTATACACATCAGAACGAACTCCCGTTTCCATGAACTGTTCTCATAACAACCAGTGTTTGTAAATAAAACCATCCTATGTATTTATAGAAGTGCAATTTTCGAACCGATTTTAGTTGATAGAAACGAGACACGTTGGAATTTGGAATATGTACGTTTTGTATTGTATTTCAGGCCTGATCTGCTGCTTATAATATTACACATCTAAGCAGTCTATGGAATAACAAAGTAGATTAGTGGAATATTGTACTTGTATACTCTATCGTAAGCATTGCAAATATATATATATATATATACACGAGGTGTTCATATGCAGCAAAACACGCTTATATATATTCAAAGAAGTGTGACGAGTTATCCGAATAAATGCATGTGAAGTAATTTCAATGGTTCCGACTCTCGCAATTTGGATGAATAGAATCGGCCTCCTTAGAGGCAAAGGCGTAGCCACAGCAGGGGACCCTTGCGGTAAAAATTTGGCCCCACCTGAGCAGAAATCCGCGAGGCTTACCACACCCATGCCTTTGCTGCCCCCCTTAAACAAAAATTCTGATTAAACCTTTGCTTCGAGACTCCTTATGTGGATTAGAAACATACCAAAGTCCGATTTTGACAAGGAGACACAAACAGGCATCCAAATAACGTAGCTACCATCCATTAGTAAACAAGCGAAAATCCATATCGTTCTTCTGTGAATGCATTATTTATAATTCAAACCGGCAAAAAAAAAGTCGCACACAATATCGAGAAAGAGAATATTACAATGCAGCGAGTGTCGGACCAAAATATTATATCAATCGTCTCCTAATCGCTCTCAAACTCTTGAATATCGTCGTCTAATTTGGTTTCAGTAACAGAAAGTACTTCATTGTCCCCAAGCGACCCGTCTTGACTTGATTGCGGTTGAGATGAGCTTGGCTCGCTATCGTTGTCGTCAATTTCCTTATCTTGGAGTGCGCCATCATTATCTCTAAATAAAAATGAAAAATTTTATAGTGGGGAGAGGGTGAGGACTCTAGAGACTGAGAAGGCCAAGCACCTGTGATAGGTAAATTGGACGCTCGGTCACTTGCATTTTGTGCGTTTGATCGAGATTCGAAAACTCTAAAATTTCAGACATGTTCGGGATACACCTTCACGAGTCCAATAGCATATAGCTCGCCCGACGAGTCAAGTCCGGTTATGTAAATTTCGAGTTATTATAATTATTTATCTAGAAATTGATTGTTTTCACAATCAATGAACACAAAAATATTAGCATAGCGATCGAGAGAAATCGTCAGGCTGGCTAGGCTACTGAGCATGGCTAACGCCACACTGATCAATAATATCTCACCTGAATGAATACAAGTTCTTTGAAAATGTGCAAACAGTTTGAAGGTGATTTATTTGGCCTAAGTGAAGGAAAAATATACAAATGCCTATATTAATATTATAAGTCACATACGACCGTAAAAGGATCAGGGTTGTTGTATCCGTAGGTGGAGCTTGTATGTAAAGGTGCAGCTTGTTAAACGTACTTACATGTACGGTACAGAAACAGTTAACAAATTATTGCCCCTAGTAAAAAGGCTCATTTTTTGGAGCGTAATGATGGATACATATGAGCAAGTGGGTACGTTATGAGTTATTAGAAGACCAAATCAGAGCAATCTGCTTGAATTCAGCAAACGAAAATCACAGCCAAGATTACAAGTGCCCATTGGGAACGTGTATCTCGATCGGCTATTTAAGATTGGCAATGACCATGGCGTTGTTTGTCACATTTATGAAATACTATTAGGAAGAAGACTTCGGCAAGTCAATAACAACAGTGTAAATACCTGGGGAATGCAATGGAACGTCAGTAAGCGCAAGATATGGTAGATATTCACAATGAAACTGTCCTGCATTTCGGGAATGACCTGCATATATTCAAAGAAGAAATTTATTAATTGTATTATATCTGTTATGATTGCAACACAGGGTCGTAGAAATTCAGCGACCATATATCCTGTTGTACATCATCAATGCAAATTCTTGCATTCTAGCTACTTCAGGTTGACTTTTAGTTCTAAAGGGGCATCTTTAATATTTTGCGCATGCCCTTGACACGAGAAAGACATTTGTTTCACGCAAGTAATCCTCTCGATACAGTACTTTGTTTAAGATAACTTTTAGTGAATTAGACAGAACACGTGTATGTGTGGAACACGATTGAGATTAATCGTGATTTAAACTATCAAAAATTTTGCATTATTTAAAAGATTTACACTATATATCGGTGATTTGAAATTTCTTAGGAGACGTATCGACATCAGATTATACGTTTTCGAAAGGATGGGAGGCAAGAGTTCTAATTCCACTCTTATAGTCTAAAGAATGCTTACAATCCTATCACCGGAAGGGTCGAATTTATGCAAAGAAGCGAGAAAGCTTAAAGAGGTGAGAAAGCAAAAAAGAATCCCTAGCGATCAGTAGCGTAGCCAGCCTGTCGATTTGTCCGGCGATGCTAATAATTTAGTGTTCGCTGACTGTGAAAACAATAGATTCCTAAAGATATGGATAATTATAATAACTCGAAATTTACATAGCGGGACAAAATCGTCACTGAGGCTGGCTACGCCACTGCTAGCGATATCTTTCATATAACCCTACCTTTGAATAAGTCCGTTGCTGTAGACATATTATGCCGTGTTTGTTTCAAAACATCCCACCATTTTGGTTTATGTAAAGGACGCCATACATTCTTAGCTTGGTTCGTAGCTTTACGTTGATTACAGAACATTAATCCTCTGATCGCTACAGAGGGCGTGTAACAACATAATGTTGAACGGTGCTGAAATGTGAGCAAAAAGTAAGCAAGAGGTTGAAACCAAAGCATAGCATAGAAAGAAAGCTTTCAATAGTAAATCTATCCTCTCGATAAAGCTCCTTCAGTAAATCCACCCTTCAGGAAATTTTACAGGTATAGCTATATACCGGGTAGTGTCGCAGCTCCTCGCAAGAATGATTTTCATTGGCTGAACTTTACAATACATTTCTGTTTCAACCAATAGCATAGCTTCGTTTTTTAGAAAGCATAGAAAAGCATTATCCATGCAATTGGACGAAAGCTTCCGAGAGCTGCGACATGTCCCATATACCGTTCTATTTGTCTTACACAATATTCCACTTTATACAATTAATCTAATTTAGGAAGTTCTACAAGTATGCGTTGAATTTATTGTGCAAAACATTACAATTAACCAGAAAAACGGGGGAAATTAGCCTACCATCCATTCCGCAGTTAAATGATCACCGTCACTCAAGTAGTTGGATGCGACACTCTAAAACAAAAATTATATATTACTTACATGCATGCATGTTACCGTGAGGATGAAAGACGATCGAAGACATATATTGAGGACATACCACATCGTCAATATTGTTGAAAAAGTCCAGATAATTTTGATGTAAGTACAAATTCAGGTTTTCCCCTGACATGTGGCTTTTCTCGAATATGCTCTAAAATTGAGAAGATACTGGTACCATCACGTATGATATCATGTTATATTATTACCAGTAACGTTATTTGTGAATTAGATGAATAGTTTGAAAACAACTTTCATGAAGCAACTCAAAAAGTTAAAAAATAAGAATAAAAACCTCCGGATTTTCAATCAATGGATGTCGTTCACAATGTTTTAAATGCGATGGAAGTGTTGTTCCTGCAGTGCTCCTTGATTCATCTCCTGAACATAAACGAGCAGAAAGAATACTGACGATGCTTGTATATATGGTATAGGTATCGTATTATATAATCCAAGCAGCTACAATGACAATGTTACGTAATTCGCAACGCATTTCATAAGAGAGACCGTAATTGAATGCTTGACTATGACACTTACTTTTACAGTACAAAACCTTTCCTAAAACTCGAAATAGAAAAAGTGAAGTGTCCTTTCCTCCAATTGTTGCCGACGTCGTATTTTCAGTCTCTACCGGTTTCTTGTTGGAACGTTTGCCAGATTTCTCACGTCCAGCTCGTGATTGCTGCTTCATGTGTTTCATTTTTTGGAACGTCATTGAAGAAAAGCCTACAAACAGGTCCATACAGTGTAATAGGTGAGTGCGTTTTCACCCTGTCATTGTCTGGCCATTATTAGTGGCGCGTTGTTAACTTCTTATTAGAGAAATTTAGCAAACACGACGTGACGCCTGGGACGTCGCGAAAATGGCGTGGATATGGCGTGATATGTCCATCTATGGTTGTGCTTACGCCATATCCACGCCATTTTCATCCGTGTCACATCGTGTTTGCTAAAATTCGCTCTTTGGCGAACTCGAATTTTCTGTGGAATATCGGACCGGGTACTTTTTATGAACACAGAGCAAGCAAGGTTAACAAAAAGTTGACAATACAGCCGAATACAATAATTTGCAATTGAAAAGCATGGATTCCTATTATAGTAACGTATAGTACGCATGTGATGAAAACTGTAATTATTCCTAAACACCCTACAGGTCGCGCTTAATTCATACATGCTATGCGGTAGCTCTTCAAAGGACGTCAGTGTCGATTGTCACCCCAGTAATCCTTTGGGAATAAATCACAGCTACAGTATCTACCTTAGATACGAGTTTCAATACCTTTTAGGCAAGTGAACTGCAAATTATTAATGAGTCCTCTTATATCACCATTACAACCAGATACCAAATTATCGATAATATCTTTTGAAGGTGTTTGAAATGTGGCAGTTCTCTAAAACGAAATGAATCGCATTATTCTGAAATGGTTTTATCACGATACAGGAAGAAAAACTCTTATCTTTTTTTCGTTCACGAAATTTTAGCACATATTACAAATATATATCATACAGTTTAATATATAGACATTCCATGAAGGACGGATTAGAAACTCATAAATCGGACATGCACATGCGCAATCGCGCACACGAAAGTATAAGAAAGGGACTGGTACCTTATTTGATTCAGACGAAATGATCTCTTTAGCAAGTTTGTTTAGGCTAGTTACCGAAGCTGGGTTGAAGCTAAAAAAAATCACACAATATGACTTTTGTCACAAAAAGTTCGAGTATTCTGCTAAGCAAGATCGACAAAGAAAATCACTAAAACAACAACATCGAGTCTCTTTAACATCGAGTTTTAGTTGTTACCGGAATTATATTAAAGCGTTTCAATGAAACGTTTGTACAGTTATATTATCATAATATGAGGCGAGTATGAGGTTGGGCTAGCATACTGCATGTACCAATGTACCTGATTTGAGAGATACTAAGATCTTGTATCGTATCTTTGGGAAACAAACGGAAAGCACTCGTATCGTTACTATTGCTGTCCGATACAATAAAGACGACAGGATTTCTACTGCATCTTTTGTATGATCTACAAAGAATACATGAACATAATTTGGTAAATCAATTTTCTTCATAACTGGCAATTGCAAAGAAGGTTAAACCATAGAGCGGAAAACTCTTCTGGATTACTAGAAGTTGAACAGAGAGTTATATACATGTAAATGAAATGTAAATACTTCTGGATTACTAAAACTATTCAACATACCCCAAAATATCATGCAAATCGGACGCTTTTCGATAAAATCCATTCGGAATATCCTAAAAAAACATGAAACGAAAACACTTGAAAAACGAAAATACAAAAATGTGACGAGGACAATGATACACATGCATATGTAATGTACATTACTTCTACAAGAACGATCTTCTTATCCACGTCTGTATTATTTGAACTAAGCGATAAACACGGATATTTGTTCGCTCTCAAGAAGAAATCCCGAAAGTTTTTTAGCTGTGACTGACGATGCACCATCCCTTGATAGTTTTTCCATTCTGAATCCTCGAAATCTAGACCAAGAAGTGATTCGTATTAATACAGTACGATATTATGTATCAATCGAGTTTCACGTCAATATACTAAGGATCAAGTCATGACACAGTTTATCTAGGCTAATAATACGATTACTTTTAAAGATACAGTACCTCCGGCAATTTATAAGCTTAAAACATACCATCCTCTCTATTCTGTACGGAAGGATTAACCCATTCTTGTATCTGCACACCAATTTCCTTCGCTAAAACTCGCATCGTTGCGGTTTTGCCACTGCCTGGAGGACCAGTCAGCAACAACACACCATTTCCACTCTATTCAACATACAGTTATCTCAATACGATTTTGTACTTTACATGCAAATAATGCATATAAATAACAAAACATTTTTGAGGTCATGTTAAACAGTGATACTGTAGATCATTCCAGTGAGATATGTAAAAAACCTCACTGGATCAAACATTGTAGAGTACGGTATGATACACAGAAACATCAAAAGTACCTGCAAACACAGGTGGGAAACTAGCCAATCGCGAACTTCCGCTATTTTCTTCTTATGCACAGCAAGCTCAGCCTGGTTAAATATTTTCAGGAATCAGAATAAAGACCATGCAACGTTACTACAGTATTTCAAACCCAGGGTCATAGAAAAAGGTGCAAAAGCACTTTGCCATCCCTCCTAGAGATTAAATCATTACACAGCTATAATTACTGTACATTACATTGTTGCTAATTCTATGCAGCTCAGAAATTTTTCCCTTTTCCAAAAAGAGAAAAAGGAGAACTTTCTCTGTAATGCTCAAAACATAGAATTTTTAGAAAAATTGAATTTTCCTTTGAAATGTCTCTTGTACTGGCTATAAACTTACAATTTAGGGTACCCGGTATGTTTGTTATTGTAAAACTGACAGTACTAAACATTCAATTTAGACTTATTTTAGCTTTAACTCTTTACGTACCTCAGATGAAGGGCAATATTTCTCACACCATAAATCACTGCTATTTAGTGTATTTACTCTTGATTTGTCAGTTACTTTTGATTTCTCTAAAAATGTAGTATTTGCACACTCATTAACAGACATAAAGTATATATATCGATCATATAAAGGTCAAATTTCTGTTACAACTTCACAGAAATATTTTCCTTGAAAATGCACTTCTCAGTTACATTCTTTCCTGGGGTTGTGCGCTTGTATTTTAGCCAATGAGTGCTTAAAAGGGTTGTCAAAATAGATATCCATGCTGCAGAACCAGAATGACTACCCGTCACTGGCAGAACGTAACCAATTCTATCCTTTGTTATTCTTCATTTGAAGAATCACTAGTTGAAATTGTATAACAATGTAAAAATTGAACAACTTGTCCCAGTCCTTTAAAGCCTTTTCAGATCACCTTGTTTGTACCTACTTTTTAAATTCTTTGCACCATTGGTGTGAGAGGTGTCAAAACAATCAAATGATGACAACAACCACTGCTGTTTCTAGAGTACATTAAAAAATATATATGTAGCGCTTTATTTAGTATGATGCAGTTATACAAACTAATAAGTTAGATTAAAGTTTATATTAGACTAACAACAGGTTTATATACTTTATGGCTTGATTTTACTTGCTTTTCATTGGAATCTTGGTTGCACCTCAATCCTAAATAAAAACATGACACAAACCATTACATTATCCATTATCTAGCTAGATTATTATTATTACGCAGGTTAAATATTTGTTTTTTATAATATCCAAGTGCCATATCATGCATGTTGATTATATAGGCCTTAACAGTTTACCACATCTACATTGTTAAACATTCTGATTTAAATTTTTTATCAAGTAAAATTAGTTGACACATTCAATAAAAATAATCGATATTTATAGTGTCTTACCATCACATTGCTTCTTTTTCTTCTCTGGGCTATTATTTAGTGACAAAAAGTGACAGGGTTTAAAATAAGGCATTGGAAAACTTCAGATGCTTTAAAGATAGTTTAAAGAAACTTTAAGATATAGTTTTGGCCTTTGGGGTTAATAAACCCAAAAATAAGTTATATATGTACTGTACACTGACAATATTTCGCTAAAACGCTTTTTGACAATGTACAATATGCAACTTATAAACATTTTGACAATTTTCCATCATGACAAGATACTAAAAAAATCAGTTGCCCTGAATGAAATCTATTTGCTAAATCTATTTAATAATTAATATTTATGTTGCTTTTATATATTGTTTATATTCTGTACCTGGGCTCCACAAGATTGGCTTCTGCACTACAGTCTAAATCCCTTCTTTTCTGACTCTTCTAAAAGAAAAAAGAGACATTATGCAGTTCATTGGTCGACTTTACCCACAGAGTTAATATTATGTACCAGAAAAAAATTTATAATAATGCTTACGAGCGTTTTTATACGACAATCATTCATCGATAAAAACTAATATTGTATTTACCATAGTTTCAATGTACCATACTGCATAAAGAAGGAGAATTTTTCCAAAAAATTCCAGGTCAAATCATAATAATCACAACACTTGTTCAAATCAGGAAATTTCCCGGCCATGTTGGTCTCAACGCGGTACTTCATGTTATGTGGATATGTCGTTTTGTCGTTAAACAGATTTAGGATTTCGTACAGTAGTAAAGTAGTCAAGGTATTTTAGCCGAATCGAAAAACAAGAATAACTGTTTTCTTGATTTTCAGCTCCAATTATGATATGGGTAATGTCACATGATGCCGCAATTTGCAACGCAATTCAACTATATCCCTTTTAAGACCCTGGCCCCGTGGGTACAAGGTTGTGGGATCCTGTATATTTGTCAGCATAGGGCCATAGGCGGTAATAGGCGGTAAGCATCGAAGTGCATGAGCAGGATGATCGAGCGCCAATACGTCTGAAATTGCGCATTGGATGTTTTATTAAAACAGAAAAGCATTTTTAGACGATGCTGCTCCGGGTCGGGCTAAAAATGGTGCAAAAAATAATCAAAACGACGTTGCGTTTACCCTGCACCAAAACGCGAATTTGTTCGAAAGCGTCACAAGAGTGTCATTAAAGAACTGCAATGCGATCCAACGGATTCATTAAATTGGAAAAACATCATTTACCACCTGTCGCCTCTAGTAGGGGCAGGAGCGTGTCTAGAAGATTTCATTGCACAGGGTGCATATTTATATATATGGGATGCTGTGCGACCAGTAGATACCATTATTTATTTCTTGTAGGAAGATCGTAGTTGGCGTCCAAAAATTTAGTATATTTTAAAATTTTTATATGTAAGGAACTAACTGAGAAATGAGGAACTAACTTTGTATTAAACTTGCATCCAATTTTATAGTGATCATATTATGAATCAGAATATTAATATTATATAAATATTTATAACGTTATTCAATATTTCTTTTATCACACACGCGATAAACTAACCATTTATGTAACAAACACGACAGTCGACAGGCAGCAAGGATCGAAACTTCACTGGCTTTGAACTATTGCTATATTATAAAAATGTACAGAACGGTTTGGTAAGTAATTTACAGCATGCATGCATTTGCGCAAAAACGAGATGCACCAAGACATATCGTGCACGGCATTTCACATTACAAAAAGTGACATCCTTTCCCTTGATGTGTTTGTGCGAAACACAGTGACGTGTTGCCTATAGCCTAAACTGCACACGCAATATATATGTAATGCTATTTAATGCTATAGCATTAAGATATAGCATTAAGTTATAACTTACGCAAATTTAAGTGAATTATGTTCGAAGATGTTGTCTGTTTGATTACGATCGAGAAACAACAACGCGAAAGACTTTTTAATTTTTTTTAAGCGAAAACAACAACAACAGCAAAGAAAAAGCCTCGAGAGCAATTTCGGAAACTTTTCAGGGCAAAACGAGTACTTCCAATGAAGATGAAAAAAATGTAGCTATTGCTAAATATATTTCGCCGAAACACTGAAAACTGAAAAGAATGCATTCTGTGTGTTTACTGTGTTTATGTCTTAAAATCTTGGCCTTGGCTATAAAACATTTAACCTGCTATATGCAAACTGGTTCATGACGAAGTGATACATGCATAACTAAAATGTGACCCGTCACATTTTACAAACCATATTCATGGCTAACCATAGGCATATTTTGGATGCTCCCTTTGTGTGATAAGAAGTGTAGCGTCGAGCAATAAAACATCAACTGCATGCATGAACTACTGCACAAAAATAGGATTGAAAACTAATTTAAAGTAGTGAATTAACCTACATATCGCGTAAGTAAAAATGAATTAAAACAGCTCAAATGAAATATTAACATTTAAAATTGTAATTATAATTCACAATAAATAGCTAAATGAATACATTCTATGGCGTGCGCTGAAAAATTGGCGCACCACATGTGGTTATATGCATGGGGCTGGATGGTCATGCATGTGCGATAAAAAGTGAGTTTTATACTATCATAGTCTACTACTGGCATACTGCATGTGTATAATATATCTTCTGTGCGAAATTTCTAAGCACAATTTAATCGACAAACTTTTAATGATCTGTTTTTCTCATTTAACTCCTTTAGTTCAATCATTTATCTCTTCCTATTGGAACTTCTTCTACATAAAAACTCAATGTCTTACAAAGTAATTGGTACCAAAGACAGAATACTGTATGGATACAGTTTTCGAAACATCACAGGGATGCTGACAATGGATCAGTGTCTGGCAAAATGTTTAGAAGACTGCAAATGTTTGTCATTTCAAATTTGTGATGACGATAAGCTGTGTCAACTGTGTTCCACAAATCAACAGCAAAATAAAGGATCTTTCCTTCCAAGAAAAGGATGTACGAGCTTTGTCTTTAAAAGAGAACAACAGGTTTGTTAGGAACTTCTTAATTCTTGATGGCGAGGCACAATAATTGTCGATCTCAGTCAATGTTATAGAGCCTATAAACGTAGCCTAGATATATGATACTTATTTCATTTACATAGCTACATTTGCAGTGTTACACATGACGGCATGAATTAGTCGACCTTGAATATTTTAACCGACTAGAGCGATCGCCTTGTTTCGACTGCTCGGATGGTTAATTGTATTAATAGTTTCAAATCTTTATAGAATAATTTGGTCGTCGGACCTCTGAAAAAATGTTTGTGCACATGTATGGAAATTTAGTACAGAAACAACGAGTTAAGCACCCGTATTAACCAAAATGTAATCACAGTGATATTAAAAAGTTTTTGTCGTTTCTAGACGAGAATGAGTTGCATTCAAGACGCTAATTGCTGTCTGACTTCCCAACCTTGTGAGAATGGTGGTTCATGTGTCCCCACTTACCCTACAACATCCACACATAGCGATCGCTTTACGTGCAAATGCAGACCAGGTTACCAAGGGGCTTTCTGTGAAGAGCCAATTAGATCGTGTCACGATTATGTGAATATAAAGCCAATAAATGGAGACTATTACATCATTAAGAAGAATACGACCATTGCTTTTCGTGTTAGATGTGATTTTACCAGTCATTTGAGGAGGGTATGGACACTTATTCAATCTTACCGTTTACAAGACATCGACTCGTTTAACGAATCGTTTACAAAAAGGAGTGCAGTCAATGAAGATAATCCAAATCACCAACAGTACCGTCTATCATTCGCAAAAATGAAAAATATTCGACAGAACTCTACTATGTGGCGCATCCACGCCATTAAGTCAGATCCCCTTAATTGTAAAGACGTCGCCATTGTCCAGTTTAATATTTTGCCATCTCACCAACCACGTTGCAAATCCTGTAATTCGAGGCATTTTGAAAAAGATCAGGTGGCTGGTGGAAGTTGGAGAGGTTACAAAACGAATTGTGAAATAAAAACCAATTCAATCGACATGTGTGAAGATGTATTAGACAATTTTGGATTGTATTGTTGTATGGACTTTGTTCGGAAATGTTCCACATCAGGAAAAACCAAATTTGAGATCTGGCTCGGGGATGATTACTAAAATTAGATACGGATTACAAAGCTGAGCCTAATTTTTTGACGTTTGTATCAATTGTTTCCTTGATACTATCCATTTTGCATATGCTTCTTAAGGCAAAGCGAGATCTACTGTTTTTCTTGTTGACTTTCAGCGGCAGCCGGCAGACAAAAGGATGGGTCATCATAGGACTTCACTATATATTTCGACCATATGCGCCGGAATCATTTCGTCGAAACATCGATGACTGCTACTTTTTGCGTGAGATGTTATTTCATCAAAAATAAGGGATGGACTCTTACCCAATCTTACCTCTTACGAGATAACGATTCGTTTACAAAATCGTATAAACAAGGAAGTGCAGTAAATGAAGATAATCCATCTCATGAACAGTACCGTATTTCATTTTCCAGAATGGAAAGTATTCGACAGAATTCTACCATGTGACGCATTACTGTCACAAATTCAGAGAAAGATTGCACCGACATCGTGACATTTCAAATTTGAGACGACGATAAGCTGTGTCAACTGTGTTCTACAAATCAACAGCAAATAAAGGATCGTTCCTACCAAGGAAAGGATGTGCCAACTTTATCTTTAGGAGAGAACGGAATATGTAAATGGAAATGCAGCAAATGAAGATTATTCATCTCATAAACAGTACCGTCTTTCAATTTCCAGATTTTCCAGAATGGAAAATATTCCACAATTCTATGATGTGGTGCCTTTTGTCACAAATTCAGAAAATAACTTGCAGGGACATCCAAAGGCTGGACATTTTCCCACATGAACACCGGTGCTCTGTACTTCTGCATGTAAACCAAAATAGAAGAGTGGATGGAACTTGGTATAAAGTCTACAATACTAAAACTTGTGTAATAAAAAACAATTCAATCAGCAAGTGTTAAAATGCAGTGGATAATTTTGCACTGCATTGTTGCATGGATTTTGTTCGCCAATGTTCCACATGAGGAGACTTAACAATTTTATTTGCATATTGACTATACCTATAAACGCTTTATAAAAACATTTATTCCTCCATGCGAATGAGGATTTGGGGATGATATTTTATTAATCATCAGGGATGCTATATATAATATATATCTTTAAACTTAGCTTGGAACATCTGCATACATAAGAATAGGACGAAGTAAGCATACATATTATCACAACATTATCATGAATAATGATGATTCAATATTTTCCCCCAACATGGGATTAGGGAGATTCATGTTATGTGGATATATCGTTTTGTCAGATTTAGGGTTTCGTATTGTAGTCATGCAAGGTATTTTAGCCGAGTCGAAAAACAAGAATACTGTTTTCTCGATTTTTAGCCCCAATTTTGATATGGGTAATGTTGCACGATGCCGCAATTTGCAACGCAATTCAATTATGCTCCTTTTAAGACCCTGGGTACAAGGTTGTGAGACATTCTGTATATTCGTCAGCATAGGCGGTAGGCATCGCTATCCGGAAGCGCATGAGTGGGATGATCGAGCGCCAATACGTCTGAAATTGCGCATTGGATGTTTTATTAAAACAGAAAAGCATTGTTAGACGACGCTGCTCCGGGTTGGTCTAAAAACGGTGCAAA